ATCCCAACAATGAATTGTGAATTACAAAAAAAAGAGAAACGAAATACCATTATGGTAAATAAAACATCTATCTATCTATCTATCTATCTATCTATCTATCTATCACATCTACACAAAGAAGGAAGTTTCTGTGGAAAATTTTGAACATGTAAGGAAAGGAAACCTATCAGAAAAAGAAATCTCAACTGTTACATCGTGTTAATGGAAACGGCGACATTTTTAAATGTTTAACTTTTCTAAACTATTCTCAAAGTGCAATTGCGTCTGCCATGAAGTTAATTGTTGAACAAATGCTTAAAAGTTTCTACAGAAAATGCAATTATTGAACAGACAATATTTAATCTCGTATTTCTTTTCGAATATTAACTTCTTTCTTGACCTGAGAAGTCTGAAAAGCATTCAACTTGTGTGAACATACGAACTGTTTTCCTGGAAAATTCATTAATGTAGCTTCAGTTTAATACATGACATTTGAGAAAGTGTAAAGTTAATTTAATAACACTTTGGTAGTGTGTTTAACATAATACGTATGTTTATGGCTTCTCTTTCAAAAAAGGCTTAAATGATATATTTATGTTTGCTATAAACAATGCTGCTTCTCATTTGCTTCCCTCACATCAAATTTATTTACCAATAAGCATTCATTTGCTTTCATATTGATTCACGCAGGCATCAATTAAATATGTTTTCCTTCAAACAAATAAATACTTAGCAAAATTTCTATGAAAACATTGCACAAGCTGTAATACGAATCGATGAGATAAACTTTTTATGTATGTTTAAAGACAGATAATGTTTAAGAGAAGGGAAAGAAAGAAGGGAAAAAAAAACACTTCGACATAACAAATTCTTATTCGAGAATGGAATAAGAAGGGTAGATTTCATATAGAGATAATCGTTGTATATGAGCTCGAAGATAAGTTTTAATAGGTTTTGAGAACTTCCAGATACTCTCAGCTTTGTCTTTTAAGTAGAAATCAAGCAGTGACGTTGTTGAACTGCTTTCAATTGGCCCAAAGTTTTCAAATCCTATCATCAGAACCTCCACTGTGAGTGACAAGTACCTACTTATTTAATAGAAAAGCATTGTCAAAAGTGTCAAAAAGTTGTGATTGTTTGTTGGTTTAAGGCGGAGGGTTGCGATATATATTTTTCTAGTAATTCCACTCGCAGTGGGAAACTTTTTATTTCCATGTTGTTCTTAAGGATGACTAGATAAATACAATTGTAATGAAAAGAGTTATTACCTCATCTTATCTTGAATATCTTCAATTTCTTCTTTTTGCTTTTATTGATTTTTAAGAGATGATAAAATCTAATGTGAAGTCAATAATTTCATTTCTAGTCATCCTGCTAATGTTGCTATAGAACTGCGTGAATGATATTCAGGCATTTTCGTGTTTACCCAATTTTTCAGAAATTTCTTGATTGCGAGTTAGCAAAAGCGCACAGGAGGGCTCTTATTTCCTGAATTAAGTTCAAGTCTGAAACCATCAAAGCCTTTTAAATCTGATTATTTATTCATTCAGCTTGACTTTCAGTTTATACAAATCTCCAAACTTCAAAATTTCATTTCGTTCGAAAATCAAGAATATCCGTAAGAAACCTTTTAAGGTTGCTTTAATCTTAAAAGTCCATCCGCGGGGATCTTACGACCTTTTATCTTTCAAAGGATCATGCTAATGGGAGTGACTTGTGCTAGATAAAAGTGAAGGAAGAAGAAAACTGCAGCCTCTTACGTTTTTCATTCTGAAAAGCCTTTCTTTTTTTTCAATAAAGTGATAAAAATAAATGTCATAATCTCTTCCATTTGAAAATTTTAAAAAGAAAGACGGAAAGGTAAGAAGGAGAGTAAATTTACTCTCAAACACCTGAAAGCTGTAAAAGGAAAAAAGCTATAAACTTGCCTGTTTCATGTTGGAATGGAAAAATGGCTGGCGCACCATTAGGGAATTTGTTAGACATAAAACATAATCGTAAAAATTTCTGCTAGCGAAGCTTTAAGGCCTAAAATTCTCGGGTGAAAATTTTTCGTGCATGAGCTTGATCGTAAAGATTTCATAGCTTTGCTTAGCCATGAAGGGAACTGAAACAAAAAAATGTAAAATCGAAAGTAAAAAAGAAAGCGCAATAAATGGTCATAAATCAAACAAGTCTGTCATGTTGAAAACTTCATTGTCGCATGAACTCACGATTAGAAATGCCATCAAGTTTTACTTAAAAGATTGTTTTATTCGATAGTTTTACAGTGTCGACTTACAAATTAGCACCAGCCTTAACTTTGAAAATGTGAATTTTTACTTTTCCTTAAAGCCCAAAAGAAGTTTTCTTAAAACTAAACATTTAAATGACAATAAGTTCAGAATTATTTTGCTTCTTATCATTTTAAATTGTTTTGATATTGCAAAGTTTTTTAATTTCACTCTTTTACTTTTTAAGATAATTGTTTCTTTGTTTAATAGTTTTCAATATTTTACACAATTAAAAATGCTTTAAGTAATTTCATGACCCAAGAGGTACTTTTCTGCTAGCTTCATTTTTACAATTTTCCTTTAACAGAGTTTGATTAGATACTGTCTTAGTTTTAAGAAAGAAACTTACTCAAGTCTTTTGATTTTTTTAATCTTGTTATTCGTTGGGGCTTTTTATATTGACATTCTATTAAATAAATGCATTCATATGTGATTTTTTAAAAGAAAAAATGTTCTTTTGCTTTCTTTTATATGCATTAAAAGATTGGAAAAGAGAAAACGGATTAGAGAATAGAAAAGCTTCTTCAAGTTAATAGTAGAGAAGCTCTCGATATGTGAAATGTAAGTTGAGAAAAATAAAGATAAAAAGAAAGAACAAATCCCAAATGATGCTTCTGAGTCATTGAAAGAAGAAGAAGAGAAAGCTTTCTAAGTCATTAAAGTTGAATAAATTCAGATATTTACAAGAAGAAACGCCATTCAAATTTTATGTAGCTCACTCAAAACCTCATCAAAATGTGACGGTTTTAACTTTGAAATTGTCTTTATAATCGTTATGGACGTTAATCGTGAATTGGATGGTTAGAGCTTGTTGAAATGTATGAATTGTTTGGATACACAACATTTGAATAGCGCCAACAATTCTAAGTAAACCCTTTTCCCTTCATTAAATCTAATCGTGCTAATATTAATTATAAAATTTTATTCCATTTACATTTTAAGCCCGATGCTTTGGGTTTCGATGATTCAATAAAAAAAGCTTTCATGTTTTTTCTTTTTTCTTCCATTTTTTTGAACGCGTTTCAGTACACGAACAACGATGTCAATTATTTTGAACTTTTGCTTATTTCCAAATCATCACATTATATTTTATTGCATAACGCCTTCGCTTTCATTTTCATCTCTCAGCTTTCAGTCCTTTGGGATTTCATTGCTGCTGGAATTTTGTTGTGGGGTTGAACATTGCTGTAATAAAAAGTGGCGGTAATAAAAATTTATTGAATAGAACGCTTTAGCTTTATGCTTTGGACTTTCGTATTTTTCTTTTTTTCCGTTTGTTCATAGAATGTTCACCTCTCTATGCATGTAAGGAAAGTTTATAGAAAAATGTTTGACTTACCGTCTGACGCTTCTCCCACAGTTTCATAGCCGATTTGTATTTCTCAAATTCGTGACACCAGTCAGCGTAAATTTTCTGATAATCGTTGCCTTTGTTTGGGGCAGTGCACCTAAAGACGTGAGAGAGAATGAGAAAATAATATTTTATATTGTTAGTGAAATCAGATAAAACTTTATGTTATGTTAGGTCTATCGGCTATTTCGTCCCTTCAATTGATCCCATATTCACTGTCTTACCTATGAGCATCAACTGTTATGACATAACTGCACAGCAATGAGCCCCCCAAATGACAATCATATCGTCCGGCATCATGTTCATGTGCTGCTACAATCACTAATCCCCTTTCAGTCGTTTCGATGTGTTTGTGGACATTATATCTAATTTCATAACTATTTTTATTGTAGAAGGAGAAATAAAGAAAGAAGAACAAGTTGGGAGAGTTACAATCCATATAAAAACATATTAACTGTTTAATGTTTCCATTACCGTCCATTATCTTTCGAATGATGATACCAGGACACTTGTTGATCCCTCAGAATTTCTGGTACAGTTTCAAAACAACCAAGGTGAATACTTTGACCATATGTTACAATGATTTTGTTCTTGGGCACACTTGAGTCACAAATATCGTTTGTTTCATTTGAAACGTCCTAGTTAAAGCGGTGAGAATGAAGAAGAATTAAGATTTTAAAGAAATGTTGAGAACATCTTGGAAATGAAGGGAAATAGGGCAAAGTAACTGCAATTTTCTTTAAAAAAACTAAGAAAATCTTTATGAAAATCCTAGGATTTATTTGGGATCTTCCAATACAGGAAAGTAAAGTGAATTTGATCGTAAAGTTTGTTCGTCTCACCTGTAATAATCCCAACTTGTAAGGTTTACATGTGCCAGAATCATGATCCCAACCACAATATGGATCTTTGACACACCTGAAGCAACTATCATACCGGTGACTACACATTTCTAAATCTATTTGTTTGATACGATTATCTGTGGACACGTAAAGAGATTTATGCTTTTGGCTGATTTCTATAACTTGAATTGCCTCATTCTGTGCTATTTCAAAAATATCCAAAAGCTTTGATTTTGATTGCCCATTTTGAATGAATTGAACAATTTTATAGATACGTCCATTGTTTGTTCCCACATAATGAACTTTAAACTCCTGATTGGTGAGTTGATTGCGGATTCTGTTGAAAATTAATTAAATTAATTATAAAGATTTTAATAAATGAGATTTTCACCGTACTTGTCAACAGCCAGTTTTGTGAAAACTAAATCACGCTTATAGAAAACTGGATTATTATGTTCATGATTGACGGGTTTATCCATAAGCGGATGTGAGCGAATGAAATTGACAACAGTGTCTGGTAAACTAGCAGTTTCCTCAACGCAAGTGCCTGGACCTGTTTAATTCAATTTAATTCATTTAATTAAGATATTAAAATAATTAAAACTGAAATTTAATAAAGCTTACGTGGCTCTGGTACTTTCGAATTTAACACTGGTAACCATGCTGAGTTGGAGCTTGCTTGTTCCTTAAATTTCCCTTTAAAAGTTGTTTGAATTTCGCCAATGTCAAAGCTGCAAACAGCCGATCCCACGAGTCCATTTGTGCTTGTAGTGAAGGTTGCATAGAATTTGGTTTTGTCAGTTGGAATTTGGTAAACTGATTGAATCTCATTGAAGTAGAATGGAAACTCGCCAGAAATGCTGCAATTCAAGCGAGCTTTCAAATACGTGACCCAATTTTGACTGAGAATATTTTTGCCGCCGGTGTCCTTCTTACAGACACGCGCAACACGTGAATAAACCGCTTTACCACAGTTGATGTACTCAACAGCTGTTTCACGGAAGAAAAAGTAGACATATTCACCAATGTCAAATGATCCCACAAAGTTGGGCTCTAAATAATCAGAAGATGAGATAAGAAAAATACAGAACATTTAGTCAACAATGTTGATGATGATTTTTTGTGATATTGAAGTGCTGTGAAAAAGTTTTTCGTTTTTTCTATTAATTTTCGCAAGCATCAATTTGTGGAGAGATAATTGAAAAGGAAAACTAACTGTCAAGCCATTTCGAGTCGTATTTCAGGGTCCGTTTGAAATTATATTCCTTTCGTCCCGTTGACATGTTGTGAATATCTGCACGAAAAATGACCGAGTCTGCTTTTGTGAACTCGGCATTAGTTCCCGAATACTAAAGTAAAGCAAGAAATAAAACAACTCATTTACAATGAAGACGAGGAAGCGAATATATGTAATTAATTATTTATAAATTACCAGAGCCGCAAAATTGCCAGGATTTCCTTTCACAACGTAAATTGCTGTCGAGTTGTCAACCGGATCATATGGACATTTTCCGATTCCCATTCCGATGCCGGGCAAAAGCTCAGATCTTGGTAAATGAGTTAAATTCGTCTGAGTTTATGAAAAGAAAATAGGAGGAAGGAAACTGATTAATAAAATTACATGCACTATAAATAATCATAAGTTGCCATAAGTAAACATCGAGCAAAACGCTTTTAATGATTTTCTTCTTTGCTTCTTTTTCTTCTCTTCTTCGTTTTTTCTTCATTCCACAACATGACATTAAACATGATGGAAAATCCTAGCGAATTACAAGTGAATGTGAATGGATTACAAATTCATTTCCAGCATTGTATTTGAACAAACAATGAATAAAACATAAATTGGTTGAGCCTTCATATAACTTTTAAATATGAGAAAGCACTCAATATGAAGGCAAACATTTTCTGTTTAATATTGCTCGAGTTAATTTCAATTTCATTATACAAATCCATCAACTTGATTGTGTTTCTGTTTTTGTCTTCTCTAGCGTTGTTCTTTATTAGATCCCGATGGAAAATAACAATGTGTGTGGAAATATCGATTGTTACGTTACAGATTTATTGTGCTTGCATAATTTGTTTGATTTTCTATTCATCATTAATCTTACAGCGTTGCGATTACTTCGATCATAAATACAACAATTTACATGCATATGTAGCTGTTTGAACATATTTTGCACTATTTACATTACAAAAAGTCAATGAACTTTTAAAATAAATTAATTGACACTTACAAATATGATATGATCCTTGGGATTGTGTGCATTAGTGCCACAAATGTACAAACGATTCTCATCCATTGGCTGCACGACTCTGATGTGATTTCGGCAGTCGAAATGCTGTAATTTTGAGAAATAAATTTCCAAAGGTTCTTCTATTGTATTATCCGAAACTTACTCGACTTTTGCCCTTTGACTCACAGTTGAGAACATCACTGGATGTGGGTTCCAATAAGATGTGATCCTTCTATTTATCAGAATAAAGAAAATTGAATTATGCGGTTGGATTTTCAATCAATATCATGTAAGGTGATTTATTTTTACCTCACAACTCGTTTGGCTGATGTCATCCAAACGAAGTTTTGATATGCGATCCCTGAATGTGAAAATAGAATTTAATGATGATATTTCAGTAATTTCAATGTTATCAACTTACATCGAGCCGACATAGAGAGCGTCATTATTTTCTTGCAAGAGGAACGTGCGATAAAAGAGCTTTCCACATGTAAATTCGCGAACATGATCTGAAAGAAAGAACACATTTGAAATTTCAGACATATTTTTAAATTTAAATGTGTTTAACAAACTGGAAAAGTTGATTATTGACAATTTCTTTGATTACAAATTACTCAATCAGGTATGAGAAAGATAAGGAAGAAACAAAAACGTAAAAATAATGATGACAAGTTAATTTAATGCGATATCTTCGATTTTCATCAAAATCGCTCGAAAAAGTTTTAAGTAGAAGACAGTTCGTTCGATGATACTGATAAGCTTAAAGAAATAATTTCAGGAAGTCAAAATACACAAAACCACCAGAAATAAATTTAGTTGTGCTTTTGAGAAGTCGTGAAACGGAAGAATTTATTGATTTTTCTATTAGTGAAAAGCCATTCATTCGTAAATAAATAATATTATTACATAAAGTATACAATAAATATTTTTGTAAGCAATTGAAAGTTGTTGAAAGCAGAAACGTCTTGTCGAAGTAATATTAAAGCATTTGAATATAAATATATTTTAAATCATATGTTATCGACGATTTATTTAAGTGAGTTTCATTTTATTACAACATGTTATTTATGACATAGAAATCCCGAGACATAAAGCTTAGATAATGTTCCAAAAAGCGACATTTGAGTTATGATTTATTTCATAAAACAAGGAAAAATTTTCATACTTCAGTTAAATGTGAAATAAATTGAATCGTACGATAATGATTCATATATCCAAATATTCGTTTTATTTATCTTATCTATCATATCGAAATGAACTTTAAATCTTATGCGCACATGAGTTGAAAATCTGAAAAACAACTCGTAGTCTGCCGACTTAACTTTACCATATAAAAGAATTTCTTTCACATTGTTTATGAAGTTTCGGAAACGTGATAAGAAAATCACCTGAACTGATAAAGATAAACTTTTCATTTTATCTATTTGGGTTTAACTTATATGTATGCTATTGTAGTAAGTGTGGAGCATATCTAATTACTTTTTATTTTTCTTTCTTTTCAAAAGTTATAAAAAGATCTGAGGAAACTTCTTGCAAGAGTTTGAAGAAAGTAATTTAATTGAGAGAAGGAAAATAAACTGCATAAAAACGAGAAAGAGTTAAAAGTAAAATGAAAAAGATTTTAATCGTCTTAATAACTGCAATTGTCGCATTATCAGCTTACGCTGATGAAATCAGATTTTCGGAGGAATACGAAGATGACTTGGAACTTTTAGAATCTTCGTTAAAAGAGTCTGACGACCATCAATGCATGGAAAAGACAAAAAGAGCTTTTTCCTTATACGACTACTCAGTTGTGATTGCAATGCTAGCAGTTTCATTGAAAATAGGAGTTTTTTATGGATTTTTTCATAAATCGTCTTCAAACTCGGAAGACTTCATGCTGGGATCCAAAATGGGCTTGTTTCCAGTCACGCTGAGTCTGACAACAAGCTTTGTGACAGCGATTGAGCTTCTTGGAAATCCAGCCGAAATGTTCTTTCATGGAACACAATTTTCACTTATTGGCAAGTAATTTTATTTCTAATCTGTTTAAAATGTCAAATTAAATGATCCAAAGACTCATATTGTATAAATATATTTAGTTATCTCAATGGTTCTCGTTATTCCGGTTGCCATCAAGGTTTTTTATCCCATTTATCACGACATGCAATTGACTTCATGCTATGAATATTTAGGAGTGCGGTTTGGCAAGGAAATGAGACTAATGGGTGGAACTCTTTATATCATTCAAATGTGCTTTTACACGTCCGTTTCGGTCTTAGCCCCAGCCATAGCACTTTCGAAAGCAACCGGATTGAATACTCGTCTAGCCATTGTCTTAATTTATGTTGTTTGCATTTTCTACTCAAGCCAAGGTGGTCTCAAAGCGGTTGTTATTGCTGACACGTTTCAGGTATGCAAGTCCGAATTATTTATCAACAAATGCAACTCTAAAATGTGATTGGAATTTCTCTTGTCTTTAAGGCTTGCATACTCTTCATTTCACTGATTTTGATCGTATGCTTTGGAACATTTTATCAAAAGGGAGGCTTTTCGCAAGTTATAGAAATTGCCAAGGAAAACGAGAGACTTGAGTTATGGAAGTAAGTAAGGAATGTAAATAAATTAATGAAAGCTGTAAAACATGAAAGAAATTTGTTTCAGTTTAGATACAAATCCCCAAACAAGACATTCCGTGTTTTCAGTCATAATTGGTGGATTTTTTTATTGGACATCGTTACTTTGTGTTAATCAAGCGACAGTTCAAAAAGCCATGTCTCTGAAGAGTTTATCAAAAGCTAGGATTGCATTAGCCTTGTCAATATTCGGACTAGTGACCGTGTTTATTGTCAACTTCTACACTGGACTTTTGGCTTTTGCCAAATATGAAAAATGCGATCCATTGAAATCAGGTCAAATTGATGCCATTGACCAGCTGATGCCTTTCTTCGTTATGGATGTTTTCGGACACATCAAATTTATTGTTGGTATCTTTGTGGCCGGGTAAGAAAAAGGATGAAACGAAAGCTTTTGAATTATTACCAACTTAATAATCATCGCCTGATGCTTTTAGAATATTTGCGGCAAGCTTAGGAACTGTCGCAGCATGTTTGAGTTCCCTTTCTGCTGTGACTATGGAAGACATTCTGATTACAGGATTGAATCTAAAAATAACACCACAAAAGGGATCTTCTTATGCAAAGTGGATGTCAGTTGGGTGAGTTTAAAGAGATTATTTTTCATGATGACGTGTGTAGTAAAAAGATTCCACTTATGAATTTTTCTTTTCCCTTTTTTTACTGATTCCTTTTCAGTTATGGAATTTTCTCATTCGGATTAATTTTTCTCGTAGAGGGGCGCGGAGTGTTGCAAGCAACACTTACACTTAATGGTTTGGTTGGGGGAATTCTCCTTGGATTATTTTCACTTGGTATTTTCTTTAAGAAGGCAAATGCGAAGGTAAATCGTAATAATTTATGAGAAATACTTTAATAATATTCTGCTTTCATTTCTTTGTTTTCAAATATATATTTAGGGAGCTTTTTTTGGTGGAATTATTGCGATTGCTTGCGTAACTGTTCTTGGTATCATTTCTCAGTTTGTAAACACTGAAACGCCATTTTTAGATTCTTCTGTGTCGGGTTGTGGTTGTGCGGTAAATGTCACTTCATCAACCAATTTAGTTGAAGAGCATGAATCGAAAGGTTGGCTTCTAAACATTTTTGGAGTCAGTTACATGTTTTATTCAATGATTGGAACTTTATTGACAATATTCTTTGGATTGGTCATTTCACTGATATCGGATGAACATGAAAGGGTTGACACTTTGAGAGTATCGTCATCACAAGATTTCCACAAAGATTTCCATCTTCATGATCGTTTCTCCGTTGCATCATTCACACTTGCAACTGGACGTAAATTGACGTCGTTTATTCATCATGTTGCACATGATGTTTCTCAATCGACATTGAAAGTTGAAAATAAATTGAAGGAAGTCATTTCACATTCAAATTTACATCATTTGCACCATGGCATCATTCATTCCGATGCTGAAGAACGAATTAGCATTTTAAATGAAGAGAATGGAGAGGAAGATGAATGTGTAAGTTTATTAAAGTCGAGACCAGACAAAATGTTCTTTATCGGACATGACGATGATGAAAAAATTGATTGAAAATTTCAATACGGAAATCTTTTAAATAGTTTTAAATTTATAAAAATTTAAATATTTGCATAAGCATGAGAAATTCCTTAAAAGACTCAAATGAAAAGAACGCTTCAATTATTTATAAAATAAAATTTTTTATCTATAAGATTCTTTTAAAATTTGTTAAAACAATGTGATAACTATTTAAATAAATATTACGAGTTAAATTCTTTAAGCATTTTAATCTCTCGATAGCCATCGAAAAATTTACAAATGAGGAACTAGAAAAACACTTGAATCATTTGATAAGAGCGTTGTAAACAAAAATTAGATGATTATAATCCTTTTTTTATTTACAAACGGTTTTAATTAAGTCAACAGACTCTTACCCTTATGATGTTTTATGAAATCTTTTCCACAACATGGTCGTTCAAAGTAAACATTCCAAATAGTTTCATAATCACACAACACAACACGACTCAAAAGCAAATGAATGATTATCACGCTCGAAATCATTAAGTAAACAATATTTCTGCACATTTTATTGACTAGTTCACTATTTCAGTCAGGTCTACGGCTTATGATTATTTATTCATCATACTGAGTCTTTCAGAACTCTCTGCGAGTTAATGGTGATAGCAATGTATGACGTATCCGTAGCATAATAGAAACAGAAAAGAAAAACTATGACATTTTATTTATGCTTCTGCTTTCATTCATGAACGGTGAAGGATTCTCACAAAACATGCAGTTTTCATGGCTTTCACCACCGAAGAATATTGATTTACGATGGAGCACATCTGGAGACGGTAAATTTATTTCTCACTCAGAAATTCTTCGTTCTTTATCACACTTCCACTTAGATATTTATTTCAAATGACAAGTTTACTTTCCACGTCAATGAACTTATTTTCAGACTTTGTCAAAGGATTTTTTGGACAAGCAAAAACTGTTCAAACTTAATGAATCAGCGAATTGATTCAGCATAAAAAACTTTATGTGGACTAAATTGTCTGAGAGTAATTTTAATAAACTTAATTTTCACTTTATTGGTAAAATAATTTTATCGTTCAAAGAAAAACTTCACCAGAAAAATCTTTGCAAGTTTACAATCGAAGAGAGACTTCGACATAATAAATTATTCCTCAAAATGTCAAAGATTTTTATATTTATTTTGTTTAATATCCAATGAAACACCCTCGTTCGTAGACGTTCGTAAACAGACTGACCGAAAAGCCTGTGAAGAGAACTGGAATAATTTTTTATTCCGACGAGCAGTGAAGGAAATTTGCAGTTGCGCAGTTTTACGATTCTAGTACAAAATGTTTTGCAGTGACAATTAAACACATGACAAGCGACAATGCAAATGAGTTTCGTGTATTCAAAAGCCGGCGTTTATGTATTAATTTTGTGTACTTGATTTCATTTTAACGCGTTAATTGTTTTCCCAAGAACCTATGAGTAATCGAGCAAACACAAATCTACAACATAAATTCAATGTATATGTCGTACATTAAAATAAATAAATAAATGAATCATGCTCGTCGTTAGATTTTATGATAAATTGAAAGGATGAAGTCAAATTCAAATTTCTTTAAGACTTAATGAAATGGAAAGATTCATCGACGCAAATATTTGATTTCTTGATTTTTATCGACGATTTTTTCTTTACGAAATCACAATCATCTGAACAAGTAAGCAAGAAGAAAAGAAGAAAAAAACATTTCATGTTTCTTGATTCCTATGAAAACACAACACATCGGAGGGAAAATAAAAAGCAAGATTTGAACAAATATTGATCGAATTTTCCCCGAGATTCATTGGTACACACTTGCACGCAGTTTTCGCTTTTCCAATTCGGTTTCAATCGAACATTTTCAATTTTTGATTTTCCTAAAAGCTTTTCAAGGCTCATAAGCATAAATCGACTTTGTCGAGAGACAAGAAAACGACTGGGCTTAGTTCAATGAAGCGTGTATTTTGCACATTCACTTTTGTTATAAATCAGTGAAGTGTTTTGACGTTTAAATTTCAATTTTTTTTTCTTTTTCTGCATGTCCTTAAAAATCCATGAATTTCATGCACATTAATGATCACAATGCATATTTAATGGAATGAAGTAAACGGTCAGTGCAATGTCATTAACATTCTTTTATTTAAATTTTAAAAACCCTTTCATAAGTTTATGTCAATATTTTTCCTTTCATTCATTCTTGCAGAGAAGAAAACATATTTTCATTAACAACATGAAAACAGAAAATGCTGTTGCGTTGTTCATTACAAAAAGGTTAAGTTTGGGAATGAGAAGGCATCTTAAATGAGTTGCAACATGAAGTTACGTGAATGGACGTGAAAGCCTTTGAAATGTTGAGAATAATGTTTTAAACAAAATGGTCTGCCAAGGATATTTTTTCAAATATCTGTTTCCTTGGTTTAACGTTGTTACCATGACTCTCTGAAAAGTTACGAATATAAGGCAACTTTTAATAAAGCAAAGTCTGTTTGAAGTTTTTCTTTTCAACAAATAGATATTTGTAGTCTCATGGAAAAGAATTTTAATTATCTTCCGAGGAGAAACCAGAAAGATCATAATGAAGTAATCGCATAAGAGTTTAATTTCTCAATTCAAGAATGAACCCTGAAGTTGTTTATTTAAATATTCTCAACATGATTAAAAGTTTATGTTCATATCAGCTTTACAGAACGATGATTTGCATGTTTGAGTGACAGATTTGCTAAATTAAATATGCCAAACATTGACCAGCTATGGGGAAACATTTTTCTATTCATGTTTGATAAGAAAATAAATTATTTTCCACCTCTTTGAATGGAATTGCCATCATGCAGTGAATTAATGTTTAATATTTAAGAGATGTTTGAATTTGCAACAGTTTCACTCATTCAAAAACTTTTACATTATTTTTTTAATCATCTTGTTTTTTGCTTACTTTTCATTTGCACACTTTCAAGCATGAACAGCTTCTGAATAGGCATTACAGTCTTTTATCATGTTCTTCTCTTCTTTTCACACTTTTTTTTGTCCTTGCTTCATACCTAATGTACTTGACTGAGCCCCTCTTGATATTGTCATCATATTTTCACACCATTTTATGTTTACATATTCATTTTTAGCACGTATTATGTGAGTATTTCCTTTCATTAATTCTTGTTCTTCTTACTCCATCACATTGCATGCTTCTTTATGATATTTGATATGTATCTGCATGAATGCATGTATGCACTTACATAAATCAAGTATAAGAGAATTTAATTTTTTTTTTCTCATTCTTTTGTTTCTTTGCAGTACAAAAACATTGCAAACAAAACAACAAAAAGATGAGAGTGTCTAACTCTTTTATATTCCTATGCGTTTGTCACTCATTGGTGACGATTTGAAGTCCATTTGACTGTCATTGACGGTGGAATTTCAAATTGAAATCAATCCACAATGAAACAAGAAAATTTTAATTTCGGGTTTTTATTGTAATGATGAAAATTTGTATGTGAAAAGTTTTCACACATTTACAACCCTTTTTCGAACATTTATCGATCGAAAGCAACTCTACCAAGAGATATCACATGACAATTTTCAAATTTTGTTTTAATACACACTGACAGTGGAAGTGAAAAGAATCCTCTTTAAAGGCCTCAAAGCTGCTTAATCACTAGAAATTTTTACCTTACTAAATATCTAAAAAGGAAAAAAGTTTTTCACGCCTTACATGACGATTCTCAACAAGCACACGGTAAGCACTTCAGAGACAGTGTGTAAAAAGAAACATAAGTGAACATGTAGAAATAAATGAGGTAAAGAGACAATTTTCTGTAATTATTTTTCATCGTATGACGATGTCGCGAAAAGTTTCAAAGCTTCGTACGGAAGGTAAAATTATATGATGAAAAAATGAACATATCAAAGCCTAATTACAGGACACTGATTTCAAAGCTTGTAATATTTTATGAAGCAGAGTAAATGGATTATAACAGGGAATAAAATATTATGTGAATTCAACATAATAATGACGCGATATGTGGTTTAAAAAGAAACTCGGAAGAATTAACACGAATAAGCACTTTGCTGGTAAACGATGATAAATTCTTGATGACTCAGTATATATATCTATGTGTGACAATAATGTAAGATGATGACAGTTGAGAGAGGGAAAGGGAAAGAAAGTGGAACTGCCTATCCATCCACCTCATGGGCCTTTAAACTGATCTGATCAATTTTAAAATAACTGCGTTGTGAGTGTATGTAGAGATAGGCATAAGAGTTGTTTTCGTCTTGTGATTTCATATTTATTTGTGAAAACAACAAAGTTAACGTGTTCAAAAGACATAAAGTGATGAGGTTCACACAAGTGCTTTTTCGTGTTCAGTGTTTGCGTTAATGTACATGTCGTTTCAAGCCCCTCTCTAGAGTATCGTAGATTTGTCGTATTCGTGTTGGATCTTTTTATATTTATAAGATTATCAGTAAGACTTTTTAAGACAAAATTCTTTCGACAATGATCAAAACACGATTAGAACCTCGTGAAAAATTTTATTTATCTGAAAATTGTTTCCAGAAATTTTTCTTGCACATACCTGGAGAAAGTTCCTCGATGATTTGAGCGTTGTTAAGCCCAAAACATATAATTAAAGTTGCAATTATTGTTAAACAAGCATTCATTATTTTATCGATATTTTCTGAAAGCAAAAAGAATGGAAAATTTTGTTAAAAACATTTTTTCGTGAAACAAAATTCAAAGTAGCTGAAAAGAAAATCCTTTGAGAATAATCTCAAGGCTGGTCCCCAAAACCCTTGTCAAAACCAGAAGCACGACTTTTCAGAGTAGCTGACGGTGTAACAAAAAATTCAACATTCTGACATCTTAAAAATGTTCAACGAAAGCTTGAAATTTTGGCTGTTCATTGCTATGTCAAACACTCTACAAGGTCTTGCATTCGGTAGAATTTATTAAAGTAAAACAAGAAGAAATGTTGCAAGAACCCTCACAATGTAATTTTTTAAAGAATGAAGTAGTCATATCCTCTTTCATTCGTTTCTTCGCACTTATGTTTCGTGATGTTGAGTTTGAAAGAGTGCACGAAGAGTGAGAAAAAAGTAGAACGTAATGGTATACTCAACATAACATTAGTGGCAACTTGGCTATTGTTTCACGATAGAAATTTGTTAGTCTTTACAACTTAACATGAAGGAAATTTATGTTTCAAGCATGAAATACTCAAACGTTTTACCAACACATGAGTATGAATATCAAGAGTTGTTGCTTAATAACTGTTCCACCATGTCTGGGCGCGATAAGAATTACTCTTTAACTAGATGAAATTAAGTGAAGTCTCTTACCAGTATTTGATGTATTAAAGATCATAAAGTTAAATTTTATATATTTATCTAGTTTATTTAATGAGTTATTAGAATTTTGATGATAACTTTCAACCAAAGTTTATTTTTGATATCACTAATGCAGTTACTTCAAAAATTATAATCAACATGCGCCTTTTTCAAATGTTTGTCACTTTCTCATAAAATTTTCATTTAAAATCACTTTCCCTTGTGTCATTCTTTGCTACGAAAACTTTCATTTCATTCAACTTATTCTTATCATTCACTTTTCCAACAAATTCTTTTATTATTCATTTTAAAGACCACTTTATTTGAAAATATTATCGATGAGAGCGAAAAATTCGTGTCTTAATTAGCTTTGAACCGACTCGAGTGAAATTTTCTCAGATTGTTCCATTGGTGGCCGAAAGATAATTTTTTGCAAGGGTTTACACCATCAAACTCTTCAATATTTTATTACCGACGCCAATGATTACATGCGCAAATATGGACGAAATGCCATAGAAAAAGGAAGAGCAACTAACACTACTACAACTCACACACACACTACGATATTGACAAGAAAAGCTTTTCGGGAAAAAAAAATTCTTTTCATGAAATGAAAACATTACACAAGTATCATGACTGAAGCCAAACACATTATCAAATGCAATGTAGAAAGTATAAAAAGTTTAGCACCTTTTTCCTGTAGCATGAATGAAAAACATAATTCTTCCTTCTTTTTTGCTGCTGCCACGAATGTTGATACTTTATAGATGTTCAACTCAGTTTTGAAAATTTAATCTTCGACTTGCAGACAGTAAAAATTCCTTAAGGAGCAATTCGAATTAAGATCATTTTTTCTCGTTCCTCATATTATCGATCAAAGTGGGTGAAAATAAAATATTTCTAATGATTTAAACCAAAAGGTGTCTATTGGGATTTTCCATGCCAGAGAATGTTCACTTCGACTGTTTGGTAATAAATTATTTTACTAACAAGCATTGTTTATCGTTTCTGGTCTTTCTCTGCTTGTGGCTAACAAATTAAATTGCTTTGCAATGTTCATATCATTCCCGAAACATTCCGAGATATTTATTTTAAGTTGTTCAATTAATGTGTCGATTGTTGAGAGGTTGAACCCCTTTTTACATCGACTCAACTACACATCTAGATATGTTACAACGAGCTTTAACTTATTGAATAATTGCGCTCTAGAAAAGAGAATCTTCTTTTGGTGCCAGAATGATCAATAGATGCTTGTCACGAAAATATGAAGTTAAAGTGTCACACTGTCATGTTGCTGTTCCTTTATTTTTATATATCAAAATTTTTTACTTCACTTATAGCAATCATTTATATTTTCTAATTTCTTAGTAAAGCTCTGACACTTCTCTAAATTTTAGCTATCTATATGACTATCGTTAGAAACATTACAGTTATGTTTGTCGTCTACACTTCACTGCTGTCTGGTTTGGGAGTAACAACATCACAATTGAATGATTGCCCTAAGTGCTCAGCTTAATTTAATTTAAGGTAATCTTTACGTTCACTTTTTACAGTCGGTGAATGTCTCATTCACAAAAATCTTTCTGAAAGCAAAGTCACATTTTTGTTGTAACTTTATCGAATTAGCATTAAAATGTTTAAGTTTATATCATTAATAGTGATTTCATTAACAATATCTCAGATTGTAGTTTGCACAAAGTTCGACCCAGTTATTCGTGTTCAAAATACTTCAAATGGAAATTTGCAGGAAGATTTAAATGAATTTTTGAACCTCGTTCCTGTTGACGATATCAGAAATCTAACAGAATTCTTCTATGCCAACGATGGAGAAATGAGACAATCGTACGATTATTTGAGAGATGAAGGATTTAAGCTTGTGGTCGAAAATATCTCTAAGCTGAGTTTAGTGAAAAAGTTTATAACCTTTCTTAATGACTCGGGTGTTGATTTTGCTGAATCGAAGAAGAGAATTGAAAAAATTGTGCTGACGAGCGAGGAGGCGAAATCTATTGTTGGTAATTGGTTTGAGCTTTATTGTTTTAGTGGTGGCTGTTGAAGTTGCCAATTTACTTACGTTCTCATATTCCCGTAATTAGTCAACGATGAAACCGAAGGAAATATGGGTGGAATGAATGCATTCTTCTCGGAAGCACTTTCCCTCATACCACAAGATGAAGTCTTGTCACTCTTGTTTGTAAAGATGGAAGAAAGCAATTCTTTCTCTTCGTTTCTGGAGAAACTCAATGCTAGTGACTATGAGAATATCACAGACAATTTAAAGGTAGCTAATACTATAAGTTAATGTTACAAAGAAGAGGATTATAAGAAAATCTTTTCACAGAAATCTCAGGGAATTCAGGAAATTTACTTCGCTTTTCATGCACATGGAATTGACATCATGGAATGGGCAAAATCACTACGAAGCTTCTTTGGCTATTAGCTAATAACATCTTTTCAATTTGTATTTATAAAAATAAATGTTTGTATGTGACATAAAATTAAAATTGATCAACCTAAGCTGAGCCGACATTTCATCTTCAAAAAATGATATGAGAAAGAAATTCACATTTAAATTGATGACAGTTCAATCAGAAATCAAAAGGAAATTTCAAGGATACGGAAACGAAATCTGGAGCATTATTTGTACAACCTTTTGGCAGTTTTGCCGCCTTCCTTGCTGCCCATCACATATACTAATTTTTAAGATGTAATTTCAGAGAATAGAAGAGAATCGTTCAATTGTGATATGATTCGTCCCTTTTTTTCTGATTGACAACGGTCTCGTGCTTGGGTCCATGAAATGTAAATAAATTTCCCAATATTTGAATGACAACAACAAAAAAAATAATGTAAATGAATTTCGGTAGCGGAAATGTTTGGAAATGTAGGGGAAAATTCTCAACTTCGAAAATTTAGTGAAGATTTTCCTTCTGCATAAAGTGCTGACAGCTCAAAACATCCGTTCATGAAATGCTTCAGTAAATTTTTTTTTATTTCGTTCTTCTGTTATTGTCGAGTCTATTTAAAAGTAAAAAGCGAGATGGTAAAGGGAAAAAAATACAAAAATAATATTCGGCGATGAAAGTGGATTATTTTCAAATTTTACAATATCACAATATTTTATCTCTCTTCAAGCGCAAACAGCAACAACAAAAACCGTTTATAAATCTTTTGAAATTGCTTTTTGCAACGCGGCTTCCTTTTTTCTTTCTCGTCTTAGAAACAACTATAACTCTACATCACGATTTTTGCCGTTTTATTACCATCAACTTAACCCGGGCCGAGAACTTTCTGTTTTCCCCGTTCATATTCTCGCGCTTGTTAATCTATTTGTTTCAATAATAAATTAAAAGTTATTGCTTAAGACCTTGTACATTTAATTAAAGTATTAAACATCGAAGCCTTGTTGCTCCATGCCCCGCCGAAATCTTGAGCTAAGATAAACAATGAAAGGAGAAATTTTATTAGATTTCAGCAACAAGAAATTTATATCGTTAATTAAATCCATGTTTCACTTTATGCTATAAATTTATTCACACGAAAATTAAAGATATTCATCGTTCGCGATCTCGTCTCTCCCCTTTTATTATTCTCCTGTAATTAATGTTTGAGTTTAGATGCTAATGCTTTTCTGAATTTAAGGGACATTTATTTACAATTTTATCGCGATATGCAAAAGTGTTAAGACCGGCGGAAAACATAAAACATTTCGCTTGTTTATCAGCAGAGCTCAAACATCAATTTTTAAACCCGTAAGTGTGTCTACCTCTTACTCGCTCCCTTAGCTAAACAACATTGAAAGCATATTTTGTTTCCTTTTTGACACCATCGTTAGTAGAAAGCTTTGAGATGAATCGTTCGTGACACGTGTTTGATATAATTATGTGAATCATTGTTACATTTAGTAGAGAAGGAAATAAGAAAAACTTGCCGTTCACCTGGTGAAACTTAACTGAGATCAGGTATGCATCATCAATATCCGTTTGTTATGCTCTTGTCGTTCTTTTTATTGTCATCGAAAATAAAACCGTAAAGAAATGAGAATTCCAAATGATACCAAAAAAAAGAAAATAAGAATGAACGATTCTGCGAAACATGAGACTCCGAATCATATCACCTGGCTTTGTGTTCACGTTGTTGCCTTTTGGGAACCTGAAACTTAAATTGAATTCTTTGTGCTTTTGGGACTCCATTTCACTCCTAATAAAAAAGAATAAAAACTTTTTCCATCAAGTTAATTTATTCAGAGATATTTTTGAAAGAAAGATGGAAGTAGGAGAAGGAAAAATGGGAAAAATTGTGCAAACATTTTCAATAAAAATATCATATAACACGATGATGTGAACACGCAGAACAACAAATTACGTCGTGTAGATTGAGTGTATGTAAAATAAGATGAAAGTTTATTGAGAACCTTTCTTTCCTTTCAACTATGCCCCAAAAAAAAACCTTACATTAAAATAAAATACAAAAATATACACAATAAGATTGTATTTTGAGTGATTCAAGATATCAGATTTATAGGATCAAATTAATATTGTTGATGCAAACTTTCCAACAATTAAAGCTCAACATCATAAAAACCTTTCAAATATGTTTCTATTCAAAACTTTATACATGAGTCTTGATAATATTCTCCTAGTTTTGCTACATGACTAGGTAGGTAAACCTTTTGTCTTCAAAACAAACATCGAGAATAGTTTAAGAATAAAAAAGAAAATTGTTGTTAGCTTTGAAATCAATACCTAAAATATAAAAGTTAAACAATGAATCTTGCAAGTTATCTAAAATCCATTACATTGATTTACATTTTTCATTCTCAATTTGTATGCATTGCAATCGTATGTCGTTGTTTATTATTCTTGAAAACTTTAAATGGATTCACAAGCGGAACTGATTCGCTGTCGTGAATCGTTTGAGGGAGAGATTTATTTTTAGTTTCCGGCAAGAAGAAGCTGGCTAATCCACCAAAAATCAACAAGATGCCCATAATAATTAATGGCATAACAATCATTTCACTCCCCATGTAGTTCACTATCGGTATCAGCGTTGGTCCAATCATTGCTGTAAACATCATAGAAAAGGGAAAATACATGTTTCGACTTTATTTATTGCCTGCACAGTTTGCTATCATTTGAATAAAATATGCTTCCCAATGAAGCCATTCAGTAGAATTCTATTTTATTCTTCTTCGTATTCATCATTAGAAGTTGGCATGTTGCTGGGAGCATAGAAAAGAATATTTACCTACAACTTGACTAAAACTCATTCCTAATCCCCTCACAACAGTAGGATAAAGTTCTGAGGCCATTAATGGTAAAACTACAAACGCGGACGATATTCCCATCTTTCCAATGCAGTACAGAATCAATGTTGTTGTTTGGTCTAAGCAAAGACATTTCGTGCGATGCCCAACCGAAGAATAGAAGGGAAATTTTACACATATAAAAGTTTTATGTCTTGTTGAAGTTAAAAAATATAAGAAATAAGAAATAAAGGAAATTTATTGCCATGATACTCACCATGCTGAGCAAGAAATGTCGCCAAGCAAGCGGCACCACCAATAATCATTGAAATACATAAAATCCAACGTCTTCCGAAATAACTGAGGCTTGGCCACAAGAAAATATATGTTGGTAACTCACATGCACCAGCAAGAAAGAAGTTGAAAATTTCATCTCCACCTACGACCAAACCACAAATAAAGTTTGAAGAAAGAAACATGAATTAAAGTGACTTCAACTGTTCTCTGTCTGTTTCCTTCCGGGTACAGCAAATTTAACGGCAGCAGACATAAAGTGGAGAACGACAGGAAAGTCATTAAATGTCTTACCTAGTGAAGGCGCATAATAACTTAATCCAACGTACACTGATGTGATGCAGAACCAAATGAATGTTATTATGATGGTTTTTCTTGTCATGTTGTTGGTCGCGAATAAATCAAAAATACCATAATTTCTCCTTTCTGTCGATTCTAAGTTTTGCATATTCTCATAAGCCAATGATTGTTCTTTTAGCAACACCTCGTAATTTTGTGGTAAGGTCTTTCCATTAAAACTAATTACGGTTGAAAATTTTGCAGAGTCAACTCATTGAAATGTGAACTTTTAAATTAATTATCCAAAAATTTCTCCCCCTTTCAAACTATAAAGGGAGAAAGTGTTGGAAAATATTTGTGAGAAATCTACATAAACTTTACCGTGCAATAGTTTTCATAATTTCGGAAGCTCTCTCAAATTTATGTGTTGCTATCAGCCATCGAGGACTTTCAGGTAGTGAGAAATAAAAAAGAAATAAGACAATTAAAGGCAATGAAACAGCGAGAGATAGTTGTCGCCATTCTCTGAACATGTAAACAACACCAGCAAGCGAAGTGAGTCCAATGCTGTAAGCGATGTTCGAAACAATTGTACAAAAAACACGACGATCTGGTCCAACCATTTCGATTGCAAGAACATATGGACTTGCTAGAATTGCAGGCACAGTTAATCCCACGATAAACCGAAGTGCCATCCATGAACTGAAGTTCCAAGCGAAGGCACTGATTGCACATGCTGTGATCTCCAACAATAAATAAATGTAGAATGATGGTTTTCGACCGTAATAATCTTGCAGATATCCAAAAATATAATTGCCTATTAATCCGCTAATGCCAAAAATAACTAATGCCATCGTTGCATAATAATCCTTTTCACACACGAGATTCCACTGAGGGGAAAGATTCATTTCATCCAAAAACATTAATATCACAAATAATTCGAGCATATCATTTTCAAAATTAATTTCATACTTCACTGATGACAGTTGCTGGGAAAATAGTTTTGTCGTAGTTCCAGCCATGTTGGCAATTTATTATTTCATAACTTTTACTCTCGTCGAGCAAATGTTTGTGATTGATTAAAATTTCATCGGGAGTTTTGTTGAGCCATAATCGTGACAAGTCTGAATAGTTTCGATTGTACATTTTACACCCACAATACTTCTCAACCCCATCATTACGCTCCAATGGAATGCTGGAAATGTTTTTTGTGTCACACTGGCATTGTTAAAGTTCTTCCGTGGTAATTAGCAAAATTTTCCAAAATTCATTTTGTCGCTTACCTTAAATTTTTCAAAATATCTTGGTAATGATCCATCCACGGTTCAAATTCAGGGATTTTGCAAAAGTGGTCGGGCTTTGCGGCTATGAAAATTTGTGAATATGCCTGTTCGAAAACGAGATAGAAAATTGGCTTCTAATTCATGTCTCAACATTTCAACTTTAGAAATTATTTAAATTTGCAACAATTACATGAAAAGCACATGGAAGCATTGCGGGGAGAAGAATGAAGCAAATCACCACTTTCTGATATAAACCAAACGATCCAACATCGTTCAAATGAGAATCAAAATCCATTTTCAACCAAAGTTTTCGTCTCGACAATTCCAACCACAAGCGCTGCGTTCAGCAACAGAATTAAAACTAATAGATTTGATTGGCATCCAACAGACTCCCAAGAGAGACGCTCATTTATTTCATTTGTATCGTTAATTATTTAATTTAGTTTAATGATGAAAATTTATGATTTGTTTTGTGCAATTGATATTTTTCAAAACAAAACTTTCCTTTATTTGGAAGTTGTCATGTCACATATTTAGTCATTAATGTCTGTCAAGAACATGATTTATTTGAAATACTTTTCACTTACAAATCAGACCTTTTTAAAGGAAAGTTTTCTTAGAAGAAATGAAACTAACAATTAATTAACACTTTTCGGAGTTTTATTAATTCTCAAAAGTTTAAAGTATCGGTCAATGTTCATAGTTGTTATTTCACAAACTATGTGGCACATAGTTCAAATGCTTCATTCTTCAACAGCATAAGTAATTAAAATTTTAAAAAATATTCGTCGGATGAAAAAATTTAAAAAATTATTCACTCAAATTTATTCGCTATTTAAAAGTAATTATTTAATTTTATTTATCTGCCATTTAAATGTTCATGCTATGGATTTGATGATTAGTCTTGTGATTGTTGCGATGGAGATTTCTCAACCTCTGAAATTGTTTATATTTCTTGGATTTTTCATCCTTCTTGGATTCTCTTATGCTAAACGAATTAAAACAGTCTCTTCAATCGTTTGTTCAGGATCAAATAAAACTTGGGTGTTGTCGGAATGTTATGTTAAACCGGTCTCTAAGCATCAATCAGGATTCAACATTGTTCTGGACATGAACAAAAAAGTCGATAAAATTATGGTTAAGAATATTATTTTGATGAAATCATAAAATGCAGTAGGTAATCTTTAATTTAAAAAATTTCAGGTTTATTATGATTTCTGCGTTAAATTAGGAAAAGGTTTTCGAACAATTGTGAAAGGTGATAACGTAGAAATTTGTAGGTTCTTTAATGGAACTAATGTTGGTCTGATGAAGTATGCAATGAGTATGTTAGAAAATTTTCCGGCAAAAGCACTAGCACCATGTCCAAAAGAAGTAATTATGTGTTATTATTGTGAAAAACATGCAACAAACAGTATTTAATATTTACAAGGGTCATCTTGAATTTTTGAACATCACGATTGGTAAACCAGGTGATAAGAAAATGGCTCCCACAACTAATTACAGTCTTTTCTTGCGATTGCATAATGAAAATGATGATAATTTGGGTTCGATCAAACTTTTCATTGATGTTTTGAGTGTTAGGGATTAAAATGCTATAAAATAAAATATATTTTTGCATTAAATCTAGTTTTTATATCTTTTATTTATGATATCCATTTTTTTTTCTCAATCAAAACAACAGTCAACTGTATTTAAATATTATGAATTTTGAACAAGAAATTAGCTGAATGATCTTATGCTCTACGAAATTTGAAACGAAAGCTTTTAAACCTTCGTGTTTTAAACTATTTGGAGCCTTCAGAAGTATATAATTTTCTTGTATTAAAGAGTTAGAATTTTCACTTCAATAACTTGTTCATCATCAAATAGATAATAAACATTAAATAACAATCAGGATTCAAAATTGTTATGGATTTCAACCAGGGGTCATGAGCCATGACCAGATTGTAGTTATGTTGTCTTCCTTTTGGGTAATTTACAATATGCTTTAATTATAATATTTGATTCTTTTTAAACCTTTAAAGAAGGTACTTACAATTTAAAATTGCATTGGAGCGTATAAATTCCTGAGTCATTACTGATGATTGTTTTTAAACATTTTATAATTTTACGAATAATGAAACAAAATTAGTTTTAACAACAAAAGTAGATAAGTTGTACTTTGAGTCTGGACTTTCAGTTCATATGCGAATAATTGAAGATGAAGGTTTTTAAAACTCTGACATTATCCATGATTCTTGGAGCTTTAGGAATTCTCCATTTGTCTTGGGCTAAACGAGTTATTTCCTTCACTTCAGTAACTTGTTCAGGTTCAAATAAGAGTATGATGATTTTAGAATGTTCCGTAAAGCCAGTTGCAGAAGAACAGAATGGACTCAATATTGTCATGGATTTTTTTAAGAAAATTGAATCATTTGTGGTAAGCAGTTTCCTTGTCTATGTTATGATGCAATTAAATCCTTCAATTGTTTTAGCTGACTTACAATTTCAGTATAAAAATAAGAAAAGGTTTTCGATCTCTAGTAAATGGTGATAAACTGGACGTTTGCAAATTTTTAAACGGAACTAAAACTAAAAGTAACGTGATGAATTATGTCATGGATATGGTCAAACATACTTTTCCAGAAAGATCACTCCGACCATGTCCAATAATTGTAATTGATTTTCAATGATAAACTAGAAAGCATTTGAAATTTATTGATATTAAATTTCAGGGTCGTCATGATTTGGTGAACATTACTGCTGGAAGACCAGGCTCAACAGCGACTGTTTTCCCAGAATCATCTTATCGTGTTACAATGAAATATTCCAGCAAAGAAGATGATAATATTATTTCAATCTTATTATATGTTGTTGCCAAAGATATTAAAGATTAGGTTACTAAAATCTCATTTGCATTTATACTTCCAAAAACGATGTAACTTGGGTTGTCGATATGCAAGCAGACTTGGACAAGAAACGTCTTGCGCTACTTTGGAGGAATCTAGGTTCCACCAGCGCAAGAAGTTTTGGTGGACGTGATACTTCCACCAGCGCAAAAAAAAAGGAGGAAGTGATACTTCCACGTAGCGTCGGCAAAATAAACCCAAGTAATCGACTCGATGAGCATTCGTAGCAAATTTATTTTCACACATCATAATTGAAATAATGGTTTTAATCTTTAACGAAAATGCTCATACTTAATTTATAAGCTTCTCTGGTAGCTTTAGAATTGAGAGTAGCATCGTTTAGTTTTCTGGAGGAAAATTTCAATATGAAGGGGGGCGCGCTTAAGGGCACCTCAATTGCTATACATGATTCATGAGATTTTTGGCTTTAATTTGATAATACTCTAGATGGGGTGGAAAGTGCTTATTTAAGCAGAAAATAAACAAAAGTCATGATTTATGTCGAAAATTTTAATTAAACAACAACATAAATTTGATTACGTAGCATTCAAACGCGATCTAAAGGGAAAACTCTCAATCTCTGATAAGTGAAATACTTTGAAATTTATCAAGTGTTTAAATGTTTTTTCAGCTCTCGCTCGAATTGAATGTGAAACGAAGATGAATTGGGGGAGAAACGAAATGAATTCAAAAGAAATAAATCCTCTTTTTTTTGGATCCCAACACGTTAATGTGTTTCGATTGAAAGATAGCACATGTACATGAAGAAGAGAACATGATGTAGCCTCGAATATATTAGCTATATATATTTTAATTTAACCCATTTAGGCATGGTCCGAGCACTAAGCAAGGGTTGATAAGAAGGGAAAAACTTCACCTTAAACCCAATTACCGACCCTTTGCTTAATATGAAACGAAGGAGTGAAGTCCGTAACGCGAAATGTTCAACATCGTTGTTTTAAGAGCATACATTAAGAAAATTTTCTTTTTATGTGAATGGGGGATTAATGTTTGTCGGTTATGTATGCTTAGCTCCCTTTGATTTCAATCCCTTGAAATTAATATTTATGACACTATAAACGCAACATAATAGAATTAATTCAATATGCTTTTCAAGATAAAGGGCGAGAAAGTTCATTTTTACATAGTTCCACATATTATGATTATTAACAATCCCTAAGAGAATCTTTGTGGACATTTTTCCTATGTCTGTGAGTTTATTTTTCTCTTTCTTTGTCATTTAACATAACATTTCTTATTAAATTTGTTATAAATGGTGAATTAAGCACAAATGGACCAGCAATGTAAGAAGACAGCGGCAAATGAATAATGTCAATCTGGAAAATGCATTTCCTTATCATTCATAGTCTATGAAGATATATTTGTGTTCATTTTGTCAGACATAGATGTTCAGTTTATGAAGGAAGAGGATGTAAGGAGAGGCATATGAATAATAATCTGGCAGAGATATACATGCATATGCGTATCTTTAAATTTATGAACATTGTAGGGGGATGAAAGCGTAAAAGAGACAAGAAACATTTTTTGAAGAAAAATCTGAAATTTATCGTGCATTTTCAGACACTCAGACACATAAATGACTCTTGAAATGTTGATGGTTTTGTAACAAAAGAAGTCTCTCAGTTAATCAGATAAATTCCAATTTAAATTCTCCGTCTTTGTTTTCTTAGAGACTGTCAATAAGCAACTAAAAAATTATGCACAAAAGCAAATCTAGTTGCGGGAAAATCAAAAGAAAAAGAAGAAAAAAATTAATTGAAAAATAGGAAAACACCTAATTTAATGAAAAATAAACTTAATCATAGAAAGAGAGACGCAAATCTTCAGGGATAGATGGAAATGGAAAATAAACAAAATCTGTTCAAAAAGCGAAAAGAAGGAAAATTGAAAATCGCAATGCACACAGAGAGTATTTAGGGTCACTCCCTTCCTGTGCTGTGCTCAATGACTTGGAGGAGAGAAACGGAATAAAGAAAGAAAAAACTTCGACAAAAAGGAAAGTAAATAAAAGTACAAAATAAATAAATTGTAGATGAAGTTACGGGGAGGATAAATTTCATTGATTTTTTTAATACGAGAAAGAAACTAAGTAACTAGTCCTAATGCTCGTATTTAAGATAAGTTTCTTTGAAGATTTCTCTTTTGAAACTGTTGTATGCAATGAAGGATAACAAACATATCCAAATTATAGAATGCTTCAATGATGAAATTATTTCTAAGGTATTAGAAGAAAATAAAAGAAAAAAATCAAATAAAATCTTACAAAGATTGCAGCGATAAACGACAAAATTGTAATAAACATTTTCATTGTGCAATGAAGCTGACAACAGCGACAAGCACGTGTGAGCTTTCTCTTTGAACCCGAAAGGAAAAAAATATAAATTGTTGTTTGTAGAAATAAGCAAATAGATTTGATAAACCTCCCACTCAACAAAAACCTTCTTTGACATAAGAAAATCAACAGGAAGACTACGTTTCCTTCATTCCGGTTGTCGATGTTATGGGAATCGAAGACATTGAAAGGGCATGTTTGTCATATGATACAAAACACTTTTGAACAAACACAAAATCCCAACGACGCACGATTATTGTGGGATGAAAATTTTATCTTCAACTTGAAAGAGAAATGAAAACTTAAATCGAAAAATTCTCTTGTGATGTTTCGTTTCATTTCAATCAATACAATTTGACGTTTGAATGTTGTCAGATTTTCCATGTCACACATCATTTGCTTTTATGAAACTCAAGTTTTAATGCATCAAAGTTATCAACCAACCAACAAACCACCCACGCATGCATGTTGATTTTATCTTTTCAACAAAATTATGAAAATTGTCATCAGTTTTATTCATTTGTAAATATTGAATCTTTGATTATTTTTAATTGACAGCACTCATTAAAAATTCAAATTTTTCAAATCTGATAACTCACATCAGCATGCACGAATAAATAAGAAATTTTGTTTTGAAAACATTGGAATTTAATGCACTTTTAATGACAAGGTTGAAAGCTGAAATTACTCTTCACATCGAAACTGAGTTAAATAAAATAAAAATCAACAAAGTGCTGAAAAATTCAAGTTTCATTTGAAATTTAAATGAAAGCAGATTTTCATGATGTAAAAATGAAAATTTGTCGATAAAAAAGTGCTTTTCGTGTCAGGTAAAAGCTCTCTTACACAAGAAACTCATTTGGCTTAAAATTTTATAGCGCAACGTTGTTGAGATTACTTGGAGAGTCATAAAGCTTTTAAACCCTGTTTCTATATAAATGGTGAGGCTCCTGATATAAAAAACCTACTACCAGAAACAACAGTTAAAAGCCTTTTTTTATTTTATTTAAAAGCGATGCGAAGGTAACAATTATCATTCAAATGTAAGTCAGTTGTACGATCAAATAGAACAATAAACATTTTTTCCTGCTTGATTTCTCTGCTGCTGACATTATTTGGCATGCAATAAAGCTTTTTTCTCTTTCAATTGTAATAAAACTTTACGTGACGTTAATTTGCGAGAATGTTTTCCTCGCTTTTTTCAGCACGATTTACTACAAAAGTACAATGCAATGAAATTGATGCCTTTTATTATTATTGGTTACCATTCGGTCATGCCACACATTCTCTCTGTTATTTACATCGACATTTCATGCTTGAAATAAATTTTTAATCGACTTCAAGAGCTTAAAATGTTCTTACTTTTCTCTCTACCGTAATTCACATAAGCGTGCAGGGTGGCTATGATAAAAGTATTTAAGTTCCTTGTTGAAATATTTTATTTCTATTCTAAGGATGTACGAAGGAAAACAAAATTATTAATTGCTTTTATATTATTCATGACAAGGAAATGGTGGATAAATAAGACAGCAATCATAGATATCGAGTTTAACATTCACTTAAATATTTCGTTATCAACCCTGATGTCAAACACTTTTTATGTTTCTGTTCGAAACTGAAATTGAAATCAATAAATTGCTTAAAACCTGGAAAACAACCTTTTAATAATTTATTTTCGATTACAGACTTTTATTTGTTTGCTTTTTTTTATCGTTAATGATCATTTTCTTGGCTCTTCATTACTTTGGCTTACAAATTGGCAAAATAATAAATAATAAATGATGATAACGGATATTTTTAACTCCTTCCTTTTGTTTCCTTCGACTAACGTAAATCTAAGGCTAAATCCTTAATTGATACTCATTAAATATTAATCATTACGTGACTAAACAGGCTTCTTTTTTGGGTCGAATAGAATGAAATTAGAATGTCATGAGCTGAAGTGATACATCAGTGAATGTAATGGACGATGGGTAGATACAGTAAATATCGATCGCTGCAATCACATAACATATATACAGAAGCTTGTTTTCATCATTCACGACATCACAAAAGATCTCTTATCTCTTTATTTTACTTCCAATTAAATGTGTAGAATTGTTGGGAAGTTTCCATCATAACAATTGATTATGAATTGTGATGATGTTTATGTCGTTTATCAAAAAGCCATAAAACCACGTTGGTGATAAGAAAAATTCTTTTTATAAATTTGACAAGTTTTGGCTTTTCAGTCTCTCGCGAGTTTCGCTATCGTCAAATTCAATAAACTTGCAGTGAAGCCCGAAAATAAATTTTCGTTACCACATTATCAAGCCACAATGTGTGTATGAAACATTTCCGAATAACGTTGCCAGTCTGACGGCGCGAGAGAATACGAAATGAATGAAAGAAACAACAAAACTACCATAAAAGCAAATTTGTCGAGCTGTTTGGCATCCATTCGGTTATGTTCTGTTCACAATTTCTGATTTTAAAATCAATTTCATCGTAAATTTTTCGGTAGTGTGAATCGAAAATATACTTTTGTGATAGGAAAAGTTTTTTTTCCGGTAAGCCTTTCGGGGGTAAGTGAAAACTCATTCGATATAACTCCCATTCATGAAAATTTATTGCTGATTTGTTTTAACTTTTTCATTTCTCAAATTAGAGCCGAGAATTGAGGAATGAAATTTTATTTTATTTTATTTTGCAATTGAATTCGTTTTCTCTTTCTCATTTCAGATATTTAGAAAGTTTCTTGTGAGCGAACCCAACATTATTATCTGAGCAGATATATTTGTTGTACATGTGAATGTGTTTCTAGTGTGAAGTGAAGTAGAAGGGAAAAGACAAGAAATGGAACGAGATGAGAAGCAACAACATGATAATGACGAGCCATTGTTCATCCGAGAGGCTGTTGTTAAAGAATTGTTGAGTTGGAATGATTGTGTTGATGCACTGGAATCGGCATTGGTTGCGGCCACAAATAGTAACAAAAGTGCTGATAAGCCTTTTTCCTCTCAAACTCCGAGAACCTTTACACCAGTGCCGGGTAAAGGAGTTCTCTTATCTATGCCAGGGTTTATAGGAAATTACCCATTGCAGACGGTAACTGGCAATGAGAGACATTCAACTCTTGCATGTAAACTTGTAACATCGTTCAGTGGAAATTCTAAATTAAATCCACCATTGCCAAGTATTCTTGCAACAATTCTCATGTTTAATGCGGACACAGGAAGATTGAAAGCAATTGTCGATGGTACGGAAATAACAGCTTGGCGTACTGCTGCTGTCAGTTTAGTAGCTACAAAACATCTCTATTATTCCAGCAGACGATTCAATTCATCTAATGACTATACACTGGCAATTTGTGGAACTGGAGCTCAAGTAATTTATTAAATGTAAAATTATGCAATTTAACTTAAATGACGTTAATTTGTCATCATTTCGAATCATTTATTTAGGGTCGAATACATGCTATTGGTATGTTGACTTACTTTCCAAACTTCTTCTCAAAACTCAATTTATGGAATAGAACGAAGAGTCGGGCCGTTAAATTAAGAGACGAATTGAACAAGCTGTTTCCGGGACTGACGATTGCCGTCCTTGATAATTCAACTGATTGCGTTAACGATGCTGACGTCATTGTGACAGCGACAAACTCGAGCACTCCGCTCTTTGGAAAAAATGATTTAAGGAAAAGCTCAGTTCATATAAACGGTAATGACAAATGACAATCGGAGATACAACAAGCGGTCCTTTTGAATTTGTAATAATAGCTGTGTTATTTGATTTGCTTAGCAATTGGAGCTGGAACCAATCATCATTCGGAATTGGCGCTTGACATTTATCAATCTGGATCTGTGTTTATTGAGAGTAACTTAGGCATTCAAACAGAACTGAAAGGTATTGAAGCGTACGTGAAAGGTGAAATCGGGGAGGTTATAAAAGATGAACAGAGACGCGACAATAGCGAGAAGATATCCGTGTTCCAATCAATGGGCAATGCCCTCGAAGATGGCGTAATGGCAAATTTAATTTATCAAAAGTTTATCAGATTATAAATTTATATCCAAGCAATGTAACGAATAAAAAATATTGTGAGCAATAAAATCCTTCGAGATAATTCAATTTTATGATTTGCTTTTTTGACATTGCCATTTCTTCTCCAATTGCTACGTGTGCTTCATACACATGACCCACTCACATTTCCCAAACCATTTTTACCTTTCTCCGCTTCACGTCAAATGTGAAATGTTTCAGAAAAGTTTTGGGTAATGAATAAAATATACATGAATACACATTGGAGCACAGGTGATGGTGGAAATTATCTCATGAAATAATAACACAAAAGAAAAGCTTTTAGCTACTTGGAGTTGAGAAAAGTCTGTGTTGGTTGTTCTGTCGTTCTGTTATGTGTCAAGTTGTTGACTTTCGACTTGACGTCAACGTTTTATAGCTTTTAATCAGACTTCCAAATGGGAGAAAATAAAAAAGAAAAACAGAATCATGACCCAGGTTTTTAGTTCCGGTTCTAGCATCTGATTTTTTCCCTCAAAAATCATCTCTGTCAACACCTAAAACAATCACGAAAAGGATTTTAAATTAAAATTTATGGCGGCCGAATATCGACCGTAAAAACTTTTGTGTTATGAATTCCCGGCTCGTAAACATTTATAACCTTTAGTGCGCCATAATTTTCCGTTTCATTTTTTTTATCCTTATGCTTTATTTCCACCACATTTCAAAAATAAAAAAAGAAAGTACAAAGTGGGCAAGTTTCACTGCGCTACATGTTTGCCTTGTTCGAAGGGAATGAATGGAACTCTAGTTCCATTTATAAATTATTTTCCGACAATGAAATATTTGATGTCATTATTTAATTTTGATATTACTTTTGCCGTCCATCTCAAGGGGGACGATGAAGAAATATGAGATTTTCCTTCGGTAATATCATCATAAACTGTAACTGTGCTAGGTAGATTTGAAAAGTTTTTCCATTTTCTTTTACTTTTTTTCTTGTTATCAAAGGTTGAAACATAACGATTTTCATTTCCTTATTCCATATAAGTAAGCTGCTCTCTTTCTCCAAGTTCTTATTTCATTTTATTTCATCTCGCTTTTTTTCTTTAGCTGTATTTATCTTAACGAATAGGATTAATGCCATTGTTCAATTGGATTAGAAACCATTCTGTTCGTAATCTTTAAAAGCTGAAAGTCATGTCCCCTTCATTCTTTCTTGATTCATTCAATTGAAGTAAGGAAAGTGTAAAACGCTATTTAATATTTCACATTTAAAATGAACTAAAGTAACACGACGGCGACATAAGTTGTAAAGTATTGATTAAGCAAGAAAGAATTACCTCAATTTAATTTACTCAAACAAAACTCAGCTACGAAATGAAATGAAAGAAAACTTTTTAATCTCCAGATTGCAGTTTCTATTAATAAAATCGAATTAAAAGGAATCTTTCTCTTGATTTTTCTTGAAACAATTTAAACAAGCGTTCGTGAGGAAAACGTCCGCTTGATTCAAGCAATGATTAAAAATATGAAAAGGAAAATTCCACACCAAATCTTTTCGCAATATATTTTTCATCCTCAACAAGAACAGAAATTTGAGCAGTAAAAACTATAAAGCAAATGAACTAATGATGTAGACTCGCTTCGTTGAAAGTGCGGGAGAAAAAAATGTGAACGATTGAAGAGAAATGGTGCACTAAAGGATGAAATACGTGTAAACTATACATGATCGCAATGAAAGACCCATTGAGTATTTCTACCAGCATTGAACTTATGGAACAACAGCAAATTATTGTTTCATGTTTTTCTCCATGTTTCATGATATTTTTTTATGTCAGAACATCATGCACACATTGAAGACGTTTCGTAGCAGCATAAAAAATCTATGTTCAAAGTTAAACTGAATGGGTTCGCAAAATAAATTTGATTTTCTGTTTTTTCTTCTGTTCCGAATTTGAGGGTAACACTTTTTGACTCAGTTTTCACTCGATGCCAATGATGTCTAACACAAAATTTGTTTTATGCTCATGTAGCAAGTTTTAGAATCATTAATCAAGTTTACGAAATGATTTTTTTTCTGTGTGTGTTTGCATTATACTGATTTTAGTCGGATCTATTTCACACTCCCTCGCTTACTCAACATCGTCATCGTACTCGATCATTCATAATGGACACATCAGCCAACCATCGAATACCAAACAAGGGAGACCTGTAATGCGAATGTGAATATCTCTGATGCCGAAGTTAATCGCACAACATCAATCTAATGGAAAATAAATAACATGAAATGTTGTTGGTGTCAATGATATGTCAATTATATTATATTGTTGCACAGTGGAAAGACTGTTAAGACACTTCATGTCCTTGTTCATATGCGAGCAACGAGAATTTAAATTATGTGAATGTCATTCGACTGGAAATCAAAGTCATACATTTTATTATTTGTCAATTTGACAGTCTTGATGTGAAAGTTTCATAATTTTATGAATGTTGATTTAAAATTTGAGACTTTAAATTATATTTGACAAATGCTCGTGACATCTATAGCCCTTAATCAAATGAAAAATTTCCAAAATACTTGAACATAAGTTCTCCATTATTTCTCTAGTTGAGAGCAGTTGTCATATCAACACATTAATGAAAATGTCATTCATAATATTTTATGAAGTTCTTTCTCATCATGCGCCTAGAACTCAAATGATTACAGCAGAAGAATGAATTGTTGTGAAAGTGGATTGTTGATGATAATCATAATAAGAATGATAAATGTTTAATAAATTATTTCAGATGATGATTTGTGTGATTATTCGTGATGCTGTCAAAGTTCTACATTGAAAAAGGTCGAGATAGAATTTGGAGATGTCATAAGAAGCCATTTAAAAGAAAATGTTTATTAAATTTATTTTTCTGATACCTATCGAATCAAAATCAATACAATTCAATCACATGTACTTTACCATCGCAATAAAAATCCACGACGAGTGTCACGGGTTTTCCTTTTCCCACTCTCTCTCTCTCTCCTTTCCACCCTCTTCTTGTCAAATTGTACTAAAATGGTTGATAAGTATAGAAGCACTAAGAGTAAGCAAAATATTATTCTAAAAGAGTGTCAAAAAGTTGTGATTGTTTGTTGGTTTTTTAATGGAGGGGCGAAAACAAAAATTGTTCTTGTGCGACTGCCGCTTATTTGTTTAGAGTAATTTGATTCTCAACAGGGAATGTTTTATATTTTTTTATCATCATTAAGCGAGGCACATTAAACATGTTTTTTACTTATTTTCCTGTTTAAACGCAAATGTTTTGCTTTTACTTTCTTCCCATTCCTCGCATTTCTGAAGATATTTATGGAAAGATTATGGAACTCGAGGGTGAAAATTTTATATTTATTTTCTCGATGGAATTCAACTAATGGAAATTCAATGGCTTTTCTTTTTTTCTCCCCTTTTCTTCTTACGCATGCTGTGTGGATTTGGCAGAGAAAACGTGAAAATTGATTCTTGACAAATTAACCTCGTACAATGACTTTTACTTTCTGGTAAACCAAAAATGAATTTCGATGAGAGTCTCGATTATCAATTACAATTTATTTCTTTTATTCCAACTCCACTTCGATTTCAATTAGCAACACTTTAACAACTTCAGTCTAAAACTTTCATTACTTCAATTTGTGTCTTCTGTTTCAATCTAAGAAGACATTAGAAAATTCAATAAGAGTATTTAATTCAATATAAAAGCGCTCTCGTAACAGAGCAGAAGGCAAATTGTATTAAATTTGATTTTTATTAAAGGCGACTTCCATGCTTAACTGAACTATCCCATCTTTCCTTTACGATATTTGATCTCATTTTATAGTCTACTCATTTTTCCAATCTCTTTACTACGCCCTCAAATTGATTTAGTAAATTAACATAATTGTGTTTGATAGCAGAAAGGAACCACATTAAATGTTGCATATAATTTCATTTTAAGTCTTGTATTTCGCTCATGTATCGTACATCTATAAAAATGTCAATAGCATGGGTAAATAATTGATCTTGAAATCGAACGGGATGGGGCGACTTGAGAAAATGATGATGATGAAAGAGAGAGAGAAATACGATACACAAGAAACATTTGATTTTAATGAATCACGTACTAAATTGTATAGTTTTATATTACTGATTGTTGTATAAGAAAGAATTTTCTTCCTACTTGCTTACTTTACGCATTTGCTTTTTTCTCTCTTCCTTTCTTAGGAGAAAATTTACTTCTTGGATTTGTTTCCCCAGTGAGTAACTTTCAAGGTTTTGTATTAGAAAATCTTATAAATAAATAATAATTTGGATCATTTCAAAACTGTACAGAAGTTCCACAAAATTAGTTTTTAAAGAGCTTATTTAAAATGAAACAGGAAGAAAGTTTATGACTTATAATGAGTCAAATACTAAAAGCTTTAATTTTTCTCTCACATAGAACATCATCATCATGTAGGGTTGTAATTAGTTTCAACGTTTCAAAGACCTTTTCTACTTCAATGTTTACTCTGAAGTCGTTTCTTTGACTTTGCTGCCATGCCCATGCTTATTTCTTATACTTTTCCTCGCAACACAAACAAAAAAGCAGAAGAAATCTCACTTAAAATTCTGAGCTTGTCGCACATATTTAAGGCAAATGCATGACAAGGGATGAGTGAGTTTGAAGAGACAAGCTTAGTTAACGGATATGTGTGTGTATATACATGCTGTAATTTGATATAGAAACATAGCTGATAGCAAAGGAAGGATTTCTTGTTGTGAAAATTAAATTATCTGAAAGGAATTCCAATTTCTTGATAAATTTTGAGAGTATAAAAAGTTTCTTTTAAGACGAAATTTGATAATCAATGGAAAAGAAAAGCTCAAAATATGAAAATGGGACATTTTTGACTTTGTAACAAAGAACCGCAATTTTAAGAAGTTTAAAAGGAAAAACGAGAAATTAAAGAAATCCCCTTAAAAATAATTTTCAATTAAAAGCCAAATGACAAAGGTTACTCTTCAATCTACATAATTTTTCGCTCGCTCATGATTCTAATCTGTTGTTTTCCCGTTCTTCGCGACAATTCCCATTTAACCATATTCAAGGAAAAAAAGGCTACAAAAGAAAGTTTCTTTTTTATCGCAAGCTTGTCATGATGAATCTTGCTGCGAGGCAACAACAGGATGCTTCACATCGTTCCACTTTTTCACCATTATTGCTTTGACGCTTCAATTTCTACGACAAAATGATAATGGAAAAATGTAGAAAAGACATAATTTGAATACAATTTTTCATCTTTCTCTTCTTCTTGTATATACAAATCATCTGCTTACCCTTTTAGCTGGTGATTAAGTGTGAGCGAGTAAAAGAAGAGTGGAAAACATGAAAGAAAACAAATTACATTTTGGTGTTAAAAAGTTTTTCAATATCGCGAATATCAAGAACTAATGAGAGGGAGTTTGATCAAACACCGTAATTTTTTTTTGTATGATTAATGAAGTTGAAAGAGAGTCTTGCGGCACTTTATTTAACGACATTAATAGCGATGCCTATCGCACACGTGTGCCACATGCCGCAATTTAACAACGACAAAGAATCTTAGAGAGTTTAATGAAAAATAATTGAAAATTTATCACATACAAGACGACTTCAATTTGTAGTTTCCGGTGTAATTAAGGAACATTCTACATCCATCCCTAAGTTTCAATACATGTACTTATTGTCGCTTCAAGTGTGTTATCGCAACCGTGAAATTGCAGCAAATTTAATCTGCAGTGAAAGAACAAGAAAAGGGCGAAAACTAATTAAAAACTTTTAAATTCTATGTGAGTAACTAAGATGATTTGCCAGAATTCATTTTTGAACATTGAATTATGTTGCTACATAGATATTTATGTTTCACACTGAGTTTGCATGTTCTTTATTCGCTAAATGAAATGAATTGAAGCAGCTGAATATATAATAATTAAATATATCACATGATACATTAAACATATCACGCTGTGAATTAATTTGAATTTAAAAGGCTAAAAAAGATCAAGAAAAATTCATTTTAAATTTTAAATTGCATATCAAACAAGAAAGATCAAAAGTGAATAAAATGTAATCTTTTAATCATTTTTTTGACAGTTTTCTGACTAAGAAACTTGTTAAAAAGAAAACTCTTTCAATTTGCTGCTGGCAAATACATTTTTGAAAAAGAAAATCTTCAAACGATTTTATTTCCGATTTAAACTTTTTTTCTTCTCCTTTTTGTCACTTTGAACAATTTTCTAACAATTTTATATTTAGAAACATTAAAGGTAAACATTTCAGATTGGAATTTCTATATGTTCGAGATCGTTGAATGGTAAAACAATTTTTTCCTCGTTTCATAAGAGCGACCTGTAGCATATGGGTTAGAAAATATCTTTGCCTCTGATGTTTGCTTTTTCTTCAACTGATTTGTTTTGTTTCAACCAAATAAGGGCTTTCTTTCGACACATGTATGCAAAAAGAGGAACATACAAGGTCGGATGTCAAATTCGTTCTCATTTCCCTTCTTTTCGTATTTTCTTTTTATTCCCTCATCATCAAATTGTTTTATTTATGCAAAAAGTATTCTCATGATTGTCAATGAAACAGCATTTGTCTTCATATATGAAACAGCTTAAAGAAAGAGGAAGTTCACAAAAAGTCATTTCTTTAGACGAACTGAAATATGGTAAAGTTTTCACGAAATAAATCAAATGATTGCTATCTGAACGAGAAAAGTCAGAGAGTGAAAGGAAAACGAGAAAACAAAAAAAAGAAAACTTTTTACGTGTGTGTGCCTTGACTTCTTTCTATCCTTCTATCTTTTCCCAAAGAAAAATAAAAACAAAAGATGATGAAAAATCTGCATTAAAGTGGCATTAAACTTCTCAACGAAGATGAAGACAAGAGAAGGAAATTCAATGGAAATGCTTGTTAAGCTGGTTTTGTGCAAGACATCAAGCTGTTGAAAGGGAGAGAAGAAAACAGTTGAAATGGTGGGAGATACGAGTGAGAGAAGCGAAAGTCATTAATCTAAATAAATAAACCTCTCAAATCACTTAAAATCCTCATAATGAGGAAAGATTCAAGGCTAAAGATGCTCCGATGCTCGATTTCATTACGACAAATGATGCGATGATAAAAATAAAATATAAGAAGAAAAGAAATATAAAAAGTTGAGGGTTGAGTGATGGCATGAGATAGCCAAGAGCTTATGATTAGGATAATTTTAATACTCTTAGAAATAGCATGGAAATGAATTGAAGACGTGTTTAAGATGAGCCTGATGAGAGCAATTTGATCTTATCCTCGGGATAATTTCCACGAACATTAAGATTCAAAATCATTTCAAATATTATGATTGATTGATTTTTAAGAGCCATAATTGAAATGAAATTTTATGAAGTGGAAAACTTTTCAATTCATTTTCTTTTTTTTTTTTTTCTTTTCCTCAAAGATGAAGATGGAATCGACAGTAATTACCCGAGATTATCTCATTTTGTTAGAACGTTAAGAGTGATTATTGTCGCTGTATGGCTCATCAGATGCTGTCAAATTGTTGGCCATAACATTTAATTAAATCCAATTAAAGCAAATTTTAAATGAAAATGGCAGCAATGGTGTTTTATCGACGGAGAATTTAACACTTACTCGTCATCTAGAGACCATATCAACCTGCCAGTGAACTCCACTCATGAGAGTGTAAATAATCGTTTGTCAACAGTTCTCTCCACTTTGCCGACTAGCCAAGTGCTACATATTTCTCTTCATAACGCCTAGAGCATTGGCAGTGAGTGGGAAAATGTGGAATGTGACTGAACAGAAGCAACGTGGGGATGAAAAATTAAAATTTCAATAAATAAACCAGACAAGCACGCACAAAACAACAGCAAATGGCCAACTACAACATTTTAACCCCGCAAATTTAATGCTGCATTTTTTTTGTACACTGAATGATGAATGGAGACTGGGGAGTGAATTCCTTTACATCAGAAGCGAAAATGTGGAAAAATAAAAGAGTTTGAAACTGTTTGCTTTAAAAATAGCACTTGTGCCGGCGGATAAATTTGCGATTTAGTTTATCTCGGTAATTGAACAAACAATGGACTACATGAAAGCTCTTGTTGTGTAAAATAAAAATGCTAACAAATGGATAGTAGAAGAAATGAAATTCAACGACGTTATTTTATGCTGCGTTCAGCAAAAACAACTAGGTACGGTCATAAAAAGTTTATTTAAAGGATAAATAAAACGTTTTACTTCAAAAGTCAACAGTTTTATTTATGCTTAATAGCTCAAGTTTCCTTCAACTCTTTCTTTTCTGCATTTCATTCAATTTCTCGTATGAACAAAACAATGAACAAAAATATTTAATTGCAAAAGATTGAACAAATAATATGAAAGCTTAAAGCAAAGGTTAAAATAATAACAATGTGTTGGCTTATGGAAATCAAATGGCATCCTTGAACGTTAAAGTTGAAGTTGTTATTAATTCAAACACAATGAGTGTTTATTCTCATAAGTTGAAGTTTTACCGGTAAAATGCTTTTTTTTTTCTCTAGTTTGCATGAGAAAAGCATAAAAATGAATGAAAATCTCTAGACGAGGCAACAGAATGTAAACGAAAAGTCACTTTTGATAGACTTTGATTTAGGGTTGATGTGTAGTGTTGTTGAAGGAAAAAGCGAAAAAAAATCCCGCATGCATTATGACTTACAGCTTTTGACATAAATACTGAGTGAAAGTTCATAAAATTTTTCCACGCTCCTCGTCGCTCTTGTAAAGTTGCGAGACATGCGAGGGAAATTTTGTTCACTGTTCATTTTTTTTAGTTTGGCATGAGATTTCAAGAAAGATTTCATAACTTTGTTAGAATTCTGTTTTCCTCCCTTCACATAAATATCAGAAGAGATGAAAATATTGCCAAAGCATTTACATAAAACGTTTAATCCAACAGATTTTAAAACCATCAGCTCCCTCAATTTATGTTAAAAGCCTTGTAATTGTATTAAGTCAAGATTAATTACTGTTAAAACTTGCACTCGTGATTTTATCTCATGACGACTGTTGCGAACCGACTGTAATTCGGCTACAAGTGGAAGGAGTGCAACGATGTTGTAACATAAATGAGCAAGCAAAATAAATGTTGACATAAAAATTTCTTCGTCATAAGTTTTTCTGTTGCTGTTTTTTCTCTTGCTTCTTTACTTTGTTACTATAATTGTTATGTTGAATTTTTGCGCAACTATAGGAAAGAAAAATGATGATGCCATCCTGCACCCTCCCAAGAGTAATTTTATGCTTAAGGAAATGTGAAATATCATAATTCAATTTCAGTGAATTTCAGTTTTGTTGGTAGAATGAAGAAACACTCAATTAATTTCTTTCCATCACAACTGCTACGGCGAAGGTAATTAAAGTCTGGTGAAAATGGTTTACAGTAAGTTAATTCCAAGTAATAAACTATGTTGAAATAAGTACAAGTCATGAAAGCTTAGGATTAATTTTATTAGAGTAAAAAAAATCATAATTATAACGATTTCTAAATTTTTAATTTGATAACTTTACAGCGTCATCTTTACGTCAGTTTCGGAGTGATTATTTTTCATGTATTTGAAAAACTCAAATTTATGTTCAATAAAGCTTAAAAAACCTTCTAGAAAATCTAGCACGAGATAATTTTAAATTCATTAATTTATTTTAAATTTCTTTTGATTTCACACACGTTTGAAAATAGCAAGAAACTTTTCACCGTGATTTCTTTCAACTTTTTGGGCTTCTTCGCTTCTATTTAAGAGTTTATCATAAAGAATGTCAGCCTTTTCCTCTTCAAGTGTTAATCTTTCAAAACTCAAATGATTAGAAAGATGTTGCGTCATCCATTGGTGAAGATCATTGACATCAGTTACGGTATAAAGAAGCCCCTGCAATAAAATCTTAATTTATGAAAAAGGAAACAATCCACAAACATGCGAACTCACTCCTTTTCTTAAAACGTAAGCATATTCACTCAACAGTGATGGATTAATAATTCGCCATTTATGCTTCGATTTCTTAAAATGTGGATCAGGATACAGAAAGAACATTTTGCTTAGTTGTCCTTTATGAAAGTAGTTGGTGAGATATTTCATCGAGTTAGTTCGAACACAAGCAACATTGTTGTATTTTCCAGGATTAAGTGCTCGTAACGCTTCAATTCTATCTTGCACATAGTTTGATACTTTCACACGAATTTCCATTCCAATTGAAATCTTATCTGGAAAAGTTTCTCCTAAACTTATCAAAAATCCTCCATAACCACAACCGAGGTCAGCAAATTCACATTTTCTGTCTCCAATATTAGGATAAAGTTCATTCCAACTTTCATGATTCTCAGCTGTACCATCAATCAGTTCATTTGGATGAGCAGGGCTAAAATTTTATTTTTTTTATTTAACATGTTTCAATGTTTCATGAAAAGTTTTAAATTTTATAGAATCTTACTAGTTGAAGCTGTGATCGGAGATAGGATTACTATGTGCACGTTGTCGATAATACCGCTTTTGCGGTAATCGTACTTCTGACGCTTTCTCAGTATCCATTGAAGAAATTTTCAATTTTCAGTATATTTGCAGCGTGTTGTAAACATAAACAAACTAGGGATAAAGACGATGTTTTTCAAAAGTTTAAACAGATAGGAACAAAGAAAGTGTTTTCACTTACACCAGTGTCATATTTTTATTATTTAAAAATATATTTCTATCTTAATAAATGTCAGCAGCTCTAATAAATACAATTTACTTTATAACATGACCTAGACATGTTGAATGTCAATTTTATACTTGAGATTTGTTAGTTTCTCATGATTCCAATTCTTATGACAGTCGGACTTTGGAAAGCTATCTTAAACACTCTTCTAAATAATGCTTCTTAACTTATTGTATGTTTTCAACGTTAACCACAGATTAAAACTTCTTTTGATTTTAAGTGAAAAAGTAGAAAAGTTAATAAAGTTGCTACTTATTTAGTTAATTAATATAAATTCAAAAGTTTGTTTTAAATAAAAAAAATAATTATTGTCATTCAAAAATGTTAACATTAACTGCACAAAGTGAACAAGTATCGTTAGTCAATGATTTCAATGATCTATCGATTAGGAATGATATTTCTTATGGGGCTCATAAGGTGAGTATGCAAATCATGATGAATTCTCTTTCATTTCACTGTTGATAGACATGTTGCGTGATTCCCAAAATAGAATTAGAACTGGAAATTCAACATTCCGGTGTAATATAAAAAAAAGTTTTACGTTATCAGAAAGTAAACTTTTACCGGTCGATATGGTATCTCCGTTAGAGATTTTTGGATGATATTGCAGTCTTTTTTCACTATTTTTACTATAGCGAAATGATTTTCAGATATTTCCGGTGACTCAATATCTTTGAATTCCCGTAATTTGAAACAGATTTTTACTGTAAATCAGTTGCTTATTTTTTTATTATTTGGGGAGCTGCGAGAAACTTGTTATTTCTTTTTTTACTTTTTCAATAAATTGAGAAGTAGGTCGTAATGTGAGAGTAATAAGAGTTCAATGTGTTAATCCCATTGGCATCGAATAAAAGGGCATTTGTCGATTTCAAGGGAGGCTCTGAATCAAAAATAAATTATATCATCACCGATATTTGTCTATAATTAGCAGTCAGCTCCATTATACTTCCTGAATAACTTATCTTATCATCTCGTTGCAAGATAAAAATTTTGAGTCTTTTATGTACGGCGAAATTCAGTTAATGTGCAAAATAACAACAACAACGATTACTAACTAGTAAACATTCTTCTCATTATTATCGGTGATGTAATGACACAAATATTAACTCACGATATTTACATTCTCTACCGTCACACTTTATTTCTTTGATTTAAGAATTTTAAAATTCTTTTTTTATTACTCAGATTAATTGTTTTTCTACTCTTTCATCAATTATTAATGACTGAAGTGTGACATGGTTCAAGATTCATTATTACATGAATTTATTTGATTGTTTATGAAGAAAAAGAGCATACAATTTTACAATTATCGGTTTTCGGCTTCGTAAGCAACTTCCAAAAATGAAGAATAAAATAATAACCAAACGAGTGGCTAAAGCGCAAAAACACATTCATATTGTGAGTAATATTTTTAGCAGAATGATCTCACAAGGTTTTTAAACTTCACATATGCTGTTAATGTTGTCTTTGCTTCCTTTCTAGTCGTTACGAGCGTCACGTAAACAAGAACAATGAATATTTAAAAAGAAGGGTGAATGTTGTAATTCAAAACTTTGCATAAAAAATGGAACGAAAAAGGCCAGCAGACGAGAATTGGTTTAGACGTATCAGTCTTGTGGTTTTGAAACACTTCAGATAATTTTGACCTTTTCGTATACTGAAATAGAATACATTTCAATGTTTCATTCAATTATCATTCCAAATTCAAGTGTGAAGAAAAGATTAATGGGATCCGAAACCGATTTGGTATTTCTCTTTTATTCTATCGACATTTCACTGTGAAACTTACCCAGACAATTATTTATGAATGTCATTTGAAGAATCAGCAAATGTGAAGAAGACACGATTAGGTCATTTCTTAAAAAAATGAACTCGTCGCAAGTTTATATTTCTTAACTAAAATTAGTTTTCTCTGGAATTCATTCATTTACAGAATGCTGACGAATGTACAATAAGTTACGAAATAATGCCAAGTGTTTATTTCGTTTTTAAAATGATTTTTTTGAAAGATGAAAATGATTTAATTTAAAAATTTCTTTCTTTAATAATTGCTCTTGAGAAATTTATTTCTTTCACTTTTTGCTAGCATTTAAAATTCTCTTGATAGCAAATTGCTTTTTAAAAAAATTATTCTAAAATTTGATCGTATCAAGTGGAGATTTCCTGAAACGAGAGACTGAAAGTCTCCTGATCTTTATTTACATTCACAAAACTTTTTACATTGGAACGAAGAAACTTCTTTGATATGATTTGCGAAGTTCATCATCAGAGTTATCAGTTACACGTCGATTTTCATTCTTGAGCTTTAACTTGTCACGATAATCTTTGAAACTTTGCCTATCCGTACCTTCTCTGTTAAAATAATTCTTTTCTTGTGTCCTTTGCGGCAAATAAGATTTTTTATTGTCATTGACTCTTAATGTTCCGCCTTTTAAAACAGATCGAGCTCGTGTTTGAGGTAAAGGGCTTGCAATTCCAACAGGCTTTCTTTTTGTTTCATAATCTGATGAATTTTTATTTTCATTACGAAGTCCAATTTCGACTCTGATCGGTGCTGGCATTGAAATTGTTGATTTTTTAGTATTCTCATAAATTCGACGGTCTGGCGATTTAATGATACTTGTAATCTGTTGATTGTTTCCGTTTTCATTTCGTTGCGATCTTTTTAATGGTCGGTACCTTTGATTTGATATCAGTGACTGAACAGAAGACTTTCTTGTTCCCATTCCACTGTAATAATCGCGATCTTCGTCCATTTTACACTCAACCCCAACATCACGAGTTGATTTTCTTCCGCTTGTCATAAGATTAAAAATATTCTTCGAACGTTTAACGGTTTCTATACCAGACGGCGATGGACTTTTATCCTTGGATTCTTTGTTTCGACGCCAAAAGCTCATGTCAAAACGTTTTATTAAACTTTCAACTCGTTTAGGCTTGGTTGACTTTGTAAATGTATTTGAATTCAAATTCTCCGATTCTTGACTTAAACTTGAGCGTGATTTTCTTGACTTTCGATATGTGTCAGTATTAATGTATAAAGACTGATCATTGTCACTGTCTGAAAATGGTCAATCGCCAAGAGCGAACAAAATAAAAAATATCAACGAAAAATTGCAAAAATCTTCATAAAAATTCACTCGCTACCTTTCTTTTCGGACCTGTCCCGTGTGTAGGTGGAATAGTTCGATTTGTCATCAAACTTTGTGTCATTGGTTCCAAAGCTTTTCTTTCTTGAGCGGGTGTAAGTGGCGTTATAATCAGGTCGCTCATCTGACGACTCATCTTGATGATGTTTTAAGATAAAAGTATCACTTCTTATAATGTTTGATGGCTTGTCAGATTTCGTGAATGTTTCATTTCTGCTTATTGATGATTTGATTGTTCGAGGCTCCCGAGAAGATTCTCTTGATGTGCGTGGGCGGTACGAAGTGTTTAATTCAACTCGCACAACATTATTATCGTAATCGTTATGAATTCTATTATAAGTGTACATTTTTAAATGCTTAAAATATTTACAAACGACACTTTAAAAGTCTTCTTCACTTTACTTAGATCCAAGCACAGGTTAAACTTAAAAATGATCTTGCGGCAAAGGCAAACAGTCTTAAACTGCGAAAAAGACAGTGAATTTTTCCAACTTCTCTCGCTAACTGCTCATGGACTGCTAATTTTATTTATTTCGATCCAAAACTTACACCTTTGCAGACTCTGTTAATTTATGGTGAATAGAAAGAGAGTTGAAAGAATTCAGAGATGGATTGAAGTGGGAATTAATAATAAATACTTTGCTCATATATTCCTAATATGGAATGAAGTTAAAATCCGATCCTGATCTAAGTCTACGACACTGCAGAAAACTCGATTCGTCTACTTTTGAACGTCATTCATTTTCATTGTTTCAGCATCGACTATTTGTGAGTGAGAAAAAATGTGTCGATGACGTTTATAACTAAAAGTTGAAGGCGTTAAACCTGTAAAAATATGGTTCAGTTATTAGTAAATTTGTGTTTATTGAGTCATCGCTTAATGCAACTGTTGAGGGTGGTTTTAGTGTCTTAAACATTTCAATTCTAACTGTAGACAACTTTCAAGGTGATTGTCATTGAATGTCAAGTCAAGAAATGCAAAGAAACTTTACATTCCATTTATGGTAAAGAAAAAACTAAATAAAAACATAAAATTCAATTTCAAGGCCGTGAAATTCTTTTCATGTTTTGATTTGCAGCTTTCAATAAACTGTTCGTTTCTTTTCTTTCAGAATCTCATAATCAAAGAGGTTGATGAGGGGACCGAATGCGAAAATTGCCTTTCGGAATGTCCAGGCTACAAAACTCACGAATGGAGGTAAGACAACTTTGTTTCGTATTGATTCAATTGAATTCATAATAAAAGATTCAGTAAAACATTTTTATTGACATTTATACAATTGAAAAAATAAAGTTTAGTTTAGCTTTTGAGCTTTAAGCAAGCTTTTTGCTTCTCTCTCGTTTTTGTAAATGAAATATCAACATAAATACATGAACATTGTGCTAACTACATTGCCGTATAACAACAAACACACACTGAAGCAATTTTCGCTCTCAAATATTCACTTTAAACGAGAAAATCTTCTGATTTCGCACGTGGAAATCAACAGAAAAAAAAATTCAGTTTTCATTCTCCTATCGTTTGAGATCGTCGTGCGGAAAGAATTAACATAAATATCCGTTGCGAATTAAAATATTTTACAATTATAAAATGAACATTTCTCCCTTCCTACTTGTGAAAATTATAATTTCCATTACTTAGTGATAAACATTGAATAAATACTTAATTATCATTTTCCTGAGCCGAACTCTCGTTTCGGAAAATTCCTACAGCGTGTTGTTGAAAAAGAAATAAAAATATTTATGATAACATCAGCAAGAAATGTGAGGTACGACAAAGTCGTGATATAATTTCTCAAAGTCATAGCAAAAAAGAGTCAAATTAAAAATGAAAAATCTGCTGAAAAGACGTAAAATGTTTAATAAAAATTTGTCACATTATATTTGTGAGACTTCTTTTCAATAAAACATCGGTAGTAGATATTGAAATTGAAAACAGAAATCAAAATAAATTAGAAAAGAAAGATGAAAGATGAAAAATGAAACACAAAATAAAAAAAATTTACGAGTTGTTTTAGTTTTTGTGTCAGTGGCCTCTCTTAAGCAGCCGTTCTAAACAAGAAAATGTCGGAAAAATCACATCATCTACTCAGTTATTAAATTTAAGGAGTTCGTTGTTTCAGCCCGCAACGCCCTCGCATTCGAGGTATGTTGTGAGTAAACATCGAATAATGAATGAAATTTCTGCGGAAAATTTTAAAACGAAATGCGAAAAATAATGAATGGAAATTTTTTCTATTTTCATGAATTTTATTTATTAATTCCACCTTCAGCATTGAAAATATTTTTGAGAATTGTCTTCATCATGTCATGATGCGCTATAAGAAATGGAAAATTGAAAAAATTTCATATTTTCCGACCGTGAAAATTTATTTATTTTCGCTTTAATGATTTAAATAATAAATCATTATGCTGTTATTAAATTGGATTAAAAGCTTAACATTAATGTCGAGAAAGATTCAAAACCGACACGTTAATAAGCAAAATTTAAATAATCTAGCAAAATGTAGTTTAGGTTTGTGGGCACTCAGTAAATATTTAGCGGGAAGAAATGAGAATAAACTTGTATTACATTAATTTACATTAATTATACGATGCTGTTTATTATTAGTAACTCTCCCAATGCAAACTTTCTACAAATATACATTGAAGTAAATGTAAGGAAAATAATTTAGAAACAATTGCCAAAAATAACAAATAAACAGTAAAGTTAAATCGTTAAAAACCCCACAGATAGAAACTTATTTCATAAGAAACGAATAAACGACGCAGATGTTAATAGACTTCATAATACAAACCATCTAATTAAAATCTAGAATAAAAATAAAAAGTTCTTTGCTATTGTTTCTGACGTCATAAATTCCAGTTTCATTTTTAGCTGTAGAAATATTTCGATGATTTATGAGGTGATGTGCAAAAAGTTGCATTAGCAGTTGCTTAATTACTCAACTTCTTTTTAAAGTTGTTGAAAGACTAAGCGGAGGATAAAATAATTTATCGTAGCTTAAAATTAATCACACTCTAAATTCTATTTTAAGCACAATGAATATGACTCAATTTCTTTAATATTTAAGTTATTCACAAGATAAATGATAAACGAGCTGATAAGACGTCTTGGATATAAAGCATATGTTTTTTGTTTACTTTATTATCTTTCTCTCTCTCGTTTTTTTGCAAGCTGCTAAGTGGAAACTTGCAAAATGTTATTCAAATTGTAAAAAAAAAGTAATTTAAATGTGAGAGAAAATTGAATCAATTTATTGCCAATAATTAAATAATAAGCAACATTTAGCTGATTACTTTTTTTTGCATGGATGACCCCGACAGTGAATTAACTTTTTTACGTGTTATTCACGCAGATAATTACGGCTCACTCATACTTCATGATGATTACTCACTATGAAGACACGTTTTCGTGTTTGTATGAAGAAAGAAAATGACTTGACACAGATAATGTCATCTTATAGCAATGTAGTGACAGCCTAGAATTGGAGACATGTTTCTACAGTTCTTAGTATTTCGAGACATTGATAAGAGGTTAAAACAAAACTAACATCGAGAATGTAAAAATTCGTTGAGTCACAAATCAAATCAAAACTTAGAAAAGGCAACAACAGACAATTGATTTTACATTTTTATTGTGTTGATGTGTCAGGGCATTGATTTCATTAAATTATAAACATTGAAAAGAAACCTTTTAAAGATATGCATTTCAAGTCCCTGAATGTTATTCCAGCATGATTTTTGTTGTGAGCAATTCGAAATGTTTTTATTTTTTTCCTTTCATTATCACATATAACTTCGTGTGTGTTTGACTCTTTATCGGTTTCTCAGCAGTTCAAACGTTTTTCGTTTTAATTCGAGTCATTCAATTTCTCATATCTATTCAGAAGTGTCTTTCGTAAAGTGTACGTGGCAAATTTATAATCCATTTGTGACATAAGTGTTGATGCTTCAGTGATTACTTAAATATTTTTCTATTTTCGGAAAGTCAATTAATTTTCAAAATCAATAAATTGTCATCACGTTGCATAATTTGAGTTATAATTAAAGTTAACAAGAATATAGGAAATAGTTCGCTAAGAATAACATTTTAATCAATGAACCTTTCTGCACTTTTATGAAAATAGAAGTCATAGAAATGCTTAACATAACAAACTAAAGCAGTCAATAATTATCTTCTTTGAATGCTAATTATTTAATACCAAAATGCAATTAAAAACTTTACAAAACACAATTGAATATTTGCGCAATCATATGCTGAATACCGATGAATCAGCTGAAAATGTAAATCAAAGCGAAGAAGTTAATCCAGTTGTGATACGAAAGACGCCAAAATTTCTTACCCGTGAACGTCAATTAGCCTTCAGACGTCGGAAACAGCCTTCAAGTCCCGAGTCGCAAAAGTCTGAGAGTTTACAACTTAGCATTGATAGTGAAAGTTCATCGGAGAATGAGTAAGATCTTATTTAAATATTTCACAGCAACACTGTTGTATCTCATTAAACTCATAATTCATTGTCAAGTTTGCGTTTGCCATAAGATTGATATGCTTGAAATCAATTAAGAAACAGAGTGAGAAGATTTTCTATTGCGCTGTCACGAAGAAGGAAAAAAAATGAAGAGAAGAAAAACTAGCAAACAGTAATTTTGTGTATTTAGCCAGAGAGTTACTTAATAAAGTTTAGGTCGATCGATAATCGCAATCACAATTACAAGCCTTGACTTCAAATCAAAACTTTTTACAGACATACTCAGTTACATTTTTCTTGTAAATATTATTGAAATTCTCAAAGCTTTTCAAACGTATGGTCGGCAACATTGAAATATGGGAAATGTCTTAGAGAAAATTATAAAAACAGCTTTGAAGAAGAATATCCAATCACGAAAAGATATAATCACGTCTGAGAAAAACCAGACGGCGTTACAGAATGTATCTGGTGGATGAAGTACTGGATATATTTGTTTCTTTTTTTTAAACGTAGATATGATTTATTTGAGACTCAAACTTGAGTTTGCGATCCGTGATTTAAAGAAAAAACAAACATTTTTCGAATATTATCCAAAGTTAGTTTATTTGGTTTGTTATATAGTGAGAAATGTTGTTGCCGTGAACTTAAACCCCTCGCAATGTGAATGACGTTAATCTTGACATTAATTTACTCAAATACACTTAAAGATGTCATAAGATGAATAAAAAAGCTCACGACTTGGGAGAATGACAAAGAAGGGAAGTAAACAAACAATCACATGGCATAATAACGAAAATGAGAATCGCAGCGACGTGTAGCAACGTGAGAAATGAGAATTGAGAGAGAATAAAAGTTTTTGAAATGTAACAAGTGATGGAATAAGAAAAACTACAAAGCTTTTGAAATGTATTAGTGATTTCAGCTAATAACAATCTTCTCCCTTTTGATATTCATTTACAACATTCGAAACTTCATGCGATAAATTTTCCGCTCAATTATCTATGTGGAAAACTTCTGCCAGTTGCTATTTCAAACCCAAGGCGTTTGTATCGTGGCTCATTGCTGGTTCAGCTTTTGATGAAGTTGGATCAACATTTCTTGTACAGTTAAAAAACAAATATTTTGTGATATAAAAAACAATTTTTAAAAGTGCCGGTTGTTTTTGAAAATTTCAATAAATATCCATTATAAATGCCAATTTTAATCTTTCAAAAAAATATGTTTTCTAGTAACAGTAACTAGAGAGAAGTGAAATATTCTTTGATGTAAAGGAAATGTTTAAGTCGTTTAGAATTATTTTTTTCAATATTTGTCGAATAACTTTTATCTTTTATTTTGGTTGATGACGATATCAAAAATATCTACTGATAAGTGTGTTAATAATTCTGTCATAGATATCAACAAACCTGATAATATTTCTTTTACATATTTATTTATCTAAATTCGGGTTTACTACGAATTGAAAGCTAACAAGAATTTTTATTTCAATTAATCAATTTGATATAAATAGAACTGTACACACAAGTTCATTGTCATAACTTATGACTGAATGTTGAAAGATTCTAGTCTAATTTATCAATTAATAAATTAATTAACGTCACTTCACTTTGAAACAGACACATCGCATCGCGTCGAAGTGATAATTTACGATTAAAAAAGCTGCGGTTAGAACTCGTCGATCATTTTTGGCAAATATTTAATAGTCGGGAAGAGTGAAGGGAAAAGTGGATTGAATATGTAAACAAATCATTAGCAAGTGTTTCATTTTATAACAGAAAATGCTGATCGCTTCCTCACAGCCGACGAAAATATTTCATTTAGTGAAATAAGATATCCAATATATTCCATATTTTCATTTTGAAATGATTTTTCGTGTTCATTTTATGATTCTTACTTCGTAGTTTAAAGAAATTCTTCTAATGTTACAAATTCCTCTCGTGACGTTGTTCAACATGATCGTAAAATAAGATTTGAGGCTCTCACATTTTCATCACGTCACGAATTTACATTTTAAAACTTGCTAATGATCATTAATTCACTCTTCAGGAAAATATCGTAAAATCTTACCTTTTCTCCACAAAATTACTTACTTATGCAAATACCTACATCATAAAAAGTAATCAAAAAAAAAAATTCCATTCTTCAAAGAAAAGTTTTTAAAATCAGAAAATATTTCTTCGTATTAAAATTTATAGCAATGGCAATTAGCAGCTCGTCAGCATGCGATGTTTTCTTTAAAACTCTGCTTTTACCACTAAATTTTAATAATTTTATGATGTGAAAATGAAGTCAGTCATTGATACGTCAGATGATGCTGAAATATCATAAAGAAAGCTTCAAATTTCAAAAGTTTTCCTCCGTGTTTCATTTTTCATCTAAATTATCTTATGAACGAATCTTAATTATTTACAGTGACAAAATATATGTTTACCAAACATGTCGAAGAAGAAATCTTAATCTTAATTGATTGTAACACTCGTGTTGTTTTTTATTAACCAAAGATTTATTGTAAAAAGTGATTAAAAAATGTAAGAAAAAAATCCGAAAAAGGAGAAAAACTCTAAGTAAAAAAATTGTGATTGAAAATTCGACAGTCAAACTTAATTAAAATGTTAGATTGTCCAATGAAGGACGTTGAAGTCATGAACAGTCCACTAATTCCATGGGCTGGCATGCGCTATTCCTGCATAAAAGTATTAAACTTGTATTGTAAAGTCTTCAGTCAACAAGAGATTTTCGATTTGATTGTGAGGTAACTTGACGTGTTGTGTGATGTTTCAATAAATGTCTTTTTGTTAAATAAAATATATGTTTATGTTGTACCATAGAAAAATATTTTAACCTTCAATTCAAGCATTTCACCTTCAACCTTCCACTCAAAATTGAACATAAAACACTTTCTTTCATGACATTGCGATAACTTACGCTATCTTTGACCATTGTAATGATCGAATGATGTGTCTGTTGGCAATGAACATGAGAATCATCAGCTGGTGTATTCATTACCTTATTCTCTGATGATATAAATTAATTTGCTTTATGGCAACGCTCGTCGTCACTATCATCAGTTACTTCGAAGCCAGCCAATCCCATCTACTATTGATTTTCCCCATCAACCCACAAAATACTTTTCTCCACAATAAAATGATAGCTTTGCTTTATCAAATGACTTTGCCCTTTTCTCTTTACAGAAAAACCTGTCAAGCATGTAAATGTCCACGTGAAAATCACGAAATTTATCACGAGCAATTGCAGAATGTTAGGGAAAGACTTGGCGTGAAAATCGATTCGAAAACTTCACAAATTGATCCCAAGAAATTGGGCTTCACATGGACACCACCAGGAATTCTTACATCAAGTAAAATTCAACGTTTTTTCGATCAGTTGCCTCAAGAAAAAGTGCCTAAAATTGGAACAACTGGAGAGAAATTTCGTGACAAGCAACTAGCCTATCAACTGCCTCGACAAGATTTAACAATCAATTATTGTAAAATTTTATTTTCAGCTTTACATTGAACTTTTAATTACATTTTTGATATTAAATCAGGCAAACATGTTGATACAGAACATCGAGCTTCTTATGATGATTTTATTGCCGCAAGGAATGAAATTGCATTGGATGTTGGATATGTTAGGGATGCACCAACAACAGGACAGTGTCAGACATGTAATCAAAGCATCGGTCAAGGTGAAATGTGCGTTAATGCACCAAAGCTAGGTGATGAAGTGAGTTGATGTAAATTTGTATTTTAAAACATTTTTTAATTAATTTTTCTGAAATCTTTTAGTTAAATTTTCATCCACGATGTTTCAAATGTGCAACATGCCATGAACTTCTGGTAGACTTGACTTATTGTGTACTCGATGACAAAGTTTATTGCGAGAGGCATTACGCTGAAATGTTAAAACCGCGATGTTCAGGATGTGATGAGGTAAGTTCAACTGTTGAAATTCTTTTTTTCTTCACAACCTTCATCGCGGCTTGAAATTTCATTCCGGATGGGATCATAACTTCGTTACATATGCAAATATTTATCATTTCATTATCGACATGAAGCGGAAATTATCCGATAGCGCGGCATGAGAAGGGAAACGTCGATTTTAATTAGATTGAACAAATTTAATACTTACTTAAACGATGGAAAGCGGACAGTAAACTGAGAGAACAGGATGGGTAAAAAATAAACATTGAACTGACCATGATGTTGATACCATCAAAACTTGTTCATTTCGTTGCATGGCAATTAGTTTTTATGGCTATTATCAATTAAATGAGGGGAAAAGTTTAAGTCCTAGAAGTGCTAACGATGATGTTTTATGGCTTTTGCCGCAACTCCTAAACAATTAAATTGCAACTCCCCATTCTCCCTCTTTATGTCGCCAACGAAAAGGACAAAGACTTGCAATAAATGTTCATACTCTTTTGTATGAATGATCAAAAAAGAAACGAGGGAGTGATGAGAGTTACGTAACCACATAAAATCTTGTTATTAGTTAAATTGTGTTTAAATGACGATAAACGCTTGGATTTGGCGAGACTTTAACGAACGCAACTGCTTATTAAGATATAATTGGAATAAATATCACATTTCTGTTATTTAGATGTTCAAGAATAAGCATCACAAGTAAGATCCCTGAAAAAATATGTTAAATGTTTCGAATTTACATAAATATTGTAATTCAAGGATGGCAGTTTTTGCTTTCTTTGGGGGAGAATTTGATCAAATTTATTACAACATGTTTGCAAAGCGTTTCTGGATGATAATTTTACGAGTGATAAATTTAACTTAAAATGTTCTAATGAAAAGTGATGAATATCTAAATCTTTTCTTCTAATGACGTCACATTGAAAATTCAAGGATAATCGTCATCGTTATAATGCGTGAAAAACATAAAAACAGTCTCCAAGGAAAAGGTTACAAGACAAAAAAAGAAATGAGAAGAATAGAAATTTAATTGTGCGCGAAGAACTTTACGATGTTCATTCAAATAACTTAAAGGAAAATGTTTTTCATGGTTTTTTTGAATGGAATTACACATTTTCCTTGTTTGCACATAGTTATGAATTTGATGTTGAGAGAAAGGACGCTTTTGTGAGTTTAAAAATAGGACACTCATGAAAAATTAGGGGAAAGACCGTGAAAATTTTTCTCTTTTTGTTTTATCCTTTCTTCTTTTTCATTTTAATATGGTGATTTGCAAAATATTGGGTCTTAGAAGTTAATGGAGTATGTTGAGAAAGCCTTGAGGCAGCAGAATCCTTCTAATGGAAATTCCGGTTGTCAGGGAAAGGTGTGAAAAGTTTATAAAACAGTTTCACTCTTCTGTTACAATAATGCAGTGTTTGCCAACTGGACGACGATGTTTCACGATCACTTCACATGGTTATATAAATATATTGAAAGCATTGGGTGTGCACCACACCTTTACGTGTTTAATGGTCAAGAAATTAATTTTTCTCCTATTTCGCTTTCATTACCTTTTTCTCCTCGCGATTATAGCTTTCACCTCTTTCTTTAATCCTTTATATATTTAGTGGAATTCCAATTGATTCATCATTGAAGTTAGCAGTATATTATCTTATCAACAAAAAAGAATCCTAAATTCTATATTTGGATACAATGCGAGTCACGTAGACACGTTTTAACCATAAAATCATTTGGAAGAAATCGATTAATGACATTGTGATGCGTGTGATGATGGTATGTTACGTCGTTGAATGACGTGTTAAACGATTTTCCGAGGATTTTTCTCGATACAATGTGACAATTCTTTAATAAGAAAAGCATTTAAAATGCTTTAGCACAACGCAACTGTTGCGAACACATTTTTCATGTTGCGTCACAAGCGAGTCAAGTATCATGTTGCGTTGTGCAAAGCAAAAATATTTCTCCATTCAACATACATACAAGCATTCTCATCGTTTGTGGAAAAGGCAGAGTTAAAAGAAAATCGTGTTACTAGTTTATTACAATTTTCACTACATGCTGACACAGTTACAATTTTTCTGTTGAGAGGAACAGATGAACATTTTGCATTCGAGGAAAAAGATAAAATCTCGCTTTATTTGTGGAGAAAATATCAAAATGTGAAGTGAACAAACGTTAACTGGAAATGTTTTGAACAAAATATGATATAAATTTAAAATTGATTGAGTGATTAAATCTGTTTCCAGCAAAATTATTTGATTTAATTGAAGTGATTTTTTGTGAAAGGTAACGCAATGTCAAATAATTTTCTCACCGGAGATGTTTGCCATTAAAATTATTTTGCGGCATCGTGTGTTAGAAATGTTTTCTTCGTTATTCAGTTTGTTTTTAAATTTCCAGACGATCTTTAATTATTTTGCATACACTTTGATCTAAAAAAAGAAATATTGTTAATGCTAAGTGAATCTCTGATTTTAACATCGATAAATTGACTTAAAAACTGAGAAAAACTTAAATGAGTTTTCGACAAGAAAATGTTGAGGAAAACATGATACTTGCCCTTAATACTCTTCGCACGCTGAAAACACGATTTATTAATAAAACTGCGGGAGAAATGCAACGACGAACATTTTACATTTTCTTTCTGAATAGCTAAAGTCAAGAAATAGAAAAACATGAAATTGGCGCTGCTTTCGGAAATTACTCACGGCGGAAAAGAACATCAAACACATTGAATCGCGGCAAAATATCTGCCAAAAAAAAAGTAACAGAGGAAAGAGCTTGAGATTGTGTGCCAACATGATGAGACGCATTTAGAGAAATTTACATAAATTATGTTTTAATGATTGGGAAATATTCACGTTAAAGTGGTTGCAGTTTCTCATCCAAATTTGACGTCACCTTGCATTGAACACTGAATAATGTTCGATACTTTATTTAAGTAAAAATAAGTAAAAGTTTCTTTAAACACCGCAACCACCACAACAATTGCGATAATTTTAGAACGCGTTACGAAAATCTGACGAATGTCTTAGAAGTAAAGCGAAATGTAGAGAAAGAAAGTCAGAACAGTTTATCTTAGATTCATGAAGGATAAAAGTCATTTTCTCGTTGCGCTTTCGTTTAGTTGCTTTCGGTAGATTTTAGAATGTCAAGTGTAACGAAATAATTCTCTCTTCGATTGATTTCGAGCATTATTTAAGTTGATTCGTGAAAATAAAAGTAATCTAAACATCGATTATGAGAAAAAAGGCACAAAATCATTCTCAGTTAATCAGTTGAATCGCTTAAACGTTTCTTCAAATGATTGTTAGATGAGTTTGTAGATAGGAAGTTTAGTCAGCAGTGATTGACAGTGACATGATATCAATTCAATAAACTGAAAAATCATCCATCAATTAGAAAATTATTGTGACACACGAGAACAGTGAAGGCAACATTCAGAGATCTTTGAATGATTTCTGGCTGATTGCTTCATCGATTGATTATGCAATAGATTAGAGTATAAAGGCGAGAAATATCTAAAGCAAAGAATCGACAAAGATGAGTGGTCAGGAAGATTTCGGTCCATTGTTAGAAGTTCTAGTTACATGTGTAGGCGCTTTTGATGTTATATCATTGTTTGCTTATATTTTCGACCGATTACTTGAGAAAAAATGGCCGAAAGACCTTAACAATAATGATGTCAAATCTTCACTTGGGATGCATGAGAAGTCGCCAATATCCGATTTGGCACGTTCCATTCCTATTGTTTTGGTTGATAACATTGAACCATCAAAACGAGATGATGATGTAATCGATTCATTACTTGCAAAAGTGAATGAACTCGAAACAAAAGTTACGGAACTTGAAATTAAATCACGAGAAAATTCAATGGAACGTCTTATCGAAATCGAACGTTATCGTCGTTCAAAGAGTCCATCACCAAACACAATTAAAATTGATTTACTTTCTAAAGACGATGAAGATTCATCATGTGAAGATGAGACAAACACGTCATCAACAGAATCACGTGAAAATTCGATAAAACATTCATCGAGATTGATCACTTGTGATGACGAATTTCGAAAAACAATTAAAAGATCATCGTCACAAAAGTCTCATGAATCTCGAGAAGAAGAATTGAGAGAATTTTCGAAAATTGAAGAAAGTGAAGCTCAAAATATGAATGACTTTGTGCCAATCACGTATGAAGGTCACGATGAATCTCAATATCAACGTGGAATTAGTCCAATAGAAGAAATGCCATCGTGTCCGATTCATGGAGAAATTGAACGTTCGCCTGAACCTGGAATGTCATCATTTACGGACAAACCGTGGGGCGATATAAAGATAGATGCATCTAAAATTAGAAAACTTGAGAAGACAGAACAATTACGTCGAAGTCTCTCAATTGAAGAAGAACCTGACAATGAAGATCGTTCTTTGAAACACTTTATCGAATCAAAGGAAGCTGAAACGATTGCGGAAACACAATCTAACATTTCAATCTTCCCACAAACTGAAGACGAAATTGAATCTGACGATCTAAAGCAAAACATCCAAATAGAAGCTGTCAATGTTAACGAAGAATTTATTATGAAAGAAAAAAACAATTCTAGAATGTTAGTTAAACAAGCAAATGTCATTTTTTCTGAAGATGAAATGGAAGAAGAAAAAGTCAACGAACTGATCCCAACACCAACCCCTGTTGTTGATGTTTACAATGATCCGATAAGTGTGCAAAATAGTTTGAGTGAAATCAGCACATTGCCAACATCAGTTGACGTTCAACAAGATGGAACATCAATGGAGAATTCAAGTAGCTCTTCATCGTCATTGAATATCGACAAGCAATCATGTATAAGCGATCGGGTATTTGAAAGAAATTAACGTTTTTAAATGTTAATCAATCTTAAAATATTTTTTAGGATATTGCAGTACGTTCATCAACACCTGAACCTGAAGTAAGTATGATTAAAACAATCATCACAAATATTGATGAAGAACATGAAAAACGCCTTGACACTGAAATATCTACGATAACTAACACACCAGCATCTAATGAAGCAGACATCGAAGAATCACAAAAGACAAAACTTTGCATTAATTTACTTGATAGAAATGCTAGTAGGTCTTCATCAAGATTGAGTTCATCTAAGAAAAGCAAAAGTCCAAGTGTCGCCAGTGTCGCCAGTGAAGACGATTACAAGGAATGGTTCGATAAGTTTGATAATCATTTCAGTGCTAACTTGACACTTCCAGAGAGAGATGATGAAGAATTTGATTCTGATGTGGAGGAAAATCTTCTTATGAATATTGATGATGAAAATTTAAGCGGTGCTGAGATTTGTAAGATAGAAGATGAAGATGACGTTGTTGATACATCAAATGTCTCAATATCAGTCACACTCAACCTTAAGAAATCATCCAATGTTGGAATTGAAAGCCAGAAAACATTTAAAACCCAAGAATTTCTTGAAATGGAGCGATTTCGTGAGAACACTAGACGAAAGACTTCCATTGTCCCATTTACAGAAGAACAGGAGAAAAATTTCGTGTCTGTCTTGCATCCCGAAGAGTTTCCGAAAGAAAATGAAACGATTAAGACAGAACATCGTCAACGTCATGAGCATTTGCATAACGTCGGATACAATGAATGGATGAAGAAATTTGTTGACCATCATTCATCACATTTAGCTACAAGTGACAGTGATAGCGACTCTGACATCGCTCTTGACGAAATTCATATGTTGCCGTTGTTTTGTAGTGAGAAAGTAAAATAACGGTCAATATTAAAATTCAAAAATTTAAAAAAAATTCAAATTTACCGTTAAAAGCTTTTCTGAAAATTAACGAATCACTTATCATGAACACATTTTGATTATCTACTTTCTTTTTAGATTATTTTAATAAAGTATCGTTTGAAAGTAAGTTTCTTTCTTATAAATGTTTTCATTAGATTGTGGAATTGAACAGTTTAGAGTTTAAATTGAAGCAAGAACACTAGAATTGCTTGGTAGTTTAAATCGTTTTGTTATCCCACATCTTCGTTGCTTTTAGCTTCCTCTCATGACCCATTTATTTTCGTTGATGATGCAATTGTTCATCAAAAAAAGGTAATCGTGAATATTTAGAAGAAGAAACATTGTTTTTCTCGTATTTATCTTTTCCACGAAATTCTAGCTTAAATTTTTGCTACGCATTTGATTTTTTTATAGCTTATTTAATTCTTTATTGTAATGAAAATTTTCAATGTCAACAAATAGTCAAAAGTCATCCTATATCGTTTTAATTCTCCTTCTAGAAAACGCAAATAAATCGTAGCTTTAATTAATTTGCTTCTTCATTAAAGTCAAAACATCATTTATCGTTTAGTGAAATGTTTATCACTTGAATTAAAAGAAATAAATAGTTAATTATCATGTAATAAATATTTTTTGTTATGTTCCTTGATGTGTAAAGAAACATTTCAATTAAAAAATATCCTAATGCGCACCTGACAGGTTTTCCCCAACTTTCAATCATTCAGACAGTTTTTAGAAAACTTCTCGCGTGCTCGAGTCGTTGAAATGTAAAACGAGGAACTCAAGTTGAGTGTCGAGTGCAACAGTTTCTCTTAAAACGATATGCTTTTCATATATCTATATCCCAACTAGATATTTTCAGTTTTATTATTAATTTAATTTTTACTCAATTCTCTTAAGTTTCGAAAATATTTTCATAATAAATTTAATAATGGTTTCAGCTTCATTTCATTTAAAATATTTGACAAATTAGTTTCTGTTTTTATTCATAATTGTAATAAAGTGTCGCTTCTTCTATAATTGAAGATTTGATTTCATGATTTCTCCATGATTTATATTCAAACAATTCTCGTTAAACTTTCAACAATTTATTATTATTTTTTTGCAAAGTAAACAGCTCTTGTGAAACTTGTTTTATCTTTCGAAGCGTGTGCAAAAGTTTTGTTATTGATTGGGCGGCATCCAGAATATCCAGATTTTCTTTTATTTCAAATAAGATATAAAGTTCAAAGTACTCGAGATTTTTCCAGCTGGAAAATTTAATTGACCTGGTTTAGATTCATTGACTTAATGTACGAATGCGAAATACAAACGATTTCGTGACGTAACTTTGTTTTTTGAGTTCTCATGAGGAAAAAGGAAAGAAAACAAAGTTTTTAAAAGATGCTTACTGTTGGTCTCTTGAAACTGGTTATTTCCTGTTTTCATCACCTGTCATTTCTTTCTTGTCGATGAAAATAACGAAAGAAATTAGGAGCATGTCAAAATTCAAGGATGATTGTTAACAAATGAGTTCGTGTGTCCACTAAATATTTAAGGATGACGTAAACAAATCTTTTTTTTATTCCTAATTACAAAAAAATATAAATTTTCAGAGAAGTTTTATTAATACCCTTGCCAAAATCTCATTGAATCTTCCTGTTTTCCAAGCTCATTCTCGTTTTAATAATATTTTTGATAGCAAATCTCATTGCTTGTTGAAATTAGAAAAATTAAGAAGCGATTAATTAGAAGTAATAGCAAAAATCGTCACCATCCAAGTACAAAGCTCACGGCACCAATATTTCCTTCATTTTCTTACGCTTTTCATCTAAAGTCATAAAAAACAGCTGCTTGACTTGAACATTAAATGTTGCGTGTTTTTTTCTTTCTTTTTTGTTTTTTTGGGGAAAATCTCGTAACGAAAGCAAAAACTGAATAATGGAACAGAAAAACCTGCCACGAGATTTGTTTGGTATCGTGTGCAGGTCCGAAACACGAAAAAATTTTAATAAAAATTAAAAGAAAAAAAAGATCTGAAGATGTAATTTGACTTGACAACGTTTCAGCTTTCCTTTCAAATGTGCCAATTGGACGATTTATTTACGCGAACTGAATCTTCTGTTTACATTAACGCCATTGGCGATTGTCACAAAAAATGTTTTTATGAAAATTACGTGAACGAAGCGAGTGGCACACTTGACACAGTGAATGAAATTGCATAAAATCATATGTAAAGTTTGATGAACTTTCTTAGTTATTTTTATATAAAAACACTGAAAGTTGTCATTTGTTAAATTGTTTATTATCAACGAAACTCTTCTTTTATGTGTAGGAAATTTTCTTTTAAACATGAAAAATAAAATCACAAGAAATTTCCCAAACATCACTCTTGATGTTTGACGTGATCTTTTCGTTTTTATTTTGTCCACACGTCACCAATGTTTTTAATATTTAATTCACTCTGCACGCGTTTTCATCTCGCAGCAGACAAACGTGAATAAGTTTTTCATCGTCATCTTTTTAAAATTATAATAGCACGAACCGATAATTTATGTGGATATCATTACGATTCGTTTTTTAATTTAAATACATACGAAGAGAGTTGTGAACATTTCTATCGACGCTTTTTTTGAGAGCAAACCTTCAATATTCATCTCGCGGGCGTTCATGTCGTAGCCGAAGTTGAGAAAAAAGAAAGCAGAAGCGTTCGGATTTGTTTTGGACAATAATGAAAGCATCACAAACATAAAAACGAACGAAGTTAAACTTCTTGTTACAAGAAGCGTCTCGTGTGATTTTTCCGACCGAGAGTTTTTCATTAAATTTCCATTCACAAAATTACTTCGACTCAGTCAATTACTGAATCTTGAACGTTAAACTTCGGATCGGGAAAAAGGAAATAGAAAAACTATTTAATTAATTAAATAATTTCGGTTAGAAAGAGAAAAGAAATTTATCACAATGACCGACGTCGAAGTTATGCAAACAATTGATATCAAAAAATCAAAGAAGAGTAAAAAATCTAAAAAAGAAATTCAAGTCGATGATCAAGAGTAAGTTCCACGATTTCAATCATTAGAAATGTAGAATATTTTTAATCTTTGAAATGTGTTTTCTTATTCTTGATCATCATAAATTGATTGAAGGTACATACATGAAGAAAACAAGAAATTTACAAGCATAGAAATAAAACATTGACATTGATTTCTCTTCTTTCTGCAGTTAATTTTCAGTGGCGAGTATACAAAAGCGATGTCAAAAGACTGGCATTCGGGACATTTCTGTTGCTGGAATTGCGACGAGAGTCTCACCGGTCAACGTTACGTGCTGAGAGACGAGCACCCTTACTGCATCAAGTGCTATGAAAGTGTCTTTGCAAACACTTGCGAAGAGTGTAATTCAATCATTGGAATTGATTCTAAGGTGAGATTTAAACGTCTGCAGGTCAAAGACACTCTCTCTATAAATCTTAATTTCAATTAACTATAGGACTTGAGCTACAAAGACAAGCATTGGCATGAAGCATGCTTCTTATGCCAAATGTGTCGCATCTCTCTCGTCGACAAGCAATTTGGATCTAAGTCAGATAAAATTTATTGCGGAAATTGCTATGATTCTCAATTTGCTTCGAGATGTGACGGATGTGGTGAAGTTTTCCGAGCCGGTAAGTGTTTACTTTAATCATAATAAATATCTACTTAATTTTCAAAAGAAAAGTTACAAATCATATGAAATTTCGTTACAACAAATCAGAGTTTGTTTTTCTGCTTTCAATTTCGCCGAGGCTGTGTCTGGCATTGGCAAGAACAGATTAAAACTTCTACACTCGAATGTGAAATTTTCTCATCAGCCGATTATTCAATTAGTTTAACAGCCGCAAGCAGTGAAAAATTGTAGTTGTTAAATGTGGTTTCATAAACAGCTAAATGATTAGTTTTGAAAGGCTCATTTCAAATATTTACCAATTATTAAAGTGCACTTTATAATCTGTAAACTTCACAACAATTTCAAGAAAGTTGGCATTGTAGCTTTTGATAAATACTTCAAACCCTCCTCCATCACAGTTTATTAATTTTCCCAAACGCCTTCACCAGCTTCACTAAAATTAGCCACAAAAACTTTTTCAAGTTCATCTCATGTCATAAAGAAAGATTTAGTCTGCGACTTTCGACCTTTAATATCCTTTGGAAAACAACGGAAGTTCTGCTTATTAAACGTTTCAGTAATAAGAAAAATCAGATCAATAAAAGACACCATAAACTCTTTTATGCATGTTAAGGAAAACTAAAAGCCTTGTAAAATATAAAAAGGAGACGAGCTAAGCATTCAAATTTTTTCTCTGGCCTTTTGCCAAAAAAAATTCTTTTACGCTGCTTGTTACTGATGATGTACCCTAATAATATATTTGCAGCAACAAAATTGTAAACAGAGAAGTAATCGAGAAAAACTTTAATGTTACATTTTAGTTTCTGTGCGTGTAACTTTAATAAACAAAGTTTAAATTATATTTGAAGTATCACGAACAACTTTAAAGAGTCTAGCAATGTCATTAAAGAACGTCTCAACTTGTCTTTAAAACTGCTTCAAATACGATTCATTCGATTCATTTGATATTTTGGTTTCCTTTCATGGCAATAGAATAAAAATTTTCATTGAATTCCATTCATTGCATTGTGTAAGAAATCTTAAAAATAATTCTGTACGAAGGTTTCTCATTTAATATTATTTATGTAATGAGTATAAATGCACCAGAGAGTGTCACTGATAATGCTATTCCCAGTCTTTCATTTCAATTATTGATGTGGGTTTTTCCTTGTAATTTTTCAAGTCTTGTCTGACACTCAACAAGATGTTTAAGTATTTTTTTTATGAATGAAAATCTTGATGTTTCATTCAAGAATAATGCAAATATGTACATAAATGAATGAAGGCTTAATCCATGAATAATGAAACAGTTTTGATTGTTAATGTGGAAAAGTTTTTGACTTAATTCAATCATTTAATGTGTTCTTCCCGTAAAATTGCCTTTTGTCTCATATCATTACTTTAACAAGAAAAAAAACACGTTAATCATGCAAGACAATAAATAAATTGATTCTCCACCTACACAATTTAAGCCGGTCTTAGGAAAGCGTTGTGAACTGCCCATTTGCATCTTTTTAAAATATGTTTCTGTTTCAAACTCATTTGAGCGGCTGGAAACTTAAAAAAGCAGACTCGAAGAAAAGATTAAGATGAGAATTCATTCATATTCATGCTAGTCTTTTGGGTTGGGCTGTAATGTGTTAATGATGTTTTTTTTTCTTTGTTGATTTCAAAGCAAACGATTTGAAAACGAAAAAACTGGAAAAAAAAGAAAAATTTATTTTAACAAAATTTTCTATTTATAGTAAACGATGAAAGTAGAAGAAAAAGATTATCGAATCAAAATTTGCGATTACTTATTTCTAAAATAATTTAATCCGAAGATAAATGTGTGAGAATCAATTTTGGATGTTCAAAACTGTCGATGATAATCGCGACCGGTTTAAAGATGAACGCCAACACAGAAAGACATAAAAGTTCATTCATTAACCAATTTAAAAATATATTCTTGAGTAATAAGTTTCTAAGAAATCATGTACGGTCTACCACAATGTCCCGAAAATTTATTTTTATCATTCAATGACGTCAGTAAAGTTGATATCTGCTTGGAACAAAAACATTTTATGGTTTCAATAAATTTAAAAGTGGTAAACATGTGTGTCAATCGTTGAAAGTCTCTTTCTTTCTTATTTTTATATTGGAAAAAAGCTGAAAATAGAAAAACCGAACTTTTGACAAAACAAACCATAAAATCATCAAATTCATTCATGAGCAAGCAAAACAAAGAAACATTTACAAACGATCGACATTGGAAAGCTTTGTCATCAAAAAATGAGTTTCGCTATGGTCAAAAAAAAATCAATGTTGATGAGAATAAATGTCGAAATTACTTGTTACTAATATGTTCATCATCAGCTGTTCCAAATAATCCTAATGAAACCTTTTCTACTTCTTATTATCCGCAAACGATTACTAGAAAACATTGAAAGCTCTAATTTTGAAAGCGTTTCATGTTTTATGTTAATTTCCATAGAGCGCGACGAACCTATACAATTTCTCTCATTTGAATATTGTTAAAAAAACTTCCAAAAAAAATCGTAAAGTAAAGAAAAAAAGCGATTGGGGACTACATGTCGTTACTTCCCTTCCTCCTATAATTTTTAATGTTCTATTGAACCTAGAAATTCTTTCCCCTCTCTTGTTCTTGTATAAGCAATGCGGTCCTACTTAATCAATCGGGGAGAATAAAAACTCCTCGAAGGCTTTTATAATAAAAGCGCTTAAAGCATGCCACACATAAAACCTGACTTTTACTCCCCGCTTGGAAATGTAGATATGGAGAAGAAAAAGTTCGTTTTGTTGTTTTTGTAGCTTCGTGTTCGAAGTCAAGCACAATTTTTTTTCATCGAACGCTTCCAGTAACAAATAAACAGTCCGCAGGTTACAACGCGTTTCAAGCAATTGCTCGGAGATAAATATTATTAAATTTGTTTATACTAAGCAAATTAAGTTTTCCAAAAGTTTTCATTTTGGCCTTAATAAATTATATAAATTATTTAACACCCTCAGTTGAAATAAATCGAATTAGTTTTCATATGTGATTGTAGTTGTTGCACAATAAAGTTGGCGGAGTTTAATTTTTATATGAACGTCGAAAAGCGAGCGTAAAAGTGACGACAAACTTTAAATTAAAAGCAAATAAAAATTATTTACTTGAATAGGACATAAAATAAGCGATTTGTGCATTTCTACTGTAAAAGTCGAGACTTTTTATAAAAAAACTGAAAGTTAAAATGTCTGCGGATATTCTTGCTCGTGATTTGAAATCGCGTTTACACTTGAGAACCAAAACTGTCGGCGCCGAAAGAATCCAACGCGCCAAGGATAACAATGAAGATGTCGCAATCTTATCGATGTTTCTGCCGGGATCGGCTGGAGAAGCAGAAAATCGTCGTTTCCGATGTGCTATGATGGAAGATTGCTTCCTTGGTGATTATAGACAAGCGACACCAGGTAACAAACAAAATCGTGCATAATTTTCATTACACACCGCGTATAAAATATTCATATTCGAAACGTGGCCTTAATGAGACAGTTTAGCAACCTTTTATGGAAAGTTCTCATGAAAAATCGGCGGCATAGTAGTACACGATGATTATTGATGTTCAATTCTTAATTTAAATAACTATGTAAACATTTACAACGTGATGCTAAATTCAATCTCGACCATAAAAATGTTTACATGTGTGTTATTCGAAAGAAGATATCTTTAATAGTGTACATCCAGAAATGAACAAATCTTGTTGAAAGATATTTAGCAACGATGATAAGTTAATTACTTAAATCAACACAACACTTAAAATCAACTCGTTGCAAGTGTTTCTCGCATCATTTTACTCAGATTTTGTTCAAATTTCTTATTTGTGTCCCGCCTGCTATCGAATAACAAAAGATTTGATTGATTCAAAAGATTGTTTTGCATACAAAAATAAAGCATGAGTCAGTAACTTTTTCCTTTACTGTGCTGTGCGTTTAGTTAGATGAATCTTGCTAGATATGGACAAGCTTAAATATTTTCAAGGCCAAACTAAAACATTAAGGATGACGGATTTAGCTATAAACAATTATTTATTTTTCTTCTGCAATGTTCTGTTCGACATCTTAGCTTTGTTACAAGAAATAAATAAAAAAAAATTAGAGATTCTCAATGATCATTCTAATAAATCACAAGGGACGTTCATTCTCAAAACGAGTAACATTTAAATGAAAGAAAACCAAAATAAAAGACTTGATATTCAAGACACTTTGTGACATCATGCATTAGAATTGTGGATTTTCTGCCTTTGAGTTCTCATTTTTCAGCAGAAAACAGAAAGAAAAAGACGACAAATCATTTGAGCAAGAGTGTAAAGAGATAGACATGATGTCAGATTCGTTCATCCAGCGACCGACCCGGTCTATCTCGCAAAACAAACTCCAGGACGATGATGTAAGCGAGAATATTTTGTTGTTCACTAAAGACATCTCTTCTCAAATATTATACACCAAAAGTTATTGTTAGATAACAACATTTTTATCGATTTCATAAATGAATCTTTTATTATTCAAGCTCCATTTCACAGCATTGAGTTTCGTTTTACTCTCACTGAATGAGAATGTAATTTCATCTGTCCATAAATAGACGACCACAAAAGTCACAATTGATGTCGACCCGAATATTTATTAATAATTTCCAAAAAGCCTTTTTTGGTTTCTTATACAACGACTTGCTTCAAGCGTGTGTGCAATTAAGATAGATTTGTTTTGCAAAGAATTCAACATCGTAATTGAATTTCGAGGAATCACCACAAAAATTTATTGTTTATCATGAAAGGTCACATTTATGTGTTTAGCATTTAAGCTTCAAGTAGTTTCTCTCTTTATCTTTCACGTGCAACACGTTTCGTTACTGAATATCTAAATTTGATCATGTTGAACTTAATTCCGTTTTGTTTATTTAGTTTTTTTATCTCTAAAAAAAATTGGCACAGAAAAGTTTTTAGCTTATTTAAATTTTATTAAATTAGAATGACAATCTAAAAACATAAATCAGATTCGAATTAATGGTTAAGCTTCTGATCACGACAGTTGTTTTCCTTTATCTTCTGCCTACACGCAATAATTATTTATCATTTTCATCGCCAATTAAAATCGTTCAAGTTGGTTGAATATCATAATGAAGTAAACATTGAATATTCTTTTATAAATTAAAAGAAAAAAGAGACAAAAATGTTGTCTTAAGATCGTCGTCCTCCAGATCGGTTCGATGCTTGTCAATCGGTTCAATTCGAGATAGCAAAAACAAGTAATTTATCATCCCAAATTTGGAAGCTGTTAAATGCACTCACTACTCGCAAAACTCTTTCGCCTTGAAGAAAGTATAACAGACTTTGTCTCGTCTGTCGTTCGTGTTTAACATTCTATTGATTTATAGGCTTGAACTCGTTCGATATCATTGTCATGTCTCGCGTAAAATTGTCACTTAAGTATTCACAACACCCACGCTTAGAAAAGGTGCAAATTATTTTTTTTAAATGGACAACAAAAGAAGAAAAATATTAAACCGGTATAATCCCCGATTGAAAGACATATTGGAGACTTCATAGTGCCAGCAACATCGAAAGTTGTTTCCTGAAATGAATCTGAAATTTATCGATTGCAACGCAACTTTCTGTAGGTGATTAGAAGGCCACTTCGCATTTGATTTATTGAACAACGGATGCAGACAAAGGCTGCGACCACATGTTGATTAAACTCCATGACATTTTAATCGCATCATTAAACAGTGTAAATAAGCAACACTCACGACTGATTCTCTAATCGTGCGTGATGTCATGTCATATTAGACTCTAACTAACTCTTCTTTGGATTGCTTAAACACAAACAGCAACAATCATCGGTCGTTTACAATCGGCAATAGAAATAAATTCATTCTGCAAATTATTGTTCTCGACACCTACCTTTGAGGAACAAGCGAAGACAAAACAATTCAATAGTCACGGATGATGAACAACCAAAGCGAGTGCTTAAAGTCTCGTGCACAAAAAATTAATCGTTGCGTGTGCAAAAACTTTAGCGAAAAGAATTTTTCTCATAAACTGTTGGAACTGTTTTTTTCCTTCTTTTATTTACTCAAATTATAAGATTCCAAAAGTGAGAATATAATTTTTGTTTAAAAATGAATCGTTTGGAATGTCCACCTACGCGAGCTATTCGAATGAAGAAAGAATTATTTCGGTGAAAAAAGAATATTCATCCGTTATGTGACATTGAGACATGAGTCGACAGATGTAGCGCATCAAATATTTTGGAAATTGAATGGAAAAATTAAAACAAAGGAAAAACTTTTATGTAACCAATGCCAAGGTCAGATTTGTGGTTGAAATAGAAACATAATCATTACATAAAAGAAGAAGAAAACAACACAACTCGTGTTCTGAATGCGTGAAAATTCTAAAAGATTAATGATAACAATAAAGATTGTTGCTATTCATCAATGTAACTCAAGTGGATGACGGGAGATGTTCATCGAGCAATCATAATATTCGATTTCATTTCTTCGTTTTTCCTTTTGGGAAAACTCAACAAAGATGTCTCAATCGTTTTTCATCAAATGTTTAATACAAAATTCTCTTCCGAATCCAAACTCTGAATCTTTTTGTTTTGAAGTCTTTTTCTATTCATTGCGATTTTGCGTGTTTCTTATAGTTGAATAGCAGAGTCTCATAAAATTTATTGAATTTATTTCGAGGGCAAACTATTAAAATTGGAAATTTGCTATCGAGTTTTCCCAACTCTATGCTTGTGAACAAATTGATTGATGATTTTCTTTGTTTCTTTCGTTTTTAATTCTAGGCACGAAGAAAATGGAATATAAAACTCGTCAATGGCATGAAAAGTGTTTCTGTTGTTGTGTCTGTAAGACTCCCATTGGAACCAAGTCTTTCATCCCTCGTGAACAGGAAATTTACTGTGCTGGCTGTTATGAAGATAAATTTGCCACGCGCTGCGTAAAATGTCAAAAGGTGGGAAATTTCCTTTGAAATGATGATTTGATAAAATTATTTAAACTTTTCATCATTCACAGGTCATCACAACAGGTGGTGTTACTTATAAAAACGACCCATGGCATCGCGAGTGTTTCACTTGTACACATTGTCAAATACCTTTGGCTGGACAACGCTTCACTAGTCGAGACGAAAAGCCTTACTGTGCTGATTGCTTTGGTGAACTTTTCGCTAAGAGATGTACTGCTTGCACTAAACCAATCACTGGTAAATAAAATTTTATTTCGAAATGTATCAATTGAAAGTAAATTAAATTTCTTCTTAGGTATTGGCGGCACTCGTTTCATCTCATTTTAAGATCGTCATTGGCACAATGATTGCTTCATTTGTGGTCTTTGCAAGTCATCGCTTGTTGGTCGTGGTTTTATCACAGATGAAGAAGAAGACATCATTTGTCCAGATTGTGCTAAGGCGAAGTTAATGTCATCATAAGATAATCAATAATCCATCCGAAGATTTTGTTTTACATGTTTTAGCACCCACACAACTCATTCAGTTGATTTGTCACTTGCTGAGAGATTTTTTTATCCTTATTACCTTTTTTCGTAGATATGAAATGTGTTATGAAATGTAGAAAGAAAGAAAAAGCGAAGAAATCATTTACTTATCAATGAATTTTTAATTAACGACAAATCTAACAAGAAAACTATTCATTAATAAAACAAATATAAAGATTAATCCACAACTAATTCGATCAGAGATGATTTAAAAAATGAATATGTTAGACGATCATTGAATGATCGTAAATTTGAGCTTTTTGTACACCGGCGATAGTTTAACGACCAGATTAAAGCACAAAAACTCTCTGTCATATATTAAATAAGGCAATCAAAGTCATTTCAATCTTAAATATTATGCAGGGATGTTCTTGACTTTTATTTATTTTGATATGTGTCAATTGTTATTAAAATAAAAAGAAAATGTATTTAAATATCTATTTCCGTGTATTAAAAGCTTGGAATGTGATGGTGATCGGAAATGGTAGTTTTTGTCTTGAGTCATCTGTCCGAGACACCATCATAAATAAGAGAAGAACATTAAGAAGTCACATTGCCCTAAACAGTGAAATAATCAAATTAAAAATTCATAGACTTTGGGGGTCTGTCTAAATAAATATTTAATTAATACAAAAGAGTAGATTTATTATCTAATTCATGAAATTAAAAGCGATTAAGATGTTAAATCATCATGTAGGAGTGAAATTTGTAGTCAAACACAGTTGAATGAGAGGATGAAACCAATCAAATTAAATAATTCATTAAAATGGCATTTAACTTAACAAACAAAAACTAATTTATTACATTAATTTGATAAATCATTTTTATTCTTTTTATTTCTGATTGTTGAGGTTTTGTACATAATTAAAGATTACTTTTTATCTTCTGTAGCGATAATTTTCATCTCTTTTGTCAAACGTGTGAAATGTTTTTGGAAAATTTAACATAAATGTTATTAGAAATTATTGAACGAAAAAAATTTGTACACATATTTCAGTTCACGACGGCCTACATTCACATGACGTTGCCTTTTTCTACAAAAAAAAGAACGAGATTAAATTAAATTTAACAGAAAGCTCATCGTGAATGGCGTTTTGAATGCTCAAGGATCTGAATGTTAATTGAAATTTAAGCTTGCAAGTTAGTAACGCCATTCACGATTGAAAATATTTGTTAACGTCTAAATTATGTTTTTCGATGTTTATGTTCGGTAATTTCATAATTTAGCTTTTAATTGGCAGCTTTAAACAAACCAAAATTAGGATTTCACTCTTTATCTCTTTAGATGCATGCACATCTGTAAAAAACGCGAAGATACTAACAAAAGGAAAACAAATGTTGGTTGAGTAAATCGCATGCTTTCAAACATTGACAAATTTCATTAATATTAAGATTGTGGCCTTTTTGCGCTTTATGTTCTAGAGTGTGAAATAAAATATTTACCAATTCCTAATATGGAAAACTAAATTAAGGACAGCTATGTATATCTTTTGCGAAAATGAAAATTGATGAAAAATATTTTGGAGAAATAAATGCTATTAATACATACATCAGTTTGTTTATATTTTCATGTTTTCATGTTTGTGAAAGTTTACAAAAAAAATTTTAAACACCACGTGAACGTTTCTGTTGAGAAAGCTTTTTAAAATCTACCAAAAAATCTCAAACCTTTTCATTAAAAAGTTTTGTGGCAAAGGCTCTAAAACTGTTTTGCTGTTTGATTTTCTTCTCTCTCATATTTTTTCGATTTCTTCATTGATCAAATAAAACATCTCACATGATGTTTGCAAATCACTTGTGCGACTCATTGGACACTACTAAGGACTTTCCAAATCAACTCACGTTTGAAAAAATGAGAACGAATCATCAGTGACATCAGTGCAAAGAAATATTTTTGGATATGAAGTAACAATCCGTGATGCAATTATTGTTTTAGTTATTTAAGCATTTAAAAGCTTAGAGAATTTAAAGTAAAAATATTGTCAACAAAGTATAAGTTGAAATTTCTTATATTGATGTCAAATGGTATTGTCCATTTACTGAACTCAATTTTCTCCTGAAGCATTTGTTAAACGGTAAAAAAGAGGCAAAATTCACCCACACCTTTCATTCATTTCTTCACAAACGTACCAAACTGCTTTAATATACATACCATTAACATGTTTGTGAAATATTTGTTCAAATATGAAGCGAAATTAAGATGATTCCATTTTCATTATTCTTTCTTGTAAATATACAAATTAAATAGCGAACTCAATTTTATTGCTGTTTGATTTTTCTCCCTAATTTAAGCTTCATGGAGAAAGTTAAGTTTTGCTTATTTCAATATTGTTGAGTTACCCAGAAAACTGTCTAATTTATTTGTAGATATTTGCGTAGACATTCCAGTTAGGTTGATAGAATATGTGTATAAGTTTCAAAAACATTTTCAATATTATTGTCAAACAAAAAATATCTTGAGATGAGATAGATAGAGATAAGGGCAAACAAAGCAATTGAAAGGAAGTGATTAGTATTTACAAGTTACAATCGCCATGACAATCCACTAGTAGGAGAAAGCTCATCAACTCCAATTTTACTCTTTGACTAATTTATTTTTAAAGGTTGATCAGAGAAGTTCAAAAAGAAGAAAATTGAAATTAAAAATTCACACAATGCTCATCCATCAAAGCCGCGAATCTAAGATTTTCAATTCAAAGTTTTTATTGGCCTACGACATGCAAAACATTTTTTTTCCGGGATTCGATTGCATGGCAGTGATAAAACTTAACTTTCATCCAAAATATAACGAAGACATTCATTTTCTATACAAAATTTATTCACAATATGTACAAAATAAAGCGATGTGATCGGATTGCTAGTTATAGGTAGTTACGGCGAAGTAAATTGTCGAACTAAAGCAAATATTTTCTATAAACAAAAGAAAAAAAACTTCACAATTGAAACTTGAGATTCCAATGATGAAGAAATGTCAATGGTCGTGATCGTTAAAAGGGCAGTGCGAGAAGAAAGTTTATGGCTACATGTTGGCACCTGATACTTTCTCAAACATCGGAAAGCGATTAAAATATTTTTTGATATAAATCATGCATCAGTTTTGAATGAATCAGCTCCGTAAGCCTACAAACGATCGCGTGATAGACATGAAGTAGAAATGTTAGTGGTCATGTAGTTAACTAATGATCTCATAAACACTCAAGTTTCAAAATAAAAACAAATGGTACATTCATTCATCATATCGTTAATTGTACTTTAATTATAGATTTTGTCAATTGGAAATAAAAGTTGAAGTGTTATGACAAACTAATGTAGAATGTTATCATTATTTTATCATCATGATGCTTACTCAATCTATTTCAAACAGCTGGATATATTTAATTACGTGTTATAAACTAACAACTTAAGATGTTATTAACGCTCTTGTGGTTATTGACACGTCAATACATCTTCTATCGGAGGATTTTTCTTTGTTGAAATAACGGAACATTAAACGCCAAATCATCTGATTGTTAGTCATTGTTGATGAGAAGCAACTTCATTAATGTCCCTTCTTTCTCTTTTCCATTAGATTTCTTCATTAAGTCTTTTTGATACGCTTTTAGGACTTTCAAGTGACAAAGTTACTCACAAAAAATTCTATCTTAGTAATTTCAACTCTTTTTCCATTAAATTTTTTTTGGCGAGATCAGTTATACCAGTGTAGTTAAGTGTTTGTTTTTAATACAGGGATAACCACGATATTACTTAGTTTCACTTGTATAGAGTTGAGTGATTGTACCACAAAGAAACGAATAAAATATTAGAATCATATCCAATTGATTTTTTAAAGATTTAATGAATTTTCCTTATTTTTTATTTCGTTGACATTAAATTGAGAAATTTTTCAAATAATTTTCATTTGAATTTTCCAAAAGAAACAAAACTTAAATGTTGGTTTTGGACTTAAATTATTCGAAATTATTGCGTACAATCCAAAGCTCGTTCGAGTTTTTTTTCCACATCATTTGTGTAAGTTGTTTTTTCCATCGTGTGGAATGTACACTGAGTCATTTACGTTTCGTTCGTCATTGAAACCAGAAGGTGTCGCTGATTTGTGCTCGGACGGATATTTTTCTTCTTAAAGTGGAATAAAGAGAAATGTTTTTGCTTGAAACCAGAAAGAAAGAGTGAAATTTCTATAAATTCCATTTGATATGTTATTAAGTGATGATAGTGAAAATATTTAGAAGTTTAGTGAATTTGTGATTTGTATTTAAGAAATAAAACAACAAACTTTTTTAACAACTTTCCTAAAAGTGGTAAATTTCGAACAGAGAAGAAAAGCAAACCTAAAAAATAAGAAAAACATCTTTAATAAGTTCAAACACGTCGTTTCTTTGGATTAGTAGCTGAAAGAATTCTCAAAATGTATGTATAGAGGTTAAGGAAACCATCAAGCACACAAATGTTATTTGACATTCACTCGTCATTTGTTTATCATTACTGCAATCTCAACAAAAGCGTTTGCATAACAAAAATAGTCAGCAAAAATTATTTTTAAAAGCTTCCATCTAAATTCAGATTATGTTTTGATAAAAAAAGACAAAATTCGGTGATAAAATCAATAAAAATAAATTTTTATGAAACTTGAACTAGTTTTTGAGTCAGCGTTGGCGTGACAAAGAAAGCTGGTTTCTTCCGTGAACTTGCAACATTAACATAGACCTCAATAATTGTTTAAAAATCCAGTCGATTTATAGTTGATAAAAAAAGTAAATAAACATCAAGTTAGCTGGAAAGTACACAAATATCTATCCTTTAAAAAACCTTGTGGAATGTTCAAGATTGTTAAACATTCTCTACTTAGTAGTTTGATACGCGATTTCAGTTTCATTTCATTTTTTTATTATTTATTTTTATTACTCATATCTTTTTTCTGTTTTCCTTTTCTCTTCTTCTTTTTTCTTCTTGTGTCTTATCAGAAAAAGTTTTAATACATACTGCGGAGTCAATAAAAAGAAAAAAGAAAGTAAATGTTAATTTTAATTCCGAAAATGGCTCTTGAGAGAAGATTGTGATTAAATTCTTCTTCTTATTAATGAAAACGAGTTAAGAAGCAGATTGTGAAACATTGTTTGGGAATAAGTTGCGTAAACACTGAAGCTGTATTTAAGTGGAGCAACTACTTTGTTCACGAAATTGAAATGGTGACATTGAAAGTCACTTGACCAAAAATTTCAATGCTGTGAATATTTTTAAATGTTTTTCAAACAATTGGCAATTGATATGGAAACAATTTCTCATAATACTAAGTTTCTTATGAATTGTTGTTTGAGAAAATTCATACAAGAATCATTTGAGTCACATGCAAAACGTAATTAAATGAAACGACACGTACAAGTTGCTGCTTCAAAAAGCTTTTATGCATCTTAATATCAACATTCTGTTGCTGAAATTTAAAATATGCCAGAAGTTATAAGCCAATGACTTTATTCAATATTAAACACCCAGTAAAATTACTAAATTATTTCGAAAAAAAATAAATTTATGAGTCAGAATCAAGTTTCATAATCAAGACACAAGAAGCAGATGTTAAAACTGGAACTAAATTTGTTATGAGCACAATTAGGGAAGTGCAGTTGTAAGTTCTATTCAACCATGAAATCAGATCTAAAGTCGATGATTCTTCAGAATTTTGTGATCTAACTGTTTTGAAGTCGTGTAAATGGGGCGGTAAATTCATTGATCGACCAGTTAATCATGATTCATGAAATTTTGGTACATACCTTAAAAATGTACTCAAATATTTAGGAACTGGGCTTTAGCTGAAGTATAAAAACCTCATAATCATCTTCCTCATGGTGTTTGGTCTTTGAAACATTCATCTGAAGGCCGACACTTAAAATTCTCTTACCGAATTAGAGATAGCTCCATTCCCTACTTCCTTTTCTTCATCTTTTTGTTCGTTAATAGTTTTGAAGTTAATGAAACCAGTGTAAATTGGCTGTCTACTTGATGATCTCTTAAAACTCAATCAATTTTTTTAGATAGGAATTTGTGATGAAATCATTTTCAAATCAGAAAACGTTTTGGCAAACTCGCTTTACTCGCTTTAAACTTAAGAGCGTTTATTTTTGATTGATGTGCTAAAAAGAGACTGTTTGATAATTGTGAAAGTAAAGCTGACATAATTCAGAAGATCATTTTAAGATGATCAATAATTGAACCTAAAATTAAGTCTACAATTCTTGTCTTTGTCAAGAAACTTAGTCTAAATTTAATAATCTATCAATGAATTGTCATGAAAGTGAAATCTTATTAAATTTAAATTTAATTCAGGTGTGAATTGTCGGTATTTGAAATTAATCTGATCACATAAATTTGAGTGTAAAGTAATAATCGAATTGTTCATTATTTATTCACTACTCACAGTGAATTATGCTTTCTCTCACTTAATCATATTAACATCTTTAAACATCCAAAATAAATAAATGACAAGACATTATGAAAGTATTCTCGATGATTTATGTTGCGAAATAAATAATTTGAGTGATATGTAATTGCGTCAGACAGTTTTAAAATTGCATTTCTTAACATAACTTTGTTATTACGTATTTATTTGAATAAAATTAAAAAGAAATTGTGCATTGTTACTCACAATTGTTTTTATGCGGTTTTCGGAATCGTAACTTCAAATACAAAATATCAAAAACATGAAAAAATTTCTGCCTATGATTGAAATTTGATTGTAAATAATTTGAATATGATCTAAGAGAAATTGGAGTGAAATGTAGACAAATTAAAGTTTGACGGGCTTTTTTTTTGAATAAGACAATAAAAACTTTTTGAATGGCCAATGATAAGAAAAGAAACTTTCGAAAGATGTTAAAATGTGTTTAAATCACTGTCGGTGTAACTGCACCACCTGCTGTTATGTTTTCATTTGTAATTGAATCTTAATCGCTGTAAACTAATATGTTAAACAATACCGCACCCTAGTACAAATGTAGTAAAAGCTGATAAGTTAAAAAACACAACTTTCAATTTCACACGATGACCATAAAGTTCATTAATCTACTCGCAAAATATTTATAAATTTCGAGCCCGAAAAAAAGTAAAATTTCTTAATTCACCTTCTTCTTGAACTTCAATATCGGTTAAATAACTTTTTCCGCATGCTTTTTTGCTCGTTTGGATTGATAAACGACATAAAACTTTCACTCAACTACTACGAGTCAGCCTTTTGTGAATTACAGGTTTCAGTAACAACATAAAGAAAATTCAATTCCGCGGTGCTTTTTTTGCAATTTAAAAATATTCACCAAAAGATCTTTATTTATTTTTTGACATAAGCGACAAGATTATATGGAAGTTACAACATTTTTATCGTGTGCATAATTTTATGGTTGATCTCACTGAACTTGAAGGGAAAGTATTGGCGGTTATCATCTGAAAAGTTAGTTAGGATCGGAATGGCAAGTTTCATGATTCATTTTATGCATTTAGAGGAAATGAGATAAAAAAGACTGTTTTTGGTATAAAAAGTCAGCAATTTGAGACGAATTGAAGGAAATAATAAAAAAGGTAGCAAGTAATACTTTTTAATGAGTTTGGTGTCTAATTTTTTTTGCCTGTTAACTGTGATATAAAAATGAAAGAAGTTTTAGAAAAAAACGCAAATAAATTATTGAACATTCACACGTAAAGTGCTTCCACGTGCCTTGTTCGACAACTTTAATTATAACTTTTACTCTCATATGTTAAACGTGTTGATGCTAAAAAACCCCGCGTAGAAAGGTGATAGAAATCAATCCAAACAACCTCTCAGATTGTCCCGTAGTTAGTGAATATCAATGATCAAAGTCAGCTTGACTATTGTGAAATTCACAACTTTGCATGACTTTTTCTTCTTATTTTAGTTATTGACTCGAAGTTTCAGGAAATGAAAAATATTAAATATAATCTGCTTTATTTTAGGAACGATTGCATTTCATTTTTAAGTAATCGACATGAACTTTCATTTTCAATTTCGAAATAAAAAGAATCAAGTGTGTTGTCATGAAGTATCAAATGATCTCTCAAGTAAAGTTTGTTAACGCAAACAACTGACCCGTCTATGAGAGTTCAAAAATCTTTCCTTGTTGTTTTATTTACACATTCCATAAATTGTTTTCGAAAAAAAAGGCGTGAGAAGTAGCGAGTTTTATTTTAAGATTTTCCTTTCCATGCAAATTTATTTAGAAAACTTCTTTAACGTTATGTGAGTCATAAAGTCAAACAAAAGTTTTCAACTACCTTGAGGATATGAACAAAATAAATTCACCCAACCCTTGTAATACTTTTCGCATGTTTATAGCTTCTTAAAAGTGACATAAATGTCTCAAATGTTTGATGGAAATTGTAATGGTTTCAGGGTTGAATATGCAATGCTTTGAAGAAGCTATGCAATATAAAACATTACCCTCCATTACACTCCGTTAGTCTCAACAGGAAATTGAATCGACACGTAAGTTTCGTTATTATTTTTTTTTTGCTTAAAAGCAGCATTTTGTAATTTTATCTTCTAGAATTTCCTTATGAAAGGCGTTAACTAATAAAATGATTGTTCAATTAATAAAACAACTCGTGCTATAAAATTCACAACATGAAAAGATTCAACATAAATACATTAAATATTAGGTATTTAAAAATCCATCATTGCGTCATAAATTTATTATGAATGAGAAAGAAACCATAACAATAAGGAATGATTTATCGAAGGTACATTCATCTTCATTTAAGTTTATTTGACCTCGCAGCGGTAGATAGAACAAACGTCAAAGATGTCGTTTTTATAGACATTCGTACCGCTTTTTTTTTGAACAAATGCTTGACATTACATTCGTAAGATGAGAACGCGAAACGATTAATGGAAAGAATTCAAAAAGAGCAGTTAAGTGGTAAACAGTTTCTGAAAACCAGTTTCATCACATCTCTCGAGTGATAAAGGCGAAGATCGAGTAATAAATTGAATTATAGGTGTGGTGTTGTTGCGAACAAAAAACATTTACACAAGCGAACGCGATCAAACATTCAAGAAGTATAATTAACTTAAAACACAAGCAAAACAGCACAGTAAAAACAATGCACAAGAAAGTTTGAGCAAGCGAAAACTTCTTCATTGCTTCCAGTTTATTTTTACTCATCGCGAGAAGAGCATCTGAAAGTGTTGCGATCCCACGAAACGTGACAAGAATTCAAAAGAAAATTTAGTTTGTGTTTGACTTTTGTACTCTAAAGTTTATAAACACTTTGTGCAATTGAAGCCATTTTCGGCACATGGTAATTTAATTCTTCATGTTATTCTTGCGAGATTAAAGCTGCAGTCAAAACGAAACAAACAAAAGATTCTGATTCAAGAAAGAAGTGCAAAAAAGAATACAAAAATATGAAATTATTTTCGAGAATTAAAATTAATTAAAATTTAAAATATGGAACGAGCTCGAGCATCAAACTGAATTCTGAAAACGTTGAAGGGTAAAATATTTGACTTGACTTCTTTTTTGTTATCATTAATGAAGAATCGTTTTAGAATTCCTAATTATTCTAAAAGATTTTCTGAACGATGTTTAAGTTTATCAAAAAAAATTGTCATTAAAGTGAAAAGTTGAAATTTTCGATGAATGTTTAATGATGGAAATCGTGAGAAAACAAATAAAATTCGGTTGAGATTTTAAAGTACTTGAAAGACCTCTAACGATGACTTTTAAAGTTTTAATTGAAACTATTCTCTTACTTTCGAAAGTTAACTAAAGTTTTCTAATAGATAAGTTGTGAGAATTAAAAAAGAAAAAAAAAGTTTTAAAACCTCTTAAATGGATTAAAGTAAAATCTTTAAGGTTTCAAAATGAGAAAAAACAGTTTTTCGAGCTCATGGCTTCTTTAAGCAAGTTGGTTGCGTATTTAAGCTTATAAATACACAAATATTTCCAATGTCATTAAGTAAATTTCATTCCGATACTGGCCTCTCGTGAGTATCTTTTATCGACTTTAGTCTTCGATTATTAAAACAAAAAATGTTGTTTCAACTCAGCTTATGATGTCACAAAACTGAATTATTTGATTGAAAAACTTTCGAAGACTTTTTTGTTGTTTTCTGTGTCAATCGCCTGCTGAGCGAGTGATCTAAAACTTTATTTGTAACAGTCTTAGAAGACTCATTCATTAGCAAGATTTCTGTATCAGGAAGTATAATTTTCTGTGGAAAATCAAAAGCAGTGAAAATCGCATCGCGACTGTTTATTTGTAGAGCATGGCTTACTTACAGAAATAAAAACTTGTAATTCATGTTGCTTTAGTTTGATGCTATCGTGCTTAAGTGAAGTAAATATGCAACTTTATGTATGTTAGAATTGTATGCTGTGATTAGCGACATTGAATTAGAAATTCTTTTTCCAATATTCATTGTAAAGAAGGCAAAGCAACTTTTTGTAAATGTAGAAACATTTGAATTTGATTCTAGATATTTATTCACTGTGTGTGACATACTCTTCGGGAGAGAAGACGAAGAATGAGGAAAAGAAATACAATTAACAGCTATTTCACATAAAAATGTGCACAAGATTGAATAAGAATTTCATTAATATTGGAATTGGGGATAAAATGAAAATCTGTTATGTTGCCGCTTTATGATAAATATTATTTCAAAGTCTCTAAGAATGTCTGCTGTTGCTTATGACGAGAGGAAACGTGAATCAAAAAAAGTCAATTAAATCGAATAAATCGTGAAGCTATTAGCAAAAAATATTTCAATAATCGCCTATAAATTATGTCGTAATTTTTTATGATTTTATTAGCAAATCTAAGTTTCTAAAAAAGTTTTCAAATCACAAAAAAATTCTTGTAACGCAAAATAAAATTTACTGTTTTCAATTTTATTGCTTAGATTTAAGTTTTCTTTTAGGTCAATTATTTCGAGGTTTACATGTATCGTGATCCCAATACGATAAACCTTGACATGAGAGGATTTTAAAACAAAACATTAATTTAAAACAAAACGTGACTTAACTTGTTAATAATCTTCACCAGTTTTTTGACACTTTAAAATCTTCCACTGCCAAACAGCTCGTGTACATTTTATGAAGGAAAAAAATCTCGCGACCTCTAACATAGGAATGCTTTATCAGATTTTTTTGCTAGTGACTCTAACACATCCATTAGTATCAAACCGGTATTCAAAAATAACTCACTGCAGATCAACCGTTTAGAAAAATATATGAAAATAAAAAAAGAAAAATCTACGATCGTTCAGTGTGTTTAGATCAGTTTATACATTAAATATCTAAATATTCATCTCGGAAGAACGAGAAGATGATGAATTAAGACTTTACTCTTGTCACTATTTTTATCGTTCAAACAAAACTATTGAAGGTTTTGCCCACGCTGATTTAAGATTGAAGAAGAAAAGGCAACATAATTATTTCTTTTTGAACTTTTGTGTTTTAAACATTTTTAAATTAGAATTGAATTTCATGCTAACAGATTAATTAAGCATGAAAATAAAAAAATTAATCAGATGGGGCTATAACAACTCACAGTTAGCATCTAACAGCGCAAATTTTGGATTTAATTGAGTTTGATGAAGCTTTCTTTGGTTGGAAGTTTAATTTCCTAATTTAAAATTATCCACGTTTAATTATTGACAAGAAAAAGCTTTCAATTTGGAAATTACGCGCGTTTATGAAATCGTTAACTGCTGACCAATGTTTAAGACAATCTTAACAAGGCGTGAATTTAGTTTTATCGCGTCATCAGATTTTTTATTTTCAAACCACAAGATAAAGAAACAAAGAAAATATTTAACGAAAAATAATATAAAATTAGAAAACTGAGTACTTATGTTGTTTTATGACATTCACACACAATAAAGTTATTGAATGTTTACATGAATAACAACGTAATTAAGATTATCAACAAACAAGTGAATGTTCAAATAATTTTCGTATAGAACGGAAGAAAAGTTTAACAACTGATTTGAAATAATTTTAAATAATTTTTCTTTCTTACTTTCACAGGGAACTGTCAAATAAATTAGTCAAGACGACGCATTCGTTGCAGTCGAGAGTGAAATCTTCACCAAGATGTATACAAACGGTAGCTTTCATAGCCAAATTGGCAACAATGGTGTGAAGACGGAACACAAATATCAACCGATAGAAAATAAAAAGATTTCTCACATAAATCAACTTAACAAAGCCCATCAATCAACATCACCTAAAGTGTCGTTTATTAGACGATTCAATCCATTTAGCAAAAGTAAATCTCAGACAATTAATTGCAGAAGTGATTGTTTCAAACACGAACATTTTATTGATAATGAATTTGCAAGTGTGAAAGTGTTAAAACAATTTTGGAATGATCAAATTAAGACTGCAAAATCTAGTGAAAATTTAAACAGAAATCATAAAAGTGCAACATTAAGATATTTTTCACAATCTAACGAAAGTGTTAATGAAATTCATTCAACTTTTAATGAAAAATCATTAACATTAGATGGACGATTGCCATTAGATGAGTTCAACAAATTTAAAAACGCTGATTTTGTGCGAAACAAAAAGAGTTGTTTAAGATCTTTTAATATAAGTGGAGCCCATTTAAGTCATCTTAAGGAAAATAAAACAAAAAATTTGCGACCTGAAAGCTACACACCCAATGACAGTCACTTTCCCCAAGTTTCAGCAGCTGGTGGAAAGATTCACTGGGCAAAGCGTGACGAAATTCTTCCGAAGAAAACTTCAGTTGGTGACGAAATGTCAGTGAAATCAAACAAAATTCATAGCAACAATAAAACCTCCGCTGCTGATAATTGCGACACAAAACTTAAGAAAGATGTTGTTGCTCAAAAGTTTTCCAATCATGACTCGAAAAAAGAATCAATTTCATCATCAGCGGGATCACTTAACTCGTCAGCTTCTTCAAACACAAATTCGGCAAGTCGAAAGTTCAGTTTTAAGACGACGCCATCAACAACATCGACTTACATGAATAAGAAAATTGCTGCTACGAGTAATGGTAACAAAGTAGCACAAATCGCTCAACGCTTTAATCAAATGATCCAGCAGGATGCCACTTTGCTAGACGAAGTAAAAAAGCGTGGAACAGTTGTGTTGCATCGATCAGGTGGTTGTGTTTTTAAAATAAAAGAAGAGAAAGTTGATAACAAGCCAGCATCAAATCATAAGAAGTCTTATAATGACGATGCATCAGACGATGCTGCGAGCTTACCAAGCATTGGAAAAAACAGCACAAGGAGGAAAAGTTCTTTAAGGAAGCGGCCAAGTATTAGAATTCTCATTGAATCACCACGCAAGGATGTTAAAGGTGGAAATGTTTTATCAAAAAAGCAACTTTATGAAACAAACATTTTAAACAAAGAAACGATTGTCATCAAACCCAAAGTTCCAGACAAAAGTGAACGAGTTCTAGCAAAGACCAAGGAACTAAAGCACAAAAAACTTAATGAAATTGCAAAGACTGAAACGACAGTGCCAGAAATTAATGTCGCTTCGACTAAAGTAGAAGATGAGAAGCTTGAGGCAAATTGTGAGAATGAGATTAGCGCTTCAATGCAACTGCCAGTAAAAGATCATAAGAAAAACAACTTCCAAAAGATATATGATAAGATTTCCTTCAGACCTACATTCCTATATGGAAAGAAAACTAGCAAAGATGGCCCGATAATTGAAGTAGACAATAAAATAGTTGAAGTTGATGAGCAGAAATGCGATAAGATGCAAGTTGACATTACAAAAGATGTTGAAGATGAACTCGAATTTCAGTCAATTGATTTGAATCTTAATGTTTACTTCAACAATGAAAATTTATCGTCGAATACAAAAGATTTGAGTACGATGGAATTGGAATTGGATAGCAACAACAGTGAAGGTTTTAATCATAATTATACCGACAAATCCGACCCATCGGCGGTGAAACCAAATGAATCGTTTCTGTTCCGTTCGCATTTGAGTGCTAAAATTGAGACTGCGAGTGATGCTTTCTTTCGTGGTATGCTTATTGAGACTCCCATCGAATCACAGCTTCAAGAAGAAAATGAACCAATTGAGAAAATTGAGAAGTCTATGACGGAAATAATTTTGAATGTTCCCAACTCATCAGATATTGTTCATGAAAATGGTTATGAAGTCATTTCACGATGTTCACAAGGCGAACCAATTCCGATTGAAACTCATGACGTTGATAGAAGTAACGATAACAATAACGATGATCATGAGAACATTTATCAATCACTTTGTGAAGTTAAAGGGGAAACTGCAAGCATTCGAAGCTATGAATCTTTTGAAAACTACGATGAGATTGCGCAAAATATTTTAGACAATAAGATTAGTTTGGCAGAGCTTATAAAAAGTGAAGATGATTACATATTGCCAGAAAAGGCGCCAGAACTGCCTGCGCCAAGAAAAAACACGATACCTAAGATTTCATCGCCGATTTTGACATCAACGACCTCAAATCTAGTTAAGTCCGATATCCAAGTGCCAAAGCTCAAACTAAATTACGAACTTCAGAAATCGAATAGCTGTGCTTCAACAACTTATGAAAGAATTAAATACGATCAATTAACGATACTTGGTCAACAACAGCAGCAACTAATAAACGTTCCACTGCCACCAAGAAACGATGAACATTCCTGTGCTGGTGAAAACTTTTACGACACAATAAAGAATGGCGATAACCAATCGTTGATAATCCCGTATGATAAAATCAGCGGGAAAAAAGATAAGAAGCTTAATTCGAATGATGAGAACAACTCATTTAACGATGAAAACGATAATCCATATAAAAATTCCAAAAACGACACAATGTCAATTATTTCGAATTGTTATGAAAGTATTAGCTTGAAGCAAAATTATTCAACAATAAATCAAATATTGAGGCATGCAATATCGACGTCAACATTAACGTCAGAACATCGAATTAATAGCATTTATGGTACTATGGTTGGACAAAGCTTAACACCGCCAAGTGATCGAAGTACGAGTGATAACAGTGATGAATGGATTGACTTATCAGATGAAGAAAATGACGTCGGAAATGTCACTGACAATCGTTTCATTGTGTAAGTTTTACTTTTCGTACAAAAATCAACTCAAACTTCTTTCTAATTTTCTTATCTTAATTATGTAGATTTTGTAAGAAATCCAGAAGTCATAAAAATCCCGATTGGTCGACACTGGTTCGTCAAAAACTGGATGAATGGAATGGTGAGTTGAACTCTTGTGTTAAATATATAAATATAAACTAGAATAAATGTCAATTTCATGGAAAAGTTTTGCTGTTAACAATTTTCATAAGATTTTTCTTTTAAGCATCGCAATAATACTTCTGAACCAGAAATGGTATTATAACGACACTTTATTTCTAATCGATCCAATTTTTAATGAAACCGTGCACCGTATCATTAAATTCTTGCGTTTAGAAAACTAGTTCAAAACATTGACGGTAATGGCAAGTTTTTATTTTATGTTCGGCAAATTATGCAGAGTAAAGTAGAGTTGATGTTATTAAGAACACGCAAGATTTAAAAAAAATATTTAATGCTTAAGTTTTATCAGTAAGAGCTTTGAAATTATAAATTCACTTTCAAGTTTGTTTTCGCGGGTTATGAAGTTTTTGACGAATGAAAGAAACAGATAATTTCAGACTAAATGTATGTTGTAGACACATTGAATAACAGTTTTGAATAGAAGCAAACCTTGGAAGCGCATCAAAAATGCAGTTTTATGCATTTAATGAACATAAGCTTCTATTGTGCTAACCACGTAGTGAAACATGAATAAGGAAAAAAACTTAAATAAACTATAAATTAAAAAAATTATAGTAATGTGAATTGCATCACATCTCTTGGTAGTAATCGGAGATCTAAATGTATTAACTTATAAACCATTGTTTACACTTATATTTTATAATTGTTATTCCATTTAGTCATGCTCATAAAATTATAAAAAAAAGAATCGGAAAATTGCAATAATGTATACTTTTTTTTCTTTTGACGGATGTCGGTTTAAATTGTTATTAATCTTGAAGTTGTTTTGCTTGTTTCTCTTTTATGAAGAATGTTCAATCATTTATATTCGAAACATTAACACATCGTGGAAAATAATATGCATTCAGATAAACATTCTGCCAACTCACCACTTTTCACACCACGCTTAAAGGTGAACATTTTTTTAAAAAATAGAAAGCCGTTAAATATTTCTTACATAACTTTTTTCTTCAAATCTAAAGATAATAAATGATAGAGATTTGAAAAGAGAAAAAAGAGTTGATTATGGTTCCTCATTCTGTTTTGAAAAATGATTTTTTTTGCCGGATATGTCTTCTGAATTAACTTTAATATTGAATATCCGGAAGACTTTTGCTCAAAGCAAAACTGAATTTAAATTGTATAATATTTTGCTCTCATCCTGCAAATCATTCTTCTATTTTAAGGCATTCATCAGTGGTTATACCTGTTGTTCTCAAGTCAAGTTTAATTTTTGCATTTTCATCAAGTTTTTGTAGGGGTAATTTGTCTTAGTTAGATATAAAAGGTACATGTAAATGAGACTCTCATATATGAATAAATCAAAGTTAATTAAATTCTCAAAAATAAAAAAACTTTGGTATTAAAGCTGTTTAAGTTGAAATTCTGTAGCTTTATAATTTAATATAATACAAGCTTACGGCATATTACAAGGTAATCTTGTTCGAACTTAATCAACATGAAGAGTTATGTTTGTAAATAAGTGTTCACCACACTATTAAAAGTACCATGAACCTAAAGCTGAAAACAACGTAAACCACTACTTATTACAGGGTTTCCGAGAAAGAAAAAGCAATACATTCACTAGGTAAACTTTAAAACTTTCTGTATCTCAACACAAACACATCCAAATGATATTTTTCACTACTTCCATACCATCTATTGCCACTATACCAGTTCCTGTGAACAAAACAAAATTGTTAATTGTGTGGTTGTGCAAGTTGATTGAGCTGAAATATTTAGTTTAGTTCGTTCAGTGCTCAGTAAGACGGCAGTTCGAAACTCTCTTACTTTCGTGCGGTTTTCTGATTTTAAATTATTAGTTAAGAAAAATATTATTCGTTGTATAGTATCGGTAGACTGTAAGCAAATAAGGAATTTTGTTAATATTTTTAAGAATATCACGAACATTCAGAGGAACATAATTAAAGAAACGTTAGATGTATCAATTTAAGTGAATTAAAAAGTGGAAAATTAAATCTTTGGAATAATTTCATAGGCGATTTGAACTGAAGTGAAAGTAAAATTGGAAACATGTTGAAATCAAAAGTTATTTTTTACTAAAGGCATTTAAAAAACATGAAAAAATATAACTAAAAATAAACATGTGCTAGGAAAGAAAGAAAATTGAAACCGAAGCAATTGAGAAAGAAATTAAGTGGCTTTGGTGGAATGCACTGAAAGTTTGGATTGCCGATTCATTGAAAAAAAAATCAATTGTAATACGTGGAGATTATCTATGCTGATGATATTTTAGTGAATATTTTTCTAAAACAATCGATGATTGATGAATTGTACTGAATCGGGTTCAGGATTAATTACATTTGATGCACCACCGAAACAACAGTTGATGAATTAAGATCTTTCATTGACCCAAAACAAACTTTTTTCAAGCTTCAGTAATTTCATAAGAGAAAGAAGAAGAAAAAAAATTCAATAAGAAAAGTTTCATCGGGTGGAATCGAGATCAATAAAATTATTGTTACAATACAGAGATCAAAAGTTCAGCCATATATCAGATTATTAAGTTGAATAACAACTAAGCGCTCTTCGATGTATGTGTTCATACCAATGGTTCTGAAAAATGTTGTTCCATTTGCTCAAGGATGAATTATCAACGCCATTTTTGAATTTAACATCTCGGTGATTTTAGAAATAAAAAACATTCAAGGTTTTCTTGCACTCTGACGAACTTAAGAAATGTATTAAGAAAAAGAAGTTGCCTATAGATAATCATTTTTCTGCGGTTTTGAGATAGCAGAAAGAAAAAGTTTACAAATGTCATCGATTATTGTTTTGCGGTGGTCGAAATATCAGATTAGCATGCAACATTGTTGCAGCAACAACTAGAAAAAAATATATTTAAATATCTAGTTGCATAACATCATCTTTTTACTTCTGCTGTTGACATAAAAATGAAAGAAATGAAATCGAAAGCGTAACGGCGTTAAAAACAATTGGTAATTATATTCCATGTTAAATATCTTTTTACATTTCGCTTCTATGAGTTAACACAAAATTTTGGCTGATTGAAGGCGAGCAAAAGAAACTTTTGTGACTTGTTCTTGAACCTAACATGTAATTTACCATAATGAAATATCAATTTAGCAAATCATTTAAAGCAAAAAGCATTTTTGCATATTACAAGTGTTAAAACTCTTGAGTTTCATCACCGAAAAGCGAAATAAAAGAAAAACTGACACGCAATGAGACAATCCAAGATCTCAAAAACTACAGACCGGAACCATTGGCATAATCGGCTTTTGACTTGATGAGAACTTCATTATTTACACACATTCAAAATAGCACAAAACTCAGCGTGAACCAATGCGTTTTGCATAATTCGCTTAACTTTTAATTACACTCAAGATAAACAAACAAAAAAAAAGGCAAAGCTTAGTTAAAAGAAAATTAAAATTCAATGTAAAATACTTCGAAGGCATTTATTTTGTTATACTTTTGCATATTTTTCAATTCAAATAAGAAAATGTAAAAGAAAAACGAAACAACGAATGCTTTAAAAAAATGATCGAAGAATATATGTGCGCATTCAATATTACGTAGTCATTGTTAAAGTTTCTTCTTTCATGAATGATGCCATAGACCAAGCAAAATAAGTTTAAAAAAACGAGAAAGAGAAACAAAATAGAGAAAGAGGGAGAGAGACTTCGTAATACTCGTGACTAAGAACTGACTTTACCAATTTTGTTGACCGTAATGGAAAGCTTCAAAGCTACGTACGTAGGTGTAAGCGTTTAAACAGCACAAAGCGCGAGAAAAGAAACCGTTTGTTAGTGGTTGTGTTAATAAATAACTGCTTTTCTGCTTTGTTGTTGACTTGAGCAAGATCCTATTGCAAATAAAAAAAGTTTAGAAACTAATTTAAAGTAGCAACAAGAGCAGCAACACGTAATTATGCTAATTACTCTTTGAGTGCATCCACCAAAAGCTGAATTTGTTGTTTTTTTTTCTTCTCTTGATTGCTCGAAGACGCTTCTTTAATTTCCGCTTTAGGAAGATTTTAAAATCGAGCGCTTAAGTTATAAAAATTATTTCTAAGGTTGCGTTTGATGAGTAACATAAAAATTTGATTGCTTGAAAATCTTTCCTGTTGTGATGATCGTTAATGACATTTAAAAAGTTTCGTCTTTATTTATAATTCATAAACAGCATGAGAGCACTTACGGAAAACTCCCTCGTGACAATGTATTGTCAATGAAAGTTATGATCATTCGTGAAATGTGACTTACAACAATCATCGAAAAAATAAAAATAAAAATAGAAAAACAATGTCTATGCCAACAACAGTGCCACGAAAAAGACGACCCAAGAGAGAGATTGGTGAAGGTATGACAAGTCATTCCACTATCTCAAAACAAATAAATATCTGCTCTTAGGAAATTCACAAATAATAGATTTTCACTCGTGGCTATAAGTTGATATTTATTGTTCATGAGAATTGTCTTTTCAAGCATTGTTCAAGTGGATTGTCATTTCATTTCATTTCATTTCACCCATTTCAGTGTTTGTAACTTCAAAGTCATTAATTTACATAACGCCTAATGAAGTAGCAAGTCTTAAGGTTCCACAAATCAACGATGATCAAAATAATATCACAGAATCGCATTCCGCAATTGATCCAATCTATGAGAATATCGAAAACGGAAATATCGTGCCATCTGATAATAATAAATTCACCATCTACGTTAATTACGATTTCATGAAAGGTGGAAAGTGTGATTCGTCTGATAATAACAAAAGTTCAGTGCGTCTTCTCGAACCTGATGTACAACTTATTAAAGTAAACACCAAAACGAATGATGACGAAGCTAAATGCGTTGATGATGATGATTGTGATGACAATGATGTGGAAAACAACAGCAATGAAACCATGTCTAAAATGATACAATGTCAACAGATTTCAATGTACATTGGTGAGAAAAAAATTGTTTTCCATGAAACAGTAAAATTTCTTTCATGATTTAATTCATTTAGCGGTGGAAAAAAAGGCAGTTTTTCTGATTGAAGTTAATGTTAATGTACTTTGTACAATTTCTCAATCGTGAAGAAAACTGCGTAACAAAGAGAGATAGAAAATAAGTAACAGCGAAACTTTTCTCAATTGATTTTCATCTAATAGATTAGATAGTTAAATTAAATGAGTAGTTGATGTGATCAAACAATTTGCAAACGGTTGTTAATTATCATAAAATTCTCTTTCCAGACGATTCAGATCATCATTATGAGTCACTTTATTCAATTCAACAACAGCGTGCAGTGTTAGAAGGGAAGATTGAGAAACCGTTAACACAACGAAGTGAAGTTGACTTTGACATTTATCGAGAGAATGTTGAAGATTATGATTCATTCGACGACAGTGATGAAGAGCATCATTCTGATCAGTTGAAGATTAACGATGAGATTAAAGATGAAAAGCTTCCAGAACCTCCACAAAGTACTGGTCAAGTGTACGCTTTCGTTCAAAGAATTAAAAACTTCGGTTCGATATCTAAAAATGAAATCTCCAAAGGCATCAGTAAGATTGCTAAGAAGCGTGTAAGTCTAGGAAAGCTTCCAACATCAAGATCGCAATTTTATGAAAGCAATCAGATAAATGAAGAGACTGTATACAATCCTCCCAAATATGAAAGCAAAAGCTTAGGGAAAAAGTCTCGAGGTTTATCGAAACTTCAAAAGCTTGGCAGACTTACAATCAATAAACTTCCAACAAACTTTTCCCTTGATCATCCATTTGATCATTCAGAATATCAACGAACATCGCAAAGCAGCTTGAAAGAAAGTGAGAGCAATTCTAGTCCTAACAATTTAAGCAAATCCATGAGCAATTTCAACTCTGTTGAGAATGAAGCTGAATTTCAATGCTCGAAAAATAAAAACGAAAAAAGCTTAAAATCGAAGTTTCGTAAAGGAAGCGCGCCGTCATTCAGTTCATCGTCAACTTCCAATATTTATGGTTCTTTGGCAAGTAAAAACAGCACATTTTATGTCACTGACTCCCTTGACGTTGATTCAGGAATTTTCGCTGTTAATGAGAAATCAACAAGCTCGCCCGATAACTCAAATCTCAACTTGAATTCCAACTCAACTTCAAATGTTAATTGTGATTTGAAACGACGTTCAATTGCTGCTATCAACACCAGTCGTCCTAATGATCCACCACCACCACCACCTTCAGAAAGTGCTTCAAGATCACGTGGATCGACTTCTTGGTATGCTGAATGTGGTTTGTTTAAGAACGAAGATGTTCATCTCGATGAAGAACATGTCGGGGATGAGAAACATGAGAAAGTTTCAGCTTCGTGGTATTCCGATAGTGGATTATATCAAACAAGCAGCAATTCAGTTGCAAGGTGATTTTCATTTGATGCAATTATAAGCACAAATATTAATTAATTAAATTCTAGTTCAAGCGGAAGTTCAGGTGTGTCAACAGGTGGCGAATGCAGTCCATGTGGCGATGAAAACTCTCATAGCATGTTTCTAAATGAGCCGCTTTATCAACTGTATACGGCTGCTAAGTTAGAGTCAATCTCGTCAAGTGAGTTTGAGCCGGAAATTGAATCCGATGGTTATGAAGAGATTAGCAAAAAAGATCTGCAAGAGATTGTCGATAAAAAGCCGTCAAGGCCTTCAGCTTTGCAACTTATCGAGCCGAATCAAGGACCTTCAAGAACGCTTTGGAGTGAAGTACCCGAAGTTATTCAATCGGGAATTTTTAGTAAGAATTCTTTATTTAAATCTTTGAAATATGTTTAATTATATTTCTTGTGCTTATAGATAAACTAAGTCAGAATGAAAAGCGAATGCAGGAAGCAAAATTTGAGATTTTAACATCAGAAGCTTCTTACTTGAAGTCTTTGAATCTTCTTCGATCGCATTTCATGAATCATCCAGCATTTCGTGATCCACAAAATCTCGATCCAACTGATCGCAAAACTTTGTTCTCTTACATCGTCCCAGTTTTGGAATGTTCTGATAGACTTTTATGCGATTTAGAAAGTTGTTGGCAAGATAACATTATGCTTGTGAATCTTCCGAAGAATATTTTTAAGCATGCTGAGAAGCATTTTCATGTTTACATTTCTTATTGTGAACATCAAGGAAGATTAGATCGAACACTCAAAAGATTAAAGGAATCAAATGTTTCATTTAAAGAAACTTTAGATGCACTTGAAAACGATTCAGTGTGCTGTGGATTGAACTTGCATTCATTTCTGATGCTTCCAATGCAACGAATAACTCGTTTGCCTTTATTAATCGACGCAGTCATGACAAAGTTGAAATCTAATGATGAAGAGTTTGATGACTGGAAAATGACTTTAGCAATTTTAAACAAGGTGAGTTTAAGCAATAAAATAATAAATCAGCGTGCGATAAAATCCAACCTTGTGTCGTTTTGTATTTAGATTGTTTATCAATGTAATCAAGCTGCCAACCGATGCGAACAAGCTTTTGAAATGGAAGTGCTATCAAAACAAATTGAGTTTCCAGCAAACATTACTCCTTTTCCATTAATTCCATTCAATGTCACAACTAACAATCGACTACCACGAACATTAGTCAGACGTGGTGAACTTGTTCATATCATTTATCGTGGTGATGATGCAAAGCTCACGTTTGGTAAGAAAACGACAATCAAGAAGAACATTTATTGCTTCCTTTTCACTGACATTGTGATTCTGACGAAAAAGAAGAGGTTTGTTTAACAATTCCTTTTATTTCATTATTTAATCGAGAATGTTTCTTTCATTTTAAGTGACGAGTCATTCCTCGTGTTTGACTACTGCCAAAGATCATTACTTCAACTTTCGTCTGGTGATGTCATTCCACAGCTACCAGCTAAAGATGTCAACAATGCTGGAAAGTTTATAATGTTTATGTCGCTTCTTGAAAATTGTATTGGAAAACCAATTGATCTGGTAAATGAAAATTAATTTTCAAAAGTTTCATTTTGATTCATTTTTTTCTTCTTAGATACTTTCATGTCCATCGGAAACTGAACGACAAAGGTGGTTGCAAGCAACAGCACCACCAACATCTGAAAATCCTTACGAAACTTTATACGAACAATGGGACTGTCCTCAAGTGGTTGTAAAGCATGCATATCAAGCCTTAGAGCCTGATGAACTGACACTCGATATTGGAGATGTTGTTAATGTATTGAAAAAGATGAAAGACGATGGTGAGTCGATGATTGGTAATCAATTTAAACTTTATAAAACAATTAAATGTATTTAGGTTGGTATTATGGTGAAAGAATCAGAGATGGAGCTCAAGGTTGGTTCCCTGGAAATTATACTGAAGAAGTTCATTCATCTCATGTGAGAGCGAGAAACCTAAAACAACGTCATCGTCTTCTTCTTTACACAGCAACTTATTTGGAATCACAAAAGGAGCCAAGCTTAAAAAAGAAATGATTAAATATCTTCCAGTATTAAATTTGAACAAGGTGTAACATTTGGCTTTTAATTCACTTTATTATTAGATATTCAATGTCTTGCCTTTCATCAACTTCTTTTTTTCATGAAAAGCAAACCTCAAATGTCATATTCATTCTTTCCATTTTCGAAATTTTCAATCAATTGTGATACACTTTTTATATCTAAAAGATTTACACAACTTACACCTTGCCCAAGTAGAAATGTTCTTTACATTGTTAATAAATTATGGACCTGATGAAATATTTTGTTGAATATTTAAAGATAATTTATAACTGACGTTTTTTGTATTTTAATGTCACTAATAAACAATAAATAACTTTAAATAAATTACATTGTTACGTCTTTTATTTGATATTGTGAAAACAACGAGTCATTGTATGATTATTTTTCAAGATTCCTAAAATTAAAGAAATTTTCGACTCATTTTTCTATCATAAACAAATAAGATAGAAAAATTAGATTTCTGACAGCTTACATTTGATATTCCCGAAATATAAATTTTATAACCATCGCGACTTATGTAGATCTGACGCAAATGATCATCAAGAAGCGAAAGTCGAAGTTATAATGGAAATTCACACATTCATCCTTTTGGAGTGGGGATGATCATCATTTTAAATTCAATTTTAAGAAACAATCGTCAGATTCAATCAAGTATTTAAGACTTGATGCACTCCTTGCATTGAATCAGTTGAAGTTCTTGCATGGTCGCTCTTTTTTCTTCACATTTATTTTACGCAAATTCAAATATTTTAAATTGCGGCTTTGAAATTTATAAACATAATAAAAAGCTTTTGAAAGTAATTAGGCACAAGTTTTTTCAGCGCAAGTGCATTTAATTTCCAGATTTCTCGGAATCCGAACTTGTTTCATTTAAAGACAATTTTGTTTCGTATGCTTGAAATATATAAAAAGCACTTGAAATATATTTTTTCCTAATATAAATTCAGTAAATTAAACTTCTAGCCATTTCTTCAAACGAGTTTCTTTGCACTTTACAACAAACGTTTCTATGTTTTGGACCACAATTGAACTAAAGTTTCTTGTCAAAATACTTCACACATATTACAATAGTCAAATAAGATTAACATTAAAGTAAAAACTGGTTGTACATATACAAAAACTTTATGTGACGATGTGCGAAGTGCGTCATTGCAAATTTTCTCCTTTTTCTTATTTTTAGTCCTTATGGTGCTGTCAATTGTGATGCTAAGTTCAAAAAATTGTTGAAAACGTTCCCATAACTAAAATAATACAAAATACAATTCACACTTTTTTTATGAAATGAAATATCTTTAGAAAATCTTTAATCAGATTTTTATAAATAAAATGAATCAGCTAATTTGCAAGAACACTGCACGAATACAGTCAACGCTCTATAAGCGGGAGCTCTATGAGAAGAAAAGCTTCATGAGCGAACCCCCTTTCAGCTGCATTCATACTTGAAAGCCATTCTATGAACAGAAAAGCTCCATGAACGAACCCCCCCTTCAGCTTCCGCTTATAGAGATTCCATTGTAATTTCATGAAATATTATCTTGTTCTTGTCAAAGTTTAAAAATATTTCCGTTCACTTAATTGGTGTAAATTTGCCAACATCATGATTCAATATGCATTCCTAATTTAACAGATAAACAACCATATAAAAAGCTATTTGAAATAGTTTTGTCATAAATGTGTTGCCAATCTCTAAAAAAAATAATTCTCATTCTTCGAAGCTCACACTTGACACAAAAAAAAAAACCTAAAATTTTCGGCAATCTTCAACAGAGGGCGATGTTTTTACTTTGCCTATAAATCTGAGACGATCAGAAGAAGACGCACTAATAGTCATTCAGCAATCGTAAGTGACATATCTATCAAAGCAGCAGGTAGTCAGTTTTATAAAATATTTAATCTTCCAGAAAAATTGGTCAGCTCAATTCTTAAATAAATAAATAAATAGAGAAAAATAAAAAATGTCTGCTTTCGGGGGTTGAAAATTAATTAAAGTGCAATTTGTGTAAATTATGCAATATGAAATTTCAATCCATTTCGATAATCTTTCATGTTGATAATGATATAAATTAAAAGTAAATAAATAAGGAAAAATTTAAAATTTTCTGCTTCCGGGGGTTGAAAATTAATTAAAGTGCATTTTGTGTAAGTTATGAAATGTGAAATTTAAAATTTTATCTCGTCCTGATTAACACTTTCGTTCATCCAAATTCTAAATGATGTCGAACAAAAAGTTTAATGAGGAAAGTGATGTCAAGGATATTAATTTAATAAATTATATATTTTTTACTCGCAAAATTTGACGATGGATGGTTTAATCAATATGTGTGATATAAATATTTGGGTATTTAATATTGTGGAAAAGTATATTAACAAAATTTACTTTTATTTAATAAATACGCGTGACTAAAAAAAATATTCCAATTTTGTTGTATTTTGCTTAATTAAATTTTATGGCAAGTATCAAAACTTTTTCAAGATATCACAAAGTTGCACATATTTTCCAACATGTTCAATGAAAAATATTTTTTTTCAATGTTAAGTTTTCTCACTCTTATGTCAATATGTAATTTAATAGTTTAAAAAACTCTCAAAAATGGAATAAATTCATGAAATATTCGATACTGTAAAATAATATTTGAATTAAATATTCAAATGAACTGTTCTGTAGTTTTTGGCACACTCTAAGTTTGCTAGACTGATCTATTTGCAGAGATATATGTATTTAAAAATTTAATTATGCGTTTTTTATTATTTATTGTCTATAAAAAAATTCAAATCTTTAAAATCGATTTCTTTGAATCTGCACTTCAGTTTCAGATTGAAACTAATGAATGAACTTGATACTTAGCAATTTTTTTTTATGTAACTATTTATTTGCACTAGATACTGCTTGAAAGGCTCTCATCAAATGTGACGTTTGTAGCTTAAAATAAAAATTATTCAGTTTAAGTATTTCTTAGGAAAAGTAATTCTTATCCAAAGCTTAATTGCGAATCATGCACGCAACTCCTTTGTGTAAAGTTTAATCTATGAACCCTTTTAAAAGCTAAAATATTATAAAGATCCACTACTTGGCTACCGTTTTCAAAGTCATCATTTTTTTCTCTCCCGTTTGGCCTGTTTAGAAAGAAATCCAAAGAGCGTCTTAAAACCTTGAACCACAGAAAGTTTAAAAGTTTCCACAGACGTAAATGGATAAAAGTGCGAATCAGTTAATTGGTTCATTAAAAATCCCTTTCACAATTGTAGTTTCATAAATAACGAAGAAAGAATGCAAACAAAAAAATCATTATTGAAGCATCCTTTTCAGATCAAGAAAAATGTTACAAATTAATATTGGGTTTTTACCACAAGGGATTTTCACATTTTAAAAAGTTATAAATTAATTTCAAAGAAGTCAGTCTATTTTAAGCCCATTCAGTAACTTACTATGAACTCCCTTCAATTGTTTTCGGATTTTTAGAATTCTTAAAAAATAATGAAAGAATTTTTAATTGAATTTTGTTTCATAATCAAACAAAAGAAGCCAATTAATTAAAAAGCTCTGATTATGTTAACGACCTGCTATAATCATTCAAATAAATTCTACCATTTATTTTTAGAGTTAAAATTTACTTGAGTTTGCAGAAAATAATGTACGAAAACTTGAGAAGTGCCATGGAGAAATATTCCGATCCAAGAACCACAAATTGGTTTATGATGAGTTCGCCACTTCCAACAGTTGCTATGAGTTTAACTTACATTTGTGTTGTAAAGGTAAATCAATTGAAGTTTATAAAGAAAAATATAAATAAACTTGCTTAATAAAACAGATTATTGCACCACGAATGATGGGAAATCGCAAACCATATGATGCAAAAGGAATACAATTGTGCTACAACATTATTCATTTATCAATAAATCTATATTTGTTTCATGAGGCTTGTGTCAATGGCTGGCTTACTGGCTATAATTATCGATGTCAACCTGTTGATTTCAGCATGACTGGCACACCATTGAGAGTAAAGCAGCATAAATTTATTTTATTTTTATCTAAAAAATTAAAAAATTTCAGATTGCACGAGGTTGCTACATTTACTATTTAAGTAAATTTACAGACTTCTTTGAGACAATAACTTTTATATTGTTGAAACGTTTCGATATGGTGAATTTGTATCATGTCGCACATCACAGTATAATGCCATTCTCTGTCTGGTGGGGTGTTAAATTTTTAGCAGGTAACTCTTTCCACCTTCAAATTCTATTCACTGAATCAAGCAATGTACCTAATATTTAAAAAAAACAGGAGGCCATTCAACCTTTTTTGGCTTCATCAACACGGGATTTCACTGCATGATTTATATTTATTTTATACTGGTAACTGTTTTTCCACAAACAAAGAAATTTTTTTTCTGGTGGAAAACTTGTTATCCTTGGATGCAGGTAATTTATCTTAATTTACTTTTCTAAATCCGTAAATCTCACCAATTATGTTAAATAATGTGCAGATAATACAATTTGGAGTGATATTTTTACATGCCATGCAGCTCTTATGGAAAAATGATTGTAATTATCCAATGGCATTTGTGTACTTCATAGCAGCTCATGCAGTGCTGTTCTATGTGCTGGTGAATGCAAAAATGGTAAGATTGAAAATTAATTTTATTTTATTTCATTTTCACAATTTTTCATTCACAATTACTTAGCGAATGGATGCAAAGATAAATAACTTTAAAAAAATTGACAATGGAAGATCAAAAATGTTTGAAAATCGTCACTCTGAAGGAATCTTTAATAAAAGCAGCAACGGGGTTAGAAAACGAAATATTTCTGATCATTAGAAAATTATTTGGCATTCTATATTTACAATAAACAGGGAAATATTTTAAGTGCCTTATTTGACAAGCTCAAAGGGGATTAAATGTTAGAAGACTTAATTATAAGTTCGCTATTTTAAATGAAGGCTTTTTCTGTCATTAATTAAACTTCCATGTTTAATGTACTTTTTAATAGGAAATAAAAGATTCATAGGAAAAATAAAGGAATGGAATAAATTTTACAGTTTTTATAAAAAAAAAGAAGAAGTTTCATGACTACGAAGATTAAATGGAATTACACAGTTTTCCAAAGATTCTCAAACATTTAATGGAAGTTTCTCAAACTGTCTACGTTTCCTACGTAACATTGACGTAAGACTTTGGAGAAGGAAATAAAACGCAATTGAATTCATTTTCATTTTAATGGTTATTTATTTATTTATCCAATATTTTAGATTACACATATCGAACAGTTATCATTCATTCTTCATAAAAAATCTATCATAATTGTCTAATACACGTTGTTTAAACAGTTATTAATTGTATTATGATTTTCGAATGGTTGAAATTGTTTTGAAGAAAGAAAAACTGAGGAAGAGGTAGTCAGTCATCTGCTGTAAATCGTGGTTCTTAAAACGCTTTCAGTGTAGAAATGTCGATTAAAATCGCGACTGATTATAAATTGTATAATGTTATCAATTCTCTTCTTTTCTTGTATATTTTTTTTTATTAATTCCTGCACAATTGTATTTAAGCATTCTCGCCAAAACACGTTGGAGTGTTGTGTTAATTATCACAAAAGGAACATTATATAAAATTCTCATGTTTTTTGGCAGTTTTCTAGACACATTTATAAGTGAGAATTGTTGTTATTTTAAGAGACTATGAAGTAATTCATTTTTAAATGAAAATTTTTGTGCGCAGTGATGATTAAAAATTTTTCTTATGAAATTAAGAAGACCAACCTCAAGTTTTGAAAGTCAACATGCCTTCAATTTAAAATTAAGGATTGATAGCTTGCAACATTGTAATTTTTAATTCACTTGCAAGATGAGAAATGTCAACAACTGAATCAACCATTTCCTGAACCGCTGTAACACTTGGAAAATTTTGAGCAGCCTTTTTCGTCTTCGTGACGCAAGTTTTCAACGATTCAAAAAGTGCATTAGCACATGAAAGAATTCGCGTCTTGATGTTCTTCTTAGTGACATTGCGATGAACAATATCGCCAATATTAACCAAGTTGTGAGCACTGAAAAGAGGGAAAGAGCGAAAGTTTGTTTATAAAATATTTCAACAATGTCAAGTCATTGTTCATTCAAACTCACCTCAAAACGACAAACTTTCCATAAGCCAGGAAGAACTTTGGAGGTTGATTGTGTTCGACAGTCTTAAGAAATGAGTCAATTGCTTGTGTAAGATAATTTATGTGAGTGACACATTGTGACGCATAATAAACAAGAACTGATTTATCATTAGGATCTAATGGTTCATTGACGTCATTCATTGATGCCATTTCCGCACTTTTCAAAACATTATCGAAATTCTTCTTGAGGTCTTTCGGCAAAGCATTACGAATTTCAGCATTTTTCTTAGCGAATTGCTCTTCACTTTCCAAACAAACGTAGTCAGTATCTTCAGGCCATTGAACTTGACTAACTGGTGTCGATGGCGTTTGTGAATTTCTTTTAAACAAAAGTGAAGCATTTCCTTGAATAAACGATGCTGTTTGTCTGATATCTTCAGTCAATGTTTGAGATACAACGATCAGTTGATCAAGCGAGTCTGGTGGTAATTGAGATTGCTTGCTTTTAACTTTCATGTTACTTTCAGTTCGTTTCAGCAATTCAATATTCCATGATTGAAGATCAAGAGCATTGCATGCTTCATGAATAAGCTTATCAGCATCTTTTAAAGCTTTCGCTAAAGGACGAAGCTTGTTAGACAAATCTGTAAAGAAAAATAAATAATTTAATGAAAGAAACTTTTTTTCTTTTCTTTCTCTTACTTTTATCTTCTGTTTTCATGGCATTTCCTAAAGCACCTTCAGCAAACTCCGCTAAATCATGAAGTGATGTTTTCAATCGTACAACTGCTAATTTTATATCCATCAAAACAGGTTCAAGTTTCACTTTAACTCGCCATTGTGGATTAACAAATGAAAGCAATTTTGTAACGCCAACAGTCGCTTCATGTTGAAGACGCGACAAAGTGTCAAGTGCTGATGAGAGTTCCAATGGCAACTCTTTTGTTGTTTCAAATCTCTTTGGTGAATTCATATTTGCGTGTGAATTTGGAACGTCATAAGTTTCAGATCCAAGGTCAATGGATTTTAAGGAAAGAATGCTTTGTGATTGAGGTGGGGGTGTTCGTTTATTCATCGCTGAAATATGTTTTCGTGGAACATCATAATCAGGCATGTTTGCCAATGACGATCTATTAGAAGAAGAAAGACTCAAACTCAAACTATCAGATGTCAAAAGTGATGAGTTTGAGCTGCTTGGAGTCATTCGTGAATTTCCCAAATTACTGGCAGGACGTGGAACGTCGTATGAATCGTCCATTCTTAATAATAAACTTGTTGCTGTACTAGAGTTCGATAAAATCGATTGCCGACTAAATCCTCGTCTTATTCTTGGGTTTTCGTTGACTGCTACTGCTGGCTTTGGAATATCGTATGAATCAGCATCAAATGAAAGCGAAGATACCATCGACTGATTCATATAAGGACCAGGACTATTCAGTCTGCTAACAGCAAACGAAGAACATGATGAGGGCGTTGATGGAAGTAAATCATACAAATAAACGTCACCACACTTTTGAGGAGTTACCACCTTAAATAATAATTGCAAAATAATTTAATTAAACATATTTTTCTATTAAAGCAATTTCTAATAATTATCTTTGAAACCTTCGAAATGGAATTAAAATATTTATTTCTACTCACACAAATGACGAACGAAAATGGCAAAAATCGATAAAATGTAAAAATCAATTTCAGACACGATAATTTTTTCTTCTTTTTCTTCTTTACTCTCAAAGTTCAAAGATAGCAAATAAAATACTTCAAATTGTGTCGCAAATCAATAGAACGTTAATTAATTCACATGAAAAAGCGACTCTTTTCGATGAGAAGTTGTATTGAAATAATTTATGGTTTTGTTGAAGAAAAATATTTATCACGACAAATGAAACGTTCGCTCCACTTCGAGTTATAAAAGAATGAATGTTGAAAGGAAAGGAAACTGCGAAACATTTCAGAATTGTGTATACAGAAAGGGAACGAAGCAAGGGAGAGAGAGACATGTTACTGCGCATGTGCTGAACAAAACACAATGCGAGAGAAGCGTTTATCCTTTCTGTCAGAAATTTTACGATTCTACTCGCATACTTTACATAGATATATGCTGTGCTGTGCACCATTCAGGAAAAAAGGGCGAGAAATGTTTAGGCGTTGAATAAACAAAATCTTTTTTATGATAATTAAATTTTATGCTTCACGTACGAGAGTCGAGTTTATTCGACAACCGAAGAACTGAATTAATGTCGCTTTATGTGACTTTATCGCAACGTGCAACAGGATTTGAAGTGGAAAAAGTTTCAAACTTTTTATCTTTTATGGGAAAGATGAAGGCAGAATTTCGTTTACTTATAAGCTACGAAAATATCAAAAGTTATTTCTAGAAACTTTTCTTCTTTTTCTTGACTTGCTAAACGCCATTTTCGGGACATTGCATCCAATCTTCGTTTTGCCTTTTATAGACATTCGCCTTCTTGAACATTCAGAACAGGTCGTTGCTAAGTTCGATGCTATTTCAAAGACGACTGCGATTCACAAATCAGAAGTTGTACATAAGAAGGTGGTTTGATATTCTCACATAAATTAGCCAACTTAACTTTCTCAGTAATGTCAAGAAACTAAAATCTAATTAAAATTTCTGCACGTGTCATTAGAATTTATTAACAAATGTTAAGCAAGCTGAAGACAACTTGTAAATGCATATTCAAGCTGACGCTATATTTTAATTTATTTATTTATTTACTTATTATCATCTTGACTTTACTTGACTTCGTTGTTGTTTGAAAAAAAAAGATGTGATAAATTTTAAAACCGACCATAAATTACGAAAAGATTGAGGACATTTCTTGAGATTACAAAAGTTTTTACAAAGACGACACTCGAAAAAGCAACAAATCTCCTTTTCCCTAACAAATTAAGGTTTTTCAACATAGAAAATAGAACTCAATAGAGTGGGAAGCGTCCTTGCGTAGCAACATCTGCTGATAATTTCTTAACTCGAAGTGGATGAATAAATATCTACATGCCTTTGTATCGTTTTATGAAAAGTAATAAAAAGCATCTATCGGAATTTTTCGAGTGAAATAACTTAGGGTGGCTTGTGTTTCTTTTTGCATTGAAAAGGCACGATAAAAGGAAATTTAAAAGTCATCTGCGCAAGATTGGAATGTTTTTGTTTTTGTCTATATGTACACAGTTAGGTATAAATAATCTAAAATGATATTTCTTGAGGATGAAGTCAATGGCACGTGCAATATACAAAGAAAGCGTTTCATATTGTGTTAAGAAATTGAAATTGAGAACACTTCATTAAACAATCGAGATTGAATGTCTTGAATCAAATGAATTCTTAAAGAGTTTGACATATTTTGATAACCGCGCGTTGGTAATTTAGTTTATCTCATAAATTTCTACTCACTTTGTTTGGCATTATATGCCATGATCGTCTTTTTCCTTTGGAACTTCTAATTGAAGTATTTTCATATAATTCACTGGGTTGCGAAATTTGACTAGAAAATGTCAGCGTTGATGCAGACATACTCATTGATGTTGAACAAGGAGACGTGAGTGGTGATGGCGTATAGCAAGCAGTCTCATAATCGATAACTTTTAGACGATTTCCGGGACAAATTCCTTTGCGACCTCGTAGCGAACACAACCACCATCCATCCAAACCATCAGTGTTTTGCTCAATGACATCCAAAATTTCCCCCTTGCGAAACGCTAATTCATCAACGGTCTCAGCGATGTTGTCATAAAGAGCCTTCGCTTTAACATTCTGAAATTGCGAGAAAAAAAAGTTATGAGAAACTCTCAGGCATGTGTTTAAATACCGGAGTAAAAGTATCAACAAATTGCAGCCATATGTTAATTGAGCTGATGTAATACGAGACGAAGTAAATCTTTTTTCAGAAGAGAAAAATACGTTAAAATCATTTCTGAGACACTTTGAAAGTTTTGCGCTATTTGGAGGGAAGATTGAGACAAATTTTTTTTATGAAAGCGGCAAAACTATTTAAAGGAAAGAATTTTCATAAGAAAAGAAACGACAAAGACAAATATAAATATAAATATGGTAAATACAGCGGTTGGAGATTTTACGTTTGTAAATAAGTATGAGAGTTGATTTGATGTGTTTGTGATCAAAGAGATATTAAAAAAAATTAATTACGATTGGCTTCATTACACCGCAAGTGAAGAGAAGAATATTTTAAACATAAATATATGTGATCTGAAAAAAAGCGCCTCATGTGAATCAACATTTTCATGATGAAGCGGTAAAACCAGTTTTATTTATGAATGCAAAAAAAAAGTTATTTCTCTTTGGTTTTTAGTTTTTACCATTGCGAAAGCAGTGTTTGCGTGACGTTGCTGGTTTGATTTTTCGGGCGAAAGAAAAACGCGTTTGAATCACTCATAAAGAATGAAAAAAAGTTAATTAAAGGAAGGAGAAAATCTGCTGTTATCTGCCTTGCAGCTCTTTTTAAATGTTCCTCAAGCGTAAATTCTTTTTTTCGCCTGGGATTTAGAGTTGGTAAATCTTTGCAAATCTCTTGTTGTAAGACGAAAATCTGCACACTCATGCGTGCATGGAGCTTCTCCATGATATATTTTGGGCATAAAAGCTGGTTCATTTCCCTTCTTGATAGAATTATTTCCGACCGTAAATCATTTTGAATTAGTGAAAATTGAGAAGCGTAACTGGATAACACGGGAAAGCTATTAGAGTCAGCATTATTTAAATTTACATCGATAATTGATGTAGGAAGGCAAAAGCATTAAGCAAGCATGCGAGGGATTGCATAAATATGATTGCTTAAGGATTGGAAAATATTTACACCCATGAGTACATTAACAGGTAAAGCTGTTCAAACATCCGCGGGAATGTCAAGTTTTTAAAGTGATAAATTTCTTAAATCTGAGTTTCAGACGATATGGGAAGACAAGACAATAAGAAAATGTTGCTCATGTTGATACCAAATAAAGAAAAAGTAAAGATAAACATGAAAACAAAACCAGAAAGTACTAATAAGTCGCCATTGGAGACAAGAGAGAGAGTAGTGCAATATATTTACAAAAGATGGTGGAAAATAGCTCTAAAGTTGATCACGTATTACTTTAAACAGCTGCTTAAAAGCAAGTCTATAAAGAAATAAACTACAAAATTTATAGGAAAAAAACAAGAAGTTGATAAAACACTTAAAACAATTCGCTACACTCGATTCACTTATAAAACTGTGTTTAAAGTTAGTAGAAATCCAGTTAAATATATTTCATACATCATTTCTCAATAGAATCTATCAGTAAACTTATTTATTGAAATAAGCTGCAAGACTTTCTTTTATAAAGAAAAAAAAAATATGAATGCTTAATGCCACTTTGCATGATTATTTAATTTGGTATTAACTGACCTTGAGCGACGGCTTTGGTTTGTCGTAATCCACTTCAACCCATTGCATTTTCATTATTTTTTTTTGTTAGTCGGATTTGTATGGCACTGTTATTAATTCATAGTAAACCAATCCGGAAGTAACTTCAATTGTACTGGCAAATATAAAATTATAGCTTTCGATAGCGGAACGTGAAATATGTACCAGCAAACTTCAAATTTGGCTTCAACTTTTTATTTTGCACAACAAACGCGGTTTATTTTGTATATCCAGTATTGTTGACTTAGTGTCGTGATGTTTGTTAAACTTTTCTTCTTTTCACTTAAAAAAAGTTGAAAGACATCACTCGTGACGTTATCGTTTGTTGTTCAACTTAACTCACTGATAATATTTTATCGATAAGCGAACTGATTTTTTATTTCTTTCATATACACAAATAGTACATAGATACGTGTGAGGTTAAGTTACGGACGTATTCGTTATATTTTTTTTATTAATTTGCACTTGTATTGACCTTATTCGATTGATTTTATGCATCTATTTCCTTTTTAAGTTTTAATTTGCACATAAAATTTTAATATTTCTTATGCAATAAAATGACACTTTTGACAGAGAAGCTTTTTCTTCTTTGCTTAAAAAGGTAATAAATTTTTTCTTTTATCCAATAACACAAAAACTTGACGAGAGATACGACGAATGATGTTGAGCCGCGAACAGTCCGACTTGCTTTGAAGTTCTTGAATTTGTATTTGAAAACATTGGATATGAGAAACAAGAGAAATGAAAACATTGAGAGAGTCAAAACATTGATCCAACATCAGCATTGAAGCATTGAAACATTGAGCAAGTTAAGATTTGAGCGTTCTGATGATCTGCCCCTTGTATATTTCTGACCATTAAAGAAGGCTCAAGATTTATGGTTAACGTCTTCCTTTTAATGATGTCATGCGATGCATTTCAAACAAAAATATGTTTTCTGTTTCTTCTTTTTTGGGATATGTTAAAGAATTTGACCTGAACGCATTTTTCTCTTATTCTGTTTTAAATTCAAGGAGCCAAGAAATTGTTATTGTTATTGTTCTTTAATATGTCCATCATTAAATATCAAATTGTTACGATTAACTTAATCTACGGTCGTGCCTTTAATGTTTGGATTTTTAATAACTCTAATTTATTGCATGCTTAGTTGAGTAATATAAACTTTCGATTTTTATGATCATGCAAAAATGCAACAGTCGGAATAATGTCACCCCGCAATTCAAATGTTAAACAATTCCATTAAATTCTATCGAATTGAAATTGTGAAAATTGTAATGTTTTGGTTTAATGTTCAGCAAACAAGTTTGTTTTCATTGTATAAAAATAAATGTAAGTTGTAAGTAGTTCCGTTTTCTTTATTGTGACGCAATTTGCAGGGAATTTTAGCTACGTTTCACAGAAGTATGAATGAATCAATGGATACGATTACGAAGAAAAAAAGATTAAAGAAAAATGTAAGCAGACACTCGTTCAATATAATATCTTAACAATGAGTGAACAATCTGAGGAATTTCTTTTCTGACATGCTTGAAATAGTCGAGCATGTGGGTATGAAATATGTACCGATGTCATTCTCAAGTACAAAATTGTTTAACGATGATTGGAGTAAAAAAATATTTTATAAACAAACCATCAATGCAAATCAATTCATCAATAAAATATTGAAAAGATTCCTAAATGTTCATGAATGGAATTGAAAATTGAAGCAGAGAATCGCGTGCTTGAGAAATTTAACTTTCCAAGGACTTTCAATTAGAATTTATTTTGAACATTTTTGGGATCTTTATGAAAATTAATGGATTGTGAATTTCAGCTTAGGCTTCGCAAGGTTTTTAGATCCCTGGATACTTCAAATGAAAATTCATTATATTTGCTTTTAAGAGATGATGAATATCGATTGTAAATATACAAAGAATCAGCTAAAATCTACATGATATAACACAATTATTTCAGGTGATTGAATGCTTGTTAAAAACAACTCAATCTTGATAAATCAATATAAGTCAATTGTCAGATGTTACTCATCGAATACCTCAGAGAAATTCTTAACTGAAGTGATGATTCATTGAATCAACTCATGCTAGATAAATACCTTATCAGTCAAGCTAATTAACACTTTAACATAAAATTAACCGAATGGAAAACGATTGTAATGGAAAAACCTTTAAAAGTTGGAACGAGAGATGATAACGTTTCGTGCGCAAAGCGTTTGTGTTTGTATGGCACCAAATAAATAAATTTTGGTGGCAAAGCGTTTTTCCAGTACTTTATTCACTGTCGATAAATCAAACACTGTGGACACATTTTTTTAACGAAATAACAAAAAAATAAATAAATTGTTTGAGTGATTTTTTGATCTAATTTTTCAGTGATCTGCTTTTAGAAATTTTTCAACTGTTGTGAAAGTAAACCGAAAAGAAGAAAAATGGGTTTGAGTTGTGGAATGTCAATGGTTAAATATGGTCTTTTCATCTTTAACTTAATCTGTGCTGTAAGTATTTTTAAAGACGAACATAACATTCTGAAAGTGCTTTCAACTCAGAGCACTTGACTTTATTTATGTAAAATATTTTCAATCTCTTCATGCCTTGATAAATTCATAATTCTGTCGACATTTTTTTTCAAATCTTCATTCAAATAACACATCCATAAGGTGACATAATCTAATAATAAATTCTAATAACGACACTTGATTATCAATCTATCGAACTCAACAGTAACGTAAACTATGTCAGCACTTAGAAGTAAATTTAATTTTTATTCATCCTATCAAAGTGATTCACTGTGGGAAAATAAGCATTCATATGAATAAAGCTTTTGTAATTTCCTCGTAATGAAATATTAATGACCTCACTTTTCCACTTCATTCAATTTTTGTTGACTTTACTGACAATAAAATCGATAAATTTATGCTGAGGTGAAACAAGCTTTAACCCTTGCTTTAACCTATTCAACTTGCACATTTATCCAAAGCTTTAAAGATAACTTAATGTTAATGTTTTAGCTCAAAAGTTATAACTCACTAAATAAACAGAAAAAATATTCCATTCTTATTAATCACCAGTTGCTATCTCTAAATGGCAAACACGAGATAAGATAAGAGCCATTAACGAAACTGAATCTAAAATGAACGTTCTATTGATGATTTTCTATTTCTTGTAACTGAAAAAAAAAATTAGGTTGCTGGTGTTGCGTTGATTGTGGTTGGTGCTATTCCTTTATTCAGACTTTATGATGTTAAAGAAGCTTTTCCTGAACACAATCCGGCACTCATTCCAATTCTTGTTCTTATACTTGGATCGCTTATATTCACAATTTCCTTCTTTGGGTGCTGTGGAGCAATCAGGGTAAGAAAATTTCATTTGGTATAGAATGTTATATGAAATATGGACATTAATCAACAATTCTTTACAGGAGAATCAATGCATGGTGTCAACGGTGCGTTTATCAAGTTTATTTTCCATTACATTTATCATAATGTGACATATTTTTTCTTGTCGATATTTAGTATGCCTTTTTCTTATTTGTACTGGTCGTGTTACAAATTGTTCTCGCAGTTTATGCCTTCATTTACACTGAAGAGTTGGCTCAAGCTTCAGTAAATGGTTTTCAGATTCTTTGGAATCAAAAGCAAACGTCACCCAGCACTATGGCAGTTATCGATGGAATTCAAACTACGCTTCAATGTTGTGGTCTTAATGGACCTACTGACTGGGCGAATCCACCAGCAATTGGCAGGTCGTGTTGTCCTCAAGATGCTCAAACATGCGAAATTCCGAATGCCTTCCAAACGGGTTGTTCTGAAGCTTTGAGGAATTCTGTAGAGGCATCAGGAATGTTAATTGCATGGTTTGCTGTTGTTTTCGCTGGATTTGAGGTGAAATATTTTAAAATATAAAAACTGAGAAAAGTTTCTAATACGAAATAATTTTATTGATTAGCTTGTGGGAGTCATTTTTGCGTGTTGTTTGGCTAATAGTATCAGAAACAGCTCGAGAAGACAATACGCTTAAGATGTGTGGGAGAAGAGAAACATTTAACAATAAACAATTTCCTACCGGCATTTGATAGTTTCATCAATAGAAATCTTCATCTTTTGCATTTAAATATTTTAGAAACTAAAGAATCAAAGCTAAAATGTCACATTTGATTGAAAAGTTTTATGAGAAATTCACGGTTTGATTTTTTTTGTGGCACTTTGTCGATAACTTTACAAATTCTTTTATAAAAGAACCACAAATGACGAAGTTACCAGCGAATGATGAAAGTTTGACACCAACTTAAAACTAAAATTAATTTCGAAAAAAAAGAAATAAAAAATATTTTATTCATCGGTTTTTTAAAGAATTTATACAAAACATGATTGTCAAATATCTAAATAAAGTTTAGTCACGTGTGTGGGAATAAACATTAAAAATTAATAAATGCGATAAAATTGAACAACATTTGTGAAGATTTTCAAAATAGATAAAGAAAATCTTTTAAACCTGTTGCATTGATTTGAGGTCGTCAGCAATGCGGAAAACGCAACCAGTAGATTGGACGAGCTCCTCCATTGATACATCGTCAGCTTTTTCAATTAATGTCAATCCTTTCTCGAAGTCAACAGTAAAAACAGCTTTTTCAGTGATGATCATATCAACGCAATTCTTTCCTGTTAATGGAAGTGAACATTGCTTCAAGATTTTCGGTGCTCCACTTTTACTGTTGTGTTCCTAAGATGTAGAAAATAATTGAAAAAATTCCACAATATGCTAATTGAACATTTTTTACCATTGTTATGATCGTTTTGGTTCCAGGTGCTGCAACTAAATCCATTGCACCTCCCATTCCCTTCACCAACTTTCCAGGAATCATCCAATTTGCTAAATCACCAAATTGAGACACTTCCATTGCGCCAAGAACTGTTATGTCAATATGACCACCTCGAATCATTGCAAATGAATCATCAGAACCGAAATAGGAAGCTCCAGGTATGACAGTGACGGTTTCTTTTCCAGCATTAATCAAATCAGCATCAACTTGATATTTTTCCGGGAACGGACCAAGACCAAGAATTCCATTCTCAGATTGCAAATGAACTGTGATATCTTCAGGAATAAAATTGCTGGAAAATACTGGAATTCCAATGCCCAAATTGATGTTCATTCCATCTTTGTACTCAACTGCAGCTCGTCTTACAATTCTTTCACGCAGCTTTGCTGATTTTGATTGTTTTTCTTCTTCTTTTTGAACTTTTCTCACTTGAAGTCTCTCAATTCGTTTTTCAAAAGTGCTTCTTACGATTCTGTGAACAAATATGCCTGGTACGTGAATCTCATCTGGAAGTAAATCACCAACAGGGACAATTTCTTCAACTTCCGCTATTGTAATTTTGGCAGCTTTACACATTGGTGGGTTAAAGTTTCGAGCAGATTTTCTGAAAATTAAATTTCCCAATTCGTCAGCTTTGTATGCTCTAACCAAAGCATAATCTCCAGTAATTGCTTCTTCCATTATGTAAGGTTTTCCATTGAATTCTTTCATTTCTCTTCTTTGACTTTGAATTGCAATTTCACCTTTTTCCGCTCCATATTTAATCGGAGCTCCACCTTCATGCACTAAAGTTCCATATCCGGTTGGAGTGAAGAAAGCAGGAATACCAGCACCACCTGCTCTTATTCTCTCAGCTAAAGTTCCTTGAGGTGTCAATTCGAGTTCAAGTTCACCTGTCAAATATTGGCGCTCAAATTCGGCATTTTCTCCAACATACGAAGCAATCATTCTTTTAATACGACGATCTTTCAAAAGTATCCCCAATCCAAAGTTGTCGACGCCTTAAAAATCAGAATAATGATGAATTATGTTGATTTATGCAGATTTAATTAAAGTTTACCTGCATTGTTAGAAACGATTGTCAACTCCTTTTTTCCAGTATCAAGAAGCGCTTTAATTAAATTTTCTGGTATTCCGCAAAGGCCTTGAAGAAATGATAATATTATAAGAATAAACAAGATTATATTATCTTGTTAGATTAGAATATTAAGAAACATACCAAAGCCACCAACAAGAAGTTTTGATCCATTCGGAATATCGCTAACTGCATCTTCAACATTGCTGTAGATCTTTCCTTTATAAGCTTTATGAAGACTAGCACTTTGAGAGAAATGACAGCTTAAAACCTATCCAGAAGTTGATTGAAAATTAGTCATTTATCATTATAAAATCAAAAACGGCGAATGAAAACTCGGCGACTTTGACTTTTTTTATTATTGTTTTTTCAATCAAACGTCACACACGATTTACCTTTCATTTTACTTACTTTTACACATTGATTACTTATCAGAGGTAGTCTTTTAGTACTTAAAATAAGATGTGAACACTTTGATATAAACATTATAATATTTGATTAATCAAAAAGAATGATATTTGAAGATTGAAAATTTTGCTGCTTTTGGCTATGCAGACCAAAACAAGATTTGAGAATTCTGACATTATACAAAGGTTCAAGTGAGTGTATCTGAAATTTGAATTTTCAAAGATCGTTAAAGTTTTATTTCTTCAATTCAGTAAAGAATCAAATTGTTCAGAAGTATGCATAAGAATCTAAAATTGCAGTCTAATCGTTTTTAAAGTGTAAAGTTTGCATAATTTTCTTTCTACACCTTAAAAAGGGAAAACTTTATGAACTAACATTTCATTATGAAATAAACAATTGTCTTACAAAAATATTTGTCTAAATAAACTACTGCGTTATGTTTATTAAGTCACTCTTGATCGTAATTTAAACGTCAAAACAAACTCTTTCCACATCTACACAATTTAATGTTTGCTAAAAAAAATATATGTATTATTTATTATTAAGATTCTTCTCTGTGTCTAAGAGATAATTGTCGAAAGCATAAAAGTTTTGTTAGTTCATTGTGACATAATGACACGACTATTTAATCAGTGTACATGAATAAATATTATGGTTATTTTTAAGCTATCATCTTCATTACTCAATAATCTATTGACATTCCAATTTCATTGTTTTGAAAATCCTTAAATATCAAAGTTCTTTTCTTTTCTGACCGATACCAATAAACATAAGAAAGAGAAAAATAAACTAAGCAAAAACACAATCAAAGACTTGACCAAAGAGGTCTGTTTTTTATTTTCATATCATTAACAGTTTATTGCAGTGGTGAACTCAAAGGTAGCTCAATAAAAGCACATGTTGTCGCCGTCGTTCTCTTTGCATTGTATTCAGTCGATATTCATTCAAATTTGATGCTTTCGGAATGAAACGTTTCGTTGTGAGGGTTTCACTCAGTTCCATTAGTGCGCTCTTAGAGATCACATCGGTAGAATAAACATTCTCGCGAAATTCTGTTATTCTCTTGTGTTGTTCTTACAGAATGATTTTTAACAACAAATTGTTAACACAACAAGTTGAGATTTTTTCATCTGTGATGAAGTTTCAGAATAAATTCATGTAAACTTTATTTTCGAACAGTTTAAAGTTTTATTTAGTTTGTTATGGTAATTTTACTACAATTGAAAATATCGTGCAAGGCAGGAAAATTGTCTGACCTTCAGAGTGAGAAGCCATTAAATGTTTTCAGTTTTACCTGTACGTATATGATTAAATCCTAGTGTTGTTGTTATTTAATGTAAAATGCAAACTAATTAATAAATAATATTCTATCTATAAAACACGATTCATGTCATGATGATCTGTGATACGAGTTATAAATAAAGATGAAACCTGTTCTGAATGATACGAGTATTGTCGAGTTTTAATCAGTTGACGTTCGAAATAAAATATTTCTGAATTTTTTTAAAGGAATATAAGAAGAAAAGTTCTATTTACACTTACACAAAAGAAATAACAAAAAGAAGTAGAAATAGATGAGAGACGAGTTCTTAAATATTCTCATCTGTGGTGGCATTAAGAAATTCAAATATCGGTGAACCAAGTGTTAAGTTTAAACTTAAAAGGAAAACAGTTTGACAGTGAATCTCTAAAAAAGAAAAGAAAAAACCTGAAAAACCGCATTTTGCACGAAGGCTTTTATTTGAAATCAACCAACACATGATTGTCAAACAAACAAAAACTGATGTCGATATCAAAAAACATTATCACTGCAGTTTTTTCTATGTCATTGAATCTTTTGCTTCCGTAAACTCTCCAGCTTTTGTTGACATTTTTTTCTTCGTCTTTAACAACTCGTGAATGAAATAGTAAATATTAGGAAAGAAGAAAAAAATTCAAAATTTAAAGTAATTTCACACATTATGACTACATGTAATGATGATGCAGGGAAAAATGGCTTTGTTAGATAATTTTCCATCATCCAATGAAAGTATTTTGATGTTGATGCAACACTCAATCATTTATTTTCCTTCCATCTACAGCTTATAACATTTTCGATTTATAATTGGTGATTTTCAAATGAAATTATAAATAGTTCTCTAATGCCAGCTTTAAAGATTTTCGGCCGAAAATGGTGAGCTCAATAATTAAAAAATTATTAACTTTACGAGAATATTTGCATGTGATTTGATTGTAGGCTGGTAGCATCAGACGACTTTGTTTTTCCATGCATTTTCGAAACACTTTGGAGAGTCATTATGTAAGAAATAAGAGAATGAATGCTTAATGAGATGCTTATATGAATATTTTAATAACTTTAAACATTTCTGTTGTCTCAGACTTGTTTTTGTGTCGACATCTCTTTACCGCTATTGGATATTCTTCGATGAAAAAGTCATAATTGAGGATAACATCAATGTGCACTTTCTGCAATCGCCATCACCAAGCGAATCTATCTCTTGTCGCAGTAACGATGTCGTCTTTATTCAAACATATTTTATCGGATTTATTTCGATACTTTTGTTAAACTTGCCATTATTGCTTTTAATGATTTATCACAGCGCCCAAGGCAGTATCACTGATACCGAATCTAGACGATTAGTTAAACCTCTCCTATATTTAAAGTGAGTTCAACAACTCAAATTAGCAGCAGACATCAATTAATTTGATTATTTTTCTTTACATTAGAATTATTTTTATTCTCCCCGAGACGGCGATGAATGTCATGGGAACTATATGGATGTTTAGTGGATTTGTTAATTGCTTTATTCCGAATGATAATTTTGCTAACACAACAATTGAAGGTAAATTTAATTTTATTTTGCAGATGACAAGATTTCTTCTTCCATTTGTTTTCATTCTTTTAAAACTTTAAAACTCAAGTTAGGTAGTTAATTAGCAAACAATTTTAAAACAAAAACAAAGTTTCCAAGAAGTTTTAAAGTCTAATTAAGAGATAATGCGTCGTTTTGCGCATTGGATCGTCATACTTAAAATAATAAAAATTCTCGTGGATGTAAGAAGGTGTAGAATTTTTACACAATTTAAAAAGTTTCAAGTTCAGCTTATGATTTATGCTTTGTGTAAGCGATAAAAACGTTTGTTTACCATAATTTCTATACAAACCATCATAAAACGAATAAATTTACTAATTGCTCGATACTTTCTAATAAACAAAACATTAAATTTAGATACAGAGAAATAAATTGCTTGTCATTAGCTTAATTGTTTGTGAAGGGATACAATCACATTAAACTGTTTGAGTTTGTAATTATTTTATGCAAAGCTGATGAAATACGATCGTTTTATTTTTGTTTCTGTCTAGCTGAATATTTCACATATCAAGTATCAAGTTGAAAAAAGAAGAAAAATTGTAATTTAAAAATAAATCATGAAATCGATTTTGATTGCTAAATATTTGAATTTACCTTTCACAGTTGTCGTGATTTTTTATTGGATTATCCTGTGCTTGATAATCTTTGGTTTCATATTTACATATGATCCAATGGGTAAGAGAAAAGTTCAGAAAGTAGATTAATCATTCAACTAAATAGAGAATTTTTATTTCAACAGGTAGCCGAAAGTACCGAAGACTCACTGATGGGAACGATAACATCAATTCAGATGAACATCACGAATTCATGCATCGAAAAGTAACAAAGTTATGGCTTCGTCGATTAAAGTTTCTTGTTTGTTGTGTTGGTAAAGACGAGAACGGCGATGAAGCGTTCACTCAAAGTGCAGAACTATTCAGCCACTTGTTTCGTGGCACTGACTTAGTTCCATCTGGTAAGAAAAGAAACAGCTTGGAACCAATTACATCATGTAAAATTCATTTAATTCATAGATATACTTGCTGGATCTATTCTACTTCGTGTTCGGCAGAAGAAAGAATATCGCGAACAAAACCGCATTGATATGTTGAACGACTTTTGCCCGGGATACTCTTCAGACTTACCGAAAGTTTTCAACTCACAATGTCCATCATGGATGACCTTGAAAAATGCGCAACACTTTCTTCGCTTCGCTGTATCAAGCTATGGGTGGCCGATGGTCTGTGCCATTGCTCCTTGTAAAGGTTGTTTTGGAATGATCAGAAAGATAAAATGTTGTGCATGTATGAGGTAAATAAACTTGAAATGTTTAAAAACTTGTTCACTTGGATCATGTTTATTTATAAAAAATAATATCAGGAGTAAACCTGACTATGTGGTTGACGATAACTGCTGTCTATGTAATGTAGCTGGAGCGAGATACGCGTCACGTATTCATAGCGATGATGTCATTTACGCAACTTTTAAAAATCAAGTTTTCGAGGTGAGAATCAAAAATTTAACTTTCTTTATTTTTGCTTTTTTTACAAAATTGTTGATTTTACAAATTTATTCCATGGAATTTGGAATTAACGAGCGGTGTTTCCTTTATATTTTTATCAATTTTCTGTTGGTATTCTTCATTTGGTAAAAAATTTGCCCACAATTTATTCGCAACGTTTCGTTTCTTTCGTTCTTCATCAATTTCATTGTCAAATTCTTCATCAAAATCTGTTGGAAATGGTTTATTTTCCTTCAATTGATCGAATTCGTCGAGAGTCTCATAGGGAAGAGTTTCGGGATCTTCACCTGAGATGGAAAATTATTTTGTGCAATTAACAAATTGAAATTCTTCTCACCTTCAGTCCAGAAGAAGTCATTAGCAATGCCAAGTTTCTCATCTTCTTCTTTTTGCATATTAACTCCATTAAAACACAAAACAATTCCAATTAAAAACAGAACATTTAAAGAAACTTTAATCATTTTTGAGCTAATTTTGCACTCAACTTTTCCCAGTAAATTCTCAAAAAACAATGACCAGAATTCATTGATATCTTCATAATTTTATACCAAACTTGTTAGAATGAAATTTACGTGCAAATAATTAAAGTTCATTGTGACATTCTTCACTGATAAGTAAATCATTTTTAAGTACGTACTAACTTAAAGCTTTTTGTAAAATAAAAGACAAAAAGCTATAAAATGTTTATCGAAAGACTTAAACTGCATGACGGATTCTTGAAATATTTCTTTTTGTTATTTGTCACATTAGATTCCATTTTGCATTCTTGCCGATCACAGTAAACACTGTGTGGTGTTGTCTATAAGAGGAAGTTGGTCGATGAGTGACATCTTCACAGACTTGGCAGCAGCTCCAGCACCTTTTCATGCACAAGGAATGCCAGAAAATACCGTCGCTCATTATGGAATGTCTTTATGTTGTGAAAAAATCCTTGCGAAGTTAATGGAAGATAATTTAATTGAGAGATCTTTGGCACAATATCCCGATTATGATTTTGTTATAACTGGACATAGTTTGGGAGCTGGTTTAGCTGTTTTAGTTGGTGCGAAACTTCGCCCACTTTTTCCTGATGTCAAGGTCTATGGATTCGCAACACCATCTGGTCTGTTGACTCGAGAAGCAGCTAAATATACGGAACAGTTTGCTTTCACTGTCGTATGTGGTGATGATTTTGTGGCACGAATGAGTCTTGAATCAGTGGAAAATTTAAAACATGGTATTCTTGAAACTCTCCAATCATGTAGACTGCCAAAGGTAAAGGCAACATTGACAATAAATTTAAATAATTTTTAAAATTTTCCTGACAGTATCGCGTGGTTCGTAATGGATTTACTTATGCAGTTTTGGGTATTCCTTCGAAAGATTTAGAAAAGTCATGGCATGAAGTCACAGAAACGCCTCACCAGTCTAATTATTCTTCAATACTGCTTGATCCCCAGTCAGTCGCAACAATTTCTCATGTAAGCTCTTCCATTTTATTTTTTATACTATTTAATTAACAAAAAATTTCAGCATGCATTTGGCGGAAATCCAACGGTCCAAAAACCTCGTCAAAAGCTTTACATTGCTGGGCGAATTCTTCACATTGTCCGTAAGAAAAAAGAACATTTGGATAGGAAATCAAAACAAAATGCGTATGAAATGAAATGGGCTGAACCAGAAGATTTTCATGAGATGAAAATTATGCCACGAATGATGTTCGATCATTTTCCACACAATATCTTAAAAGTTTTGACAACAATTCTTAAAGATAGAAAAAGTGATTCGATTTTATCTGTTGAGAAAATATGAACACCTTTTTATTGTCTTTGAAAAGCTGTGATAAATTAATGAGAATTCCGATTTTTGAATCTCTTTTTAACAGGAAAATTTTTGATATTTCATGAAACAAAAATATGAATGAACGAGCAAGAATTTCAATTATTTTAAAACATAAAGAATTGGCTAATGTAGGAAATGTCGAACAAAGTCCAATGACTATGAAAGTGATCAACATGTGCAATTGAAGGTTTTTAGGGTAAGAATCCAATTTCGAAGCAACAGACAGTTAAAGCTTTTAAAACATTTTACATTTAATAACTTCAGCTTGTATACATTGAATGTTATAACTTACAATGATGTTTCATTGTCATCTAGTGAATCTCTATTCAGTAATTAAGAAATAAATTAATTAAAATCTATAAAATAATTTGTTGTTCATGTCATAAATCTCACATTTCAGACACTTCACTGTCATTTCCAATATTAAATGGAATATTACACATGGGACACGAGTTTTCAATGTTATCGAAGCATTCATTGCAAAATATTCCCGTACAACTTGATATGGGACAGTAAATGATGTCACTTTGGTGAAAAAATAATTAAAAATGATTGTTGATAATTTTTAAGAACTTTTCACCTTTCATTGGAACCTCCACAAAGCATACAAATAATTTTATTATCTCGTCCAAAAAGTTTTCGACAGATCCAATACCTGAAAGATTATTGAATGCTTTAATGTAATAAATGATAGATTAATTGTCAACATACTGATCGAACTTGGCTTTGAATATCTCGAAGCATGTCTCCTTTCGATATTTTGCATGTGAGTTTCTATCTTGTTTCATTTGTTTCTTTATGAATCCAAAGAAAGTAGTTCGTTTTCTCAATATGTGGTAATAGAGCCAGACTGTTCTTTCAGCAGTTTTCTCTGGATATTGATCAGACATGATGACACATTTTAATCTCATCGCATATGGTTCAACAATCAAGAAAATCCAACTTGAAATCACAAGAAGGCCAATTTTTGCATATTCTGAGAAGTTTGGTCGATAAGGAATCGGAAGACAAACTTTAAGTTGAAGATCGAAAGACTTCATGAGAGGTTTGAATATCATTACGAGATCTTGACACATTTCAGCGATAACACCATCACCAATGACGCTAATCCAGAAAAGATCATCTGCGTAAATTTTAATGATTTAAAAAGTTATAAAATTATTCCAAAATTACTTTCTCATGATAATTTTTAAAGAAATTCAAAGTCAAATTCACCTTCTGTTTCAAAATCTTTCGATTGATTTCCATAATATTGAATGACAGATAAAAGCCAAAATAACGAATAATCAGCAAATAAAATTCCGCACACGTGAATTGATGTTGCGAAGAGAAAAATGCTTTTTTCAAAAATTTTACGATACTCGTGACTAATCAGCCTAAAATTTGATATTTCTATAAAAGACTTTCGTTCATGGGTGGTTAATGGAAGTAAAGACGCCTTTTGCATTTCGATTCTCCTTCTGTCGATTTTGTGGAATTCTTTCGTAATGAAAACATTTTTATATCGCAAATTTGTCATGAAATTATGTTTGTAAATGAGCGTTCTGCAAGATTTGAAAAGAAATGATTACATATGCCACTTTAATTGAATAGAAATGAAATTAACTTTATTAATATCCAAAGAAAGAAAAAGCTCATAAAAGCTTCAATGCATCCAAAGACATTGAACACAATTTCAGTTCGTTCGTGGAGGTCTTCGAAAATTTCTGAAACAATGACATGAGTTGCTTTTGAGCTGTTGGTGTTGAAATCAAATTGATGATGAACTTGAACAGAAACATAAAACATTTCCTCAATATTTGCAAAAAAAACTTCAACATCTAAATCAAAAATAAATGGAAAATATTTAAAAGAAGTTTTTATGAATAAAATTAAGTTAACTTTTCAGTATCAACTTTAGGGAATCATCACTGAGTGTGAAAGCTTTACAAAACCCATCAAACGTCTTGAAACTATAACAAAACATTTTTGCAAGCACCGTTGAATCACAAAATGTACTCGGAGTAGTGAGAGATTTACTGAAATTAATTAAACAATGAAACAAAACTTTAAGAAAGAAAATTGAGGGAAATTCCTTACCGACATCTGATCTCCGAAGTTTCAACTAATTTTAAGCATTTTTCAAAAGGAGTTCCCAACTTTTCATTGCAGAAATTGAAAACATTTTCCAACCAAATAAATGATGTTTGGATATTATCAACTGAAATTTGAAGCTAATTAAATTTAAAACATTATTATAGGAAATATTAACTTAAATACCAATCTCAATGACATGATCTTTGATGTTGACAACTTTTTCTTTAACATTTTCCATAACATTTTCAATTAACGGAAGCATTTTATTAATCGCGTCTTTTATTACATGAAGCGGTTCTTTGAAACTGTGAATCAAGTCATGTAAAGCAAGTTTTACTTGATCCTATAAATTAATTATTTAATTTAAAAATTAAAACAATTTCAATTTTCTAATGACTTGTCCGCAAACGACGGCATGACCGAGAACTTTTACATTTCTCATGAGATTCTTGACAGGTCCTGATAATGTTAACAGAAAAAGGTATCCAATCACTAATTTTCTTCCTTTTTTACTTAACAATTGAGGAATCATTAATAAAATAACACATCGTGAAGCTTTATGAATTGACACAATAAGAAGGAAAAAAGTTGCTCCCAAAAATATGAACAGGAAGGAAAGATAAAGTGAAGCTTTGTAATGAACCCGACAAACTTTGAAAATGAATGTGGAAAGAATTCCAAAAAATAAAAGAATTAGAAATATTCTAAAACACTTTTCAGCTTTATTTGCCATTACTTTAGATTTATTTAAAGCTTGCTAAGTGATCAATGCCAAATTAATCTTTAATGAAAGTGAAATTCCCAAAAGAAGCTCAAGAGAAATTCCAACAACTGAAAATTCTCTCCACAATTTTAATAACAACTCATAGCTAAATTATTGAATTCTCTGTGGGATTCTTCGAAATGATGATAAGACTTCACTTTAGTTGTTCGTCGTGATTAATCAAGAAAAGAACGAAAAAACATCATGAAGACGAATTTATTTTTATTTACATGTTTTTGCTTGAATCGAGTAATTTTCGGGGATAAATGTTCATCTATTTATAGTTCCAGTAATAAGTTTACAAGAGTGGAATGTGTTGATGTTGAGACTATGGCAGATGTAGCAGAAGAAATTCAAGGAAATTGGACTTCAGTTAGAATAATTAACACTGCAAGTCACACAGAATTTACTAACGATGCGGGTGATTATTTATCTACGAGTTTTATTGACATTCTATCTTTAAAATAATTAAAATTTGCAATATCAATGAAAGGATGTTCTAAAGATTTTAAAAGAGATTCTTGAAAATCGCTCAGAAACTCGCGCGACCTTTAAATGTAAATTTGTTTTAATCAGAAAAAAAGAAGTTTCCGTGACCTCAACTGCCATTAATTATTACGTAGCCACTGATACGATGAACAAAAAATCCCTCATTGTCTCTCATTTTTCAGTGAATGTTCCTTATCTCAATGTTATTCAATCGCTTGATTTGTCACGTGTTGGAAAGTTGACGTTATCTGACGAGGGATTCCGCGATTATGATTCACTGAAGAATCTTGACATTTCCGCAACTGAACTCTCAACAATCAAGTCAAGTTGGTTCTCAAAAAAGACAATTGAAACTATAAACTTGAGTGAAAATGAGCTTCAAGAGTTGAAGAAGGAAAGCATGAAATTCTTTCCACAGCTTAGAGTTTTCAACGCATCATTTAATCAAATCAAAACTTTGGAAGCAAAAACATTTGCAGAATCGAAGAAAATTGAAGTCATTGTGCTAAGTCACAATCGACTGGTTAATGTTGTGTTTGATGATCTTCAGAATTTAAGGCAATTGTATTTGGAAGGAAATTTGATTGTTACAGTAAGAGAATGAAGTTTAAATCAACTGCGCTTGAAATGTCACAATAAATCATTTTCTAGATTTGGGTTTGGACTTTCGCTCGAATGCCAAAGCTTCAAATAATAAATCTAGCTGAAAATGCAATCACAGGTGTTGTTGATCGAAGCTTCACAGCCCTTGAAAGCTTGAAATATCTCAATTTAAGTGATAACAAAATTCCTTACATTGGTCCTTGGAGTTTTGCTGGCGGATCTAAAATTGAGTTGGAAACTATTGATCTGTCTTATAACAGCATCACTATAATGTATCCTATTTCCCTTCAGTAAGTATCAGAAAGAGTTTTGACATTTTAATTATTTTATTTAAGCATTGAGAACATTCATACAATTATTTAATATCTTCTGTCATCGTCATCGCCCAACATTGCATCAATAAATTCCTCAAACTCAATAGTTCCACTGCAATCACTGTCAAGTTCTTTGACCATTTGTTCAGCTTCATCATCACTAAGATCATTATCAAGTTCTTTGAGAATTGCTTTAAAGTCAGCAACTGGAATGTAGCCTTTCTGTTCTCGATCATACATCATGAAGATTTCTCTTAAGTCTTTCTTAGCTGTATTGTAATCTTCTTCAGGTTCAACAAATTCTTCAGCTAATTTAATGAATTCTGGAAATTCAATGGTTCCATTTTCATCTTCATCAAATTCTTCCATGACTTCATTTAATTCATCATCATCAACTTCATGACCATTGAAGAGAGTTAAAATTTCCTTCACGACATCCAATTGAATGCATCCGGTGTTGTCACTGTCAAAGATTCTGAAAGCCTCCTTGAGAGCTGAAGAAACATTTTTTAAATTTTTGAACAGAGTAAATAAATTCTAAATTACTTTTCAGTTGATCTCGGCTTAATTTTGTATCTTCGTCGATTCCCTCTAAACTTCCTTTACGTTTTGGTTTTGGGGGGAACTTCCAATAAGCCTGAAAGAACAACAAATGAATTTGAAAGTAATTTAATGAATGGTCAAAGAACCTACTGGTCCATTAGGTTTTGGTGCTTCTGGTGCAGCTGGAGCTGGTGCTGGAGGTGCATCTGCTGTTGCTGCTGGTGCGACGTCTGCCATTGAAAATTGTCTTTATTAAGTTGAAATACTTTAAAGAGTGAAGCTCTGAGAGAAAATGATTCGGAATTGATTAAATGACTTCGCTTTATAGCATTTTTTTCGATATATAATTGTTCAAAGTTATATATTTACAATCTATAGTTCATTTTCACATTTTATTGAATGGTTTTAAAAATAAGCTTATTGTTTCAAATTTCAGCACGCTACTGATCAATTTGAATTGATTGGTAATCGACTGTGATAGTTTTGAAACTATTTTTGTATTGATATTGACGAAATTCTTTATTTCCTTCATACTTTCAGTGAGATGATACATGCACTGTCCTTAGATTTATCATTCAACAAAATTTCCGAAATTTACGAGAAAAACTTTTTGAAAACTACAAACTTGCAAATGCTTAACTTACAAGATAATCAAATAAAAAAGATTGCTCCAAAATCTTTTGCTAAGCTGACCCAACTTATGACATTGGATTTATCGAACAACAAGCTTGAAAACTTTGACGTAACTTTATTTGATGGAAATTCATTCGAGGATAACCGACTGAGAAAACTCAATCTGAGAAACAATTTGATAAAAAATGTCAATAAAGAACTTTTCTTATTGTTTAATTTTTTAAACAATTTGGACATATCGGAGGTAAAGTTTTATTGTTTCGAAAGCATCTGATTTAACTTTCATTTTCTTTCAGAATAAATTGAAAACAATTCCAGATGATTTCCTGAAAACAAATAAATATCTCATGAGTCTCAATGTGGCTTCAAACCAAATCGAATTTTTCCCCAGCAACTTTTTTACTTCTTTAACATTTTTAAAAGAATTTGATGTTCACAATAATCAAATTAATTATTTACCTTCAATGATGGACTTAGACAGGTGATTTGATGGAAACAACAAACTGTGTAACTATTTTTAATGAATTTCTTTTCAAGACTGCAATCATTAAAAATTGGGAAAAATCCATGGCAATGTGCGTGTCTTCGAGAATTTATTGCTTGGACTAGAGTCAACGACATAGAACTCGATAAATTCAACTTCAACCCTCCATTCCCATCATGTGTTGTCACAACTGAAATGAAATGTATTAAAGATTTTCCACTTGTCGATCCCGACATTAAAATGAAATTCAATGATGGAGTTTCTCTTGTTGAGATGGAAGTTGGCAGACTTTGATTGAGATGAAAACACAAATTTTAGATTTTCATAGGGAAATTCAATTTCCAAAAAAAAGATTTCTTTTTATTTAGTAAATTTATTTAATTTAGTTTCCTTTAAAACAAGCTGGCCTTTCAAAGAAACTTTACTGGATCAGAGACGGATAATAATTTTGTAAAATTTCCATTCAACTTTAAACTTTTATACTGAAAAGATTTCCTTAATTTTATTAGATTAAATATAAGCTTTTATACTTCAATAAATATTTTTTGTTTTTCTCTAATCTTTCAAATTTCTAAAGCTCAAAGTCATTTTGCGAATCTTTAAAACAAAATTTTCTTAATTTCAAATCAATCAATTTGACTTTGCACTTTGATGAGGAATTGAAAGCGTAAATTTATTTTTCAATTTTATTGGAAAACTAAACTCTTCTGTAATTCAGACATCACTATGATTTCTCTCATTTTCGCTTTAAAAATTAATTGATTAAACATCTCAAAGGTTCACTTTACTTTCCTGGCTTTTAAAACAAAACAAAGTAAAAACAGGTGGGCACTTATGCTGTTAAACTTATAAGTTATAAATAAAATAAAAAATTTTAAGATTATATAAACTTCAAATTTAAGTATCAATGTGAATAATTAGAGGAACTAATAAAATAAAATTAATTTTTAATTGAGCTACAACTGTCTTTTAAAGATTTTTTTCTATCAAAAATTTCAAGGAATCAAAAGAAAATTTAAATTTATTTGTAGCCCATTTGCATCTTAATGATTATTTAATACTTTTAAACACTTGAATATCATCTTTTCATATAAAACTTTTCACTTTGCTGATGTTATCGCCGTTTGTGTTATTCAAGCTTGAGTTACTACTACTGGTACTGAGTGATGATGTTGCAGAATTTCCATTGGAATCAGATGGCTTAGTTTTGAAATTTATGAATGGTTTTGACGAAATCTTACTTGCGCCATTTGTGATGTTTGGCTTCACAAGTTGTGGAATTCTTTTCGGTGATTTTATCGGTGAACGTGCTGTGTTTACCACATTTAAGGTTTTCACCGACAATCCCTGCAAATTCCCAATTTGTGTTGTTTTCACAGGTTTTGGATTTGAAAAGTTTGAAGCGGAAGATAAATTTTTACTGTTGGCATTTGACGTCAAACTCGTGCTCGAAGGTTTGATTGATGAGAGTTTTGTGTAAATCGATGAGATTTGCGTTTTACTTTTTGTCATCGGCGGTTTGACGGTTGTGATTGGAATTTGTTTGCTTTTCACGCCATTAGTTGTTGGTGGATCTTTAAGGTGTTCTGAGGACCTGAAACCATTAAAATTTAAAGCATAAATTAATGTTCAATCCATAAGAAGAATTTAAGAAAACAGTATAAAAATAAATTATTAAAATTTTGAGCGTTCTTGGACGAAAGTTCGTCAAAAGCTCATCAAAATGATAAAACGGCATGCAGTAAATGCTGAAAGATTTTCTGACGGTAAATTCTATTCAATTTACCTAGATCTTTGTCAAATACATCGACAGCATGAAAAATAAATATTTCAATAAAAATTTAGATCTCCTTCATTAGTCGTTTGTATTTAAGATAAGTAGAAGGAATCATAAATCATTAAATGTTTCACATGCTCGATGGTTTATATACCAAATGTAACAAAAGTATCAAATTGATTGCACACATCAACAAAATGGCCATTAATAAATCACAGAAATGTACCTGTCCATGGTTCAGTCGACTACTAAAAGTTTTAATGCCGATCAAGTTAGTCAAATAATGTTTTATGTATCGTTAGATTAAATCCAATTGAAATGTTTTAAGAGCAGCGTGTAAACAACAGAAGAAAAGTTAAAATTAGTTGCAAGAATTGGTGCGGATAGAACGAATCAGATTTGAATTTTCAAGAATTCAAGACGACTTTTGATGTTGCTAACAGTTAAAATTCACACGAAATTCAATTAAGTTTGGATAATTTTGAAATTACCTTGTGAGACTTTCTTGACCCATCGAAATTGGACGCAGCTGTGGAAAACAAGATGAAATTTAATGTAAATTATGAGATAATCAAAGAAACAAAAGCCAAACTTACTCTTTCAGTTTGTGTAGCGCATGTTGCTGTTTCAATTACGTTCACTCCTTCTGTCATTAAATTTGCATCTTTGCTCTTCTCTTTCTCATATTCTTCGAGCTTGTTCTGCTGAATTCTAATCGTTCGATCTTTATCATCCATTTGACTCTGTTAAAATATTTGAAATTTGTAGATAACAAAATTTGTTTATTATGAATTGAAATACTTTTCTAATAAAGAAAACAAAGCTTCGAAAACGAGGCTAAGTAAACAAGAATGATGATTAGGTATTTGAATGGGGAAGAATAAATTATTTCTAATACTTTTCAGGAAGTTTATAAACAAAAATTAAACATGCAGCAACATTTAATAAAGGAGAAGTTTGATAAGTTTTTAACTTATGAGATTTGAATTGATTATCCAGCTAATCTGACTTCAATTTAATCTTTGAAATGAAAAACATTCATTTAAAATGAAGTTTGGATAATCAATTTGAAACTAAAGGTCATGTTTTGTCATAGATTAGAGAATTTCGATTATCGATTATGATAAGCGATAAATTTTCATAAAAATATTTTTAATCATCATTTACTTTGTTCTATCCATTGTCATTTAACATTTTCGAGAATAAAAAGAAAGAAAAATCGAGAAAGGAAATCAAGAAATGTTGACACAAGTTAGATCAATGTTTACTTTCAATTGAACGATAAATTTTTGAAAAATAAGCCAACTCAAAATATTTTTGTGAATTGTTTGGAATTCCAGCTGATCAAATGCATTTCACTCACTTGTAAGAAGACAACTTGACGTCTCAGATCAGCTAACTCTTGACGTTGATCCTGTAGCAAAGCCATTTGTTCATTTGAAAGCACCACATTGTTTTGATCATCCTTTTTCTCTTTTCCTTTTGAATCATCATCCACGTTTTCACAGTTATTGCCGTTGAAGATTTGCCCATTCACTTCAAATGGGTTGAGAGTATCCGACTGAAATTCATCACAATATTAGATTAGTGAAACTTTTTTAAGGAAATTGCAATCTTGGAGCAACTTTTAAAAGAAGAATTAATAAACATTAATAACAAAAACGTACCCTCATCAAATTATCTTCGTCCTGATAACAAACATAGTCACAAATTAAAGAACAGAAAATTGACAAATAATGTAAATTGCAATTTTCCAGAAGCGTGCGAGTTTGATTGAATAATTTTCAATGAATAGACAAATTATAACAGCAACAAAAGAATAAGAAAGGAAAAAGTTAATGACATAAAAATTTAATCAAATTAAAAACATTTCCGTAACCTTTTTGGACGTGAACATGGAAATAAAAATTAAAGAATTTAACTGACCTCTTGGAGGATTCTCCTTAAGTGTACAAGTTGCTTCTTGAAACATGTGACATCTTGCAACATTGAATTTCTGAGTTGCTTGTCAACAAAAACATCTTCGGATGAAGAATTGTACATTTGGGATTGTAGACTCATTTGCTGTCGTTGCTTGAGATGTTCTCTAAGCGATGTCTTAACTGGAGTATTGCGACTATGCATGCTGTCAAGGGAACGTGGGCTTTCAGATCCATGGCTTAAAGGTGAGTTATTGGAGCTCTGTAACCGTCGGTTTAACAACCGGGTGGCTCTAGCTGGTAGTTGAGATCTTAAATTTTTATTAAAATTAATCAATATTTAAATCAGACTCATTTAAAACATTAATTGAATATTTTGTGTAACAAAAATAAATTTGTTGTGTAAAATAAATTAGTTGCCGTGAAACGACTAAATTAGTCGCGCAATGTCAGAGGCTGACTTTTGATTTTTCGTTTTTTTTTGGCAAATGCTTGCAAGAGCAATTTCAATGGCATTTACACAGTTAAAAAATTTCATCGCACCGAATTGCGCTGTTGCCGGTTGTTTTAGAAGTTTCACAATTTTTTGCCAATTTTTGCGGTAAGATTGGCGAGCTGGAACGAGATCGCGAGTCGGATTGTAGGAAAACATTTTCCGAAGTGTGGAGATCTGTTTTCAAACGACGAGCGTCAAGAAATGGCGAAAGTTGACTTTTGTTCTTCCCTGCACATGAATTACTCATTTTCCCATAACAATTTTTTTCTTCTTTTTTTTCTAATGATAAGAAATAATTCCACTTAATTCAATGACAGTAAATCAAACAGTGAAATAGATTTTTAAGCAAAAATATTGATAACATTTTTTTTCTTCTGTCATTAAAGAAATAAAACAGAAAATCAATTTAAAACTATAAACAAAACGATGTAATCAACAGGAGAAATTCTTCACTACTGACTGGAAGTTGAGAATAAATTTTCAATTCACGAAATCGTTTCGCGATTTTCTCTTTACGAAAAACCTAAGACTCTCAAACTTTTATTTATTATGATTGTCAAACGTTTATGAATGAGAACTGAAAATTTTGTGTTTGAGTTTGGTTTTCTTCTTAGAGCGGTAATTAAATTGGATAATGAAATCAATTTCCTCAAATTGAAGTGAGGTGTATCATATTTCAATTATTACTATAACACTATAAAAACTTATGTCCCTGAAGGAAATAATGGAAAATTGCCAAACAACAACAAAACCTGCGCCTACAGCAATTGCGCAAAGGCCAAATAGGAAGTAGAAATTCAATATTTCTGTCTGCTGTCACAAAATAAAAAATAAAACTGCAATCGTAATAATAAGAACATATGGAGATATCACTGGTTTAAACGCGAAAGCGTTTAGAATGTGAAAATTGAATGAAATATGCGATAAAACAGAACCAAAACACGATCTCAAATATTCTTCTTAAATGAAAGTGAAAAAGCCGAATCGATTTTATTAATAAAACAGGATTTGGACATATCTGAAAATATTCTTAGACTATGATGTTTTCATAATCACATCACATCTTGAATGTTTTTATTACGACCGGAACGGAATCTGCTTTGCCCAAGGTTGAACAGAATATTTAAGGCAAAAGCGTGCAAGCTCGTGTAAATCTTAAAGCTCTTATTAAATAAATAAATCATGTAATATCGTGGTTAATCTTGTACTGAAGGAATATTAAAGTATTGATTGCTGTTTCTGTACTTAGAAAAACAAAATTTAATGTTTATCAGAGCATTTCATCAACAGTGCACACTCAACATAAATCAGTTAACTTTTGTTGATGAATTACGTTTCAATTAAACCATGAAAAGTCTGTAGTTTTGGTATTCATTGAAACCTTCAGAAGAACAGAACTTTTGGAGTGAACTTCAATGTTATTTGAAACTTGAAAGATTTAAACCGCAAACTGAATGGATGACAAAAAGAAAATTCACATCGCAAACAAAAGCAACAGTAATTATTACCCATTGATATCATCGTGTGAATTAAATCCAGTGTCGACGCACGATAAACGATCGTTAACGGAATAAAGTGGCGTTGGATAATCACAGTCTTTCATCTTTCGCTTCCTCTCTTTTGTTTTTTTCTCAACAGTCTTTTAAGGTCAAAACGATCAAGCTTAAAGATTTTCTCTTTCACCAATAATTAATCACGTTAAAAAGAACATTTCACTTGAAGGGATTTATTAGCTTTTTTCTTAGAAATTCGATTTCCTTTCCTTTTAATTGAATCTTTCCAAAATTGTGTTTCTATACAATTTTTCTATCGTGAAATAATTTTTTTATTATATTTTTGTTTTCTGTTCGAATTTAAAGTTGTTACAACGCGATCTTAGACTAAACTAAAACAGAAACATTAGAAAAAAGAGAGCTTTGTTGTGTTGTTTTCTTCTTCACTTAACTACAACACAATTGAAGTAGTGTGAGTTAAAATGAGTGCTTTTAGTGTTGCACGATGTAGCATGAAACTAATTTTATTTTAATTAGAATTATGAACGTTTTAAAACTTATTAAATAATGATTTCTTGTGATGAAAGAAATAATAATAATGAATTAAGCATAAATATCCAATCAGGTAAATCAAATTTAAAACCATGGTAACGCAACCAAACCGAGTGTGCAGATAGATCAACAACAATGAACTTTTTTTGTTTGCTTTCTTTCTTTCCCGACTCTTTCGTTATTAACACGAATGCACGTCTGTAATTTAGTGAACTGCAATTTCCCATTCATTCATAAAAAAAAGAAAAACAATCTGTCGATTAAAGGCTTTTTAACATGTGAGAAAATCAGGTCGATGACATTTAAATTCACTTTAATTTATTTCCAGTCGGCTGACTGCATAACTTCCAAATGTTGAAAACTATTGCATCGAAAAAATAATTTCGTTGGTTATTTATTTTTTTTGGCGGATAATTGTCATGGAGAAACCAAACACAAAACAGAAAGAATTGTGTAACAGAATATCAAAATAATATAAAAAAATTGATCTACTCACGTTATGCTTTCGCGACTGCTATGACGACGAACAACTGTTTGTTGAATTTTTGTTATTGCATCAAAATCGTTGGCATTTCTTGTTGTATTTCGGTTCTCAAAATCAGATAGAACATGCAAATCATCGTGTGAAAAGCCATGACTTCAATTCAGAAGAAAAAAAAAATGGAAATTAATTTGATTTTGATTTAGATTTTTGTTTTCTTACCGATCGATTGAGTCAAGGCTGCTATTGACGTCAAAATCTGCCATTAAATCGTCAGATGTAATCGAATCACAAGGTGACAAAGTATCCAACGATCCAGAATTTTCCATTCCTAATCCTTTCCGATTAACAGCAGGCGATGATTTAATTTTAATAAAACTTGGTTTGTTTGCTGATCTGATGGAACCATTTGAGTGTAATGAAATGTCTTTTAGAGTTCCAGTGTCAGATGTGAGATTCATTGAAGCTGTTTTATAATCATCATTATGTGATGCTGAACCATTTCTCTTTTTATCATTCATCACTAAGTTTGGTTGATCAGCAATTTCATCGTCAATCAGAAAATCATCGCGCACTCCATCAGACAAACTGAGTGAATTCGATCCATGAGCAGGCGAGCCAGGTGTGAGGGGTGAGATTAATTCCGGTGTAACATCTTCAAGGTCTTGTTCTTTTATATCATCAAATTTTGTCTTAAATAATGCGCCGATGTCTGACGGTCTTTCAATCTTCTTCATTAGAACATCACCTGATTCTGAGCTGCTCACAAGACTGTCAGTTGGCGACGTTTCATCATCAAGAAGAACAGAATCTTTAACTTTATCAACTGTTGCAGCAAACTTGACATCATCGACTTCAAGTAACAATTCCTTGCGACTTATACTTCCAATCTTAGGTTGCTGTTGCATGAAAGCATCATTGACAATCTCTTTCTGATCCTTCGATGGAGAAGTTTTCATTTTTGATGAATTCAATTGACTCGAAAAATCAGCAGTGATGGTCATTGAACTTAATTCATCATCATCACAATCAATGTCTTTCTTTTGTGAAATCTTTTTAACATTCTCATCACTGCTGCTGACACTTAAACTGCTGCAGTTCTTCGACGCCATCGATTCATTGATGTTACCAAACCACGATGCTTTTGAACTAGCACGAGATGAATTTTTACTGAAAAGATCTCCCTGAAAATAAATGTTGACAGTTAAAAAGAAAGAAAGCTGTTCAAATCATTTACTTTGAAACTTTTCTCCGAAAAGCTGTTGTCGATTCTGGATTTCTCTTCTTCAAAGCTTTCAGCTTCAGAAGTTGAAATGATTGATGTAGGTCGGGTGTTGCTTTCCACACTTACCGACATGTCAGTGTCATTGTCAGTTGTGTAACTTCTGATCAATCCTCCAGTGACAATTTCATTTCGATTTGTGGGTAGTTTTGGAAGTGACAGTGGAACAATTATCGAGCCATCTGAATAATCACTTAAGTCACGTATTTCAAATTTATGTCGTCCTGTCGGCACCATCTCAAAATGACGCGACCTTTGTCGTGGACGTTGTGAGAGCATTGAATCCATGTAAAGTTGTTGACGTTCTGAATTGCTATCGTGGCTAGCAATGCCAGAATCAAGTGACTCATCTCGCCTACAAAACAATTTTTATTTGAGTTAATCGATTTTGATCGGTGGGGTTTGTGCGTTAATTATGTAACAACTTACCGTCCCATAATGCCACCACGTTTCGAGATATTTGCAGCATGTTTAGCTCCTTTCGTATCAACAACTCTGTTTTGAGTGTAACTGCTGCTGCTACCACTTCCATTTGAAGAGAATGATGTAAATGTTGTACTTCGTTTATAACTCGGTGCAGTTGTTGTTGAGACGCTCACGGGAATTGGATATTGTGGACGTGGCAAACTTGTTGAATGAAGCGTATAACGTGACAGTACAACTGCTTGTGGGCGCGTTTTACTAAATAATAAAAATTGAAAGTTTTATAAATCATTTTATTAAACTTGTCACTCACTTTGTGTTGTTATTTCCTTGTTGTGGTCTTTCTTCGGAAGATGATTTTATTGGTGATTGAGCAAACGTGACAGTTGAACGTGATGAAGCTGTTGCGCTTTTTGAGCGACGTTTATCATTGTCGAGACAGACATTACCACCATTGTCGCTGTTGTTGTTTAATTTATCGTATTCATTGAATTTCGGTGTGATACCTGCAGCTGCTGGACGAACAACATTTTGACGGAAACCGAATCGATTACCTCGTGCATTTGACGTTTGTGTTTGATCTCTTTTTGGTGGCTGCAGTCGTGGTGTTGTGCGACCTGTTGTTTCTTTATCGCTATTGTTAGTTTCAGCTAAAAATAAATCTTTCATGATTCTTTTTCACATTTCTTGTTGCACTGAATTTCTATTTTGAATAGGAAATTAAAATGATGAATTTATTTCAACAAAATCGTGAGATTCAAAAGTGAATGTAAAATGAAAACTTTTACTCAAATAACAAATTCTCGGTTTGATATCAATAAAAAAACACTTTTTCTAATGTCACGATGAATCAAATACAAAAAAAAAATGAACAATGGGGCGTCAATTCATTGCTTTGTCACCCATCAAATCCAAATAATCTCAACTTTTATCTTATCTTGAACAATTCATCCAATTAAGCAAATACGTGAGATTAAATATTTTTTATTAATAATGTTATATCACTTTTGAATGAATGCTTCTTTTGAAAACAAAGAGAGAGAAAGAGAGCAAAGACTGAATATTCAGTGTGTGCCCAAATAAGACAATGTGACTGAGAATAGAGCGACATTTAAACATTTTATATTAAAATGTATGTTACGTAAAGATAAAAATTCAATGACACCGCCTAAATATATTTTAAAATTCCGTAAATGTTAATTACCTGGGTTATTGTTGTTGCCATTATCATCGCTCGTAATTATGAGATGGTTTTGCTCTGCTTTAATGACATTATGGTTTGAAATAATCGTTGCCGTTTTCTTTTCGCTTTTAGTTCCATCATTTCCGTTATTATTGTTTGCAGCGTTGAACTTTTTATTAGATGCCGATGATGAATAATTTTTCTTTTTAAATCCAAACGATATTGAAGTGCCTTGAAGATGATTTTAGAGAGTTTATTAGTCATTAAATTCAATGAAATGTTGTGAAGTTTCTTTACCTTTGGTCTCAGGACCTGACATCTTTTTTGATGATTTCTTACTTTCTGATTGACCCTAAATAGACAAGCATGAATATTTGAATCATTGAGAAATAATGTAAATCGATTAAAAGAAATTAATTTCCATGGAAAGTTTTTTGGAAACTCATTTCTATTTAGTTTAATCATTTTTTCACAAAATGATTCAACAATAAAATTGTTTCAGATAAAGAATGAACTTCAACTTTGACGGGTTTAATTTTTTAATAATTCAAGGTCAAAGACAAATGATAAAAAAATGATAAAAACGAATAATGAAACAAACAGATATAAAATGTTACGATTTAATAGGCATGCCAAACCCATGTTGAACAATAAAAACTCATGCCTTATAGCATAGCAAGACATTTATTCATCAGAAAATCGATTTATTGAATTTTCTTCATTTAAAATGAAGTCACTTTTAATCTTTTTATAAAATCAAAATTCTTGAACGTTGTTCCTCGATTGATGTTCATGAATGCAAGAAGTAAGTTGAAGTAATTTATTGGAATTTGCTTGAAATGATCACGAATTTATCTTAGTCATTGTTTGTAGCAGTTTCTCATTCAGATATATCTGCTTATTCATAATTCTTCATCAACAATTTTCTAAAGCCGTCTAGCATTAAAATTGAACTTTGAAAAAGTTTTCGAATTTTTATTCTAACAGCATTAAGTTGATCTACAATGATGATGATGACAACAACATTTCATTGACCTAAAATTATTTTTTCTTGAATAGAAATACAAAAACAACAACTCTCATTTATTCTGCCGTTGCTACATCTACCTAGCATCGTATGTTTCAATAGGAACAAGTAATTGAAAACGGAGAGAGTTTCATGAAATTAACAACATTATTCTCATCTTGTATGTTTCAATTCTACATACGCAAGACAATTCCATTATGAAAAGCACTCGTGTTCAATTTATCCAATGAAAAGACGAAGAACTTTTCCATTCAGAAGATCGAATGTAGGTTCGTTCACCTTTAGAATGTTTTATTGTTGCCGAACAAATATAAAAAAACGGAAGCTTTGCCTTATTCGAGAAATTAGCAGCTGAGACACAGCATAGGCTGATTGATATTCTCTGCTGCTTTAAGAAGATTGTTTTACTATGCGAAGTAAAATTACAGATTAGCTATGCTCGATAGATAGCCGACTAACAGTTTCTGCTTAAACTACAATTTTCATCTCTTTAATTGTTACATCGCTGATGCTGAAGACTTTCTAACTCAACACAGCAGTTCTTTCACTTTCGTCAATAGCATCATTTTTCATTTTGTGATGAATTAATACTTCTCCCATTAAGCATCTAAAATTATATCTCTTAAAAATTTCTTTTCAGTCATTAAAACTTTTCTGACGATTCGGCTACTGTTCGTGTCAGTTTCGATGATGATTTGCTATTTCTTTTCATTTGATTGTTTAGAGTTTTCATCGTTCTTCAACTTTCGGTCATTTCACCGTTAGAATGTACCAAATTTAATGCGTGATTGTCATGCAACATCAATCTGATCAAATGTTTTTAAAATTATCAGATTTCTACTTTTTTTTGTTATTTTGTTTCTTCTTCCACCCGCCCCAACTCACATTGAGTCATGGTGAAGGTTTTTTTTTCGTAGACATGCGAAATGAAGACTTGCCATGTTTTTTTGAAGGAAAAAAGCAAAATTTAATTGCAAATGAAAAATGTTAACATTGTGGGGTGTAATTAAGGGCAGCCAGACATTCCCCAGACATGTATGAACATTTCACACCGCGGCAATCGATTTAATATCAACTTGCAACTGCAGTTTAAAAGAGGAAAAAATTATGCAATTACCATAGTGCTTAGCGAATCGTTACAAAGTTTTTCTAGCTCGAAAAATGAATCGTCAATCACATTTCGGCATTCATCCATAACTAGAGACTTACGAATGCCTTTCACTGATTTATATCATTTAATTAGCAAGATATTTAACACTTGTTCAGTCAATTACGCAGATAAAAATCATTTAAACCTTGAAATTTGTTCGTTCAATATTTTCTAATGAAATCCACTTGTGAATTGATTTTGATTTCAGTTAATTTGAAGAAACTTTTTATGAGCTTCCAAATTGCACAACTTTATTTGAGTCTTTCTCAATTATTCATGAACAAAATCTTAGTTTTTCACTTTATAAAGTCTTTCAATGAGCGGCTGAATGAAAAATGTGACGCAGAAATTTTGTTTTCAACGAGAAAACGGGGAAAATGTGAAAATTAAGCACAGGACGAATTGGGGGAATTTTTTATTCCATTTTGTGATGTAAGAATGTTTTCCATTCCTTGTTTCGGTTATGAAGTAAGGAGAAAACTTGGATTTTTAGGCACGCATGCGTCTTTCATATTCTCAAGTTTATAAGAACAAAGTCATGTCCTTTTACATTGGCACTCGTTGGAAAAGAGAAATTTTCTGTTACCAGAGCCATCTAACAAAAAATGATTTATTCTTCCTTTTAAATTTTTAAAAATCTCACCTCATATTCATAGCCATAATAGTCAAAGTCATCAACTATAGCGATGTATGAACGTTCGTCAATTTCCCTGATTTCCAGATGCTGATCTTTAGACGCACATTTCCCCATAAAGCGATGTTTTCTAATCCAATTGACCCCAGCTGATGCTTGTTCTGTTGAAAATTTATATTCTCGCTTTTAATTTACAATTAAAAAGTTTTGTGCAAATTAATTAATTTCAATTACGGATGGATAATGAAATTTTACAAAGTCCTAAATTTTCTAACGAAGCAGTTTACATGCCGGCCAGATACAAAAGTCAATAAACGTTAACCAAAAGTTAGCGTTAATCGTGAACTTTACTCTCTCGACCTCTTAATTTTTCTGGTGCATAATGAAAATTAATGGAATAAATTAGTGCTTAATGATTTTCAAGACCTTTGAGCTTCACCAGAAAGTAAAAGAATCTTTTTTTTTTGTCCAAGCTCTTCGATGCAACTGATGCAGAAATTTACATAATGTTCAATTACGTGTAATTTTCTTCATTTTTTTTTCATCATTTCGAAGAAAAAGACACAAAAATTAACTGCAGCATTGAATAGTTGGGTATCAGTTTGCAGTGAAAAGGAAAAGCGTGGGAGGAAAATGTCAAGGAACAATTTAATTTAATGCTTGCTACAGTACTCTATTCAAAGAATTTTTCACAATGCAATTTTTAAGGATGGGGAAAGGAAACTAACGAACGAAGCCCAGTGTGAAATGTTTTAAACTTGTGACAGAAATTACTTCAATTGGAATTAAGTTTTAAGTAACATACTGGGATCTAACGTAATGAGAGAAGAAAGCATAAAATTTCAACATCTTGAAGATAGTGTATCTGGGTTTAATTAATACTTAAGGTGAACCATTTTAAAAGTCATTCCTGAGTGGCATCATTTTCTCTCCTCTTCTTCTATTCTACTCCACAACATAAAAATTTTGAGTTCCTTCTATTCCACTTGAAGAAAGCAAGCTTGAAGTATGCAGCAAAGTAAAAAATTGCTGCAATTCCAAAACTCATTAGAAGGTCTCGTTTACGATCAAATTTTCTAGCTTTCATTTATTTTTGTTGGTGTCTGAAGATATGAGAGTCAAGTTAACAATAGCACAAGAACATAATTGCGTCGAGAAGAAAAGAGAACACTTCATCTCGATGAGGAATAAAAGGGCGAATGAGGAGAGAAAGCATTAATGTTGTTTATTCAATCTCTTACGAGAAATTTGCTTTGCAGAATTTCCTTTTATTACACCGTCAGAGAAAAGCGTGAGTGTCGTTCACATAACGTAATTATGTACTTTTCCTAGGGAATTTTCAACATGAATGATAATTAATTTTATTTTTCGTGTTTTCTCCTCGACGGTTTTTTGTTTGCGCGATTTTTCAAATTTGTTTAATTGGTGGAAGCAAATTAAATCACATGGAAGTTTGTTGGCAGAACGCTTTTCTAGAAATATGCCACAGATTAGCTTTGACTGTTCCAAAAAAAACTCTTTTTGAAAGTAAATTTTTACTCTCGTTCTGTGGTTTTGGTGACATTCCCGAAAGCATTCATAAAGCTCCTTTTAAGGATTAATTCATTTGAAGTTTCTTTTAATAATTCTTTGCTTTTATAATATCTTTAAACTAGATACGATTTCTCATCTAAAACCCAATTTGCTTTATTAATTCAAAGACAGATGATTCATTATTCAAATTTTGTGAATTATGCAAAATTTTCTATGAAAATCCCAACCTAGAATGAATGATGGAAATTCTTAAAAGAGTTTGATAAAAGCTTAATTGAGTTTCAGATGTTGATAATCTCGACATATTTTCATACAACACCAGGCAATTTGAAGAATTTTCATGAAAATTTTATGTAATCTGCATTATTAGGTATAAAGTTATAAAATATTTATAAACACTTCCCTCCTTGTGATGAAATGCTTAATTTTAACATATATTTCTTTTAATTTGAACTTCAAATTAAACTTCTCGTTGCACTTTGCTTCTTCAAAGCAATGAAAAGCATTCGGTGTGAAAGAAAAAAAAAATCTTTGTTTTATATTTTTATTAACAGCAATCTTGAGTTTTAATAAAATAAAATTAAAAGAATAAAAAAGGAGAAATGAGAAAGAGATAAGAGTGAAAAAGAGAGAAAGAAAAAGGACGTATGAATGTGAATTTCTTTTGTATTCTTATCCATTCATGTCAGAATCATTAATTATGAATATCTCAAATGTGATTACGAGATACTTCTCTACCTCCGCTCTTGCATATAATATGCATGTATAATTTTGAAACAGAATTGAAAATTCGCAGGAGGATAAAGAGTATGTCAGTGTCATGGGAAGAAGGCAGCTAAAATAAATAAGCAAGTCGTAAAAGCAATCATTCGAGAATGTTTTGAATGAAAGGAAAGTTCATCACTCAAGTACTTTTTGCACATCAACTCTCAAGTGAAACTGATTCCGGAGCTTTCATAAAACTGGAAAGAGTTTCCGTTGTTAAAAAAAAAAGAAATAGAAAGAAATGAACTTGTAACATTACAGGAAAATTATTTCTCTGCTGCTTTGATGAACGAAGGAACTCTGATGATGATGGCATTGTCTATCTTTTTGCCGTTCTCTTCGAATAAAATAAAATGCTTCTCTTGAAAATATAATAAACGACTCAATTTTCCATTTGCTATTCCATCCTTTATCAAGAGGATTTTATTAAATTGCAATTGAAAAATGTAATGAAATTTTAAAACATAATGAAATCTATGAGATTTTCCTGATCTCACTCTGTCATTATAATTTCAACTTAAACCACTTTCTTTGATGATTTCTTGTCCTATTCACTTTGTAAAATGCCAACATTGAATCAAAAAACAGAAAAGAAAAGAAAAATATGTTATGGAAAATTTGTGCTGAACATTGCAAAAATTATTTTCACTTTGTATTTGTCTATTCTGCTTTTAATCGTCGTTCGTATGATTTTGCACATCATTCCTTTCATATTATATCAAGTGGAGTGAAAGGTCGTCTTAATGGAATGAGAAACTGAAATTGTTTATGAAGCGAAAAGTTTACAGCTGTATAAATTAAAATTATAATCCTCTAATATGGTCGTAAAAATTAATAATAGTGAATGACTTCGAACGACAACGAAGCTGCTGTTTCTATTCTTAAGAAATTTTTCTTGTGAAACCAAGGGTGGGGAGGAAAGGTTAAAGCTCTATAGGTTGGCAGAGTTTTCTTGTTGAAAACTTTGCACTTAATTTGATTGAACAACCACCAGGCGACACAATCATTGAAAGCGTTAAAGAACTTTCCAACACAATCTCAAACTCATACTTAGAGCAGCATAGCACATAATTTTTGCTCGGTATAAACATTTTAATTAAAATCCACGACCTGGAAGCAAAGATCACTACTAATTTTTACTTTAAGCTTTAATTCCTCCTACTTTAACTCGTGTTTCTATTGTTTTGAAATTTAAATGTCCACGAGGTAGAAAAAAATATTGTAATGTGCCAGATTAAATATCACGCGATAAAATTAATATTAATGGCTTTATAGTAGCGCAACAAGCTGGGTGGAAACAAGTCGAAAAAAAATGTAAGTAAACGAAAAGGTGAAAAATTGTTCAGTTTTGTAAAAAAAAAAAAAAATAAGCAAAGATACCATGCTTGCGAAAAGCTATCATAATTACAGTAGCGAACATGAACATAGCAAGTCGAAATTTGTTGTTTTTGAAATGGAAGTTCCATGTTTGACTTGGTGTTAGATTCATGCAGACCGGGGGCGAAGAAGTCAATGATAAATGATAGGAACATGAAATGTCTGTTAACTCTTTTCAATTCTGAAGTACAAACATATTTGATATTAATGTGAGTTTTTATTCTTTTTTTCGTGTTCTTCTTCATTCCTATCTATATAAATGCTGGGGATTTATGAAAGCAGAAGAAACAGGAATGCTTTCGAAAGGCAAATTGCCGAATTTTCTGAATATAAATCTCATAGCTTGGTTTAAATAAAAAAAGGAAAGAAAAAACGTTCTTGCTATCGTCAAACATATTTTTTCCAGGCTTCTCATCGATTTTCTCAAACATTTGCACATCGACATGGAAGCGCACTAGAAGTTATCGCAATAAAGTATTTTTATGAGTTCGAAATCAATTGAAATTTAATTATCGAACCATAAGCCGGGGACTTTTATTGAATTTCGAGTTAGTGCAAACGGAGCGTAGTTACAGACTTCCATTTGAGAACGGAATTTAAAAGAAAAAAACTTCAATTAGTTTTTTTTCTTGTCGCTGAATTTTTATGATGATAAAAAACAGCTTGTCAGCATGTTTCTATCATTGGATCTTTTCCTAGATCATCATAATATTGCTTGCCATCTAAAGATTTTTTCCAACCTTTTTTATCGTTGCTCTTAGTTTGACCGACGGACTTTATTTTTTCTTATGATGTTCAAAACAGAGATGGGGCAGAATTAATATTAAAGCTTTCAATCTAGTGAATCTGCTATCCATGTTGTACAATGATGATGTTTTATGTTATGATATTGGGTCTAATAGAAAGCTTCTTTTCTTTGGCAACATTTTCAAGCAATAATAATTCATAATTACATGACATTCATTAACCAGTGATGTCTGATAACATTTTTTAATAAATTTATTTGTTCAGCACATCTTGAGCAGAAGATCATCATAAATTATTCATTTAAGTGTTGTAAACATTGCACACTTGACTAAGTAATTGACTTGTAATCACTAAATGAATCCCAAAACTTCCATCACCTTAACTCATCTCAGCTCAATGTTCTCTCAGCTAAATTATTATACAGCATAACAAAAAAGAAAGAAAGATTCTGAGATTCCAGTATTTGTTACATGACATAATTTTTAGTTAATATTAATCAAAGCACACATTCTATGGGAAAAGGGAAGAAGAGTGAAATATATTTCATGCCATAAATATTCTGAGCTTTTCGCATGTATGGTTGGAAAAAACAGAAAAGGATTTTCTAGCTTCACACTTTTCATATTGTATACACATAGCAGCCACAACAAAAAAGCGAATGCTTCTGCTTGTATCCATCCACATACCATACCGTCATCATTACCATTATTACAATGTGTCTCTCTCACACCATTTCATTGTTTTGACCCCCGTCACCATTCTTCCACCCATTCCGTTTCCTTATTCTATCGGCATTAAAAACAAGAACGGAAATGAGAATAAAAAGTTTGTTATATAAATAACCAACTAAAAGCAAACATATATCTTGTTTTATTGTGATACGGGAAGATATTTTTTCCTGTACAAGTTAACACACAAACACACACATAAATGAATAAAAAAAAAGAAAATGGTAAAACTTACAATGCAGTTTCACTTCTTCTATGTCTCTCTCCTTACTTTGATGACAGCCTGTAGTGAGAAGTTTTTTTTGTTACATTTGTTAACGCTGTTTTTCCTCTTTGACGATGACAATATTTTCAAGAGTTTTCAACATCGGATGAAGTCTTGCAAACTGTAATACCTATGGGAAAGGAAGTACAAGTTGGATGAAAATAGAATCGAGAAGAACGTCATTTTGGTAGTTGGGGATGTACAAGTTGCCGTCCAAACATATTTATACTTTTGTTTATTAGTTCAGATTTACAGTTTTTAGTTGTCGGTGGAAAGCAAAAAGGGAAAAGGAGAGACGACAAGCCATTATCTAAATCAACTTTTTATCCACATGATAAAAGTTTTTTTTTCTATTCTTGTGAGAGTAAAGTTCTATAAAGTCATAGAGAAACCCGAGAAATTGTTTCCCCATTAAAGTTATCTTCTATAAATTTTCAATATCATCTGTAGAAACAAAAGTTTTGCTTTGTGATTCAGTAGCGGTACATGAGACAATGGAAATGTAGAAGATTAAGAAAGTTAGGACTGCAGATCACGAACTTCAACTTCTTTGCGTTTGAAAGAAAGTTTAGAATAAAATTTTGTTTATACTTCGCTTTATTTCTTCAAGTGATATCAGTTTCAAAGATTCATGTGGCGGTCACATCGAGTATGCTGTAAATTAACTTAAGTCATCTTCAAACTTTGTAATATAAAGTTTTAATCTCGGAATTCTTTTTATATCACGTAATAAAATATTCAACGTGTCATCGACAGAAAAAGTTTCCTTTCGTCTTTATACATTCATAATTTAATCTTTTTTATATAATTCATAAATATGTTTGTGAAAGCTTCATATGCGAATGTTTTCGTTTTTGTTTGTAACTTTTATCTTATCACATAATTGCATTGGAAAAAATTAAAATCCTTTTTTAAACATCAACTCGAGATATTCAAGTTTATCACGCTTCATCAAGGTAGTTTAAATTTTTCATGAAACCCACATGTGAAAAATTTTAAATGGCAGACGAACCTGTGGCCGACAGTTTAGTGAATGAATGAAAGTGTTAGTTAAATTTTCTCATGGTGATTTTGATAAACTTAAAGACCAATGCCTGTAAGGGTATTAAAGCCATATGGGTAACATTAGCAATTTGGTTCAACATGATTTTATGCTAGTCTGGTATCATTTAGCAAACTCGGATACATCCAACGTTTTATAAATATATTAAAAGCCCCACACTTTAAAAAAAGGAAGAGAAACATAAAGCAAAACACTTTGTGTTTCTGAATACAAACGATCACATAATTAGATCAAGCCAACGATGCTTGCTTCTCTTGCATTTATGTAGCTAAATTTGCTATCTTATTTGATAAACATTGCATAATAGAATAGTTTCAGATGTTTTTTCCTTTTTCTTTTATGGTGATGATGATAATGATGATGAGGAAGATGATGATGATGATGTTTAAACAAAGCTCTAGATAATTAGTTAATTATGCGACGAAACAACAAATTCTAAGAAGAACAAAAGAAAAACTTTAAATTGCATCACGGAATGACGATAAAGGGAACTTATTTTGTTTAGCTAAAACTTTAGCAATTACACAATGGAGGTACATAAAAAAATAAATTCTTGAGAACATTAAAAAGGAAAAAATGGAAAGTAACTTGACATACGGCAGAGCAACGTTCATGTCGTAATGATACTTAAAATAAATATCTTAAATTTTACTTTCATTTTTCAAAAGACGACAAAAGACAATGAAAACATGGAGTCGCTACCGTGGAAATATATATTAATAAATTTGGAGAAATGAAACTTGAGCTTCTGCGAATTTCATTACAATGTAAACGAAACACATGTTAAAAAAAGGATATAATATAACAAGGAAAAATTCCGTTTTCTTTTTATTAAGACGAATTCTATGTCGTACTTGGAGATTGAAAATTTGTTTACCTTCACGTATGACATGGATGTACCTTCAAGCAGTCATTTGGTTAAAATATATAGCGCACGAGCGAGCTTCATATAACGAAGTTTTCAAAAATAAAGGAAAATTGTTTTTCGAGTGTATGTTTTCAATAAGCGTTGAATTGAATTATGGTAACGAGGAAGAAATACAAAATTATATAATTTTTATTTCCTTTACAACGGGTTGATTTTGTTTCCAGAATTATGTTTGATTAAAATTGCCTGAAAATTTTTTAAGTTGAAGCATTGGTAAAAGTAACAGAAGTTGCTTGAAACTTGTTCAATATAAAAAGAAAACGTGAGCAAACCAAGAAAGTGTGTGAATTATTATAAATTTACTAAGTAAGTACAGCCTCAATGGCATAACTTGGAAAAAATTAATTTACAAGTTTACCAGAAAATTCAATTTCTTAAATCTGTAGCGGCTTGGGTAGCATTTAAGAACTTTGTGAACATTGAGGAAGGCAAACATGCAATCAGTAGTTTTCAGGATTTGTTCGTTCAGATTTCAATTGGAAATTCAATAACATGAGCTTTGAAACCGTAAAACACACAAATAATTTTGTAGCTTTTTTTTGGGGCAAGAAATCGTTTCTCGTTTCTTCTGAAACGAATAAAAATATTTGAATTAGAAAAGATTCTCGATATGTAACATATTTATGCGAAATATAAGCTTATTAGTTACTTCTTACTCTCAAAAATGTGATATTATATAGGAACAGTTACAAATCCATCACAAAATAAAATTTAACTGAATAATTTCATCCACACTGTCTCAAAACAATTTCAACCTCAAGCAAAAACAGCTTTCGAATCAAACCTTCTAGAATGTACATAAAATTTCTTTCAATTGTTAAATCTGGTCCAAATTAAGCAAGTAAAACATGCGCTTGATGAAAATCCATGAAAATCAGGTTTTGAAGCGACATCGGTTGAGAGAACAAAAAGAAAAGGAAGTTTCAACTCGTGGTTAAACAGTAAAACCTGCATTCTTGCTTTGAACTTTTGACAGCGAAATCACATTTCAAAGCGAGAGGAAAAACTCGGAAAATGTTGAAATGAAAAGCAAAAACAAAAGTAGAAAACCGAGGATTATCTGACTGCTCCAATGAAACCACTTTATGGGTTTAGACGGGCTTGGTTAAACATTTCACTACTGTCACGACAGAATTAAAAACTTTAAATTCACTTTACATTTATTTAAAAATATTACCTACTTCCTTTATCAAATAGAAAAGCTTTCTATTCGAACCAAGTTTATTATTTCTTAAGGAAATTTGAATCATAACTTGAGGAGATAAGTATGCAGACATATGACAGAGAATTCTTAGACACAATAGTCTCCTAATTTTAGTGAATCTAATTTAATTCCTGTATTCGTGTTTCAGAACTTTCTGGTAAAAAAAAAACTTCATTTCAACAAATTCAAAACTAAAGTCAATTAAATTGCAATTCTTTCACGATACATGAAACCGAAAAAAAAGTTCATTTAAGAGTTAAATTTAATTAGGGATGTTTTGGAAGTGATGTCTGTTATCGTTTATCAAGTTACATGTATGTAATTTCATTGTTCACGGTAATCTACTGATGACGGTGCTGTAAAAGAACGTGAGAGTGTAGTAATCGCGATAACTCGTTGGTGATAACAATAGGATAATTATATTTGTGTATTTCCCTACATTTCTTCGAGCTATACAACCAAATGACAAGTGACTGAAGAATGCCGATGGAAAAAATTTAAAATTCAGAACATTTATTTATTCAATTAGAATGGTTGAATTTTTTATCCATTTGCTCTCATGTAAATTGCAATTTTATTTATCTATAATCATTGTCAGGTTCTGAATAATATTTATTTGTGAAGCAGTCTCATTTCTCTTTATCATTCGAAGCAGCAGATAACAACACACGATAACCGAAACAACAATAAAAAAAAGACTACTTATAAAAAGTCTACACAGGTACAGCGAAAAGGCGAACAGTCAAGTGAGAGGCAAGGCGCAAAAATTCCATTTTTCTCTTCCAAAGCACGTTCCGATGTTGAAAATTGAAATTCTTTTTCTTATGAAAAATGATTGTAAGCAGAAAAAGTTCTTCTCGTTACCGACATTATCGCTCAATTTTCTGTCAGTGCTGGTTTGAGTGAGATAAAGATCATGGGGTTTCTGACAAACTTTAACTTCACTTGTCTGCTTTTAAGGAAATAGATTCGATTTTGAGGAAACGAGCATAAAGAAGATTTGTTTCCTCAATTTGAAAGTCTACAACTCAAACAAATAAAAAACTTTTTCATGTTAGAACAATGCTTACACTTCACTTTTAATTTATTTGGGTTATCAAAATTTTATATTTAATCAAACACTTTTGAAATGATATGCTTTTCAGATAGTTATCTAACAATTAAACATATGATAATTTATTTCTTCTATTTAGAAATTAAAAATTAAAATAACACCGCGTCGGCGCAAATGACTCAAGCGATTGAAAAGAGACGCGATACTGACTTACTGAGTCACAAGAGAATGTTTGAATTATTTTTTTCCAACTTCACTCTCCACATTTAAACATTAACAAAGTTTGAACAAAGCCTTTAAAAGTGTAAACAGAGATAACTGCAACAGACAGAGAGTGAAGAGTATTGCGGAATCCGCTTTCATTAAGGCTTTCGTGATTATTAAGATGAGACTCAACTTAACTTACCGCAAGATTCATAAAGCAGTTGTTTGAAGAGATAATGGAGTGAGAGAAACACCAGAGTACTTGTCGCTTTGATATGAATTTTAATATTTACTTATGGTTAAGTTCAACAGGTTTCTACCTGAGATTATTTCTTTCTTTCTTGGTATTTTTTATTCTCTCCCATTCATGCTTAAATCTTCTTCTTTCTGTAACAACACATAGTCTCTTTCAGCCTCTTCTTTATAAAGTTTCTATCCAAAAAAAAGAGTGGAAGAAGAAAAGTTGAAATAAAAAAAATCACGAAAAAGAATCAAATACATGCAAATACTTCACTCATAACGAACAGATATGACGTCACCTATCCAAGATATCTTCATCAAATTATTTTTTTAATTAAATCGATGTAAGAACATAATCTCTAATGAAAAGGCAATAATTTCATTTCAAGTTTCAATCATCTTTAAGTGCTTCCTTTTGATTACATTTTGATGGGAAATTTTCATTTACCGCTATGGATTCATATCATGTAATAAGTTTTGCCCAACGCAAAGGGGAATTAATATCGAAACTGCATCATAAATATATTTTCATAGCATAAATTGTTCTCATATCCAAATTGAATCTTCGTAAAGAGTGAGACCCTTTTTCCTTCTTTCCCTTCGAGAAAATGTTAAAGACGCTGTGTTGGACGTGATAACGCTATAAATCTGATGATGCCCAAACATTACCATTAAACTTAAATGTTTGTGACTGTTTCAAGTTGAAGGAAACGCACATTGTTTGCTTTATAGCCTGTTCTTCACTTACGTTCAAGTATAACAGAGAAGTTTATGATATTTGCTTGAGAAGATTGTAATAGAAAGAGGTCCATGTGATGAAAAATCCTTTTCTTCATATCATTTTTACGAGAGATTATAAAAGCTTGAAAGAGACGTCATTAGATTATAACACTCACCCAATGAGTTTGTTCTAATAACTAAGTAAGAAGAAAGAGAATAGAGATGCTAGAATAAATACCATGATGAAGTATAATAGTCAATTTTTTTCTGGTTTAATGAGTTTGATAACTTTTTTCATGTTCTCTCTTTTCCTTGTCGTCGTTGCCAGCTTCACAAAAAACTAGCAGAGAATTTATGAATATCTGTGCTGGAATGTGAATGTGATGACGGAGAAAAGGGAATGTTGGAAATTTTGATATTATTTTCGGTCTGATAGTGACAAAAGGGTTGTACAAGGAGTTTATTAATAAATGATTCTGTTTGCTTTTGCTAAGGGATCTCTTGAAGAGTTTTCATCTTTTTGTTTTTATTTTTTGTTTTTGTTGTTGTCGTTCAACTCCCAACTACACTTGACTTTCTTCCGCTTGTTACATCTCCCTGATATCCATTGTATATTTTAAGGATATGAACTAAAACTATTGAGAGAACGATTAGCAATAAATTACATGCATGGGAAAGTTTCAACATTTGTAAGCTATCAAAGACTTTGTCTTGGATTTAAAGCCAAAAATTAAATTATGGATAAGGAAAAAAAGTGTAAAATTATTTCAACGATAAGATATAAATACTAACAAGGGTGTTAACTTCGTTTTTGATATATGAGACTAAGTCTTCTTAGTCATCAAGACTTGTTGTGACTGATATTTTGGGCACTCATGAGACTAAGCTCAAAAAGGGATGAAAGAGAAGGTCTTCGAGAAAGGAGAGACGATATATCATAATATTTTGACAGAGCGAGAAATATTTTATTCATGGAGTAAATGAAACGAATGATAGCATGGCAAAAAAGTCTGTTTAAATTTAATGTGCTTGAATCTAGGCGTTTGAGTTTCTTTTGGGGTCGAGAACTGCCATAAATTATCACATCCCTCATGCTTATTGACCCAAAGAGACGACGAATAATAATGAGTTATCATTGGGACTAATGAGGAAGAATCTGTTGAAATTAAATCAAAGTTTAGGGCATTTGGAAGGAAATTCTCGGTTTGATGGCCGAAACATGATCAGCATAGTAAGTTGAACTAAAACTTCTTCTCTTCTTTTTTATATTTATGTAGTTTCTCTTTCCTTTTTCGTGCTTATCCTTAGACAGCAACAAAAAAGTAAGCATGAAAAGCTTTTTAAGCTACGATTAAAGGCATTTCGATCATGAATCCAATTAAACAAGCAATTTATCGGGCATTATATGAGATTTATTTTCAATAAATTTCAACGTTGTGTTGTGCATGTTTACTTTAGACTTTTAATCAGTTTGAAAGTGAATAGTTTAAGTAAGTGTAATTTTCCGCTTTATCAAGATTCTCATCAATGAAAAAATGAAATTGTTCTCGTCTCCATTGTCAAATCAATTATTAAAACTTAATGAAATTTATATTTATTTGCAAAGAAATTTTCTTGAAAATGTTTGTTGCTTGTTCGATAGAAATAAATTCAATTATTAATCATTTACCAAAGGCAATAACTGTCAGGCTGTTGTTATTTTTCTCACTCCTCTTTCTTCAATTCTTTATACTTATTTTAATTGTATGAATTCAGTAATGGTAGAAAGTTATCCGGTTAAATCGAAATAAGTTTTATGGTATCCGACTTACTTTGGAGTTTACAATTTGATCCAATTTTTGTTATACTAGAAGAGCATTTGGTTGATTTTTTCCTTCATTCCTACGAATTCAGTCAAAAAAATTCTATATGTATACATAACATGGAAACAGTTTTATGTCTCCTTGTGGAAATAAAGGCAATACTTTTTTTTGGATTATTGTTCCCTTCGCTGCAATTGTGCACAATTTGTATGCTTACGAAAGTCGATGAAAAAACACGTACATTTTTCATTTAATTAAAAGCAACGAACAGACCTTTAAAAAGCTTTTATGTCTCTATTCTGGTTAAATAAAATAATTCAATTTTTTGACCCGAATTATATTATGCAAGAATTATGATGAGTGAGGAAAAATTTAGTTAAATTTCGCTCTCATTATGCAATGAACTTTTGCTGAACGTGAAAAGTTTTTAATTTTAACATGAGCCGCACATTAACGTGTTAAGCTATTTACAGTAGATGTATGAAATTATGTTGTCATTACTCCTCACAGCGTGATTATCAATGCTTATTTATGTATGTCGACACGATTGCATGCTTCCCAGGATTTTCGTTCGCTTTTGTTTCAAAATTAATTTTTTGGCAAGGATTATTTTGTTCAAGAAAATAAATGAATTAAACTTTTTAATTCTGTTAATTCATTATAATTAATGGTATAACAAAAATAAAATTAAATTTTAAAGACAATTTTTAAAAACTTTAAAAGTCAACTTTACATCAATTTCAACCTGTTACTCATAAATTATGTAAATGTAAAAATTGCAATGGTTAAACTTCATTTCCATGGCTGTCAATAGAAGCAAACATTTTGATCTTTATTTAACTTTGTTAAGACTCTTCCCTAACATGGTGACGTTTAGTTGATAGAAATGCCTATCAACGGTAGCACATTTTTAAAAATAAACTTTTTATTGAGTTATAAGAGAAGTTGACAGAAAAGAAACATCATTCGTTACATCACATGTATCTACAATGTATTCTCTCTGAAAATCAACATAAGGTCCTGGTACTCTTCCAGCGCATGCTTTCCAATTTCCAGTACCGTCAAAACAACATAAAAGAGAAGATTTCCTACTATGCACTTCAGTTTCGCGTTAAAGCTCCTTAAGAAGAGATCGAAAGGAACTCTTGGTGTGTTTTGTGATTGAAATAAAAAGAAAAATGTTATGACATGTAAGGATAATGATTATGAATAAAAATCATTAAGTTAATGAAGAATTTTTCTTCAATTAAAACATCTATGAAATTAAATTGATCAGAATTTTGTAGTGTCACATTAGTGTTTGACAAAGAAAAGTCTTAAAGTGAAATTTTTATAAGACGCTCAAAGGTACATAAAAGAAAATAAAGAAAAGAAAATTCATTGATAAAAAATAAAAAGAATTTTTAATTCTCAAATAAATTTCATCAGTCAGAATATGCAAGTATGCTATATTTGTGAAATTCGAATGAAAACCAACATGATAAGAAATAAATCAAAGGAAAACGAGAAAGAAATTCAATCACCTATGAAAATTCCAAAGCTCTGATTGTATATTTTTCTTTTTATTTTTCTTGCCCGCATTAAAACCTTAATCTTATCTTACGCCGTGTTTACTGTTTGGTTTGAAAGCAGATATATTCAAAGAAAAAGTTTCATTGATTTTCGAAGCTTTCTTGCGGTAATGAAACGAAAAAGCTGAAAATATTCAGATTCTTCTTTTAAGATTTCCTCTTCTTTGGCATTAGCAATAAAAGCATTGAAAAAGTTTCGTTCTGAATTAAATTTTTCCGTCTTTGGTACAAAAGTTTTGTTTAATTAAATGTTTCAAAGAAAGCAGAAAAGTGTAAGAAAAGTTTACGAACGAATTGAAGCTAAAGGAATAAATGATTGAAGTGATTTTAAGAAGATTAAATATATAAAACTCAAAATAATAAAAAAAAAATTAGTTTTGTTTTCGTCAGATTCTTTTTCACTTATTTTTCTATCACGATCCAATCATACCCCAGCCTGAATTCGATGATACATTAAATCAATTCTACTTTGAGATTTCTTTTTATTTCTCTATCCATCCCAAAGACCTCAGATGAATTTTTATTACGTTAAAAAAACTTTCTCTTCTCAACAACGCACTGGGGTTCCCGATCACGAGAAAAGAAGAAATAAAACTTGTTTAAAATTAACTTTGGTTCATCGGATGCCCGAGACATAAGTAAATAAAAAAGTTTGCGTTTCTCTCTCTTTCTCATTCTCATCCCAGACATGACGAAAATAACCTCGTCAAACGGAAATGTTTGAGCTGAGGAAAAATCACTGGACTCTTCCTGTTAACAAAAAATTAATGTGAAAGATTTCATTTAGCGTAAAGAAAAATCTGATTTGCAAAATGCTAAATCATTTCATTCATTCAGAATTTTCACATTTCATTCACATCCGTGGCTGCATATATTCTATTCATGAGAAATAGCAAAAATATAAAATAAATATCCGAGAATGCAATTTGCCATGAAAAGTGTTTTTCCTTCGCTTTCAGACGGAACAAATTTTTAATGGAATATTATGGAAATGGAAAATTCACAGAGGAAATTATAATTTTTGTACAATTACTTTACATCATTTCCGTTTCAAGAAATATTTGATGTCATTTTTTCTTCATGTTTCTTTCGTCTTCGGCTTTTTCGTTAATATTTCTAAGGAACGAACATTAATTATCTTGTTATGTATCATATTTCCATCAAGCGTTCGTTTCTTTCATCCTTTATTTCAGTAGAGTCAGCTTTTCGCTTCCAATTCGTATGACTAACTAAAGAATTTTTTGCAGTGTTATCATGGGGGTTTATTCATGAGTTTCTTGTCGGTTTTACGTTCCGAAATCATAATTACACGGCAGGGGCTTGCAGAAATTTCTCGTCTAACTTTTAGGGATAGCATTGTATAAAATCAGCTTTATTTATGGTCGCCCGAAGGTTCCAAGATAAAATTTTATGTTATGTCATCATCTGTTAATTAATTCATCGGAAATTATCGGCTTCTTTCTCATAAAGTTCTGCTCATTGTCCGTCTAATCATGAAGTCACTTGCTGACAAACTTAAGCTTTGCGCATGACTTCATGTTGAGAGCCTTAGGACGAGAACATAAAAAAAAGAAAAAAAAAATTAAGACCCGTCTGGTGTCGGGAGACATGCGAAAACCTATTCAATCAAATCACAAAGTTCGCATTTTTCATTCCCTCGTAAACTCGCCTTTAGTTTTATTCCTTCAAGCATGTCTTGAAGTTTGGCTTTGGCGGGAAGGCATTTTTTTAAACAGAACGAAAAAAAATATAAGACACGATGATTAAAATGATTTATACAACCTACAGCATGTTTAGGTTCTGATTAAATGAATAAATTTGCATATTGATTTTTCTTTCTCGGTTTTCTCGGTTGCCTCGCTGTTGTTTTCTTTCTCTCTTCATTTTTTTTTTCTCTATCACGATCATTTGCATATTTGAAGGAAGGCGTAATGTGGCTTCAACTTTAATACCTTTTTTCCCACGGCTTTGTTTTTCATAGTGATATGTACGATTCTGATGCATATGAAAGTACAATGTGATGGAATGATGAATGTGTCGTGAATATAAGGAAGACATATGCATGAAAGCTTTGAATTAGAATCAGATACCGTCAAAAGAAAAATGAAAAGTGTAATGGAAATGAAATAAGTTTTAAAATTTACAGAGCGAGAAAAGGAAAGAAAGAAAGGTGCAGTTCTGAATAAGATTTTATCAGTGCCACTATCTAAATGATGATGTACTTGGAATTATGATGAGACACATGTGTTAGTATATGCACACAATGGATATCCCAGGATATTTAAAATGGGCCTCAGTAGAATATTGAAGTCCTTTCCAACAATTTCGTTTGCGTGGTTTTATTTGTTTATTATGCTGGAAAATGCTGACGCAAAAATAGGTGAGTGCTGTCCTTCTAAGTAATAATGTTAAATATATGTTGGTTGATATGTGAGCCGTGATAAAATTGTCATGTGTTTGAGTATCGTAATTACAGATATTTACATAACTCAGACGTGAAAATTATAGAACAATCGTCACAGTTCATGGAGAGGAGATATAAATTTTTAATAACTAAGTGTGTATGGGAACACTAAAAAGACGGATAAATTGAAATAAACAATGAAGCGCAATGAAGCTCGTGGTGTAAATAATATTATTATTTTAATTCATCAATAAAAATAGTTGAATAGAAGGGTTAATTACATTTCAAACGCAACTCATGTCCTTCTTTTCAAGGCAAAATGAATATAAACAAAATTATACGAGTCATATAGAATATTTGATAAGATGTTTCCTATGTAAATATTTATTTATGTACGTGTGGTATTTGTTCAAGGAAATTTTAATTTACTATTCCAACGGACAAACAAGCATTAATTATTTCAAAACTTTCCTTCACTGTCGCTTAACATCAAATTAAATGAATTTTATACAACAAACACCAAAGGTCTTCTTCAGAGATAATTTTTTCATGTTTTCCTTTCATATGAAACTCTTTTATGTGATTTTCACTTAGATATGTGAATATTTGCGATACTGCATTGCGATAAATGAAATGCCATTTCTCGGGTTTGTATGTACATATAAACATGAAGAGAATGTGACATTGCAGATTCTAAAGCAAATATTATATTAGCTCTTCAAGTGAAAACACGCACAAAATCTCTTAAAGTTTCTCCTTCTCGTGTCAAAACTTTTGAGGAAAGAACTTATTCAAACAAATCCTTTATTTTAAATGTATAGGTTCAGAAGAATCATGAAATATAACAAAGAATGAAGTTAATCCAATGCTATTAAATTTATGATGACTATCGTGAAGACACAATGAACTATCATAATAGCGTATGATCCAAGATAATATTCATGCATAATAAAGAGACCTATCACAGTAGGAAAACTATCGCTATATTCATGAAAATAAAACTTTTCCATTGCTGAATGTTGTTATCACAGAAATATCTGTGAATAGAAGCTTTGCGATTCTGGGAAGGGCGCTCACAGCCCTAGGATAACAAAGATAGACAGCAACAGACAAAAGTAATTGCGAATGATTGTATCTTAGGGAATATTAAAGAAAACCCAAAGCACTAATAACAGAACTATGTATGTGTCCCCTCTCGAACTAATAAAACAATGACAAACCACCATCTTCTAGTAAACGAAAAGCAAAGTAAAGTCGTCAGAAAAGAAAACTGTTTGCCTTGTGAAAAACAAAAGTTTTATTGATCCTTTTCTCTTCTTCATATGTGTCATCATGGCACACATGGTGAGCGAAGAATATTTTTCTATTTTTCTGTTCATCTTGTCGCATGTTTCCACATACATGCGGAGAAGTGTTTAACAATCAAAGAGAGCGGATTATACTTCTCTGTTAAAGCAAATAATTTTTTTATGTTTCAACTCCTCTCCAACAAATATTAAACTTATTTCTGACGAGACGAATACACATGTGTGTAAGATTATGAGCTCATGTGTGTTGTGAGATGAGTGAATTCGAATGTTTATTGAGCTTATATGTACTTTTATATTTTTTCAGGATATTTTTGGCATATAACAGATTTACATTTCGACTCCGCATATTCAACTAAAGGCGATATCGTTCGAAGTAAGTACATTGATGAAGACTACTGAGCTTGAACTACATATAAGGGAAGGCTTATTGATTTGCCATTTATAGAAAAAAAAGGAGACACGTAAAAGCTTTCTTTCAATTGAACTTTATTGATTTTTCCGCTTGTGTTGTTTATGCTTGCCATTTTTAGGGTTTTTATTCGTTCTCCACTTTCTCTAGGACAAGGAGAATATTTAGTCTATTCCAAGCTCTAAAAAGCTTCGACGTCGTATGAGGGTTCTTTAATGTCGTAAACATTATGATAATTTATTATTTTCATAAAAACAGTAAAATTTATGATATTCTCGATAGTTTTTCATCTTTTTTTATAAATATCAGTTTTTTCTTTCATTATATTTTGCATTACCTTGTTTTCATGTTATTCCTTTCATGTTTATGCTACCAAATGATGTTTCATATAAAAGAAAAGCTTTATTTATGAACTATTAAACTTTTATGTTGAAAATATATCTTTCTTCGGTTAGTTTTTGTTTGGTATTCTCGAACGTTACATTAATTAAACAAATTTAAGTTCAGCAAAAAAGAAGTATGCAGAGATTGACAATTTAATATTCTTACAGGTTGTTGGCATACGGAACATCATCAAAGCACATCGCGTGCTCCAGGATACTACGGTGACTATTTATGTGATAGTCCATGGACCCTTCTCGAAACAGCATCACAAGCGATGAGAGAGAAACAAGGAGATAATGTCGAATTTGTTCTTTGGACCGGGTATGTAAATTTACATGTATTCGAGATACACGAACAGAGGAGAAAAAAAACCTCATTTAGACGAATTTTTCTCCTTTCCGTTATTGTTTTCAAAGTCCACATATACATAATTGATTCGTGCCTTTTTCCTGTATAACTTACATCACTCAGCTTTCTCTCACTTATGTTTACAAGTATAACTTGCTGACAGGGATTTTTATGCCACAGACTTCGTAAAAAGTTAATTGCATCAATTAACGTTGCTATTCATGCGTGCTTTGTAACTGGAAAACGAAGCTTTCCCTCTCCATGCCATTGATTTCATGCTTTTACTTCAATTTTTATTCAACATTCAAAGGCAATTTCTGCTGATTACTAATTAAAACCCATAAAGACACGTAAACTACAACAAAATTATAAAAACAACATTAAAGCACATAATTTTCTAGGAATATATCCTTATCGGTTAATTACAGTTATTTCTCATCGGATTCAGTCTTGATAGAGTAAGAGAGCGAGTTGATTATAAAATTATTTTGTGTTTGTAGATCTTTTAATCACTTTAACTAAGGGCGAGTCGACGATGGGTGGTGACCGTCATATTTTATAAAAGGGTTTTATTTTTCAGTACGAACGTTCAGTAGCAAATTTACTGAAGTTTGTTTTCATCTTTTCTTTCCTTCTTTAATTTGAGGAAAACTGTTTTAAGATTTATGGTTAATACTTTGAATTTTCGTCAACCGCCTAAGAATTAACATAGGAATCTTAAAGCGACCATAGAACCCTTGTAAAATTAGATTTTCATAAACAAGAAGCGTCTTACAACTCCCATGCTGTTAAAAAAGATGCGAAAAACAAAAGTTTTTTAAATTGTTATCATTTTTTTCGCCCCTAATTGGGCATATTTTGTTTATTTTCTGATAGATAAGAATAATGTAAAGAAAGTTAAAAACAGGCGACTAAGTAAGAAGCGTCGTGTCAAGTCTTGTAATTAAATTCATAATTTTGTCTCTAAAACGTTTCTTTTTTTTCCTTTCGCGACGTGCTTCTCTGTTTTCCTCGTTCCTTCTCAATTTAAGAGGCGTTTTAGGGAATTCAGTATGGCGAAAGTTTTACGTAATTGGCAAAATTAAATTAGATGCTTCATACATAAGTGACACTTGTCTCGTGATGAAAATTCCTAAACTGTATGACGATCAACAAGATACATTTTAAATGATTTTGTGAATACCTAAATAAGGGGAGTGTCTGGGGATTGTCACAAAATTGTTTTATGAAATGAACTTCGCGAGAGTAAAAATGTTGTGTGACCAGGTTCGTTAAGGTTATCTCTCTGATTACATCGCACCACTCACAAAAGCAACGAGCAATGTGTAGCTTAACAACTGAAAGTTCACATAGAAAAGATATTAAACATAAAATTAACAACTTTGTTACTACGAAGCTTATTGCTTTGGCGGGGTTGCTTAACAATTCTGTTTGCTTACCTTTTCTAAAACTTTTGATGTGTTAATGTTTGAGTAAAATCTTGGGATTTGCATGAGAAAAATATTTTTGCGTTTATTATTTTAATCCCCCCCTTTTAAGAATAATAAGTAAACATTTCGTAGAATAATTGGTGAACTTATGAAAGTTACTTAGGAAGAGAAATGATATTTATAATGAGTGAAGCTTAATGCAAAGTGCCAATGATGCGGCACATCTGAGATCATCAAAATTCCTTCTCGCCAAATTCATTGCTGAAGGAAACCTAAAAGTCTAATGAGAATTTAATTCTCTATCAACTGGATAATTTTTCGCCGCCTTACGCGCTGATGACACCGACAAAAGACGATGAAAGTCTTCAAAATTTTATGACTCGGAAACGAGAAAATATTAGAGCGTTGCCAGAGAAAATCCCCAAAGTTATTGTATTCCCATCTCGGAAAGTCTAAACGGAAAATCAGTTCCTATCCTATCTTAAATTTATTCACGACGCTCTCAAGTAAATACAGTGATTATGATTGTAAAATCCTCTCGGATTTGTGTACAACCCGAAAATGTGTTCCATTTGGCTCCGGATGCCTAAGAGTCTCTTTCTTCTTTCTCTAGAGTTTCTTGTTCACAGTCAACAGACATTTCAAAATTTCTTCTAAGAAAAGAGGAAGAGAAGACAACGACAACGAGTAAGAGAGTTCAAAAAAGTTTCCTTTAACAAACATCATTTATTTAAATTGTCTTCGCTTCTAATCACATATTTGCATGAATTTTAAATGCTCTGCTCGTATTTACCGCCCGCAAAAGACACTTTTGCTTAACTGCTGTGTGCTTTGTACATGAGTTTCTCAAGTATCAAGCATGTGAGTATATGTGAGGTTGATAAGAATTAAAAAATATAAATTTCCATTTAGGATGATGATGAATCTAAAGTCTTTGTGTGAGTAAGAGAACAGCAGAGAAGGCATTTCTTCAAATCTCATTTACATAAAGCCTTAATCTAGTGCGAAAAAGTGTTTAGTCATCTTAATGATTAAAATATTTATGTATTTACGTATCTTTGCGACAGCATAACGATGAGTAAAAGGCTTACAAGAGGATTTAATAGTCACTCTATCATAAGCTCTGAGAATTGTGTAATCACAAGAAACTTTTTCATTCTCATTCCTTGCTAGTTAAACTTTCAAAATGATACTTAGCAAGCTACTAATAAATAAAATAAAAGAAATAAAAACATTTCCTTTTCCCGTTTCATGCTGTTACAATTACAATTTTCATCTTCGATATAAATACTTTCTCTCTTTTTTCTTGCTTCTGCTTAATTAGATTTCATTAAAGAATAACTCAATCAGATTATATTGATTTTTTGTCTTGGTTTTTGGCTTACATTCGGCTTAGCATGTTTCTAATGTTTTTAATAAAAGTTGTATTATTATATTCTTATATTATATTTGTAAGCATGAATGAAAGCTGATAAGTCAACGAACGTGAATGAATCGTTTCTGAGAGATTAAGAAAGTCTGATTAGAAACAGCGAAATACTCTCAAGTTTTCTAAGGTGAAAGCTCTGTTGGTCGTTGATATTGCTTTCATACACTTAGTTTGCTTCATTTTCCTTTTTAATCAATCATCATTAAGGGAAGAATTATGCGATTTTCTTCGAATATTCTCTGATGTCAGATTAAAGTTGAAAATTTATGTTAATTGAAAACAAATCAAGAAGAAATAATGTTTCTTACGGAGATATTTTTAGACTTTACTTCAACGATTTCTTTTGGATTAAAGTATGAGTTTTAGTTTGGATTTTGGAATATGCCTTCGTTATTTTTCTTTCCTTCAATAAATATTGTAAATTGAAAGTTCTTCAATCATCGTGAGTTTTATTTTCTTCTTAGCACTTATCTCAGTGAGAGAGGACAACAAACACCACACCCTTCTAATATCTCCATGACAATCATAAATTTAAATGTAAACTATACAAAGGAAATATTTCAAAACTTCTCAATTCAATTTCTTTTCACAAAAATGTTAAAATCAAAGAAAATCTAGGAATATTTTTGAAGATTATCCTGGAATGATTTAAACGAAGTTTATAAATATATTTTTTAGGAATAATCATTTCATCTTTTTCTGTATCTACCCACTCGACTTGCCACTTTATGATATAAAATTTTGAGAAATATTTTTGGGATCACAAAAGTGTGGGTGTAAACGAATCTGAAGGGACTAAACTCATGAATCCATATAATCTAATATTTAAGTCTTACAGATGTATCTAAAGCTAAGATTTCACTCAATGTGTATAAGACTTATTCAGTCTAAAACAAAAGCGACAAGTCTGATTATTCAAAAATACTTTTTATTGATTTTTTTCCCCCAACGAAAGTGAAATATTGCTTTAAGGCGATTTTCCGAGATGAAACCAATTTGTTACCTGAATATCTCTTTCTTCTCTTATCTTTCCAGAGACGGCTTATCGCATTCAGCAAGACGATCATCAGAGTCGCACCGATTGGAACTCTTGAGAAATATTACCGAACTTTTAGGACGCACTTTTCCATCTCAATTTGTTTTTCCTGTTCTTGGACATGAGGATGTTCAAAACAACGATTATAAAGATTATAAAAACTTCCTTGTGAGTCTAGGAAACATTTGGAGACAATGGCTGCCTCTGGAGGCACTTCAAACATTTGAGAAAGGTAACTCGCCGGGTCGAGCTTTTTCTTTCCTTCTTCATAATGTTTACCTTGAGTTTAAAATCTCTGAATGAAGCAAGGCAATAAAAAATCAGTGGGGTACAAGGAGATTAAATTATTTGTTGTTCTGGGATGGGCCAAATCGAATTCGGATATCTGAATCATTAATTTCGTGAATGCTTCAGGCTAATCCCCCTATAGACAACCAAATGATAATAAGAATAAATTAACATACATAATTTATATTTACTCAACGTTTTCCTATGTTAGCAAACTTATTTATCAGCGCTTGAATAAGCTCGCTAGAAAGAATGAATTTCAAATATTAGAAAAAAGAAAAAATTCCCGGCGAGAAAAAATCTGTCATTCAATTTATTTCCCCTCTTCTCGATTCGCTATTCGCGAGATAGAAAAACCCTCATTAAAATTTTAGTATTCATTGCGGGAGGTAATTGCAATAGCCGAAATTAGGTTGTGCAGACGCAAGCAATCGTGGAGAAAACTACGCCCGAATTGATGTTTATCTTACGATACCTCGCGGTTCAATATCCCAATCACGCGCGTAAGAAATCTCGCAATTTTGATGAAATTATTCATTTGTTAAGAAGTGGAATTTTTACGCCCCATAATATAATTCAAAAGTTTTCTTCTCGCTTTCTTCATTCTAATTCTCCCATTCCACCCACCATCTCATCAGTAATAGATTTTGAGGTGATTTTGGTAATGATTTAATTAAAAGTGAAACTTTCTAGGCGGTTACTACACCATTGAACAAACGAAGAGTCGACTTCGGATCGTCGTGCTTAATACAAATTTCATGAGGCACGATTTCAAATACTCTCAATCACATTTATCGGCCGTTAGACAACGTCCTGATGGTTCAGTACTTGGGCAGCAACAGTACAACATGGGCTATCATCGGAAGCATTATCATCACGATAATGACGAACATAATACTAACAATAATTTTAATAGATATAATAAAGATAGATACTATGGATCGCATTCAAATAGTGACGAGGCGAGATTGAACTTACAAAATGGCGCTGGTGAAAACGGTGCTATTGTGAGTGCTTTGTCGGTGTCGCATGAGTCCGAAAAACAGTGGGAATGGTTGGAGGATGTACTGGCAAAATCAAATAGAAATAAAGAAACTGTAAGTAAATATTGATATCTGTCATAGCTAAATTTACATCATTCGTTCTTGAATGAACATGAGAACTATATTAATACTTCGGGGTCTTTTCTACCTATGTCCATTCAGAAAATAAATATGACCTTTTCAATAATTATTCGTATCCCTTTCAATCTTTTCTACGTCTTGTCCAAGCACTGCCAAATGTCGTCGGTTTTTGAACTTCCAGAAGAAAATTTCCTTTAAATGTTATATGAACCTTACACTTAACTTTAAAAGGAAGAAGTGGATATAAAAATAAACATTTAACATCGGTATTGAGATGATTACCAATGTTCCGCCACTTTTTCTACTCAGATTTGAAGGAGAAAAAAAAAGATTTCTTTAAGCTTCTAGTGTAGATATTAAATTTCATCGCGACATTTATTTCCCTACCCTCGGGTAAGAAAGAATCACGAAATGAGATTTGTTTAACATGAAAAACGACGACGACATTGGAAAGAAGAAAAGGAAACGCAAGGGCGGAATTCGAAAATGGAAAATCGATAGGTATAAATTCGCATTTAGGCTTGGGGGCTAACTTGGATTTGATTTTTCATTTCGGAAATGGATTGTAGTGATTTTGAGAACGGATGACATTCTTTGCTATCAATGGCGGTTGGATGAAGAATGTGGTCTTAGATAACGCGAAAATCATTTGAAATCCCTTCTTTAAATTCCATTAAAAAACTGTTCAACAAACAAATCGCATTACAATGATCAACAGAAGTGTGTCGCATGTTTCAAATGGAAAATTCATTTACAATTTTTATTTCAAGGTATATATCGTAGGACACATGCCTCCTGGTAGTGACGAAAGGCAAATTGGAATCATTCCTAATGGTCACACAACCTACTCGGAAAAAAACAATTTAAGATATCTAAGGCTGATACGAAAATATTCATCGATTATTCAGGGACAGTTTTTCGGTCATCTACATTCGGATTCTTTCAGAATTGTGTACAATGACATGGGTAAGGCAGATTCTTCTCTATCTCATTTCATTCTTGCAATTCCTCCTTTTTCTTTTTTTTCACTCTCAAGCTTTCAGTTTCTACACAATTTCCTTTCCTTTTTTTTTTGTCATTTTCATTGTGCTACCTGAATTCACCAACATATTAAATATATATTTTTCATTTGTCAAGTGTTTAATCTTAAATAGAAACTTGAATTTGTAATTTTTGGATAATTTTTCTTCTTTTCTTCTCTCTTAAATTATTCAATTGGAACATAAAAAATAGGAAAGCCAGTAAGTTGGATCATGATCGCTCCATCAATAACACCAAGGAAAATGCTTGGCGGATCAAACAACCCAGCCATGCGACTATATAAATTTGAAACTGATACAGGCCAAGTAAGTCTTTATATGTTTGCAACATATTGAGAGAAGTGTACATAAATTTATTTCCTGTTCGAATGTTGAAATGGTAGTTTCAGTAATCTTCATAACCTATTCGTGAATGCTACACTACAAATGCCATTTTAATGCCGAAAATACTGAAATTTATAGTAATAGACACAGCCGTACCATTTTAGCATTATAACCGATTTGGAAATATTATTTTGGTGATTGCATCATAAACATTGAAAGCTTTTCTGATTAATTTTCTATTATGAAATTTATAAATGAAGAAAGTAAAAAAAAATTAACATGTTTGGTTGTGCAGAACATCAGTCAATGTTTCTAATGCAATTAACAACATATTCGAAAATTCATTCTTATTAATAGGTTTAGTTTTAACAAGCCCCAAAAGAGCTTACGTATGCTCTTATTTGAATACAGAAAAGCAAAATTTTTGAATGGAATTAATCACCGGTGCAAACAAAGCTTCATAATTATTTAGCAAAGCTTAAATTTAGAAATGTTTTGATTCCATAATCTAAATATTTACGTCCTTGATTAAACATGTTACATAAAGCTACATATTTATTTGAAGCCTTTAAGACTTAAACAATGTTGTACTAGGCATTACCATAAAGGGAGATTTAATAATTTATTGACTCATGTTTAAGTTAAATATGACAAGATGTTTTCTATTTCTAAAGTCGAAAAAAAAGGGTGAAATCTTGTTGTTCTCTACGTCTTTTGTTTATCTTAAATCATTCATGAATTGAGCATGAGATACAAAAACCTTATTTCCTTCATCAAGTTTCCATCCTGATGAGCTTTTAAAATCTCCGCTTGCCTTTTCAGAATATTTCTTGTCAGATCTATGTACCACTCATCTTGTGTAGGATGAAGAGTCCTTTGCTTAATCAGCATGAAATAAAAATTGTATTTCTTCAAGAAATACATGATGACACAACAAGAACATTTTTGCAAAGTTCTTAATTTCCTGTCATATGATTTTTGAGAAGATATAAGTTATCTTACATTTTCTTTATCTCTCTCCTTCTTCACATTTGTTGTCGTTCGTCTTCACATTTCAATCTGGAGCAAAGCTTTTGAATACTAAAACTTATTGTGTGTTTAACCATTATGTGGCGTTGTGACATAAGCACCGGTGAATTCTGCATGTACATTGAATTTAAAAAAGTATTCTTTGTTCACATGTGAATCTCATGAAGATATGAGAAAAAAGAATGCTTAAAGCAATATGAATATCATCACAAATATTTGGCAAGAAACAAATCTAAATACATAATAAATATATGGGGACAAAGAAAGCACGAAATTCTTGAGAATGAATTTTAAAGAAATACTCAAATAAAGAGAAAATAGAAAATGGAAAATTTCTAAAGCCCGGATACCCTGTTTTTGTATGTTTTTCAGGTTTTAGATTATACTCAATATTATTTAGATTTAGAATCAGCAAATTCTAGAAAGGATGGAGCGCCAGCATGGCAATCTGAATACAACTTGACAACTTATTATCATGGATTGGGAGAGATATCTCGAGAAATATCAGCCGTATCACTCCACAACTTAGCTGACAGATTTACAAATCCCGAAGATATTTTATTCTCGAAGTAAGTTCCTTTTTATATTTATTTTGAATTCCTTTTATATTTTTGTCCTCCCATTCAAACTCTCAATGCCATTGACTATGTTTTCTCGGCATTTTTTTTTTTGATAAATGCTTTTTTGTGTGGCGAACAATAAGAAGAATCTCGACTGGGGTTTTTTTTGTGTTTAGTTTGCAAGTTCATATATTGAGATGGAGATTTCTTTCAATAATTCCAAACCTTTAGGAAAACATTTATGGTAGGACAGCTAAGAATCCCTACAAGCAATAAATTCCGATTAAAACAGAAGCATGTTTATGCATTACTCAATCGATTCCAAATAAATAAAATAAATCTTTTCTTATGTTTGCGTTTGTTTTTTTACTTTATTTTTATATAGATAGGTTGTTGGTAAATTCAGATGGTGTTATTTGGTTTGATGATGAATGTATTTGAGTTATAATACTTCTTTGGTATCAATAAGTTCTCACAGTTTACTTTGTAAATAAATCCTTTTCCTTACTGGAACTGCTAACAAATAACTAATATACAATCCACATGAACCTACTGACTCCTTTCCCCGTTCATTATGCATACTCTCACATATTTCATTTGAAAGATAATCTTTCTATTGATTTCAAACGGCAAAGGCCTGCAATTAATTCTCTATGAATAGAGGGAAACAAAAGGAAACATCTTTATTTATTTCCCCATTTACGAATCCCTTCTGAATTCACCATTCCAGCAACACTCACGTCTTGTTTTCTTTTCTCTCCGGTAGATATTATCGCGCCAATTCGGTGAGATTTCCAACACAGCCTTGTGAGGGCGTCTGCTCATTGAATCATTATTGTGCAATTACAAGAATTGATTATCGTGAATATCGGCAATGCTTAGAGACGGCAGCCAGCGCTTTAGCATCGAGAACACGATCCAACCAAGATGATCTCAATAACAAGATTTTATTGCTTTTAATTGCTTTTATTCAATTATTTGTTCATCAGCAATTTGTCTCGACGCAAATAATATTAAACGCGATTTGTTCTAAGTTGAATGTTGTTCAAGGATTCAAGAACGCAGTTTCCATTTTCAAAGTCATGAATTTAAAGAAAACTCAGAAAAACTGTTGAAAGAAAACTTGAAAGAAAAAAGGAAAATTAGTTTAATGAGTCTCAGAAGACAAGTAAAGTAAGTCAGAGGTAAGACACGCAAGTAAGTAGTTGTGAGAATGATAAACGCTTAGTTTGTAAATAAGTATGGAGCTGATGAAATTTTACAAAAGAAAATGAATAAATATTCTAAAACATTAATGGTTTAGATATGGATCAAAATGTAATTAAGCAGCAATTTGTCTACGAAAAAAGGAAAGAAATATGTTCCTTTTGTAGCGTAACAAATTGTGTGTTCGTGAGCTGTGCTGCGCACGCTAAACTTTTTATTTCTATCTCTTAAGTGACAATTTAACTGCTCAACATTTGTCGTTAGACTCGTGATTTGTGATGAAAATTATTTGAAACATTAATAAAATGATTTATGAATGAATCGTTTACATAATAATTCTTCTTCAACATTTATTAAGTACATATACATATTTGTATTATGAAATGCGTAGCATAAAACATAAATCCCCAAGCATCATTTTTTTTCTTCTTAAAAATTTCATTTAAACGATTCATTCATACTTTTTAATTAAATGTATTAAAAATAGCATCAGTTAATGGATGGGAATCAAAGAAACTTTAAAGATCTTTTCACATCACAAATTTATGTCTTAATTCTTAGTGTGTTATCCACGTTGAATTTAAATTAGAATGATTTTATTTTTGTTAAATTGAAAAACAAAAACAAAAATCCTTTTAGGATTGGAAGCTGAAAGAATAAATGAGTACTTTGTAGAAAGAAAGCTACCATTTGAGAGAAGGAAAGGAAAACAAATAAATAAACAACAAAATTCGATTTTATTTTTAACCTTAGAAGAAAAGAAAGTTTCCTTTCGTGCTCTGCTCCTTCTCGCAATCCTTAGTTTTAAACCGAATAAGTGTTCGATTTGATTTCTTTTCCAATCAAAGACATTGAGCTTTTTTCTTTTTTTTCATCAATCCCTTTTGTTTGTATCTTGTTGAAATCGAATGCTATTGAATTGAAAAAACATAAAACTAACGAAAAATAAGTTTAACTGATTTTTCTATGATTGCTTTTCCCTTGGGAAAATTCCAATAAACGGCAAAAAGACTCGTTTCATCCGCTCTGAAGAGAAAATTGAAAACTCTATCAAAAATATCAGGAAACACTTTATGTTTAGATTAACTTTTTTTATCATGTTGATTTATTAAATGTGCTATAAACAAACGTATATCTAAATATTTAATTTAAAGCTGTTAAGTCTAGTTGTAAAAATTTCCGATAACTTATTTGTATTAAAATATGTAAAAAGAAATTATGCTACTTAAAATAAATGTTTTTAATTGAAATCATAATTTAATTGAGTTTTTATTTAGATCACTATCATGCCTGTTAAGTTTTCTATTAAAGGTAGGAAATTCTTATAAGCAAGCAATTTTTCTCCGAGAACTTTTATGACGATAATTATATCCAAGTTAAAAATATTTTCAGCTGAAGTTTGTACTGTAGATATTTGGTCTCCATTTTTTGAATAGTGCTTACTTTTTCTTTTGACTCGTTCAACTTTACAGCAACTTCACGATTGACTTCCGCTCGTAATTGTTCTCGATTTTGAATTCACGTTCTGGCAACCACAATTTCGAAGCTCGCTCTGTAAGGCACTTGAGCAGCAAAGCAAAAAAAACTATAAAACGGAGGACGTTTATTAATACCTTTCCCAAATGACTCCAGGAACAAAAAAAGAGAAAAGATTTCATTTTCTGCTCCGTCGCATCGCACAACCATTCAAAGATATCTTCCTCGTTATTGTCTATTATATCTTATACACGGAAAATAATTAAAGCATTTCTCGTATCGCTTCAAAATAGAATCAACAACAGCACAACGCCGAAACACCAAAGCAATTTTCGTTAATGTTTCAATTCAAAATAATTAAATTTAGTGATTCCTTGCTTCTTACCATTTTTCTCAGAAGGATACTTAATATTTCAATTTATAAACTTTTAATTAATTTTATTCACTTCTATATCTTGCATTTGAGACTTTTAAAAGATAAAACAAATCGGCAGCTTTGAATCTATGGAAATTCATAAAAGCAGAAACATTTTTTGATAAATCAAGAAGCTTTCTAAAATTATTCATGCACATATTTTCTTTCAAACACAAATCGTCAGCAAAATATTCTTTTAATAATATTCCTCTAAACAAACTTTCAAACAAATATACATAAAATGCATTTAAAGTTTAAATTTTTACTAAAAAAATATTTCCTTAACCTTTTGATAACAAAAGCTAACAGAAAAAAAAAATGTATCAAGCAGTTTACTCGTCGTAGCTAAATTTAGAAACCAAAGAATGCAAAATATAAAGATATACATATATACCACATCTAAAAATAAAGTGTGATACATAAGTATGAAGTAAGATCACACGAGAAGATAAAAAGTTTTAAGCAGCACCGAGAATGTTACAAATACATTTAGGAGGATTGAATGAGACTATGAGAGAAAAAAAAATCCTATGAATATTTATTTCAATTTATTAACTTCAGCACGTTGTGAAAAGCTAGAAAATTTTTCATGCATTGCGAAAACTTTATGAATAGTTGGGAAATTTTTCAGATGCTGAAGTCTTCAATTAAGTTTAGTGACTCGTCTATACACGCTTCTCAGATTTTCTTAAGAAAATTTTCAGTTCATTTCGCATACTTTCATAATTCGTTTCTTTATGAGAATTGCTTTAACATTTTAAGTGTTTTTAAGGGTTTAAAGTGATTTGAAGTACGCGGTAAGTGAGTTTATATGTTGGGAATTGTAGACAAAAAAACGATTAGTCTTGAAAATATAAGCAACATAAATCTCTAAATAATTTAATTATCATTACTTGTGACCGTGAACAACTAAAATTCAATTTATCTATGTCATCTTAAAACTCAACCAAAGCCACGTCACATATGTTGGATCTTCTTAAATTAGAAAGTGCTAAAATGTAATTAGAAAAATATTTTTTTAAAATCTTTTTTCGCAACATTTCGCAAGAAATTTTTTAAAAGAAAAGTTTCTTGTTCTTGGTCTCAAGTCGCCGCAAAAAAAAAATCTTTTCAAGATAATAAGCACAAGAGTATTGCGAAAATTAATTAAAATATTTATGAAAAATTTCTCCAAGGTTTGAACGCTCTTACCACTTTGGCAGTAATTATTTTTTTTTTTGTGTTTTGAAGGTTGTGTAGGAGGACTTTTTACATTCAAGATTGAGTGTACGTGGAATTTCTCTCTTTTATACAAGAGGACGTTGTATTAAAAATAGAATTTTTGGTGAATTTTGCGTTTATAAATATTTTATTTAGGTGAAAATCAGAAATTTCCCGTGCGATGAAGTAAAAAAAAGATGGAAAATCAATCAATCAGTGGTAAAGAATCGCGTGCCTTTATATTGACGTATGCTAAAATTTAATCTTTATAATAATGATGCTTGTAAAAGTCTTAAGTTAAGACTACAAAATTATTACTTTCCCTTGTTTAAGTAATGTTAAGTACCTAACGCATAAAATTCCCAAGGTTCCTATCGGCTTAATTTTCATTATCCTTCACTATGAAAAGAAAAACTTAAAGAAAATGCTAGAAACCTCAATACAATTTCTGTTTTTTTTTTGTATAAAAATAGGTTGTATTCACCAGAGAGTGAGAGAGGGTAAAAGACTAAGAAAGAGAAAGTATTTATTGATTCCTTTAGCGTTACGTTAAAAGAAAATTAAATCATTTTTCATTCAGAACAGTCGAGAAACAAAAAAAAATAAGAAAACATTAAGAAAAAGAGGAGAAGCTTCCCAAGAAGGGTGACATAATGCTTTTGCCAAAGTGCTGTTGAGTACAAGGCGGGAAAAATCTGTGAGCAAGCAGCAGTAGCAGAGTTCGTAGTGTAAATTATCTCTCATGATATAATACATTCTACAAACAGAACGAGAAAATTTAACTTCATAAATAATAGGATAATAAAATTGCTTTAAAAGGTTTTTCACTGCTGTTTGTCTCCACCCTTACCATCACAGAAGATTGAGTATATTACGGTTTCCTCGCAAACGAAAATAAAAAGTACTGTTAATTTTCGACAATGATTCCAACGTCTAACGAAACGATTGTTAGGGTTGACTGTCTTGTGGTGTGACATAAAATTATTATTTTCGCTTTAAATTGAAGTGTTTGAAGGAATTGAGAAATACTTTACAATCAATAAAAATATTTCTTCAAATTACTTGACAGATCTTCTTCTGTTTCAACTTCAGATAAATAAGTGGAAGTAATCAAACCAAATTCAAACTTTTAAGCTTAAAATAATTGAGTTCCATTATACATCAATCGATGTGATGGTGAAAACGGATCTGAATGATAAATAAAATAAAGGACTTCGCTTTTGCATTTAACAACTGAATTTAAATATTTAGTTGCACTTCACCATGATGGGGACATCTATTATGATGATTTTTTGAAACCGTAACGACATGGATTAAAAATTGATGTTAAAAATTAGCTCAAAACAAATACAATTTATTTTAAATGAGAAAAGAACATAATGGAAACATATCCGCTTACAGCGGGGATTTTTGGGGACTTGGCGGAAGCGACTTCAAAATGAGTAAAAGAATTTATGCGACTGCTAGAATGAAAATTTAATGAATGCAAGAAATAGAGTGGAATAAATTACCAAGCCATTCGCCTAACCTTAAGATATACATATCCATTAAATTCGACCATAAAATCCAAAGATTTATTGGCTACGACGAGAATTTGTGTGCGACTATAAATGTGTGCGTTTTATTGCTTTGCGAATTATTCTTTTTTTTCTCGCCGCCCTTTTCCCGCAAAAGTTTAAATTCATTCTTGTCTTATGTATTCGATTGCCTTGCGATCCTCAATACACTCATAAATCTTACAAAAAATTAACAACAAGAAAAAAAGAGCGAAAAGGTTTTCCCTACATCAATCCTACATTCTTTCCAATAACAACAACTTAAACATTTTTTCATCTCTTTAAATATATCACAATTGTTGGTCGCAGACTTGTTAATGTCGAGATGAATCTCTTTTGGTTCTGTTTGTTAGGAAGCTTAGCGATTGGAATGGCCAGGAATATTTATCCTCAGAGATTTTCAATAAGTTACAGTCAGACAAAGAAGATTTCAGCAATGCCACTTGGTATAGAAATTACAAGAAAAAGGATTTTCTGTTTTCTTTTTTTGAAAGGCGGGTTACAACGACTGATTTCGATAAAAACGCATAGTCAAAAACAGAAAAAGTGCGTTTTAAGAAGGATTTACAAGTCTTCCGAAAGCGTAAGAAGCTTCATTCACTTTCTCTTTGTGTCGGAATCTCACCAAAAAAAGAAGGCGAAAACGAAAAAGAAAGAAAAAATTATGGTAGAAATAAATGTTCTGTCCATAAATCATCATTTTTCTTTTTCATCTAAGTAACATTAAATCGTATGTTAGAGCAAACAGATTCCTTTTGACTGTAACTGAAGGTTTAGATTGGATGACCAGATTTTTGTAATCATTTTTCATACAACATACAAAGGTTCATAAAATATTCTAAGAGCTTTCCTTAAAAAATGTTTCACGAAGCAAATGTAATCCCCGTTCTTAGGTTAAAGCACGCAAACTTCTTTTCCGCTATATGTACATGTAAAAAAATAGGAATTCAAGATTCAGACGGAAAAGCGAAATATGTAAACTCAAGGGAATTTCTATATTAAACAAACGAAGAAGCATATGTTACTTGGATAATGCAATAATATTAAAATATCTAAGAATATCCTGAGCAGAAAATTCTAAGCGGAATTGCTTTATTTGGTGAAAGCCAAAAATATATTATTAACTTTTTACGAAATGCATTTCACAGTGTTAAATGATTAGATTTGTGTTAAAAAGAATTCCTTCTGAGAAAAGCGCTTAAAATATTACAATTCCTTTACTAATTTTGGTTTGTAGGCGTTTCAAAGGAAAACCAAATCGTATTTCTTTGGAATTTGTTCAGAATCTGAAAAAGTCAGCCTAAGGTTAACAAAAAATATAAATAAAAAAGATATTATTGACTCAAAAAAAAAAGGTATCCAAGGTAATTAAGACTCGCTTTGTGATTTTTCATTATTTTAAGATATTTTCTTTTTGTAGTTGTTGTTTGTCGTTGTCGTAATATCCCGAATGAGAGATGAAGCCTTGACATTTAAGAATAATGAAAATTTGAATAGCAATTTTCCGAATTTTAATTTAAAAAACAAAAGCAAAAGCAATTTAAATTTAAATTTATTTTTGTATGATTAAATGAAGATATGTTTATCAAGTTGATGATATCCTGGTTACCAAAAGTCTTGAATCATATCGTAAACACTTGTAAGTTCGTGAATGAAATTGATTGAAATTTGTGAGTTGTTTCCTCGAATTTTTGAATAATATTTTTGGAATGTGTGAAGGCAATTCACACGCCCTTAATTTAAAAGTTTTAACAAACAGAATTTTCATTCAAGTTTAATGTTCATGGGAATATTTCTATTTTTAGTCTCTATTTTTTGTGTTGTTAGATATCAAAATTTACAACTATTCTCATCAAGCAAGTTTTGTATCCTACATTTACCGTGATAAATTATTTATTGAAGCAAATGGACATGAAAGCCATTAAAAGTATTAAAGTGGTGGTCCAGAAATCCCATTTAATTGCATGTAAAATATTTATTAACTCCATTAATTTTGAATTATTTTCTCTTCTTCTCGCCTCACAGAAACGAATCATTCAAACGACATTTTACGAAAACAGCACCACAGTAATCGAGCGTAGAAATTGTAGTTTTTTTTATTGTCATCGAGATAACATTTTATAGAACGAAGCAAGGGAAATCCACGAGAAAAAAACATGGCACAAGTACAACGAAGAATTGTTCACAAACAATTTAACTCACCAATTGCCCTCTACTCCGATACGAACGTTAAGGAAACTCTGAATAGAGAACTGAAGCTTCTCGATAACGGAGCTGTCGGGTGAGTGTGAAGTAACTTTTATCACAAATATTTACACATCTTCGTGAAGGTATCATTCTAAGGTACTTTTCCATCCCCTCATCATCTTCATTGAAAATAGGAATTTATTGGACTCAAGTGTTTGGCTGAAGGTTTTGATTAAAAAATATTTTCTCATCGTCAAAGAGGGTGAGAATAGGATTTATGTTTTATTGGTTGGAAGTGGGAATGCTAGATGGAATATTTTCAATGTTCATCTTCTTATCTGTGAAGAACTTAATTGAGTGGTAGAATGTAAGAGAGCGTTTTTGTGATAAATAATACGGAAAAAGAATCATCTTAAAGAATCCAAGCAAATGCAATTGTCAATGAAGTGAGAAAAACATTCCTTTTATCCTTTATTTGAATGGGTTGTGAAAAAAGATTGAAAACATTTCGAGATACGATGGAATTTTCAACCAAAACATTTTATTTAAAATGAATACCTGTTTAAATACATGAACATTTAAGCTTTCCACCCACAATTGTTTATTATTCCATGTTAACCTTGAGAATATGTAATTGAAAATGTGAGTACATTCTAGATTAATAATTTTCCGCTTGAGTTTAAAGCCTCAAGGACTAATTTCCCAGTTGTTTTGAGGAAGTGAATGCCGATAAGGAGAAATAAATATGCGTTGTAACTTCACAACCCTTAACAACGCAACAATCAATTTCTAAAGTTCTATAATAAATCGTGATTGAAATTTGCTGTCTAATGAACAGGAAACGTGATGGAACATGAATAAAGAAAATCAATTTATTTCTTAACAATTAAAAAGCTTTCGCTTTCCTCAATCGTTGGCCAAAAAAAAAAATCTTTTTCATGTTCATTCATCATTCGAATAAAAGTCAGAGCTTCAGTTAATTTATAAGCCGCTCATGCACACTCAGCCGAACGGCGAACATTCTCAATAAGCTTTTAGTTGTTTTAATTTGATTTCACGCTCTTCTCAGCTGTAAAAAATGTTTTCATAACCAAACGGGCAACAAAAGAGAGGAGAAAAGGGAAAAAAATGTACGAAAGTGAAAAATAATTCATTATGTCTGCCTATTCTTTTGTAACTACGCTTCACTGATGTAAATTATTTATGACTTATTTTTAGGACAATGGAATTGACGAAGTGGGGAAGTTTCGTTTAGATAGCAGATGAAAATTCATTTTTATGCCTCACAAACAACATCCAAAGCTAACTCGTAATTTTTATGTTGTAAAAAATTATTAATTTTCTCTTATCATTTCTGTGAAATGTGAGTGGGTGGGAAAAATCTCTGAAACAAACATGAACAGCTGCTGAAGATTTATTATCATTCACATCAGATTATTCCAACCGAAAAAGAACAAACTGATCGAAGTGATCTGCACAAGATTCTCAATGTTGGGCGTTAAATTACAAAGCACATTTCATTTGAATTTTAGTTTAAAAAAAGTCGTGACATAAATCGTGTTTTATGATCTACATCTGTGAAATTTAACGATTGACTCTGCAATTAATATATATTTGTATTTCTTTTTTCATTCTCTCGTTTTTTGCTCATTTCGTTTCGTCACAAAACGTATAACAATTTCCTCGTGCATTTAATTTGTATATGATTTGTTTTTTATGACTCAACTGAAGATGAAATCAGAAGTTAAAAAAATAAAAAGAGAAGAACAAAGGAAGGAAACCATCAAAAACAGGGATAACGTGACAAATGTAATGTAAAATCAGTTACAAGATGAAACTTTGAGATGGAAACTCTGCTGAAATTTGATTCGCTTCATGACTGCAATTTAAACTCGGCGCATGATAACATTATGATGTTGTGGGAAAGTTGATGCAAGGTGTCAGCTATTGCACATAAAAACAAACATAAAAGATGGCAAAAGAAAGAAAGCTTAGGAAGAAATAAAATGCCGAAGCTTTTGTACGAGATTTCCATTAAAACTTTAGCATTAAAACGTGAACTTTTTTATATACTTTTGTTCGGTCACAAAGGACAATTATGAAGAGAGAAAAAAGGAATTTCCATGATAAAAGGGAAAATGAAAGTTTCCTTCACCTAAGTGTCTTCAGTGGGGATTGTTTTGATGTATAAGTATTTTCGATGTCAGCATGGTTCAGTGCTTTAAGTCCTTTTCAAACCTCCCAATACAATAAATCAAATGTCTCAGATATCAAAACATTTTTTATCCCAGAATGCCAAAGAAACTTCATTTAAACTTTTTATTTTCAACATTCAGCTAAACGACATATGAATTTCTCATTTCTGGCTTACGACATGTTTTTTATGTTTGAATACAAATAAAACGTACATAGTTACTCGGAAAATGTCGATGAAAATAAAATTTGTGGAGAAGTGAAAAAAAGAGTTTTAAGATTTATGGCATTGAGGAAGGAGAGGTTATTAACAAAGTTTACGCTTGGTGAGATGACCTGTTTCGATTTTACTTAAGCAACTTCCAAGGAAAAAGAAAAAGATTCGAAAAGCAAAAGTTTGCTCTTTTATGCTTTGCTTTAGATATTTATGACTTTAAAGTGATAAAGAAAAATCATTTGGAAAATATTTTTCAATTCTCAATTTCCTTTTTCATTCTATCATGTAGGATACCTGCTTGTATTCATTAGCACTGATAAATCATCTCACAAAATATAATTTTATCTGCCAAAAGATGTAATCATTCAATTTATATTTTGAGGTAATAGTCATTCGTGAAATTTAAAAATCAATCTACTGTTGTGTTCATTACACTGACTTCTACTCAATTACGTTTCGTCTTTTATCACCTGCGATCTATTCACAATTTTATATTGTCACTTCATTAATCTTCGTCAACTGAAGTGAGTAATTTAACGTTCAACTCATTTCATTGAACTTTGTGTTGAGTTATTTATAGCGAAGATCCGAATATAGAGAATCGAAGCAATTAGTCATGCAATTAATTATACAGTCGTTGTGACTGTAGAAGCTTTATAGGAAAGTGTTGGTAGGGACATCGTGATAAATAAAAGTAAAACGATGATAAACTTTTAAATATAATCACGTTTGCATCATCAACAAACAACCAGCAAGCCAGCCCCATGAATGAATGAGGGCGCGCATTCAAAAGAAAGAAGCGTGTAAAAATAAACGCGATGAAATTATTTGCATTGAAAGTGCAAAATCAATTCACAACAAACAGCAGAAAACTTTGTTCATTCATTCGTTCAGCTTCAACCGTCCAAATTGGTTTCAAATTGAAAAACTTTGATAAAGTGTTGCGGGCGGGAGCGGAAAATTGCTAGCAGCTATAATCAAGCTGCCTTTTTCTTGTGAAGCTTGAAAGCTTAACGAAAAGAAGACGGAAAGGAAAAACAGAATTTATTTAAATTATAATAATGTGAAGAAAACAAAGACCGACGAATACCGGACTAATCACAAAATCAATATTGTTGCACGACACTTGTTTCTTACCCTCCTTCAAATCACGTCTCCAACCTGGTTTGGTGGAGTAGATGCTGAAAACCATAGCTTCACGTCTTATTCATTTGTTCATTAAATATTTAATGATCATTATTGTGATGATGAAAAACTGTTAAGCATTAAGACATTTCTTGATTTCAACAACTTCTATGGCTATGGAACAATGCCAATTCAACAGATCTCTTCAAGAAACATAAAATACGAATTCCGAAGCCTTTTTACCTCAAATAAAATCACGAATTTCACTCAAAGAGAATCAAGCGTAGATAATGGGAGTCGAATCGAAAAGTAAGCACTTAAGGTAGGAAAAAAACGAGTTATCGAAGAAAATAAGAAAAGAAAGAGAAAAAGTGTTCTGAATTTTACGCTGTCACTTTTTTTGAACCATCCTGAGTGAATTGACATGGCAGCAAAGAAAGAAAATCTATTTATATATGCGAAATTTAACATTTCTATTTGGAACGTGACGAATAAAGTTTGCTTCTCTTTTTATTTTCTTATGCTACTTTATCATGATTCCATCAACAATCTTTGACAAAGAATCACATCTCATAATATACAATTCCTGTATATATTACCATGATGATATTTTATTGTTGCTACACATTATGTCGAACTCTAATTCACTCATACTTTTGTTCGTCTCATGAATTTTCCGCCTCAATTTCACTCAAGAATATTTAAATTTTATACCAAATCGATTTAAAGAAGCTTCTTGAAAAATATTGTTTTACTCTTGATTTTACTTCGCAACTGTAGAAGGAGTGTAAGTGGTGGCAAAAAGCATTAAACTCTGATTACTTTACATAACAATAATCTGAGAAAGTTTGCAAGTTTTCTGTGGTGATTGGAAGAATTTGTGGGGAAATATTTAAATATGCTTCGAAAACTAATTTACGAAATGTTCTTTTCTTGATGATCGTAGTATGACACTGAACAAACAATGAAACTCTCATCTCAATGATGTTTCCTGGTGAATTGATGAAATTACAACAGCTAACCCTTGAGATTTTCCTTTTTCCTTGAAAAGGAATGGAAAATGCAGGAATGCAAAGTAAAACACTTAAAATAATTGCAAATTGTCGATAGTTGTGCATTTTTCAAAACTATTAAACTGAAAAACTTTGTAATTTTTATTTCCGATTGAGTTTCCTTTTATAGCTGAATAAAAGTTGTAAGAATTTTGATATGCCACGGATATTACAAATTGAACATTGTTCTGTTCTTCGTTCGAATTTAATCTAAAATTTCTTATAATCAAAATTATTTCCTCGTTTCAAAGCAAATAGAAAATAAATCTAATGATTTATTCCTGAATTCAATTTCTGTTGATTATTCTAATTTCGAATAAGAATCACAATCATCTTATATCAAGTTTAAAAAATTTCATTGCTTTCCTGGACAATAGGAGAAATTTTCGAAAAATAAAATTGCAGCAGCCAAATTCGAGAATGACAGAAATTTCCGTGGAACAAAATAGCGGCAGATAAGTTCTACTTCAAATATTTCTTTGTAAGAGCGATATATGAGGGAGAATTTAGCTGCCGCAATTTACTCCTATTGTATTTCCCTCACCACTTAACAAAAATTGAACATTAATTTCGCAAATAAATTCATAACATTCCAAGTCAATTCTCAATGTGTAAAAACATATGTTACAATATCTTTAAATATGATTTGCAATCGTTACAAATTATCATTAAATCAAATTTCATCAGAATATGTTAAAATCTCAAAGGAAAATAATTCACATGCATTATCACAAGCATTTGTGATAGATCTGAAGCAGTTGGATCAAAGCCTTTTGATATGTAGAGTAAACATCTTTATCGTTTCATGTAGGTTCAACTATTAAGTTTCCATCTTAGTTTAGAGCATACGTACATGCACACAAATGCTAAACTTTAGCTTTTCATTGTTGTTCATAACTTCATATTTTCAAACTGCACTATTCATCATCAAACATGTAAATGATTTCGCTTATGAATAATTCTCATAAATATCTAAGAGTTCAACTCATTTCAATTTTAGAATCGACTTTGATGATGCTTCAGCTCGAGCAGGAAAGTTAGCAAAGTCTGCTGTACTAGCTGCGTTAGAAGAGGAAGAACGTGAGAAACGTGGACAAAAACCTGGTAAGTTTTATGAATAAACTTCTGAGAACGGATTCAATTTAAAAAATTGAAGCTTTTATCAAAATGAGAGGAATAAATCTACGAGATAACAGAAAATAGCAAAAGTTTTCCCTGCACATCAACCGACATAGTTGCATCTGTTAATATTGGTTTAAAATCCAATGGATGGTAAAAATTTTACTATTGTTTCGTTTTCTAGCATCATACCAAGCCAATTTTCAATTACAGAGTCGATAGAGTTAAGTTATGTTGAAAGATGCACGCAATATTGTAGATTTGAATGCATTTGCGTACCAAAACGTTATTTCACTTTTATTTGCATAATCAATTTGAATTTTGCTTTAGTTATACGCGTTGCAATGTTGAATAAGTTTACACATCAACAACGACGACATAATGTTTGATTGCCTCACAACTTTATCAAATTTCACACAGCTTCAAATATGAATAGCAAATCGAAAATTGTTTGATGACGTCGGGCGATATTTTTTTGTCATAATATGTCAAATTGTTCGCACATATCTAAAATGCGCAATAAAGCGGTTTCCAAATCTAAAACAAAGCTCTCAGAGGTTAAATCGGAAAACAATGTAAATTTCTATCGTTTTTTTCTTTATTGTATTTTCACACTCGTTAATTCTAGACAGAGCATTCCAGCTCTTAGTTCTCTCTTGAGAGTATGCAATTATTAAATATTTGATATGTGGTGGCTTTCATGATGGCTTTGTATGAGGGCTTTTGATGCAATATGCTTAATTTGTGTAACATATCACACTCTTATGTGTAAATTTGTTTGGTTTAATTCTGCACACAAAAGTGTTGATCCTCATAACTACCATGAAACATTTTAAAATCTGAATGCATCCTGCATTATTAAGAACTTTGACCTTTGAACTTACAGGTCAATTTGGGAAATAAAACCTCTTTTAATTAAATATTTTCTGAACAGCAATTAGTGATTCAAATTTATCAATTGAAGAGAAATTTTAATTCCAATTTAATTGCAGTTTTCTCTTATGTAAGCTTTCGATGATTGAACTTTTCTTTATCACCTACACCTAACATAACAACATTAATTGTCAAACATATTTAAATGTTGCAATTATGGATAATTCAATTTCAAAACATAATTTAATAAATTAGAACTGATTGATTCAAATTATCAAAAACTGTCTTAAAATTCTGACTAAATTAAATTTTAATGTTAAAAGAAGGTGTATAAATAGAAGTTCTCATGAAGTATCTAATTGAAATTAAATTATAGTTTAAACTACTTTATGAAATTATATCACATGTTCAGTCTATTAAATTTCCTAACAATTTCTCTCACAACGGAAATTTCAATTGAATAATTGAAGGTTTTAATCAGAATCGAAAACATTATTAAAACTCTCATTCCAAGCACACACAAGGTAAAATAGAAATTGATTGATCAACCCCTCATGCATTATTGATAGAGAATTCCAAAATCAGATTTTCATTTATATCCATTTTTTTTAACTTACAAAGTTTCGAAACTTACAGGGAGTCGGAATTGAAGTTGAAATAAATTCCCATGAAAAAAGAAAACTATGCTGCACGTAAAATATGTTATGAATGAATCATCAATAACCTTCAATACTTTTTTTTTAATAAATTCATGGATAAAAACGACTGCACATAAAAAGTATTCGGAAATTTTCAAACCAAAACTGAATCAAAATTTAAATTCAGAATGATATAAAAGATTCGAGAACTGCAGGTCGACCTCATTATTTCTTCAGAAAACTTAAACAGATTTTTACCTTGTCACGTCAAGTGATAAATATTCACACGAAGATGTCTGAGTTGGTGAATAAACAATATTTTATGTTTCATTAATAGGAAGAACTATCATAACTAAAACCCATAAACCAAAGTGTTGGGTGAAAAAGAAAATCATAAATATTGTTTTGTTCTACGATGGCTTTCAAAGGTACTGAACTATATTTAAAAATGTGAAAGATGTGGGAAAAGGAAAATATATTTCTCTGTAAATCATCACACCTCATGTAGACAGCACGTTCAAAAAAACGAACATATTCCGACGTAGAGGTATTAAAAGGTGTTTAACTATATTTATAATAGACGCCAGCCGTCTCTATAAAACGTGTAGGAAGATGAGAAGACGTAATAATTTTTAAACACATGCTATAATCAAGCACATACCTACCACAGCCTCCTGATACGTTGCGAGGACACGAGGGAAAAATAAAATTAATTTTATGGAATGTTTAAGCATATTTTATGCTGAGGAAAATTTCAAATAATCATTTTAAAATTTATAAATTAATGAGTTTTTGTTCCCCTTTCTCTCGAACCTTTAAATGCTTCTGAATTCCAAAACAACTCCGTACATGAAAGCTGAAAGAGCGAGCTCGTGATCATGATATGAACCAATAAAAACAGTGCTACAAACTACATAGATATCTACTCGAAATGCGAGAAAAAAAAGGTTTCAATGCATATATTCGTGCAGATAGCTTGAGGAATAAACTTAGTGGACACAAATTTCAATTTTATCAATGCATTTGGTGAGAGACTGAAAAACATTCGAAGATTCAACGTTAGAGTGAGAAAACGATAGTCAAAGATGTTGCAAATTTTATAATAAAATAAATTTTGTTACCTTGCTTATAAACCATCCCCATTGAAGGCATTTTCATGCAACCGAAAATTCCGAATTCAATTTTCTCAAAAAAAAAAGAAATGAAAGAACTGAGAAGATAAAGAATACTTTTATAGGCGAGGTTGTAAGTATTAAAGCCATTTATCGAAGAAAACCCTCCATAGACGCGATCCCAGGCTCGTGTTAGGAGATTTGACGATATCACGTTTAAGAAATATGTTCCGTGAGTGTAATTTAGAGAAGCATACAGCATATGGGCAAATGGAAGAATAAATCAATATCGATTCAAAAGGGAGAGAGTTTTAGTAGAAACGGAAAAATATTACATTTATGCATAGATCGAGAAAGGAGAAAAAATGAATATTTTCTTCATTTCTTCTTAAGAAAAAGGCTGAGATGCAGAGAGAACGAAGTAACAAGCAAATAAATATCAATTTGAGTGTCTACCCTAGTGAACATAAATAGATTTTGGTGGCACTGTAAACAGCTACTTTCCAAAATTGAATCTTAAGGTAAAATTGCACAAATTCTTTGTTACTTGCTTCGTTTTCATCCTCTGCAGAATTTAAATGGCATGTGAAAACGCTGTTTAAGCTTTAAAATTGGTCTATTTATGACTATTTGTGTCCCAACGTGAATAGAAATAGAACTTTATTAGTCATGCTTAAAAAAATTCAATTTCTCTAGTTTTACTGACAAATACTTATTTGCAAAAGGAAATGGAAGAAACATTAATTTCTTATTTTTTTACTAAGCACTTCAGAACTTAAAGAAAATAAGGAAAAAAGTGGAAAATTCAATTCTTATTAAAATATATTCATTTAGAAGTTGCAAAACATTTTCTCGTCTAATAAATTTGCAAGAGTTTGTTAGGGAGATAGAAAGCTTCGTTAAAAAGACAAAAAATACGACAAATAACAAGTTTTATTCGTTTCTTTAGCACATTTTAAGTTAAATCACTTGTCTTGTTCCACTTTAATTCGTTTTTTTTAAATTTCTACACGACTTTTTTTGTGAAAGCTTTGAAAGCTGGCACAAGTAAAACTCGTTTACTTTTGTGCTTTGTCTCCTTTTCATAATTTATCGTGAAGGAAAACGAGAAAAAAAATTACATTCTGGTTTAAATTTTTCATTAGCACATTTACAATTTAAATCGGAATGAATATAAGTGAATAAGGGTTTAAATTTTCAATGTTGAACACGTTTCTAAGTAGAATATTGTATATTGAACTTTTCCTTCAATTTAATATATAAAAAAAGTCTTCCTAATGGTATAAAATTTCTATTTAAAAACTTGATAGAATTGTGTATTAAGATTCTGATCGAATTCTGAATGCACCGACTGAAATTAATTCTTTTGTTGGAAAGAAATCAGACTTAGATCCAGCTCATATCTCACTGAAAGTATTTATTTACACTGAACATAAAAAGACTATAATTGATCATTTTTATTGACATGAATTTTAACCGTGTAGGGAAATTGTTAATTAAATATAAAATGTCCTTATAGCAAGACAATCACGCTCACGTCAAATATTAATAGACAGAGAAACAGTTTTGAAAATAAATAAACGTCCACGACGTTATCGATCTTGTTGTGACTTTCGATGGCCCCCCACTCATGATGTTCGCCCACAAGTCAACACAAATACGCAACATTTTAACAATAATTTGATATCAGAAAGACAAGTTGCGGAGATTCGATCATTCTTTGATAATTATGAGAAAAATGTGAAGAATTTCTGGGAAAAAATGTCATTTACTGAGCGACACAATATCATCGACTTAAGTGACATTGTAACATCGTTGCAACCCTTAGAGAGTTTTGAATCTGATAACTATGAGAAGAGAACGTTTGATAGACAAGCCACAGTTTCAACAGAGAGAAATCAATCAATTTTTTCATCTTTGTCACCGAATTTGTCGAAATCAATCCCAATGAGTAAAAGCAATAGTTGTCGACTTTTATCAACTCTCCGACCGCATCAAAAAAATACTTTTTTGCCCGAGGAAAAAATCTATTTTGATGAAATGGTAGAAAAATGTCAACATTTTGATAAATCGTATGACAAGCACCACTCAATTGGAATTCGAAATTATTACAAAAACGTGGAGAGCGAAAGAAACAAAATTGGCAAAACTAAAAATCACAGCACAAATCTGCAGTTGTTAAAGCACAAAGAAGAAATTTCATCATCATTAAGTGAATACGATCAGAAGCATTCACAGTTGAGTAAAACTATGGAGGACGAAGCGATCAAAATTAATGAATCTTCAGAAACTCTCATCAATCGTCGACTGACGTTGCCTCTTCAGCTAAACCGAATCACTGCACTCTCGTTAATTAAAAAGAATAATTCGATATTGTGCGGACGTAATGATTCCAACTACGAAGGAATCAAAACGTATTTCAACCGAAAACAAGATGATGATGCTTCACTAACATCAAAAACAGACACGAGGCAAAAACATTACCATCGTTTAGATGCTTCTAAACCAATTAAAACCTTAACTTCATCGGAAGAGAATACTTGCCACCAACAACCAAATATCTTGATATTAATGAATGATGATTGCAAATCGCTTCAAGTGCAAGACGAACTTCCATCGAAATTGGTATCGAGCATCGGAATCGAAAGCTTTGTTGATAAATATTGCAAGAATTTCCATCCAAGGGACGATAAAAACGACTATGAAATTAATGAAAATACGAAAACTAATTTGAGAATCGAGGGAAAACATAATTTAGATTTCGATCTTCAATGCTTCAGTAAGAAGTTGTCAGCATGCCCCTCAAGGCAAGAAATAAGATCTTTTCAACAGCAACAAGCATCAGACAATGACAATAAAATTGCAATTACACATATCGAAGTGGAATCAGGAGACGACAAGACTCATGCTACTCGTAACTATGATGATGAATTGAAATTGATTGGAATTAACAACTCGTGCAATTCTTCAGATTCTTATGAACATTTAAGTGACTGTTTTTCATCGTTCTCATCGCTGACGTGTAATAGCACAAGCTCGACAACATTTTCTAGAATATCTGATTCCAATGCGTCATTAACTGACGCACGTAGTCATGACTGCTTTCATAGAAATGCCGATAACGGAATTAACAGAGGGAAAATTTTCACCAATGGAGAATTCTTTTATGGTCCCTATGACTTCGATTTGTTTTCAAATGAATTCTATCAATTTCGTGATAGTAACAGCGATAGCGACGAGAAGACATCCAAGGCAGCTAATGATGATGAAGCAGAAAAACTTGGAAACGCAACTCATGTTATTACTACTAGCGAGTTATTAAAAAATCATGATGAGGTTGACAATAAAACGGAACTTTCGTTTGTACGTGATGTGGATATTGAGAAAGGATGTGAAATTTTACGCAATAATAATAATAATAATAATAATAGCCCGAGCAAAAACGATAGAGTTGGTATCGAATTAAATATAACAAATTGTTTGGATGATGATGAGCGAGATGCTTTGGTTCCGACTATCCGAAATGATGATGTTGCTGTTGTCAAGAATTTCAATTATGTTTCGTCCAAAACATTTGACCACAGTTTGATTGATTTGATGGATGAAGGTGACAATGACGTCGGCACTAAGCGTGAATGCGCTTCAGGGTTTGATGATTCGCAAATTGTTTGTAGAAATATCACATCGACAGATTATGCTAAGAACTATGACATGTCACACACACTTTCTACACCTAAGCCATTGAATTACTCGCAAGAATTTAATTATAAACGAAACAAAATTGTTGAAATTACTCATGAAAATGAGCATTTATTAGAGCCTCCACCTAGAAATGATTGCTATAAAATGAACACAGATGAGAAATTCTACAATGACCAACGATTTATTATTGTCGACAACAACGGCGACAATGATGAGATAGAAAATATAATTAGATTTAAAGAACGTTGGAGGATGAATCGACAACCCAATTCCCTGATGGTTCTTTCATCATCGGATCCACATTGTGACGAGCTTGATTCATATTTTTTAACAAATGTTATCGATTTTGATAATCAATGGTGAGCATCTTCTTGTTCTTGTGTACATACAGAACCCTGTGAAACCATTTTTCACTCTTTTTGTTAATCAGACACACGATGTATGTACACAGACATCAGCTACCACACGCAATGATCTCACATAGGCTAATGGTATAAAGAGAAATGGAAAGTAGTTGTGTCACCGTAAAGTAAATTATTTTTAAGCCGGAAACCATGGCTACTTATCCATGTATATAAAATGCCAGAACAGTCATCGAGATTGAAACAACTTTAATAAATTAAATTCATGAAAGTATTGTGTGAGCTTTCTCGCGAAAGCTTTTTTGTAGTGTTGAATACCTTCTTTCTCTATTTCTAACACAGTAAGCAAAAGGCAGCTGTATCAGATTACATAAATATCCTCGAGTGTTTTCACTTCGTGCTTGTTTTGTGTCACCCATTCGGTTATCGAAAAACGGTTGTTTTTATAGTGAAATAAGAGTTACGCTACAATGAACTTGAACGTTTATGTTATTCTAACAAAATGTAAAAGCAGAACATCAGCGTTTGTTCTATTTTCGAGGTTTTTGACTCTCTCAGAACATCAACAAGAATTTTCATTCGGTACCGATTGTAAACATTTTGTTTCATCAGATTGGATAGAATTGAAATGTTTTATTTAAAATTCCACTTGTCGTTGAAATTCATTTTCTAAATGTAATTTACAATCACCCGGTAATTAATTTTATTCCGGGATATAATAGAACTATGAAAGCACTCGTGTGCAACTTCAATTATATTTCTCATAATTACACAAGCATTGAGTCGTTCTAATGACAATACATAGTAACGTAATATTGTGCTATCACAGAATGTTATGTTCATAACTCGTTTCACGACTTGTCATCACAAGAATTTAATGAAATTTATAATGTCAGATGGAATTAGATATATGAGATTTCTCCTGGGTTAGTTCTTTCCCATTTTGTATCACATCGAACCCCGCACACTGAGTTTGTTTGTGTTTTCTTCTAGATAAATATGTCTCACAATCACAAGCTAACACCTTTAGCCACACTAGATTCTATGACTATTGATTCATTGAATATAATATTTTTCTTCTACATTTTCAATATTCATTCAATTTAAGCATTCGAGAAGGCAGAGACTCAACAATTGCAATTACATTCCCTTCTTCATCAGCGAAAAGCAAGGATTTTAATAGATTTGTTGGCAGTGAAATGCGAGATCTCAGCTATGAAAATGATTTATATACGATGGATGAAAACTGTAAGCGAAAGAGAAGGGAAAATAATAAACGTTTTTTTGTCTGTTATAAAAAAAGAAAAAGAAAAAACAGGAATGAAACTCAAGCGAATGAAAACAAAAGAAATAATAATGAAAATATTTCCCCCATCCTTCCCCACAAAACTTTCCAACCCAGATCCGTTTTTCAAATGTTTGCTCAACGGTTAGTGATTTATTGCAAGCAGCACCTTCAACTATTTCAGAAGGTATAATTTCTAGACACTATTGTATATTTATTATTCCCTCTCGCTCGAGCTTTCTCTTAAAAAACTTTTTTACTCGAAAAAAAAAATTTCCACTCTTCGGCTGATGTTTTTTTTCCTGTTTGAACATTCGTTTTTCGTTTGGTCGATAAAAACAATTTTTATGCTATTCATGTACCTGTTAATGTTGTTGGTGTATTTATGTCTCTGAGATTAAACATTTCCACTACAGATTTTGGGCGCTACTTGTCGGTGTGCTTAAACTTTATGTGCACTCATTGACAAACGAGAGTTTTTTTTCATGCTTTTCATTCACAGTTTTATCATCGATGTTTTACTGAAAAAAAATCGGAAAAAGAGAATCCTCTTGAAACATGTACAAATTTACTTTGAAATTTCTCTCGAAAGAATATTTTGTATCAGAAATGTTTTAAATAAATTTTGTACTTTCACGCTTGCTGTTGTCAGCAATGCTGATTGCAATCTTCACATTGTTTGGATAGTTTTAAAAATTGGAAACATTTTTACACATGTTTCAATTCATGTAATTAGTGTTATTGGAAATTTTATCATTTGTGGAATGTTTCGACGTTTGAATTGGGGACAATAAAACTTCGAAAAGAAATATTGGAAACATTTCCAAATAAAATTTAGTCTACGAACATTGAGGGAGTTCAATTTTAATAAATTCTCATTTTTTTCTAGTTTACAGCCTATAGTTATTTAAGTGTTTCAAGTATTGCCATAAACATATCCGATCGTAAAAATGCAATTTTCCAAGGTTTAAGCTTTTAAGAATTTTTTTTCTGATAAAACACATTGCTTCACATCGTCTGGGATCCATTATTACGAGGGCCTTCATAAATTATGTTTCTTATTTGGGCGCCTTTGGAATTATCGAAGCTAAAACAATGGTTATTTATTTGTTCTCCCTTATTTCTTTATGATCTTTATCCAGGACAATAAAAACTGCCAACCACAACTATAATAAAAGGTTGGTCATATCGATAACGCATTAATTCTACACATGAATTTTCCATGCTTTATAAACACATAAACAGAACTTTCAAGACTTTTATTTATATTGAACTACTAAGTTGTTAATATTAAGAGTCTGCTTTTTTTTCATAGACAAATATACTTTGTATCTTGGACATTTTTTATAAAACAAATGTGATAAATATGTATTAAAGAGGATCAGGAAACCAAAATAAATTTCATATGAACGGCATTTGTCATATTCCAAAGGGTCAGCTTAAAAAATATCTTTGACCATCTTAGCCAGGAAAAAACTTATCTACTCAATTCACAATATTGTTAATAATTCATAAAGTAAAACAATATAAATTTGGTATAAAAAAACCAATTTATAAATAACAACAATGTGAATTTATTTATTGCTCGAATCTGCCAAACTTTTTTTTACGCTCTAAAATATTATCTTTGAAATAAATCAGGACTGAAACCCACATACGGTTACATCAATTTTACTTTTGTCAACTCTATTGATAAAAATTGTAGAAGGAAAATATAAAATCAATTCAAAAAGTTTATGAAACTTTTTTTTCCTTCCATCGGATATTATGAAGCAATTTGATTGAACAAAGAAAAAGTTCCCCATAAAAATAGAAATTCATTTAAGTTTATAACTCCTATACCTAACTCCGAATACATAGACTTGAATGTTATATTTATTTCCCATCGATACACGACAAACATGAACAAATTAATTCGTTGCATGAACAGGACACTTTGATTATAATATTTAATGAATACTTCCAGCAGTGACATTTCTGTTCGGTTTTCCTTCTAATAAGCATTTCATATTTCAACAATGAATCATAGTTTTCTTACTTTTGTTTCTTAAACCGAACAAGGAAATTACAATGCAACGAAACTCAGTCGAATGCAATTACAGACAAGCTGTCGTTTTATTTATTTTGGCTTCAACTAAAAGAATGTTTCGATACATATTTTATTGAAATGTTAATCCTAGGATTACAATCCTTGATTCTGTGATTCAACCAAATGTTCAAGTTTAAAACTTGAAGTAGACGAAAGGAGCTATAAGCAATATTGTTGTCAAAGATATTGTTAATGGTTTGAAAACAACCGCATTAGTAAACGAAGAATACAAAGGAAAAAAGAGAGAGAAATATTCTTGACAAAATGACTTTGCTTCGTTTCTCTGGGTATACATATAATGCCATGAAATATTATTTACAATATCATTTGTTTCAATTACATTTCATGGCAACGACGAAAGTCGGGAAAATAATGGAACAAATAACTGTAAAAGACGTGGGAGAAGAAAAATTGTGTGTTTTTTTCCTTTTGTTTATTTTGTAATGGGAAAGGTACACAAGAAGGTAGCGACAATTCCCCGTTTAATATCTTTCATGTTTGAATGTTATTTAACTTCCCTTGAAGATTCTTCTTACACCTCTCTCTTGTTGAGAACTTTTTCTTTTTAACAAATTTCCATTTTATCTGTTCAAAAAGTGTAATAAAATGCTTCATGTGATCCATTAAGTCAATGGTATTGTCAGAGATCTGATGTGACAAAAACTAGCTACAGTTAAATTTATAGAGCATAATAAGTCAAAATGCAATTTAAGTAGATGACACAAAGATGAAAGGGAAAGAAACAAAAAATAATTTGGTTGAATGTGGCAAACCAAAAACTATGCAAATTATCCTAATTTTCAGGAAAGTTAAAATACTTAAACTTGTGAAAAACTTTTTGCAATTAAAGAAAATGGTAAATTACGAAGTTTTAAAGAGAATTCTCGTTTTTTGACAAGTTCGCCTGAGGAATGAAATTAAGAAAAAAAAGTTGTGGAAAAAAAGTTTTGTGAACTGAAAATATGATGACGTAAATGTTTGGTAACTTTCAATTCAATCCTTTTGAATATTTACATTTTCAACACGTAAAATTATTTATAAGTCAAAGTAATATTAATAAACTACATGCAAATTGAAAAATGTTGAATAAACATTTGGATGAATTATAGTTATTGTTGAAAAATTAATAATCATATCCGATTTATGATATTTCATCCCTACCGGTTCCGATACAAATTCATATAAATTTCATAACTTTCTGATTAAAATGCAAACAGCAAGTTTTAATTAAGCACACAAAAGTGTGGTAATAAATTGATATTGTTGTTTTGCCTTTATTACCATTAAATATTTCATTGCCTTTAAGAGGACAATAAGCCATTGACCACATCGTCCAATTCATCATCTCTTTCTAACGGAAATGGACTTTTCGTTAATTTTATGGAGTGTGATGTCATTAATAATTATTTCTCTGTCATTTTTATAATTGTTGTTGAGACTTCAATCATCTTAAATGTCTTTTGAAATAAACTTTTCTGATTATTTTATTTTTTTTATTCTTATTGTCAGGTTTGAAGAGAGTTGCTTGGCCACCACCGTCTGAAGAAGCCACTTTTCATCAACCTGTTGAGCAGCAGAATGCTCCACCACAGCAGCAGCAGCAAATAAGTCAGCAACAATCGCTTCCTGTACAGAACCAACAGGTGAGATAAACAGAAACAGGCAACATGTATGCAGATTTTCCCATAAATTTTTATTTTACGGCAACGCATAAATTCACCTCCACCAAATGTATAAAGGAATCTTAAAAAGTAACCTTACGAATAGCAACTAAGCGAGATGTTACAAGTCACTACATTATTCTTGCTATTTTGACCGTCTGTGCTCATAATTACGAAGTAAATAAAATTAAGAGTAAAGCTGAAGGAAAATGAAGTTTTCTCAGATTAATCTTGGTAGAAGCAAAAAACTTCAAAGCGTTGTTTTAACGAGAAAACTCTTCTGCTTCACATATTAATTAATAATCATTAAAATAAATTTATTACATGCACTTATTTATATGAAATTAATTTCCTATCATTACAAAAAAAAACAAACATAAAGCAGATATTTAATAATATTTGGATAGTAAAATGAACTGCAAACAAAATTTTAAATTATTGGGCTATCGAAATGATAATCAAAGACACCTAATGAGCCTATCAATGCGATCAACTGTAAATAACATAAAATTCATGTCCTTTATTATTGATATAAATCCAATAAATTGAACATCCCAATCTACATTAAAAGTTAGTAGTAGGGAAATGAGTACATCTCCGTTATATTTCCAGCCATAAATTTAATGAACACACTTCCATCAAAAAGATAGGAATCGAAACTGACAATGCTTATTCCTCCATTCTTTCAAAAAAGGAAAGCACTTCTCAATAGCTTTTTCTATTTCTATGACTTCATACGTTGAGAATTATTTGAAATCAGAAAAAGGCAATTTCACACTAGAGTGAATCAATTGAATGACATTAAATGTAATGATGATGAAGAAGAGCCCTCCAAAATTAGACAAAAGACCGCCATGTCTCAACAGGTGGCTCTTCTATTTACTTCAAGCTGTCCCATTGATTTTTGGAAAAGCGAAAGAGGAAGCTTGCCAAAAACAAGCAAAACTCACAAAAGAAGAAACACTTTGCTCATAATAGGAGCACAAGCATGGAAAAGATGAAGACAAAGAACAATGTGAGATTGGAACTTAGTAAAAAAATGTCAAACACACACCCCACAAGCAGTCCCCATTATCAAGCACGACATTTAAAGGAAAAAAAGCGTTTCGAGCTTTTGTACTCTAATTAATTAACTCATAAAATTGATCTTACCGTCATTAGGTTTGATTGTGTTACTCTGTTGAGGAGGAACTGTAGGGTGGCTACAATTTCCATTAATTATTTCGGGGACATTTTCAATGCTTTTTTCCTTTGATTTTTTTACTCTCCTTCATTTTGGATTTGAAGGCATAAGCAAATATTATCATAATGAAGGGCAAATTGAAGAAACATTGTTCAGAAATGTATCATTATCTACTCATGTTCAGTTAAATTTTCTCTTTAGTAACAATTAAGATAAAAATGACAAAGCTTTTTACAATTCAAAGCTTGGTACAACCTGAGACAATATTCAGGCCATTTCACTTTCAATTGTGATTCATTAGAACGAAAGTAGAAATTAGTAAAAATGAACATTATTTTTAACATTTATTATAATTCTCGTGCATTGTTGTTTTCTCCCTTCTGGGATAATTACATTGCGCAATAAATAACTCTCTGCCTACCTACATATTATTCTTTATTGTCAACTACCGCTGTTGATCATAAAATTATATTACGTTCTTCTACCTTTACCATTGTGCAAAGCAGAGCTCTGACTCATTTCTGATTCAGAAGTAAATACTGACAAAACTCACTTCGCAAGAGAAGCTAATTTAAATTTTATGACTTTGCCCTTAGCTTGATTGTCTCTGAATCTAGTGGAAGCAATCTTATAACTGTAAAATCTCCTGCTATGTTAACATAAAAATTTATCATCTATTTATTTGATTAGAACGAGTAATTAGACAAATTGCCTTACACTTCATGATTATTTATCACAATCAAATTTATTCAATTCGATATCAAAGTACAAAACTCAACTAAATTTCTATCGACATAAATTTAATTATTTATGAAGGAGACAAAAGTTTTACAAAACGAACAAAACAAAAAGGAAGGGAAGGAATTTCGTAACAAAGCATTGAGATTTGTGATATTTATCAGTTTTTATAACAAGAAAAACTAACAACAAAAAGATAAAACTGCTTGACATTCCCCATTTTTTATCCAACAAATATATAAAAACTTTATTTCACTCCAATGAAGAACGAGAGGAAGAAAAACCAAGTGAGATGAGTGTGCAAAAAGTGCTGACTTTTGTTTAAATACTCAGGCAACAGATGCTGAAAGTTGGTGACAATTAAAGAATAATCGGGTTTGTTACCGAAAAAAAGAAGTCTTGAAAGCATCTAAAAGTTGCATAATTACTTTTTGATCTCACAAGTCACAACATTATAATATTTTCCGGAACTATTTTTACTGTTCGTTGCTTTCAGAATTTCTTTCATTAATAATGTGACGACGCTATCAAAGCTTTGATGTTCAGGTTATGCATCTCTTCTAAATCCTTTACGGGCTTTATGTTATGAATATTATGTTTATGCTATTTCAGGCAACAAAAGAGACCATAGCGATAATGAAGAGTATCCAATAAGTAACACCTTTTCTTTTGCCACAGTTCGTGTTAGTTTTACGGTTCAGAAAACTAATTTCCATTGGTAAAGCTTATTCCTGCTAATTAAAAAACTTTGCTTAATAAACTCTGCTTCTGTTAGTTTGAATGTGTAAACAGAAGCGAGAAGAGAAGCATAAAATTGAATTAAATTAATGTTTAATCATAAAAAGAAAAAGCGAGTGAAGTTCTCTGTCGAAAACTGGAGAAAAAGAATAACGACTTGGAAAGTGAGAAACACATTATTTCTCATAAAATCGCTTATGCAACATCAACGTGCTTTCGGCACATCCCACCTCATTCAAAGGTCTTTTTTCTCTTCTTCTTCTCGGGGCGACATGTCTTTCATCAACCAGTTCATTATTTATGCCTGTGCTGTTGTCATTATTTTGAACGACAGAGAGATGCTTCGTTTTAGTGAATGTATAAATATAAGCCTTCGTCATTCGTCTTTCTTTGTAACACTAATTTTTATTAATTTCAATCTTATTTATTTTGATTAAGCTTTCCAACCAGAAGTAACAAATTCAAACCGAAACCACCGCCACACAAAGGAAATGAGAATAACAAAATCCCTAACGCACATATTTATCCTTATTATGAAAGTTGATTATGAAAACGATTTGAACGAGACAGAAGAACGAGACTTTAGGCTTTAAAAATCAAGGGATTAGATTTGATCTTAATTAAAAAATATTTATTTTATCTCACTGTTGCTTTCGGTTTATTAAGAATTCTTATTTGCTTTCATCTTACATTAAAGTCACACAGTTTGAAGGAAGGAAAAGAAAATGTTTTGTTTTAACTTCCTACAACTTCGAAAAGCTCTTTAAATCCATGCAAAATAACTTCGCCCTTTATTTCAAAGCTTCAGCTTTAACATTTATGTTCATCTCATGGATTATTCGCTTTCAACACCCACGGCTTTAAAAAAGAATTCCTGTAACTTTCATTAAAATATTAATTTTCTTCATATCGTGTTAATTTTATTTTACGATCACTTTTTCCTTCTGCCTTATATTCATCCTTATTTGATAAACGTTTATTCATTTGCCTTCTGTTCCTACCTTTTTGGTTTTTGTTGTGAAAGTAAACAGACGAAGGCTGCTTTCTTTTACAACAAAAGTTGGATAAGTCATGTCTTAACATCGAATAATAGTTTGCATATATCTGAGAAGTTTATGTTTTTAGCTTCCCTCAGGTTTTCGCTGCTTTTACAAAGCTCTACAATTTTTAAAGCTATGAAGTGAAAGTTTCATCTAAAGTTGAACAGTCGAGAACATTCTAGAAACCTTTTGTTTCGAAGCTCCAAAAACTTAATAAATTATCGCAAGTGCTGAGTAATTGCAAAAGTTTTATTTCGTACTTGTTCTCGCATAACGATGCGAATAAAGATGCCTCGTTAATTTTAACAAATAATTACACAATTTTCGAATTATCTTAATTTGCATTTTAAAGAATGAAGAGAGACTCATCTTGACACAGTCTTTATTTTCATCTTTTATTCTGTCATGGAGAGGACTGATATAACTGAGAAAGTGTCAAATAACGTTTATGCTTTATCATCATTGTTGCGAAATTAATTCAATCTTGAAAATTGCTGCTCTTTATAGCGAGCCTTTTTCCTTCTCGTTTTGGTCCGTCCGAAAACTTTGCGATTTCTTTTTTTTTTTAATACTTGAATGGTTCACCTTTCAAAGAAAATGTAAACAAAAAATCATTCAGATGAATCTCAACAAAGTGCCCTCGAAAACAATTTTAATTATGAGTAGCTCGACTTTTCCCTTCTCTTAACCAAATTCACTTTCATTGTTAACATAACTATACAGACTTGAGATATATTTTATTCAAGCGTCAAAAAAGTTTTTCTTTTCATAATCCCGACGATGAAGGGAAGTGAAAGATAGAAAGAAAAAAAAAGGAATTCGACGAGGAGAAGGGAAAAAGGAGTCTTAGCACCTGGTGATGTTTTTATGAGAGAAATTTGATACATAATAAAAATGAAAGGTTCAAGAAAGATGGCAGAAAAATATCGGTCATTAAGTTGGGGAGGAAAAAAAAGAGCGAAAAAGGTTTTATTTCATTTGAATCCATCCTTAAACTCCGACCCCAATGGATAATGAAAAGTTTTCGCACACATTTACTTTTTTTTTATTCTTCTGGCTTTCTAAAAAAATGATTGGGGAAGGGTTGTTGTGGAAGTATTTGCTAATGAAATTTCATTTAAACAAAATTCATATTCCGCAGGTTCTTCAGAAAAACATTCAATCGACAGCAAATTATGCACCAGTCGCTTTGAATCAACCGCCAAAAGCACCGCAACAGCAGCGTCCCGTTTCAATTCATAGTTTTAGCTCCCTTCAAAGCCAGGCACCTTCAAAACCTCTCTCTCCCTTGCCATTGTTGCAAACGAACTCACCACAATTTCATAGCCCAGTTTACGGAAGCCCTCGTGGCTGGGCACATGTTGATTCACCTCGTTCCCCCAACGTCAATCACCAGCCGAAAAAATTTTACAATACCGCTCCGATTGCAACACCATCGTTTGAAATGACTAATTCAACAAGTTCATTGGGACAACCGCAGGTACGGTCGTGAATTTCCTCGTGCTAAACATGAAGAAATCAATCTCTTGAAAATCGGACGTTTTGGTATTGTTTTTGATCTTAGATAATTGATTGGTCTCACAAAAGCCTCAATAGTCATTGTTAAATAGGGATTTTGATGTCTAACTGCTTTCGGTTTTACGCTTATTTGACCCTTAAAAAGCAATCTATTAATAACATTTGATGGATTCGCTGCTTGTTGCTATTTTTAAAGTTGAACTTCCTACATAAAACAATGCTTTCTTTTTCTGATAAGTATCATGTGTTGTCAGTTGGTTGGCTGGTTAATGCTTTGATTCGCATTTATTCATATTAATCTTTCATGAGATCGTTCAAAGATACACAATGTGGTAAATATTTAATATTCTCTTATCTCTGCTTTCATATGCAATGAAAACATTTAGTGTCGATGAAAAATACTTCCTCTTCTCATAACGCTTGTAAATATTAGATATTCGAAAAACATATCTGAATATTTAAATGTCGATAAGATATTCTTGAGTTTTGAATATTAAAATGTATAAGTAAAAAGAAAAGAGTTTAGAATTGACATTGAGTTGTGAACATTTATTGCTGCTATTTGGTAGATATTTATTTTATTCTGCTGCTGTTTTCTTCCAATATTATGTAAAAAGAAAAACGAATTTAAGGCATCTTAATGCGTTACGTGAAATTTCGTTCTGATACTTAAGTACTTTTACTAATGTCTGTGTCATTTGTAAAGGTAATGTGATTCTTATTACCCTACTGAAATTATATGTCATATTGTGAGGAGATGAAGAAAGGAAGAGAAAGTCGTTGAATCGCTACAAAGAAGCGAAAAAAGAAACTCACTTCTTGATGCTTTACATGTCATATGTGAGAGAATGAATTGCGTTTAGCAAAAAGCTTAAGTTGCCTTTTTCAATGCGACATACATACATATGTATACATATTTGTTTGCAGCACGTTTAAGTCAAGAAAAGATGAGAATGAATGGAATTTCTTTTATGTCTTGTAATTTAGTATCAGACAAATGTTGCTCCACAACCGACTCACGCAATGCAAGACAATATTGCGTCTCAAGCTCCGAGCGCTCCTCAACCCTCTTATGCTCAGCCTCCTAGTCAACAGTTACCATTTCAAGGTAATGCTTTGAGGAAAGAGGCTCCGGTTTCGCAAGAACCACAGCCAATTTTTTCATCCCAGCCCGTCGCTACATCTTTTCAAGGTACTTCATCATAAATATTTAATCTGAATCTTCAAATCTATTTATACATTACATAATAAATATTTATTTGCTTAGGGGGATCAAACAGACGCGGTGACCTTCGTTGGCCTCCAACGGAATATAAACAGCAAGCCGTGGAAGAAAATGAAGCTCGCAGAAAACTTGCTTTAGGGCCCGCATTTAGGCCCAAGCGTGCAAACAAAGTAGTGAGAACATTCTTTTAAATCCATTACAACGGTGCTCATGAACTTATTGCGTTTGATCAGTTTATTGTATGATCAATATTTACATAAATATAAGATACAAATCAAATATCATAGACGCAATACGTCGATGAGTTTGTGCGCAAGCCTTTGACTCATGCTCAGCTAACATTGAATTCTTATTTATCTAAAAAAAATTAAAGTTTAAAAAGAAATTTTTTAATTTTGGTTTCAACATGATTATTGAGGTTCGAAAATATTAAACAACAAAGAAAAACAACAACACATAACAACTTTAATATTTAACAAATTATTAAAACAATATAATGGAATAACTCATGCCATTTATAACCGCTCGTTCAATGAAAAGAATTTCATAAGACTTGTGCCCATTTGTAGAATGTTGGCTGTCCCAAATTTTCCATGCCAAATGTTGTCAGAATTTTTCACTTCCATTTAATGAAATTCACAAAATAATTTTTTTTCCGAAATTTTCAGCTTTTGTCTCTTTATTCAAACCGATATTTATTTTTCGCAACTTAGAATGATTCAAATTTGAATTTACAATTAAAATCTGACAAATAAAATATGTTTTCTATCAGAAATCCAATTTATTTTACTCTCCAAGTCCAAAGTTGTTATGTAAGAAAGAAAATTGCGACGAAGAAAAATGAGATTCAAAAAATGAATAAAAAATTCAACTCATACACATTTTCCACAACGAAATCTTCCGTTTAAGACGAAAATATTATACCATTGATCAAATTTGAATTGTAATTAAATTACATTTATCATTTCTTCTTCTCAAGTGCAAACGAAAACGCCTTTAAGAAAAATCAAACGAAATTTTTATTCCGCCAAACGCTGAGATTTCAAACCATGAAGATTTCAAATTATTTCAATTATTCCGGTTTCCCGAAAGGCAAAAATTACCATCTTCTCCGCAATATCATCAAAAAAGAAAATTCCTTCCAATGTTTCAAAGCAGCGAATTGAAGGAAAATTAAATTTTCACTTTCATATTAATTAGGATAATGGGACAAAAGATTTATGAAATTTATTGTTTTTTCTTTAATTGATTTTGCTTTGCTTTAGCTTTTTCTTGTGTGTTGAACCAGCCGTAGAGGTAAACATTCATTACCATAATCTCCATTATTTTATTATAAAATTATTAGCTTGGATTTTTATGTTTCTAACAGACGTTCAGATATTCCTTCAATGTAGCAAATAATTGATCACATTTGATTGCTTTAATCTCCATTGAAATTTTCTTTTGAAGCTTCATTTTATCTTCTGAAATGAACTAATTTAATGTTCTGATTATTATTATAGGACTATAGTCAATTCTTTGCACAAAATGCATTGAGCAATACTTACCCTGGATATCGAATCCCGCCAACGGTTTACACTACACATGTCAATGGTATTTAAGAACATACATACATATTGTTTATGCTGTTGACAGCTGTTGCTAAACGATAAATGCAAGGAAATTAATTGAAATTTCTTTCTTTCTTCTTTTCTCTGTTTTTTTACGTACTTAGAATAAGTTTCAGGCGTGTCGCAAGATGTTTTCGGATACCTAACTGTTTGTTTATGTTTTTTATGTTCATATTTTTGGCAAACCCAAGTTTATAGTGAATGGAATCATGGAATCATAAACGCTTGCACCTACCTATCTTACTATTAGTTGAAGCATCGACGTTGCTGCCAAGTTTTGAAGCTTTCAAAGAAACCATAAAAGGAAGTTTATCTCAAAGCTTTTCACCAACATCGTTAAAAATAGGATTGAATATTTTCATATTTATATTAAAGAGTCTGTGAAACTGTGAAAAACATTTATTATCAGTTTATTTACTAATTCAAATAGCGAAAAATTGCAAATAAAAACTCTTCTGATAAAATTTTTACCATGATAACAGCATGCATGAAAATTGAAAAGCAAAAGTTGCTGTTTGCAATTTTTTCTTTCCTATTCATCCGCCCAAAGAAAAAGGAAACGTGGAGCGATGATTTTTCTTCTTTCTAAACGAAGAAAATCTGAATATGACTTTTTAACAAGCTCAAAATTAGGGGGAAAAAAACTTTTGAGCACCCGAAAGAAGAAAGAATTTTTGTTCTTCGTTTTCATTGGAAAAAAAAGTTATAAACAGATAAGTTTTTGTTGAATGTTTAACAGTTGAATGCCCGAACGAGAGAGAATACAGACACAAAAACTTTCATATTGATATGAAGCAAGAAATTATTCTTGGATCTAAATGTTTTGTTCTGTTTGGTTTTTGATTTCCCTTATGAATAAATTATATTGTATACTGCTGTTGAATATTACTAATCGACTAATAATTTGAACACGAAACTTCTATTTTACTCGCTTTACCGAAACATAAGTTTTTATCTTTCAATAACTTATGTCACATATTTATTTATTTATTTATATTTATTTAGAAGATTTTTGAATATTGTAAAATCAAAATGTGTAAAAGAAAAATAAATTTTTATTGTATACAAATGTTTATCCTGAAAATAAAAAGAAATTGTCTTTAATTACTTCTAGCATCAACAAAAGCAATTTGGTTCACCAAAGTATGAGTTTTTTTTAATCAAAATATATTCTATTTAATTACAATCATAAATTAATTCAAACTTATATTTTACCATCGGAACATGAACGTTATAATCTTAATTGGATCATCATAAGTGTGCGTGCAGTGGGATAAATTAATATGATGGGAGAACCCACCAAAATAACATAACATAACAGATATCAAATGAATTCATGTATGTATCTTTATGAAGAAATCGCTACTCCAAATGGCACAAGTGATAAAGGTGTTGCTTGGAAACTTGTATGGAGAGAAGGCTGTAAACAGGTCTTTAAATGCAGTCCACGTGCGAGTATCATGTGAATTGTTTGTGAATGCTTCTTAAAACATCTCTGCCGGTAATATCTATCTAAAAATATTAATAACATTACCCCATTCTATTTATACAAACGATGAGAATTATAAGGATAAACTCAAAGGCGAGTATCAATTTCCACTTTAGCAACATAAATATCATCAACAAGGACCCCAATTAATTGAACCATCTCAGTTATATTATTTTTGTAACTTCCTACTATAGAATCTTAATTGGTTCCTAAATATTTCTAACGCTTGGGACACTATTCAAGGAGAAACGTTTTTTGGGGAAAATTTCTATCTTTTGCGTTCGCTTTCGCTTAAACTGACTTTAATTTTTATCATTTTAATTAAAAATAATTAATTGTCATATTTAATGAAAATATCTTAATTGTAAATTTATGCGAACGGAGACTCTGTCATTAATTTGTCACTTTGCCTTCGTGCGAAAAAGCGGTGAAGAGCAACGAGCTGAATTTTAATTGGCTTAATTAAAATGGATACGTTTTTCATGATGATCGATAGCCTTGAGGCCAAATCAATCCACTGTGGTCGAAAACCGAGAATTTTACCTTTCTTTAGTCTTTAGAGGGTTGCATTTGAATGTTTTTAATGGTGAAACTCTAGATCGTCAAGAAGGATAACAACTTCAGCATATCAGCTAATTAGGGACGAATGTATCGCTTTCCAACATTTATATTTATATTAATAAATTGCGATAAAGTCATTTTGATGTCAAAGTTTTAATTAATTTTTATGATTAAACCGCAATTAGAAATGAAGTAAAGTTTCACAACTTCAGTATCATTTAGGTAAATATGTTGTTTACATTCCTAAAAGTGACTTTCATAAAAAAAAAGGAACGACGCTTCAACATTTTCAGATTGTGTCATGAATGATAAATTTGTGAATGTAAAAGCTCCCAAAGCTTATAAAAGGAATCTCACAGGAATCACTGAGTTTTAATCTTTCATCTCAATTTACTCCGATATACAAATAAAGAGATTTATCAATGAGTCGTTAAAAATGTGTTTCTAATCGTTGAACCCACAAAAAACAAGATGTATACATCTTCATTCCATGTAAAAGATTATTGAACTTTATCTTCACGCTTCCGCACGACTTGGCAATTTTCAATTTTGTTTATTCTGTGAATTCTTCTTGATTCTCATTCTTTCAGATCATTTTCAAAGCAATGGCATTTTAAATTTCGGCGTAGGTTGGAAAAGAAGTTGAAAAATTGAGTTAAAAGTTTAGGAAAGTGAGGGTGCACCTCATGTACGCTTCGAATGATAAAATGGTTTCCATGATATGTTGAAGAACGATATGGAATCGTAATAAAACGAGAGAAATTCAATTCAATTTTTAAGGTTTCACTAGTGGAATGAAGAGATGCGAAAGGGTCATGGTCGTGTTGGTATCAACTCCTACATCAGAACATGAAAAAATATTACAAGGGATATTTTTCAACTCTCCAGTGTTAATAACCTATGAAAGATAATATTTCATATGATTGGGAACAACACGTTTTTCGATTTATCATATAAGTACGACAAAAAAGGAACTCTCAAGAGATTAAACTTTCCTCTCTAGAACTTAATCTCCATTAAAACAGTATCATATGAACAACCTTGTGTATTAAAACAATGTAGAAAACTCTCCCGATATCAATTTTGAAAATTGTGAATAAAGCTTGAAAAAAAATAACAAGAGACAATGTAATAAAAATGATAAGCAATGTGCAAAAGTTTTTTAATATTCCGATTCGTATCATAAAAATTATGCCATAAAAATATAGATACTTGTTTCAAAATTGGATTATTTAAATTCTCATCACTGTTCTTTCGAAGATGAAAAGCTTCCAATGCTTGTTCTTAACAGCCATAATTCTAGTCGTCGAGAGAATTCAAACTTTTCTTGTTTCATTGACGTTCAAAATGAGCAATTATATTTTTTACAGACAGACTTGGTAACATATATTTTCGATTAAGGATCTACTTTCCTTCAGATCTCTTTAATTCAATTTAAAAAGGGAGAAAGAAATCGTCAATGAATAAAGGTACCTTTTTAACAACATTTGAAAGAACCTCACTACATTATTTTCTAATGATTGGTGGCATGAAAAGGCAACAAAAGCATAAGAAAGTAGAAAATAATAAAAAGAAAGTAGAAAATGATTTTTCTTTTTTTCTTCAATACAAATTTTCATCACATTTTATTTCTCTTCATAAAGATATACACATAAATATTTATTCACTGCCGCACTTGTGCTTGTGCCTATAAAACTTATAGTGACAAAAAGAATGAGAATGAAATGCTTGTATGTTTTTGGATATAAGTATGAGAAATTTCACATAATTCACACCTCGCTCCGTTCCTTTCACTGATTTTTCTCTCAACAATGTTGTTGTGCTTCGTAACCAGGACGATAATAAATGATGGTTGAGTTCCAAACCAAAGCATAAAAAAGTCTTAATTTTTTTATTCTATGTCACGTATTGTGCTTCCATTCAAATAATTTCTATTTCATTCATGATAGAAATTAAATAATAATGTAGGAAAACCTTTTTGTAGTGTTGTAGACGTCTGCTTTTGTAAGATCATTTGGTTAATTGTGACGTTTAAAAGCTTAAAGGACATTTCTAGTTTAGTTATAGAAACAGAATTTGAATTCTAAATTCAAACCATTTATCATCCAACTCTTATTTGATTTCATATTATTTGCTTTAAATTTGTCATATAAAATAATTGTGTGCTGAGGTTGCATTGTGCTGAATATTTAATGAATAATTTTCTCGAAATTTTAACTTAGGGTTTGATGGCTAACCAGCATCATCACTCTCAAGATTCTATGAAACAGTTAAACAATACTTTGAAGTAGGTTTTATAAGAGTTAATTCAAAGCTGATTTATTCAAACTTTTTCCCTAAGAATGTCATAAAAATGTGTCTCAATTTAATAAAAGAAATTTTCTCAATGCAATCGATTCAATGACACGATTCGGTTTCAAGGATGTTTTGATATAGTTTGATTTATCCACATTTCAACTAAAATATTCCAAACAAGCTTCATGTATGAGGAATGCAAAAGTTTAAGCTTTATTCAGGTATCACGAAGTATTTGAGCATTGAATATTATATATTCTGAAGGGAAAATTCCAAACCCATACTTACCTTTCAAAATTTTAACAACATTAACTGTAGGGTTGGAGGCATAGTCGGTAAAACTTGAGTGAGTTTTATTGAATTTGTTTCTTTGACATAAAATGTGGTCGTTATTATTTAACGACATAATTGACTTCAACATCATTTGATCATTGCAGTCATTATGAGTTAAATTGTTTGATTCGCTGTATAAATCCAAAATTATTCGTTGTCTTGTTTTGTGTTATCACACAATGAGATTTAATTACAAATTGATACTAATTGCAAAATGTTCTTTGAAAAATACAAGACAGTTGATTGAAACTGATTAGCAAAGGTTTCCCTATTTGAACCCTTTTTATTTCATTATCAATCCCGTAGTGAATAGATGCTTACACAATCTTATAAACTTAATTAACTTTGCATGACTTCTTTCATGTAGTTCAATCACAAACACGATATTATTCAATATTAGCTTTAAACAAAGAAAAGCGTTTAATATTTACTCCCAACTTTCTCTAATTAATACGCGCAATAAAGGAAAAAATAACATTCCTCAATTTATTTCGCATGACAACATCTTTTAAATGCTAAAATTTCCCAACCACAAACGCGGTTTTGTTTAAAATAAAGTAAAATATTTTGAGTAATATATCAAGCCGCGCACAAACTATAACATCATAGAAGAGGCGTAGAATAAGAGAAAAAGTTTAGAACTGAAACAACAATGTTACGAAAGAAAAATGAGTGTTAATGTTAATGAGTTCAATTTGGAAGACAAACACAAATGATGAATTACAATGAACAATTCGTTGAACAATTCAAACCCATTTGAATAATGATTTCGAGGAACGCTTTTTACGACGAAAGGGTTTTAAACTGAAATCATTAGGTATGTAGTCAGTAAAAGCGTGGGCGGATAGGATAAATAAACAACTCCGAGGTCATAAATATTTAGGAAGATTTCCCATCTCCTTAAAAGTTCACGACAACACCCTCGCGTAAACTGTTACAACCTCTGCCGTGCCATTATGTTGAACACACAATTCCTTAATATTTATGCTACCATCTACATAAACAAATGATGTATGAGAGAAATTTATGTCGTTATAAAAACGCTTCTTCTCATCGTTGGAACAGCCTCACTCGACATATGAAAATGATTTATCATTTTATGATCTAGTAAGCACATTCAAAAGTACGTCGAGATTCAAAGAAGAATGACACTTTACAGTTTACTATTTTGGGCCCTTCATTTTCATCATCTGCCAAAATTTTCAAAACATCATCTATATGGCCTTCTATATGATTATACCTTCCCCTACATGACACTCAAATATACGAGATTCATGAAATATTTCGTGTTGAAAAATCGCTCAGACGCGTCGCATAAATTTTAAATTATGTTACCACACTCTTCCGTAAAAATTATAATAATTCTCACAGTCTTACAGCAATAACTTATGCATTCGCTGAAAAGTTGATAATAAATGGATCATAATGGAAATCATTACATAGTAACAAATTTAAATATTTTAATGTCTGTGAAAATTTTTCATTTTAAAACATTTCTATTTAATTGAATCAACGATTAATAAAATAAAAGTTTTGTAATCATTTTTAATGATAAATTTATATCTTTATGTAAGCGAGTAATTTCTTTATGTCCCCTATAAAAGCTCCATCGAATATTGTAAAGATTTCAATTGTAAAATTATGGAAATTATTTAATTCAATTAGCTGACAACCCAAGGCAATTGACAATGTCAGTTTCTAAATTCTTCTAAATTGATATTATATAAAAAAAAAAGAGCATATAATTATAAACTTATTGACATGCCCTTAATAGATGCAATATATCTACGTGACAGAAAGAATTATATCAGCAAATATCAATCAGCTCTTTCAACTCACATTTCCCATAGAGAAATCCTAAATAATTCCTATGAGTTCATGCCACAGTGATCATACGTAATACACGAACATGATTAATCTTTCATGACACAATTGGAGTGTATTGACAAAAAGGCCAAATGTACAGTGCATTCTCGATGAAACGAAATTAAATATGTATGGATTAACTCCAAATAGTTTTGGCACGAAAAAGAATTTAATCCTTTTCAAAGCTTTGTGAACCCAGAGGAAAAATTTCATCGAGAAAGATTTGTTTGGAAAGCAATCGCGTGTGTGAATGATGTCGAGGGAGTCTTGTATTGAAAGTTAACTGTACAGACATGCTCATTATGAGATAATTTCTTGGGTTTATTCTGCTAGTTGACCATAACTAAACACAATTTCAGTGTTTAGAGGAAAATCCAAGAAAAGTGACATAAATAATTCAACACTTTCGACCACAAAATTGTTTTCTTACGAATTCAATGAAATTATTACAGTTTCATTAAAATTTCAGGTAGACACGCCATGAAAAATAAATTTATTTTATCTACGCTCTTTTTCAAGGCAAGTATCATTTCTTTTTACCGTCTACAGAATCGCAATTTGCTTCTCTTTTGTGAAAAATTTCAAGTTATATCGCTTTATTGCTGCACATAAGCAAATTGAAATTACTTTTTTTTATATTGAAAATTCATGAAAAGGGAATAAAATTTTGGAAAAATAAAAATCAGGATTAAGGCAAAATTCTCGTCAAGGATATTCATGGGAAATTGAGCTTTAACTGAAGTAACTTTAAAGAGAGGTCTGAAGTCATTGAAATAGCTTTACTCGATCCGAATTTTAGATAAATACTGCTACATAGAATCAACTAGAAAGTTTCAGATTTACTGAATATAATAATGACTAGATTGTTATTGTTTAAAATAAAAAACCTACACATAAATGATTTACATTGACTTAAATTAAATCAAGCTGAACGTAACTGATTTTAGAAATTTAATACATCCAATAACAAAGTTAATGATATAAGAATCTCTCAATGTCGTCTGCTTGTTGATCAACCTAAGGGAAAACTCCAATTTAACGTATGCACATACTTGATGAACATTCATGCCAAAAGAAATTGTAAAGCATTTTCTTCCAATCAGTTTACGAAACTCGATTTTCCTTTTAACTTTTTCAAACCGCAAGACAATAAATTTTTGATGAATCAAGCCACATTACTTAAAGTTTTTCTAAAATTTTCAAGGGTTCTGGATACATAACCATTTGGGAAGCTCAAACCATAAATCATTTAGTAATTGAATCGTACTTCTTCACATGTAGGACATGTGTTTATTGGTTTTTACACATGAGCTTGCTTGTTAAACGGACGTCTAAAGTACTTTAAAAACTTTTTGATAATCCTTGAAATTGAGTTATATTTATAAGGTCGAATAAATTAAAATATTCATGAGTAAATCATTCTTTTGTTTTGCAACATTTAATTGATGAATTCTCTTGATGCAAAACAAGTTCATTGAGAAGACAAAAACCATGACGTGAAATTAAAAAAATACATTTGAGAAGAATTTAAAATTACTTCATCAAATTATCCGCAAAAAAGACAATTTTAATAAAGGTCGTTTCAAGAGAACATAAAGAAAATTTTCATTTTTCATTCCTCATACTTATAATTAAATATTCTACGCAGTCCATTAAATATTCAAAGACAACTTAGTTGAGAAAGAAAGCGACTTGAAGTCATCACCTTAAAAAAAAGTTAGGACGAAGACGACGTGAAAAGCGAGCTCAACAGGTTCAAGTAAAATTTATTATAATTTCTTATTTACAATTTTTTAATATTAAAATCCTTTGCCACACACAATGATGCCACATCGTGCTCATTCTTTTCTTCACTTTTTTTTTGTTATCATAACTCCACGGCTCTCATTTTTATCATACACTTCTCTCCTTTGAATAAAACGTGAGTAGCAAAATCATTGCGATGTGGAAAATGTATTTGAGCGCATGCTTTGGAAAACATAAGAAATATGGTACCGGGAAAACAAACGGAGTAAAAGCAATCAAGTATCACGTTTATGCAATTATTCAGAATTTGAATTATTGCTTCCGTTAAACTGAGTGCTTGTAGAGTATTCCGTTCTGAAGTATTGAGTTCCGGGAGCCGCCTAAAATACATAAAAAGAAAAAACAAGATTCATGAAGGTTCATCTGATTAAATGTAAAAAAATAGTTTGTTATGTTTTATGTTTTAACCTTGTATCCAGGGAATGATGCGTTCAGCTTATGTTGATCAAAGAACTGTGAATAATCCTACAGCAATCAGAATATAATTAAAAAAAAAATCTTTATAGAAACAAAACCTTTTCTAACCTTTTGAGCCTTCTTAGGTCGAAAAGATGGACCTTGTGCCATTTTCCTTTCTGTTTCTTCGTCTTCAAGCATCTGCTGTCTTGTTCGTTCAGGTGGCCACTTTTTGTCACCTCGCATCATCTGTAAATTATATGGAAACAAAAGGTATTATCATCGTAAGCTTGATTTTCTCTTCATTCTACATTGTGTCAAAAGTATAAAATTAAAGACGTTGATTTCTTCTATTTTTACTTTTTGACATAATTTTATTTGATTTGAGGCGTAACTGTCGTTGATTTTGTTAACGCATTTACGCTTTTTTGTTTCGCAAGATCAATGTTGTGTCGAGGCATTGTGAAATCAATAATTCAAAAAAGAAAATTTACATTTCCATCCCATTCGTGGACGCATAAAATTTTTATCTCGTTGTTAAATAAATTTTCACACCTACTGCAATACAAAATTTCTATGTTTTCATTTTTTTTCTGCTCCCGTTTGCTTTCTAATTCAATTTTTCAATCCATCATGAGATATTCTTTACTGTCTTTTTTTTTTTGTCGTCTGAACAATGTTTATTCCAGATGATTGAAGGAGAAACCTCGTATCGATCTTTTGTCTGCTTTTTATGCTTTGCTTATTTGATTTGGATTTACATACGAGTCGGAGATTTTTTTTGGGGCTAAAGGGAAGGAGTTGAATGTCTTGATATCATCTGCCTGATGGTGCTGTTGTCATGTTAAAGAAAGAAAAACGAGGGAAAGCTTTTTGTCACAACCTCTTCTCTTATTGGAAAGAATTAAATAAATTCTCAAATCAGCACAGCATAAAAAACGACGGCAACCAAAACAAAGCCGTGGGATGAGAAGATTCATCATTAATTCTGCCTTGAAATCTGCTATTTTTTTTTCTTTCTTAGGAACTTTTATTTAGATACTTGAAACTGATTCCGAACACAGGAAGAAAAGAATTCAGAATTGTGTGGTGGGAATGGAATTTATCTGAATCGATTTTCTGACGTCTTTTGTCGTCTTTCTATTTCTTTGCTTTATTTTTTCTCTGCACGTCGGTATTTGAGCTTCACTTCATTTTTTTATGTTCAGTTGAGAGGAATGTTTTATACTCTTTTCTTGTTCGATGACTTTATCATCTTTCAATTTTTTTTACAAATAAAACTTAACATTTTGCCTCAAGCATTCGTTTCCTCTATCTTTGATACAGATAATATACGACAGAGATGGGGAAATATTATAGTGATTTTAATCATAACGAATACTTCATCGTTGTCGAGGTCTTCGTGAAAAATGAGCTTAGAGCTGTGAAATGTTGCGAGAGTAAAGGAAAGAAAAATAATGAGCTTAACTTTTATGACAGTTTCTTGTGAACACGACAGAAAACCTCCTGTTCATGGTAGATTTTTTACTGCATGTCATCTTGTATTTATGCAGTTTTCAATTTTGAACTTTTACGATGAGAAAAGTTCAGGAGTCGTTTCGTTTCGAGTGTAAACGAAAAAACTTTTTTTACAGCACAATTATATCGAAGTAAAGCTTCGAGGTTAACATGGAATTTATTGATGCATATCTAAATTCATGTTGAAGTTGATCAGTGGCTTTACCACTCAATTTACCATACATACATTAAATAAATATGTACGAGACAAACGAATTTTTTTTGATTCTTCATATCGTCTTAAAAAAAATTTGACATTGAGATTAAGTAGAATTTGCAAGATTTCTTTCATCACAATTTTTTATAAAAGAAATTTTTTAGTATAAAAATAATTTTTCTATATTTAAAACACGCTTCATTCTTCGTGCACACGGAAAGTAACTGCTTTCTTCACGGTCGTTATCCACATATGCCTCTATAATTTGCACTTTCTCCTTCATTCATTTTTTTACATTTTAATTACTATTTACATAATGAATTATTCTTTATTATGTTTATTACTTAAACATGATGATTTATGAAATAAGTTTGACATATATGTCATTAATATATAAACAAACATTTTAATTATGATTTATAGTGAGTGATGATTTTATGTGTCAAAAGGTAATGAGATTAAAATGTTTCATCAAATCGTAAATATCCTTTGTGTCATTAATTTTCCATAATTTAAATGTTTGCTTTCAGAATTTTCACACTAAATTCAAGCCACGATACGCAACCTTGAAAAATATTTTTCGTCTGCAGCACACTCAATTTAATCCTTCCGAGCGAGAAACAAATTTTAAACTGTGAGGAATTTTGTTTGGTCTTTACTAAAGCGTGATGTTCTTCTTTTTTCTAGCTTAATTCAGGTGAAAGAGATGAAACGATATTCCACACGATCCCATCAACTTTGTCTCATAAAACAAGATTTATAATTTTGCTACAAATCTCTTGTATGTGTGCTACTGTGCCATTATGTGAAAAAGATTCACGCGCTTTTCTGTTGTGTTCCTTGTGGTTATATATTTTTGTTTTCTCTAGCCAAACATATGAGAAATTTGTATCGACGGGTGTAAAGACGAGAAAAAATAGGTTTTTTTCACTTCTGAATGATTAATGCTAATATGCATAAAGCTTTTCGTGCTTACCTCCATAATGTATCATCACGGTAACGTACATACTGAGTAGAAATTTATCATACATAAAAAAATGCTTCCTCCTTACTTATTACTACAAGAAACGCAATGTTATAACTCCAAGGGAGTAATCTTGTATGAACATAAATATTATATACAAATATGCCTTGAGACCTTTACTTAATGTGATCTTTCCAAGAAAAAGTATCAATAATTGTCTTGATTCAAACAATAATTTTAATGTTGTCATTGGGGATTTAATTTCCTATAAATAGAAAAATGATTTAAGAAAAATCTGTAGAAAGCTGTTTACCTTTATAAATATGAACAACTCATAAGAAATTTTTAAAATTACCTAGTCATTAAACACTTCTGAAAGTATATTAAATAGCAAACAGATGAAATTTTCCTTGTATTTGAGAAATACCTCAAACGAAAGATTAGAATGAAAAGAAATTAATCCTAAAATGTTCAAATTTCATCTGTTGCTTCATAATAGCTGAACATAAGCCATAAGTAAACGTTTCAAGATCCTAAGGTAAATAAACTTCAATCACTTTTCTATAATATTATTCGATTATATTCCACTTAATAGCACTTGAACGTGACTGTAAACAAAACTGAATTATGAATCATTTTATATTGATATTTTAATAACCTTGCGAAATTCTCCCACACCTGTTACATTAAATATAGTAACAAGAAGGTATTATAGGTATATGATTTATATTCTTCTCTTTTCCACTTCTGAATAATGTCGTATTCAAGAAATTCCTCCGAAGCGAGTGTCATATGGCTTATTTCGTTAACATAAAGACATTTTTATTTTCCTCTCACCCCAAGCGCATTTCTGTCAGATGATGCTTTCCACCTACATGATGAAGATTATCGGAGAATATATAAAAAAAACTCCCTTTACTATACACAGAGCACATTTCCTTGGTTTATGAGTTAAATAGTTAAGTAAAAGTTAGGAAAAAGAAGAAGAGAAAAAAAATCTTAACAAAAGCTCTTAAAGGGTGTCTAAATGTTTTTGTGAAGTGAGTAGAAATAAAGTTTGGTGATACGTTGCATCAGCAGAAAACCTTATTGAAGCTCAATGAAACAATTTTCTACATAATTAATGAACTTGTCTGTTACAATCTCTCAATTTCGACAGGAGATTCCCTTCCTCTATATCACCAATGTTGAAATAGAAGTCTACACATGAATTTGACATATCGATTAATTGTACGGTTATGTAATGGGAAAACACCACAGCAAATTCTATTTTCTGGTAAGATCTAAAGAGTGAGAAGGAGAGTTGGAAACAGTTAAATCTCAATGAAAATAAATGCTTCAATCGTAAACAGATTCATTCATATGTAGGAGTTAAAGTTTCAGTTTCAAATAATAGATTCCTTACTTAAGTGTTCTAATTATTTGAACATTTGTTATGAAATTATTATTTTTCCTCTCCCGAATTTCTATCTAATTTCCTTTTGTATTAAACTCACCACATCGAGTGATAAATATTTAATTCTCTTTCACAACATTAGTTTTTTTATGTGAAACATAAATAGAGAAAAAAGGAAAACTTTCTCGTAAAAGTCACCGGAAAAAGATCAATAAAAGTGATAAGCTCTAAACTGACCTTTTCATGAAATAGATTTTTGAGTTGAAAAAAAAGTAATTTCTATTGAGATAGATAAAAATGGGAAATTCAACTCCTAGGAAGAAAGAGAGATAATAATCAGTGATCACACTAAATCCTTAATGTCTTTAGAGAAAATTAAACATGTTTTCATGGAGCAAAAGTTTCTCTAACAAAACCTTACAGTTATCGTTCTGATGTTGAAATGTTTGAGATTAAATACCGATTTTTCTTATTTCTCTTTTATAAATTTTATATTTATTAGTTTCAATGCTGGCTTCCGACTTGTGCACAGCAATGTTAACTTTATTTTCATTGCATCGACACGTGATATACAGAAAGTGATACAGAAATTCATTTTAATTCTTAAGAACCCTTCGGTGCAATAGAATTCCTCCATAAATTGCTAAGATTGTGCCCAGCAGTGAACCTTCCAGTGAACACAATTGCTACTTTACTTCACTAAGAAATATCTAATGTCTGAACTTTTTCACATACGAATAAGCATATCAGCAATATAAATATAAATGCATGAAATTTATTTACTCCTGGCTAAGGTCGTGGGAACTTTTTATTAGAACATTATCCCATTTATGCATTATGTGAGGGGTATTGTACATATTTGTTTTCATGGTAATTTTAAACAGACTCCAGAGCTTTATTATTAAAAATTTCAACTTTCTCTTCTGCCTTCTCCATCTCCCAATGCTTGCCTTTTGTCTTATTTATATGCTTTAATGTTTATATTATCGTCTTTTATGGCTTCAATGTGAGCTCAAACTGGGAAAATTCATCGCTTTTCTTCTTTTTCTTCTTTCTCGAAGCTGTTCACTATACTCAGGAGAAATCACATGTGTCTCATATTTTCAACAATTTCATTGCTGCCAACATGCTGAAATCTCTGAATCCTCTGAAGAAGAATGGCGAGGATTTGTCGAGCGCAGAGTAAAGATGGGAAACTTTTTTCCATGCTTTTCTATGATGCTTCTCTTTTATTTCTTCAATAATTCGCTTTTTCTAGTACCATAAATGTGCTACCTTTTCTTTTTTTTTCCCTTCTCCTATCGCGCTCCAATATTATGAACCTAATATAACAATTACAGCACACTATCCTTGGAGCAATAAAATAAAAGAAAAAGCTGTGACAAAATGATTGCTTTGCGGTAAGAACTTTTTTATGCTCCCTGGGAGGACGCGGAAATGATTTTATTTATTCATTTTTATTGTTTATTTCAACTCACATGGATGGATATAAGGGGATAGCTTTATGTGTTTTGTTTATGCTACAATAATGTATATTCCACGTTCAATGTCAATCATTTTATTCTCATTTGGCTTTTATTGTCATCAAAAGTTCACAATAAATTTATTGGTAAACATGAAAGGAATTTCTCTTGAAGTAATTTATGATTTAATATTTTCTGTACAAAAGTCAAAATTTTCATTGCTTAACTTTCCTTTTTTTTTGTTTTCGCAGATTCACTTAAAGATCTTGAAATATTTATTTAAATTCTGTTCACTCAATTCTTCTTCTTTTATTAATTTCAAAATCTGTGGGGAATTCAACAAAAGAAATATTTATAGAATTCAATAGATGGGAAGAGAGAAAAAACAGATATCATCGACATAAAAAATTCAAACTACTTTTTTTTATTATTTCTTTTTCTTCATCTATGCGTTCTTATTGTGGCTGTTTTTTACAATATTGCAAAAAATATGTTGTGGTACAAAAACTTTGACTAGAGGGAAAAACCTGAAGGAAATGGTCTCTTGCCAACTGATGCTTTCCTAGTAATTTAATTTCACTTCTGTTTTCTTTCATAACTTAGTCTTTATACTTCAGTTTTTTTTTTACTTTGGCATATCTAGGAAGTTGTGGTGATTATTATGGATTCAATAAAATACACAATAGGTTTAAGGAAGTTCGATTTTCCAATATCTTTCCCAGTATTTGTTTAATATAAAAAAGTCATAAATTTTAGTATGTAAATATGATAAAACTTGGAATGAATATATGAAGGAAACTTTAAATCTAACTTACTACTAACTTGTGGATACTTTCAAAGTACATTTGTTGAAACACAATATTCACACATTATCAATTCCTGTTCCTTTTATATCTTTTGTACAACTGCAAATTGATATATAAATTATACTACCGAAATAAAAGTTTTACAAAAGAAGTTTATGTTTCCTTATTTCTGCTTTTACCTAAGAAAAAAAATTTATGGCTAAAAGTATTTCATCGAAAAACATTCATGATCAATTAAGATTTCAAGAGATTACGCGATAACTGAAAAATAAAACTCTTGAAAAGAAAATTTCATGGAAAACATACTTATAGAGTTGACGCTTTTGGGGTTTCACTGAAGCTAAAGTTTTTTTCTTTTAAAGGATCCCTAATGGCTTTTTCATGTTATCCGCAAGAACGTTTAAAATTTTGTTTATGAAGATTGAAGTTTAAATGCCATGGTATTTAAGTATAGAAGATTTTTAAGATTATTCAAACGCCTGGTTACTGAAAATGAAATTTTTAACATGGACTTTTATTAAATTAACAATGCATTTTCCCATTTACTAACATAGAGACGTGGTAATATGCTAATAAGATTTATGAAATGACTTAATGATTGCTGTTGGTTGAAAGGCTTTTCTTTCTATTTGAATCTTTTTTATTAATAGAAAAAGAAACCTTTCAACTTTTGAACTTTCAATAATTTTAGGTTGAAAATATCAACAGCACCGTTCTAAAATTATCTTTCTCGATGGAAGTGAAAGTAAAGCTTGGGATAATCTTCAAAGAGCTTCCGATTTGTTAGAAAACATTTCTTTGTTCATCAGAATGAAAAAATGAAGAAAATTAAATAAATAGAAAGTTCCTCTTTAAAAGATGCCAAAAAATGTGAACAAGCGAAGATTTATGTTCACATGTTTCAGAGTTTATTTTTGACGTGGTTGAGTGATGAAGATTATCGTCTAGAATAATAAAATCAAATTCTGTATCCAACAGTATCGACGTATCCAAGGTTGCTGTTTCTATATCTAGATGTATATTCATAAATTATTCACTGTTGCCTCTCAATAATAAGAAATGAATTTATAATTTATATACAATGATTTTAAAATATCTTCAGGCAATGACATTTGTTTATTCTGTTGATAAAGCAGCTTAGACGATTTATTTTTATTTTAATGGAATCAATAAAAACCAAAAGTGCTTGTACGAGAGATACACAAGCGGATATTTGATACATAATTTAAAATAGAATCTTTTCTCGAGCAAACAAGCGAATAACAAATTTTAAGACTTAAGACTTTAGATTAACAAATACGAACATTAATTTCAATTAAAGTGATAATGTGGTCAGTTATTTTAAGTATTTATTTAACTTATCTAAGTTTGTTCAAATGTTAAACATTTCAAGGATACTTTCTTAATGTTCCTAAGCCAATGAAGCATTTTCAGAGTAAAATAATTTCTAAACGTTGACATTTCTAACAATTTTAAATCCTACTTAGTTTGTTTAACAAGATTTAGTCTATTAGTGAACATCTAATCAGTTGTAACAATTGCCAATCACTTTGTTACTTTCTTTCTCTTACTTAGTTACACTTTTTTGTCAGTTTTGTAGCTCTTCGAAATATAATCAGCTCTGAGTGAATTCTACGATGCGGGAAATTATAAAACTCCAAGCACAAATGTACTGTTCGTTTATGTGTAAGTCTTTACATTTTCAGTTTTTTTATATTAAACTTTTTAACTCATTCCAGTTTTGTCTTGAAAACTTCCCTAATGAACCATGAATGAGAAAAGAAGAAGCGAAACTTTTTAAGGCAGAAATGCGAATGGTTGTTTTTTGTTCAAGTCTTTGGTGCACAAAGCTGAACTTAATTAGCATTTTATACAAAAAAAGGTTGAATTTTTTCTTCCAATTCAATTGACTTTGTATTCAGTTAAGAAATTTTGATTCTTTTTTTGGAGTATTTCATGAGAAAAACTGAAAAACTGAGAAACCAATTAGCAATTAAGAAATTTTATTGAAAGATTCTTAACAAAAAAATTATTTTTAACTCTTCAATCTTCCTGTTTTGGAGGTTTTTCCTCCTGATTTTTTCTAAAGAAACATTTATAAAATCCAAGTAAAAATTGAGCTCATACAAGATTTGCCCTTCAATCCAACTCTGTTTTCTTCTTCTTAACAAAATGTGGAATTCCACAATATCATAAAGTTCCATACATACTGAAATGTTGTATCAAACGAATGCTTAATATTGTTATTTACAATAGGTAAGGTTAATCTCTTGGGAAATTTCGGTTTTCATTTCATATACTGAAAATTTTCTGCCGTCCGCAGATCTCATGAGAAATTGGAAATATTAAAAGCATTCCAAGTGTCTACAATTTACGTTTGTACATTTGACAGAACTCAAGAGAGGCGTTGAAAGAGATGATGTCGATAATGATAAAACGTATTAGTAAGAAAAGTACATAAAATTCTTCACATATTTAAGCTTTTTCATGTCTTTTGTTTATTTAGGCTTGACTTGATCGGGTGTTACTCTAATTAAATCTCTGCCTATTTAAGAAATCAACAATAAAGCTTGTTGCATGTATTTTATTCAGACATGTATAATTCTGATTCGTAGCTTTCTATAAATTCACAAACTTCCATCGAATGAACCCTCTGAATCTCTTTTCAACATAAATTTTGAAACAGTATTTACCTAATGTTTGGAATAATTTCATTACATTTGTTTCATTTTGATTTAGATACGTTTTGTCTTTCTACGTGTTCATTTTAACTATTCGGTACATTCTAAATAACTTCTATCATGTGATTAAAACACAGAGTTCAATAAGTCTTTCGAGGAATAGAAGGAAGCAATTTTCATGTGAAAATGAAATAGCCACGTTACTAATACATTAAATATGTAACTATCATTTTCTTCAATCGGTTGCTATGTGTAATGGATGATTTCTGTTTCAACAAAAGGAATAAATGTAACGAATGTCCAACCATCAATAAATAACAATATCTCAATCTATGTTCATGGTAGCTTACCCAACAACTTATTGAAGTCAATTGATCTTCATATTCGTTAGTTCAAAACGATTGACATGTCTACTGACATTCTTCAATGGTCTATTACATGTTATTCTATTCGCAAAATGCTTCATCTCTTTTTCGTTTTTTTCTTTTCACTTTCAACCTCTAAAATGCCTCGATCTCAACAACGCTCAACAGCAAATTCGTACACTCCACCGTAAATTATTTATTGTGTAATATATCACGTTTTTTCCTCTCCTCGTTCGTTTTAGTATGTGAAGCAATTTCCTTTTTGCTTCGTATTTTCACATCACATAAAAGAAAACCGTATCTGCCGTTTTCTTCTTGTTACTTTCAAGAAGTAATATTTTAGACAATGTAATATTCTTTTCAAGAGGAATTGAATCCATCGGGTAAATGATTGAATATTTAGCATCAAAATTTAAGAACTGTTGCGAAATGTATTTGTTTTTGATGTCTTGTAAATAGGCTTTCAAATATGGATTTAGAGCTTTTTATGTGAATGTTTAATCATTTTTTTAGAAACTCGTAAATGCTATTTATTCCTTGGAGTATTTTACTTCTGATTATGTTAGCAAACGTTTGAATCTACTCTGATTTCATTTAATTTTGCAAGAAAAATAAATGCGACAAAGATATTAAAGTAAATTGTAATTTAATGTTATTAATATAATTCAACTTTTATCTGATAGATTACTATCTATATAGGTGTCAACGATTTGTATGAAAGAAACATTAAAAAGTTTGAAAATAATCATTTTAGGGAAAATTCGTATTTGATGATTTGAAGTGACATTCATGGATGTAAATAGCATCATTTTTCTTTCATTTTGACAGTCTTCGACGTTCGATAACAGCTTTCAATGGTTCATACTTTAAAATCCATGGTAATGTTCAAAATTTTAACACCCTTCTATGTATATTGGTTATACATTAAACAAGTATGTTTAACTCATTGAATAAAGCACAAATAAGCGAACAAGCGCACGGCAAAAGAGGAAAATATTTCATATTTTGTAAATGAAAGGATCATATGGGAAATGTGTATACGACGCAATCGGCTCCCGATATATTTTATGGGAGTTTGTGACAAATTTGCTGTAGGGGGTTAAAAATGATATAAAAATATTACATATATTGATAAAAAAATTACGTTATTTATGATAACTGAAGACGCACGAATGATATAGAAATTATTTGTTAACTTTTTACGCTGTCGTCTTCTCATGGGACAATGCTTTTTCAGGCTACCAAAAGCGATACGAGATGGGAAAAAGCTGATACACTTTATTAGATGAGAAAATATCTTTCTGTCGTTTACATTCATCAATATTTCTGTCGACTCAACTCTCTCCTTATTTATTTTCAAGGCTTTTATCGAAATATGTAGATATGTAGATGCAAAACCAGTGATGTGTTTTACACACATCTGCATAATTTTGTTTAAGTTTCATTGAATATATTGATGATATCGACTTAGCCTTAGGCTTCACTTGAGATTTAAAATTATGGATACGAAAGATTTTGTGACTTTGCCTTTTTTCAAATCTGGGTCAAATGTTGAAAAGAACTTTTAAGAATTCTTTATAATACAATTTTTAATTAAAGTTTAATAGCTTTTTATCTCTGTTAAAAGATGTATGAAGGATAGAAAAATCTTTTTAAAACACTTATCTATTCATAACTTATCAGGATTATCCTTTTGTTTATCACTAGTGTTATAGGATTTGTGCGAATATTTATGGTGGTTTCGGATATTTTGATACACTCCAAACGGATAAGAGATTCAAAGTAATAAATAAAATGTCCTTCGATCATCTATCTAGCATAGTTTGAGTCTATATAACTTCGATAACAATCCAAAGTGTTTCCTTCTGAGAAAGCATAGATTAATCTCCCAATGGAAATGGATACCATTTTTTGTTGTTGCTAAGCGCCAATTCTTATGAGATAAGATATTTTTCATTTGAAGTTAGATAACTAAAATGTAGACAAAAGCGAAAGTGGATATCACCTAAGAGAAAGAGAATCATTACATTAGTTTGTTGAATGAAATTTTATTTTTAAAATGAAAACGTGTATCCAAATAAATAACATCAACAAAGTTTCATTTTCTTCTACTTGATCTTTATTTTTATCTTTTCATATGAAACGAATACATGCAGATATTCGTCTTCTCTTTTAAAAAATAAATAAAATCTTTTTGTTTTATTATATTTACGAGTCTCATTAGATTTCTTTTAATCTTAGGTATTTATATTTTCAAGGGATTTTTTGGGATTTTTTTCCATGAATTTAGCAAAAGTTTCAGAGGTATGTTTTGTCTTCTTTCTAATACTGCAACTAAATATTATTTCAAGCTGTTTTAATATTTAGTGTGATGTCAGCAGGAATCACAAAATTAATTAAAAATCTTATTAGTCTAATTATCCCTTGGCTTGTTTTTTGTTTTTGATTTTAAGTTTTTTTTTCACATATTGTTGTTTAATGAGTTTAAAAAGTTTTTAACGTTATTAACAGTAACGTCATCTGCATCAACACAGTAAATGAGCGTTGATTTGAAACTTAATTTTAAGTTGCTTTTCTTACTTGTTCTTGTTCCTTGATCATTATAAAGCGGAATGTTCAAGGGAACTTCAGCTGATGGAATAAGTTTTCGAACTTCACAGAAAATGGTACCGAATTTATCAATCAAAGCTTTGAAGATTGTTTTATCTTCGTCCAAGTTTTCCCAAACCATAGTATAAAGCTTTCCTTTAGTAAGATTTTCGTAAATCTTTTTTCCATCGTTCATAAGCTGATTATCGAGATTGCTGTCTTTAATCTGTTCCAAAACTGAATCATCGAGACTCAAGTACTTGGAAGGATCGGACTGGACTTCACTCAACCGATGATCAGATAACATAAAACCACCAGCATCGCATTTCACAAGAATATCTCTAACCATTTTCTCAACGCCAACTACTTTGTAATGTTGATAAATATTATTGTGAAAGTAAGCGCGATTGAAAAACATATTTTCAATGAGATGAAAGTCATTTTCATGATATCCAATGTGTGATGTCCCATCGTCATCATAAACAATTTTAGCACGTGTTAGAAATTCGATAAACGGCTTGACCTCTACCATTGATCTGACATAATGAGTGTCACGCAATAAATAATCACATTTATCAACGTCTACGTTGCAAAATTTGTTGCTGACAATTTCCGTTAAGAAGATTTCTTGTGGCTTTAATAACTGAGTCCAACTCTTGGCATCACCAGCTATCAATGAGAAGATGAGTTTCAATGCGTATTCATGATTTTCTGGAGAATTGTCAAGTTTTATATTGTATGAGGTAACCATGTGATTTATCATTTCTATCGATTGCTGTTCATGAGTCCCTAGTAAATAAATTTATCATCAAAATGACATTCATGAGTAAGAAACTTTATGATTAGATATTACAAGTTTTATATTTTCCTTCTCTCACGACACCTTCCCAAAGATGAGAGAAAGGTCCATGGCCAATGTCGTGTAGTAATCCTGCAAGCTAATCATAAAATTGTTATTAATAATTAAATATCATGTTATGAGTTATACTTACAACAACACATTTCTTGTGCAGCTCGTCAATTTTAAATTTTGAATTTTTTTCAAGTGTATCAAGAAGACATTTGCATAAGTAAGCAGTTCCAATGCAGTGTTGAGCTCTTCCTGAGGTTGCCGTTTTAAATATGACATTTGTTACACCTTCAACAACAATAAGTGTCAAAACAACTTAAATTAACTAGTTCAAAATACTTACCCAACTGTTTAATGTTCTTTAAACGTTGAAAATGTTTGGTTTCAATAAACTCTTGCACATAATACGGCAACGTTAAATTTGAATGCACCACATCTTGTTGATTGAAGTTCATTTTACTAAAATTTCTGCTAATTACTTGTAGCTGTAAAAACAACCGCAATAAAATTGAAAATGGATTTAAAACTTGATTTTTTAATATAAATGTCGTGATGTTTTACTTACAGTTGTTTATCATTAATTTATTGCAGATATTTTACGTTATGCCAGTGTTGATCAAGATATTAATAAACTCTTTCAGGTATAATGGTTTGAATATACTACTGCTTATAGTTAAAAGATAAGATTGACGATTGACATTACCCGAATGAAACAGAATCGTCAATTTAATAATTATCTAAACATTGTAATTTTAAAAAATTTAAGTAGATAACAAACAGGGTTGATGACTTTGTTATACGCAACAATCTTCTTCTACAAGATCTACCAAATATTTCAAAATTTATAAATACGTTAGGTTTACTTAGATATTTAAAAAACTAATAAGTAAAATTATAATTTCGTTGGTGATTCAAATGCAGAAACATTTTAAAAATCAAGAATAAAAGATGGAATTTCTTATTTCAAGCTATGAACGAGGATTCTCTTGTGAGAGATTAAGCAGGAAGGAAGTATTTAACAAACCTAGTAAAAAATAATTAATTTAAGTGTATAAATAAAATCTTCAGTAAATAAATTATATCCTGTGACTTTCAAGGTGGACAATTTTTAAGAAAAATATGAAATTGACCAATCAAATACTCCATTTAAAGCTGAAAATAGTGTTAAAAAATCTACAAATCATGATACTCACATGTGCCTAAACTCTCACAGCAAAATCTCACAATATCTGCTCAGATAAAAAAGAATACTCCAAATAAATACTCACCATTGTTAACACTTACCAAATCTATAAAAATCACAATAAAGAGAAAAAAGACAAATTCTAAAAAGTCTCACGCTTTTGTTTCTTCCATCCACACACTTCTAAAAAAGATAAATTCCAAACATTTTTGTATCGAACGCAGAAGAGCGAAGGTTTGCTTTCTTTCAGGTCCTAAAATTAAATTGATTACTCTGTTAATAAACTTATACTCTACTCACCAAGTAATGAATTCCAACGGAAACATGAATAATGAGTCTCAAGAAGACCTCAATATTAATAATGTTTAGGACAGTGAATACGAAGAACAAGATTACGCCAGCGTCATTAGCAGCGACACATCAAATGGCACCCCCACAAGGAACAAGCGTATGCCAACTAAACAACTAATGATGGATGACTTCCTAAATGCCGATACTTCACGAAAACTATCTAAAACCAACATCAACTCTTTAGCTGAAGCGAACTTAATTGCAAGCGTTGAAAATAAGTTAACATTAACA